GAAGGGGAGGTGTGGAGGGAGGGAGGGGGAAAAGAAGGAAAGAAAGAAGGTCAAGCCAGTCAAACAGGGTGGGAGAGGAAAGGAAAAGAACAGACTAAGAAGTAGATGGATTGCAGAAAATCGAAAACAGAATCCAGATTGGTCCCCAGGCAGGCCTTGTAGGGCAGACCGAAAGTAGTTGATCAGTGGTGGGGGGGGGGGGGGGAGGGAGGAAGAGAGTAGAGATAATCCCGGTCAAGGCTGAACGTCACAGACCCGGTCCCATTGATGCAGTCATTCCTGTTCTTCTTGTTCTTCTTGTCATTCTCGTCATTCTTGTTAGTGCAGTATAAGATCCCAGCTAGGTCGGTCAGCAGCTATTGTTTCCCAGAAAAGAACCACCTCTTTCTCACCGAGTGGGTCGGGCTGTACTCCAAAAGAGAGCGAAACCCATGGTGGGCGGCCGTAAGGCTGCAGGATAAGAATACCATGCAGGACGAACAGCCAGCTCCGTTCTCCTTGAAATCCCCCGGAACGAAGTGCTAAGGGGGGTCAGTGATTGATCAGTCGTCATTATACTTCCCCTACAAGACCTCCTGCAAAAGCCATGGAAGAAGCAGAGCATGCAAATGCGAATGTATGTGTACTCCGTAGAAGGAAAAGGTCTGGAGGGAAAAGTGGGAAGAAGTGGGTTCCCAAGCGGCGTAGGGCTGAACTTTTCCCTCCCTCGGCAGCTCCACGTGCCCGTCAATTGGCTGGCCTGGTTCAGTCCGGCTCAGGCACTACTGGTAACCATCTATCATGACTGGATCCATCCATCATATTCGACTCAGTCTATGAGTTCAGCATTGAATACAGCACAAGCCATATGAGGTAATTCTCGCACCGGACGGTAGGGCTGACTATCTGGAGAATCACTCAATCCCCTGATTCGACAGCCCCAGGCCTATTCCCTGCCTATAAACAAGCATTACTACTGATTGAGAATGAAGGTACACATCGACAGGAGACACTATCAGATTCGTTGCTTCATGATTCGTATTCTGTCCAACGAATGCAGTAGTTGCCATGACACTGACATTGTCTGGATCACTCATCTTCTCGTTCCAACCACCGGGCTCTACTGCGGTTTCTAGGAGAGGGCGGATATTGTCTTTGCGGCACAGTCGGCCACCATCCGAACTACAACCTCCACCACAACTAACCTCTACTTCCCCACCCCCCCCCCTTCTTCATCAATCAATCCTCAGCCCCTGCCACCATTCAGTCCCCACCGACCACAAATGGTTTCAACCCCTTCCCCAGCACCACCTCCACTGCGAAGCGAGACCGGCTCGTCCGTAGCAGAGCCCACAGTCTGGCTCCATCCCCTTGCGTTCTTTTTTTCCCCCTCATTTTCTGTGAGATTTTTTTCAAGTGCCAGATCTATGGTCCACCTTGCTCCATCCGCAGAGATGGAGCAACATGATATACTGTTCAAAAGTATAAATCGGTCCGGTCTCAAACCAAAATGAGTGTTTTGCTCCGCAACAAGCTGGTAACACACCATGGAGGTCGTTGTAGCAAGCCCCGGTAGTGTGCACGAGCTGATTGATAAAAATCGACACCCTTCGTCCATCACCTGAAAGGGCAATTCCTCTATCTCCGGACGACAATTCCTTGTCTCCTGACAGCGCTCCGTGCCCGTCGGTATTCCTCATCGCTATCTTCCGACTCGGAGCAACTCGCCTCCGAGGACTCGGTGACATACCCACAACGACTGCCTCCACAGTCCAACTTGACGCGGTCCCCCTTGCGAGTGATGCCATAGCGCTCGCACCGGCAGATGGGGGTCGGAGGATCACTCATTGAACTGAGCGACGAGGGCGAGGTACTGCCCGAAGAGCGGGATGACAGCGAGCTGCCCACAGAGCTGGGCGGGCTGTTGGATAGCGAGTACTCATCCGACAGGCGGGAGCCCGCAAATCGCCGGGTCAGGTCGTCCATGGTTGGGGGACCTCCGACGAAGTCGGTCTCCCGAATCTGGCGTGAGGCGTAGGGCTTCGAGGGCTTGGGGTGCTGGATCTTGGATGGAGACAAAGCGCGACCCTTGGCCACTTCTGAGGCCGATGTGCGGCGGTGGCTCTTGCTTGGAGCTGATGAAGAGCTGGAGGACTTGCCGCCAGGAACATCCAGAATGTTAAGCTTGCGGCCAGTAGTGGGCTCCACGGTATATTCAACAGCGGGATCATGGGAGACGTGGTAACCGTCCATGATGTACTGTAACCGAGTCAGTCAATAAGATGTCTTGAACGGAAGAGAAAAGCAACAGGGTCACTGACGTAGTACCAGTAGCGAGCACCGAGCTTAAGCATGGAAGTCTGGAAGCGAAACTTGCCCACCCACGAGCCAGACTTGTTCTCATCGCGCGAGAGAGGGATCTGGCGGGAGTAGCTGTCCCAGGAACCGACCAAGTGGACGGTCTTGACATTGGAAGAGGTCCGAAGAGAAAACTTGAGCTGAACGGACGACATTATGGCGTGATGATCGGTTGACTTGGAACCAGAATTATACTAGAAAATTAGATTATGGTGGAAAAGAATATAATAAAAACGTGTGTCGATGATGGAGGAGCTAATGTTGTCGGGGCGAAGTGACTGCCAGAGTCAATTCGATTCAGCCTCGTGCTGCGGTGGATTGCCGAGCTGTTGGTTCCGTTGGCTGTGCCAAACAACAAAGCGGTTAACTTGACGGGGAATCCAGTCCTCGACACGTCAATGGGTAGAAATAAACAAGAAGATTAAGAAGGGCGAGCAAGCCTGTCTGAGCTGGAAGCAAAGCGGGAGCAAGACAATCGTCGACCGGCGACAATGAATTGAACCGTTGGAAAGTTTGTACGGTTTAGAAGTATCCTGTGCGAAATAAAACAAGACAACAAGCGGACATCCGGGAGCACAGCTCTAGGATGGAATATGATTTTGTGGGTTAATAGGGGTGGGAGAATGTATTAAGAGGGAGGGGGATGGGGGGGGGTTGGTGGGGGAAGAAAGAATTGAAGATGAAGATGAGGACGATGAAGATGAAGATGAAGAACAACAAACAAGCAAGTGCAACCAGTGCACAGGATACTTCAAAACCACAGGCAGAACAGACAAGACTAGCTTGCTGAAGAAGAAAGAAGAAAGAAGAGGAGAAAAAAAGGACCAACGGGGGCGTGGGAGGATAAGAAGAGTCTTTTATTTATGTATGTATGTACTCGGTAACTTATACACTTTGTTAATTAGGTGACTTTTGCATCTCGTCACACAGCGGGCAGCGGGTAAGTCCAGGGTACGATTGGCCTCGTCTTCCCAGCCCGTCTCCGAGCCTCCAGCCATTGGGGAGTCGTTGCTTGCCGCCTGCTCACCTTCAACTCCATCCACTGCATCCCCCCTTCAGCCTATAACATCCCCTCCTCCCACCCCTCTCAGCTGCAACTATCGTCACCTAGTATCATGGAGATATCAGAGGGAGAGGGTCAAAGTCTACTTCGTCCCCCCTCACTGGTCCATGCGCCACTATCACGTTCAGTCCGGGTGGGGAGGACTGCATGACAAAGAGGGGAAATATATGCACAATTCATTCACTCCATATTCGACTTTCAAATTCAGAATTTATTTCGGTCAACAAGTACAGCAAAGTATATCGTAATCCCAACCCATTCGCTGGTCACTCATCATCTTCCGCGCCGCCCCCCCCCCCCCCCCCCCCCCCCCCCACCAAAAAAAGAGACAGTAAAGCTAGGTAAGCGAGAGAACAGGAAAAGAAACAAATCACAAGCCATTGATCCATTGTACGCCGGAAAATGCCGAATGGGTCGGGTCTTCGGTTGATATCGCAAATTTTGATAGCGGGGGTAAGAATGAAAGGATAGTGGGTGTGAAAAAAAAGAGATAAAAACGAAATCACCAGGAGACTGTGAAAAGAAAAAAAATTATCATAATATAGAGAGGCGGGGGTGACAAGATAGAGAGAAAAGAAAATCGACTGATGTACATGAATGGGGATTCCTTGTCTTCTCACCGCACGGACACTCCAGACCGGTTGGTAAACATGCGAGCGGCAATGTTCATCGAGGCCAGCTCTTGGAACAGAAGCTTGGCTGCATATGGAATATGCACTTGTGAAATTCGGTGCTTGTTATTGCACAGTCGGCACTCGAACAGGCCCTTCTTAAGTTTTCTGCAGGAATCTCTGTTAGCATGGGCCATCCACTACACTCAACGAATCAGGGAAAGCTTCGTAAACTTACGCAACCGGGGTCATCAAGCCACAGTCATCGCAGATATGGACTCGGAAGGGGTCGGACACGTCGAACAACCGCTCCTTCAGGAAGGCACTGGCTCCGTGCGCAATCATACAATCGCGCTCCATCTCTCCGAAACGGAGGCCACCATCACGGGCACGACCCTCCACAGGCTGTCTCGTTAAAATCTGCGTAGGTCCACGTGCACGGGCATGGATCTTGTCGTCGACCATGTGGCGCAGACGCTGGTAGTATGTTGGTCCCAGGAAGACCTGCGCCACCATCTTTCGTCCAGTGTGGCCGTTATACATCACCTCAAATCCACGAGACTGGTAACCGTGTTCACGGAGCAGACGAGAGATGGAATCCACCGTAACATCAGTGAATGGCGTGGCGTCACCCTCAAAACCACGCAGCGCAGAAACCTTACTAAGCTGACACTCAATCAAGTGGGCAATTGTCATACGGGAAGGAATAGCGTGAGGATTGATGATCAGGTCCGGACACACACCCTCACGGGTAAATGGCATGTCCTCTTGCCGGTAAGTGATACCAATTGTACCCTTCTGACCGTGACGTGAAGCGAATTTGTCACCAATTTGGGGAACCTTGGTCGTCCGCATGCGCACCTTGACAAATTTCAGATCGTCGTTACTCGTAGATACCAAGACCTGATCGACAATACCATTTTCGGTACTTCTGAGAGGGGTCGAAACGTCCGACTTGGTGTGCGACTTGGTCCTTTGACCCAACTCTTCCGCGTCGGGCGCTAGAGGTGCAGTCTTGCCGATGATGATATCCTCACCAGAAACACGAACACCTGGCGCGATGATGCCATCCTCGTCAAGCTTATCATAGGTTCCCTTCCTCATGCCGAGGGTGTCTGATCTCATCGGCTTCTCGAAGCGTTCAACGACCGTCAAACCGACCATCTTCTCACTGTCGGTGTAAGTACGGTAGAAAAGACTGCGGAACAAACCCCGGTCGATACTGCTCTGGTTCATGACTACCGAATCTTCCTGGTTGTATCCCGAGTAGACAGCGATGGCGACAATAGCGTTCTGCCCAGCAGGAAGCTCGCGGAACCGCAAGAATTCCATGGATCGCGTAGTGGCCAGCGGCTTCTGAGGGTAGTAAAGGATATTGGCCATAGTCTCCATGCGTTGGTCAAAGTTAGTCAAGAAGACACCCATGGCTTGTTTACCCATAGCGGATTGATAGGTGTTACGGGGCGACTGGTTGTGATCAGGGAAGGGAATGATACTGGCACAAACACCCAGTATCATACTAGGGTGAATCTCGCAGTGAGTCCAGGTGTGAGCCTTTTGACTCAAGATGGAGCGGACACGCTTGTTGGGATCGTGCAGTTCCTCATCCGGCAGAGCATAGCCAGCCTGGAGCTGTTTGGAGATCTCAAGATCTTCTGGAGTCATGACAATCATGATAGTTTCCTCCTCTTCAGCATCCACGTATTCCACCACACCAGACTTGACCAAACCATCCCACCCAAAGTAACGATCACGGCGGTCTTCTGGATCCAAATCCGGAGGCAAGTCTTTATCTTGCTCCAGTTTGCGGATGTGTTCTTTGTTGAGCACCAGAGAGCCACAATTCTCACTCTTCGGGTCGTTGTCAACGACGAAGAGCGGCCGGCATACACGTCCAGCATCGGTGAAAATTTTGAATTCCCGCTCACGTATGTCTCGAATGAGACTGACCTCGTGCGAGATCATATTACGGCGACGCAGGGAGAGCATTGTGTTGACAAGGTGAGCAGGGTCTCTGTGGATACCAACCCAAACACCATTGACGAACACCTTAGTAGCGTTCGGGGTCACCTGGGGCTCGAATTCCTCAAGGACTTCCATGTTACGTTGAATCATGAAATCAATGATGGGCTCACTGGGCGTACCGACCGTGATATAGCACATAAGCGCCAAATTCTTGACCAAACCACAAGCTTGGCCTTCAGGAGTTTCAGCCGGACACACCAGACCCCAATGTGTATTGTGAAGCTGACGAGGTTTAGCGATCTTTCCATCTCGCCCAATGGGTGTGTTGGTTCGACGAAGATGGGACAAGGTGGAGGCGTAGGTGTAACGACTGAGCACTTGAGACACACCGGCCTTGGAGCTGGCTGCCTTCTTCTGCTCACCCCAATTACCCGTGGCCAAAGCATACTTCAATCCTCCCGTCAAAGTGCTGGCCTTGATACCGATATTCAAATAGATCTCCCGGTTCGTCTCCACGCATCTCTGAACATACCGCTGAAGATCGCGGGTAACTCGGGTGAAAAGGACTCGGAAAAGATTCGCAAGAAGAGGACCAGCCAAATCCAGGCGCTTTTTACCGAAGTGATCACGATCATCGACATCCCGACGGCCCAGAGCACACTGCAGAAGTCTGTGAACCATGTAGCCCAGGAAAAAGGCTTTCCGCGTCTCACTACCTTCGCTCTGAGAGATATGAGGCAGGAACTCCTTCTGCATGATCTCGCGGGCGTATCGGACACGGCGCTCATGGTTCATGCTGGATTGGGAAGATCCACGCTTAGCGATGAAGTCGAGCGCAACCTCACGGTCTTGAATAACGAAACCTTCTTCAATACAGGGCTTCAGCATCTCCAGCATAGGTGTGTCGTTGCGATCATAACAGATGTGATTCAGGATATCTTCATCAGAAACCACTCCGAGGGCTCGGAAAACAACCACAATTGGGATGTCGGTCTTGACATATGGTAATGTTGACCGAATTGTGGGACCAAATCCACCCTTGGCACTATCGCCCTTAGAAAACAGCTTGAGAGATAATTGGGACAGCAGCCGGGAGCCTTTCTCGACAGCACTGCGGATTTCAGCAACATAAGGATGGGGACTGGGAGGTGCCTTCTTGAAGACCTGGACTGTGTTGCCAGCACTGCGTTCCTGGGCAATCAGAACCTTCTCACTTCCATTGATAATGAAGTAACCACCAGAGTCGTAAGGGCACTCGTTCCAGTTATAGAGAGCTTGTTCGCTCAAGTCCTTGAGGATACAGTACTTGGACTTGAGCATGATAGGCACCTTTCCGATGAAGACCGTCTCTTCCTTAGCTTGGTCAGCAGGAAGTTCCTTCTGCTCCCACGAAAGATAGGTGCCATGAGCTTTGCGATCCTCGGTTGAGTCCATCTCCTCTTCATCCCGGTCAGCAACCAGGCGTTCCCGACCCTCCATAATCCGTTTGGTGACACCCAAGTAAAGAGGACTGGCATATGTGAGATTTCGTAGACGAGCCTCCTGAGGCAACATGATGGTCGTTGCACCATCGCCTTCTGTCACGGAGGGCCGGGAGAGCATGACGGTTCCAAACTTAAGCTCGTATCGGCGGACGACAACCGGGTCGACTTCATCTTCGGCGGGGGGGAGCGTCTGATCGAGAGTCACTTGGCCTTGTTCCTCCACCAACTCCTGCATCGTCGATGAGATGAACTCATCGAAAGAGTCTAGCTGCTGTGAAACCAGACCCTTGGTGTCGAAGAAGGACGAGATTACGGTCCAGCAATCCTCTGACGTGATCCCCTCGTCCATATCATCGTAGTACTCATCATCGTAGGCATCTTCGTAGTCGGCCATCTTGGCGAGAATCGACCGCGGACGTAGCAAGCTAGACGGCAGCGATTCGAGAAAGCGCAAAGGGCGCGACGCGCTCGGCGGAAAATATCCCACTCGACGTCGCCGTAGGGCTGGATGGCAAAGAATAGACACCGGAGGTGGAGAAACAGGGTGGCAAGGGTAAGGCAATCAGAAAAGCCGGAAGCCTCAAAAGGATGGGGTGAGGTTGAAACCCAGGCCACCGGTGATGATGGTGAAGGGAGCAAGTACTGCTGCTGATGGATCTTGACTTGAACAAAGAGAGAACCGCCACTAGTTCCGTCCCGACCGCCTGCTTTGCTGCTTGCCACTAATCCGAAGACAATGAGAGTCACGTGATGGTGTCATTATCAATAGGAACATAGGCAGAATACGAGTACTGCTGTGGTTACGGAACGGGTCAATGACTGTAAGGGGAGGTGTTACATTACAATACTGGTCCAGTCCAGATACAATGACAATGACCTCACCAATTAGTCACTCAACTATTTAACCAAATTAGATGCTTGTTCGCTAATTGCACGCAATTTGCTAGTTTTACACATATTCAACTTCGGAATCCCATCAGAGGAACTGGAGGAGCGTCTCCAGCATCTCTTTGTGATCCCTCTGCCCCGGATCATCTTCCGAGAGACCCTCTACTTGCTCTGAACGGTACTGTCAGTCTGTGTCTCAAGGGCCACTGAGGCAATCACATACCTTGCAAGGTTGCCTTGATCAAAGATAAATCCTCATCTCGGTCTGCGAGAAGAGACACAATCTTCCTTTTGGCTCCATCATCTTCAGCAACAAGCCAAGCCAGAATCACGTCAATGAGCTGTGAAGGTGTCAGTGTACGGAGGCGGAAGCGATGTTATTGTCGATTTGGAATAACAAACCTGAAGCGAAAACAACCCAGCATCAAATCGTCGTGATAGCCAGTCGCCTGCCATGACTTCCTGCTCCTCTGCAGTGAAGTTTTTCCGTTCCTTCTCAATGGCTTGCTCAACAGGTGATACTCGTGAAGCATATTCCCGTCGCAACTTGACGAGTTTCTCAATCTTTTCATAATCCTTCTCCATGAATTTGGCAAGCGTACGTATACGCGATGCGGAGCCTCCCGGTAGCAGACGCAGAAGGGAAGCAAAGATGCCCAGTAAATGTTCGACCGTCTGGTTCTCCTGCTGCTGAGGGTCAGTTCAGCTCGAGGACTGCCAAAAACACCTAACATACCTTACGCTTGAACATCCCAAACACTGTACTCAAACATGCTGCTTCAACAAACCTCTCGCATGCAGTTACACCACCTGCACCACCAAGAGCATGATCTATGACGCGTAAAGCTCTTTGTTTGCTGAATTTCCCTTCTTTCAGCATGATCTGGGCGAGTTCAATCCCTTCACTTTGCAAAAACTTCTCCTTGCCAGACTCCTCATCGACTACGCAGGTCAAGCAATCGAACAGATTCTCAACAAATTCCTCTTCGTCGGAATCTTTCTCGGGATCACGTTTGCGATACTGGCTGAGCAATTGAAGAAGAACTTCAACACCATCCAAGCTCACGAACCTATCGCGATTCGTGGTCGTGGACTGTAATAATATGGCCAAAACTTCAGCCGAGTACTGCTGATTCTGACTCACGGGTCTCTCCTTTTTTTGGATGCGAGATATGAGCCAAGGTAGGACGTTGGGGTCCTGCCCTATTTTCTCTGCGATTGACGCTTGCGAAGCCAGGTTCTCAAGAACATCTTTGTAGTCTTAGTGATGTATAGAACCATGGTGAGGTAGCAAACTCACTCAATATGTAGTATACCCCTGCTCTGTCAACCTCGGATTCTTCATCCAGCCTAGACAAATTTTGTGCCAGTAGTTCGACAAGATCGGAATCCAGCTACCGCTGTCAGCGATCATCCAGCTTCCGAGAAAGGGCAATTATACCATAGCGTTGACGAGTGTGTCCCATTGCTCCTGCTCAGCTTCCACGTCTTCGTCTGTCAATTCCCCGATTATCTGAATGGCATCTATAGCGATGTCGGCGTTTTCATGGGAGAGTAAGGATACGAGCGAGCCAACACAGCCTAGCTTCGAGAATTCATCGTAGAGCTCGGGGTGTTCGGACAGGATTGATAAGCCCTTGATCTCAGTATCGAGATCTGCCTCTGAAGCCATGAACCTAGGAAGTTTAGTATGTGATTGTTCTTTCATATCGGCATTGATACATGAACCCACTTTTGAGGATCACTTTCATATTTCCCGCGAAGCTCAGCATTCTTGGATATCTTCTTTTCGAAATTCAGTGCAAATCGTCGCACCCAGGCAAGGTCAAATTTCTCCAGCTAGACAGTGTCAGCACTCATCCTTCCGCAACCTGATATAAATCATGCTCTTACCGCTGCCTCTTCCTCCTCATGTTGGTCAATGTACTGCATTGCCTGAGCGGTCTGACGCTCCATCCCACCGCCGAAAAAGCGACCTTCTTCGTCATCCGGAACATCTTCGTTTTCGAAATCAGGGGGTAATTCTGGGCCGGCATAGTCGTCCTCTGCGTCGTCGCCTTCTTCTTCTACCATAGGTGCTTTCCCCTTTGACTTGACATCCCCACCCGCATCAAGCTTCGCCGTTTTGTAGAGCTCATCTTCGCTGAGAGTTAGCACATTCCACTGGACAACCAGGTATCGCGGACGAACTTGGGTCTCTCGTGGCGTAAAACTTGCGCTTTGAACTCGCCGCGGATGAAGGTTTCTTGAGACGTCAGAGCATGCCCGTAGATGTGGATTATAATGAAGTTAGGTGAATACCTTGAAAAGCTCATCGATGCTCGTCATGGCTGCGGCTTGCGCGAGTGTTATCCGCGGATGTTCCCCTCACCACCAATTCGATCCAAGTAAGTGCGTAGAGCCTAATGTGTATTATCTCAATTGCAAATCGCAATTCGTCTTGTCGCTCAGGAATAAGTAAGTTGCGATCTTGGATTGTCAATCGACTGGTCGCGCCGCAGCTCGCAAGCAGATACGGGGGCCGCGATAAGCTAAAGGCGCAGCTGCCAAGCCATGGAAAGATTTCTCGGCCTCCGGCATCATTCCGCATTGCCCTTGATCGCTACTCCATTGACTCCATTCGCTTCCACAACCTATCTTCCGTCAACCTTTGGTGCCAAATCCATCCACGTCCATCAAACAATCATATTATCATGGCCCCCAGACAGCGTGTTGTTTCCGGTCGCCCCCAGAAGGGTTTCCTCAGCACCGCCTACGAGGAACTCACTGCCGCCGAAAACGCTACCATCGTCAGAAGCCTTCTGGTCTTCGGCGTAAGTACCATAATCTAGACTGCTGTCTTAGCGGTGGACCATACGAATTTGAGGTTCTAACTGATTTCTGTCCAGGCTGGCGTCGCTTTCCTCCACAGCAGTCTCGGCGAGCTTCTCCTCCCTCCGTAAGTCAAGAAAACTACCCATGCTCTGTTCCTGCTCAGGGAGTCTGTTCCCCCATGATCAGCCATGTGCTAACGAGTGGAAAGTATGTAAACGGATACCCCCATACGTCTGTCCATCTCTGTGAAACGAAGACCGCCGATAGGTCGCAACCTAAGTCGACTTCTGATTAATGGATACGGACGGGATTTCTCTATGCAATTGCTCCGACCCTCAAAGTTAATGAATACGTGTATTATATTTTGGTGCAGAAATGGCTTGCAGCCATGAATAGGCAGGCTTGCCATATGTCCTTTGGTAGTCTCTCTTTTCCGGCGTTTGAATAGACGTGTGCTCCAAGTCACCTCTCACTCGTTCCGGAACCCCGCGTGCCTAGTCTTCCGAAGATGTTATATATACCCTTGAGCTGCCCACTATTGCGTGTCCTCATAATTTCCGTGCATATGATATCCATTCGCGCCTGGGGAATGTAGGCTACATACTGCCTTGACGGCTTCCAGTATTCCAGGCTCCATAGACAGCGTCTCGTTGAGTTTTTATCAGTGGCATATCATTCACGTTATTGGAGATTGTGATCGTCGGAATTCATAGGGGCATAACTTATGGATGTCACCGCCATGATGGAATCAAGTTGCTGTGGCAGGGCTGATAATGTAATTCTCATTGTTTGACGTGAAACATTGTAATGCGGACTGGCAGTCATGCTGAATGCCTATCATATCTATAAGTGGATACAAAGAACAAGAAGACAAGAATATCTTTCATATACTCACTCCCCTCCCTTCCATCTTTGATTTCATCCACCTGGACTCTGTTCTTAACTTAAGAAGCCTCTTGTTGCATGGGAGTTGAAAGAATGGTGAATGGGACAAAAAATATTTTGTCCCTTCATTCAATGCCGGCATCACACGGCATTGTCATTGATGCTGATAGATTCCGGTTGTAATTCCCCAGACCACGCTTCATGGGATCAAGAATCATATTCCTACCTGCACCATGATCATCAATGCAACTGAGCCCCTGAGCACCGACGCCATGCTGGAGTCGGCTCTGCCTGGATACACGTTTCTGTCTCGTTTCCTCTTGACTCACTTCAAGATCGACCTGTCTCATTACTGCTTCTGGTTGCTTCTCATTGTCTGTAGGCGCCTGGCGATCCGATATGTTCTGGATCTGTTTATGTCTCCATTCAAATCTGTCTCTGCAATTGTTGGCAACTCATTCACTTGCAGGATTGAAATCCAAGGTCAGGACAAGATCTATAGATATCTCCTGCACTGGGTAATGCGGCACAGTTCTATGAATAGAGCCAAGCACCTACTCACCAGCAACTCATTGTTTATCCGCGGTCGATATGTATTCATACAGTCCCGGCTGGACCCGAATGAAGATGACATGGAGCCGGAGTATAAGCCAGGGGAAAAATTCGACGAGTGGTGGAGCAAGGTTATTGCGAAACGCCGGACCAGACCCTTACACTTCACCCCTGCGACACAGGAGCTCCATTTCTGCTACGTTAGCCGTTGGTTCTGTTGGTGTTTCTGGCGCTGGATCAAGTTCGAGCGCATCATGAGCGACGGGGACTCGGTGGATCGAATTATCATCTCGTGCTGGGGACTACCGTTCTGCAACTGGGGTATACATATGCTTAAGCAGCTGCTTACCGAAGCGCAACAGGCGTGGCTTGACAAGGATAAGGATGGCATCGAGATCTGGAGCCCCCAGATGAGGTGGGGTGACTTAGCATGGACACAATGCGAAGCGCGTGCCCCGAGGCGCCTCGATACTGTGATCCTCGACCAGGAAACCAAAGCTGGAGTCTTGGCTGATATCGAGAGCTTTCTCATGAACAGGGCGGTCTATGCGGTGCGGGGGCTTCCCTACCGAAGGGGCTATCTACTTTACGGTCCTCCTGGGACTGGCAAGACCAGTCTGTGTCTCGCCCTCGCCGGGCACCTTAAATTACCAATCTATATCATGGATGCCGGTCTGTCGAGTATGGGGGAAAGTGGCTTCAAGGAACTCTTTCACAAATTACCCACAAGGTGTATTGTCCTGATGGAGGACGTCGACTGTACGAATATGACCCAGACACGGGCAGCTGGGGACAGAGGCGATGACAGTGATGACAGTGATGACAGTGATGACAGTGACGACAGTGACGACAGCGACAACAGAAAGACTAGCAAAAAAAGGCAGAAGAGCAAAACGAGCAGAATGAGCAAAACGACTACGATGTCCTTGCCTGTCCCCCGAATATCTTCCAGGAGCCGCATCTCATTGTCGGTTCTCCTCAATGCCATTGATGGCGTGGATGCCCAAGAAGGTCGCATTCTCATGATGACAAGTAACCATGCTGATAGATTAGACGCTGCACTGATCCGTCCCGGACGTGTGGACATGCAAGTCAAGTTCAAGTATGCGGCGCGCGAGGAGATCCAGTCGTACTTTAGGACTTTCTACGCGCCTTTACATACTATGAGATATGTGGTACTCATGCAAAACGCAGAGCGAGTGCCCATGGTCACCTCGGGAGACATCGACAGGTTGGCCTCTGAATTCGCTGCACAAGTGCCCCCAGGACAGCTAACGCTTGCTGAGCTCCAGGGACATCTTCTTGAATGCAAAGACGACCCCTGAAGCAGCTCTCAAAAAAGTGGGGAAGTTGCTTGAGAAGACGAAGAGACAGCGTGAAAAGCGTGTCAGGAAGCAACTGAAGGAGCTGAAGTTGGCAGAGGCGGAAGAGAGGAAGCAACTCCTAAGTCAGGAGACAGAGAGGAGGAGATACCACTTCAGGTCGCGACAGTCATCATAGCGAGAAGCATGGGACTAGTAATGTATAGAACAGTATGACTAGTTAGAGCCGAGCACTGAATAGTAATACAATACACACAGTAGACCTGTGTCAATCCCTCAGTCCATCATCCTAATAATTATACCAGAAATGGACTAGTGTCTCTCCCCCACACCGGCTCACCCCGCAATCAAAGTAAGCTAAAGATTACCTAAGCAGGCTCCACTTCAACTCCCTTGCTTCTTACTAAGTCAGCTACTAAACTCCCTCCTCCCCACACACTCACCCACCCATCACAAAAACAGTTATCGCCGCCAGAAAAGAGAGAGCACCCAGCTAGACCTGGTTTTGGTCTGGAATCCAGTCGCTACTTCCAGCTATTCACTTTTATTCTGCTTAACCGTAGCCGACTGTTTTCTTTCAAATTCTTAGAGAAGCATGCTAACCTCCAAGCGCAAGCCGCCAAGCGCGGAGATAGAAGATGATACTCCGCCGCCGGTGTCGAAGAGAAGCCACAGCCTGGGATACAACCCCCACGCTCCTTGGCTACAAGACGCCGGACCGTCTCGGACCTGGCGGACTTTCGGCGACCGGGCTCACCGGCCCTCCCTACCACTAGAAAATATGGTTTCCACTGTGCGAGATTTGATAGATCCCGACTTTGATCCATTGATTGCCTTACTGGATGATGAACCGCAATTTTTGAAGCCACTTCCAGCACGAATACCCCAGGAGGACTTGGAATTTTTGCGGTTCCGTGGAGCATTGGCAATTCCCGAGAGTGGTTTGCGAAATGAGCTGCTGCGCTGCTATATCAAATGGGTGCACAGCTTCATGCCGGTGCTGAATCTACAGGAGTTCCTGAGGTGTGTGGCTGAGAATGACCCCAACGGGAATATCAGTCTACTGCTATTTCAAGCAGTTATGTTTGTCGCGACTGCGTTTGTGGACATCAAGCATCTTCAAGATGCTGGTTACGCTACTCGGAAAAGCGCACGAAGCGTGTTTTTCACACGGTTGAGGGTAGGTCCGATGTCTGAGCTACACCCCCAAACATGCCTACTTTGCTCGTAGCTGACCAGAACCGGTAGCTAATCTACTCTTTGGACTGCGAAGATGATCGCATCGTCATCCTACAAACACTTCTTCTTATGACTTATTGGTCCGATCATCAAAACAACCCTCACAGAGACATTTGGGATTGGATTGGTGTCTGCAATACACAAGCTCATTCAATCGGATTGAATAGGGATGCCTCCACGTCCAATATGGATTCAAGGGTGAAAAGGCTACGGGCTCGTATATGGTGGAGTTTATACTCACGAGACCGTCTTATCGCTATGGGGTTGCGGCGACCTACTCAGGTCAATGAGGGGACCAGCAATGTTCCCATGTTGAAACTCGACGACTTCGACTTAGAGCCTTTTCATCCTGCAGTCATCAAGATGTTTCGCTGTCGTCAGCTCGAGGACATATCCCATCAGAAGCGCCTTGCTACCATGTTCATCGAGAAGGCCAAGCTGTGCCAATGCATTGGGAGAGTACTCTTCGCGCAGTACTCACCATCTCAGTATCAATTCGGGGTAACAACCCGAACAACAACCAGCCTCGTCCCCCGGCAAGCATCAGAATCCGAGGTAGCACGATGCAGCCAGCGACTCGAATCGTGGTTGAGCGCGCTTCCGAAGGATGCACAATTTGTCCCCGCGTCAAGGACCAATATTCATGATGGGGAAGATGTATTGCTCCTTCACGGCGCGATGGTACGAATGTTATATCACGCTACCACCAGTGCCCTGTACCGACCCTGGGCTTTCTTGCCTAGGAAGGATCAACCCAAGCCACGTCTCGATTTGATCAATACAGCACATACAAAAATGCAGGACGCTGTCATTGGCATCACGCATATCATTCAAGGTCTCAATCAATTGAATCTCACACGCTTTCTGCCGCAGTCCGGGGTGACGGTCATCATCCCCGCAGCTGTTGCCCATCTTACGAACTCGTTGTCCGGCAATCCGTCCACCCGAGAATCCAGCATTCACCACTTCCAACGTTGTATCCAAGTCTTGCAAGGATTGAAGGACATCTATCCCGCCGCAGATATGGAAGTAGCCAATATAGAAGCCGCGGTTAAGGTTCAATCTGATTGCAACAATGCTCTATTGCAGATTATGCAGCTCGACTCTCCTTCGCCTCCCAGTACCCAGCACCATGCACGGAAACCAAGCACTGTCTCTATTCCGCGAACCAAACCTTCAGCACAGAGAAGGAACTCCACTCAATGGACCCCTCCTCAAGATGACCAGGAATCGATTGACTCTGTCAATCCTAATCCCAACCCATCCGACCACATAGCCACCAGCTCGTTACGTACCCACCGAGAAAGCGCACTCAAAGCACCGACAGCCACCACAGCTCCACTTCACAACCTCCCCGCACCGCTGCACAAGGCTCAACCCACTCCCCCCCATGACTTTGACGACCCCTTCAGTCATGTCTTCCACAGTCAATCCCCTGTATCACCCCACGAACCACAGCCTCAATCCAACCAGCAAGCACAACCGCACGACAACTCGATTCTAGAGGAAACGGACTTCCTCTTCGATCTTGACCTCGACCTCGACACTTATCACGCCGACTTTTCACCTCAGAAAGGCCGTGACTCAATAGCAGCAGCCACAGCCGACCGTTCCACAGCCGCCGACATAGACATCGACTGGGCCAACGAGCTTCTGCGCTGGGTAGACCCCGGTCAGGATAATGGCCATGAAAGGAGCGTCGACGGCCATGATAGAGACGACCTATTCCAGATCTTCAACATTGAAAGCAGTAATCGCGATGTGCTGCACGAGAAGACACCAAGCGGGTTCACCCCCGGCGATATCACAGGTGATCTTGACCGGGATTTAGGATTGACTGGTGATGAGGATGAGATGTTTTGATGAACAGGCATTGATGGGTTATGCCATACAAGGAAATGGCTACAGCCGAACCTAAATCTGCGTTCCATCTGTGAAAGATGGACTTCCTATTTTCAGCTGTCTATATGAGGAAGAATGCCCCGTGTATATACCAGATTTATATTCATGTATAAGTCTTCGTCTTTCTATGCATCTACTTCGTACATCATAAGCCAAACCAAAGCATGAATCGAAAATCACGCGCGCATCCCTGAGGGAAGTGGGTTGGGGTTGGAAAGAGTAAGGTAGTATGTAGATAGCTTGGAGATCTCGCTCGCTCAGTGGAGGTCAGAAATGGGAAGGGATGGAGCATTTCACCGGCCGGGCGGAAAAATGTGGAACTTAGAAGGAAGCATCCTTGTTGGGTCGTCGGTTATGTACGTATGATAAATGCGAGTGGGGAAATTATTCCTTCGGCGTCCACCGATTCTTCTCGTCCCCCTTCTCCCATTCATGTTCGATATAGCCCAGCTTCTTCTTGACGCTCTGAACGGTTGCCTTGTCGCCCGTGTTCTTGCCCATATTGTCACTGAGTTTCACAGCGGGCCGACCATTGGCGGTGGAGATTTTGATGACGATGTTCAGGGGCTTCGATTTCTCGCCGTCGGATTTGTTGCTGAAATCATCTATTTTGTTGCAGTGAGGTTAGAGTCAATTTGAGTGGCCTTGTACAATGTTCCTGTTTTTGACGTGCTGGGTCCAGATGAGGAAGTGTGGTTGAATGAATGAAAACGTACTTGTGAAGAAGGTGCCAACCCCGAAGACGGGCTGGAAGCCGGCTTCCTCGGCAATGACCTTGTATTCCAGACAGTGCTCAATGTCTAGGGAGTCAGAGAAGACGACCGTCTTGGGTTCCTTGATCCCCTCCCGGTCATAAAATTGCCGGACCATCTTGACGAAGTAGGTGGGATCTCCAGAGTCCTGACGCACACCTGTGTAAACCTGAGCGTATGTCTTGGTCGGGTGCTCACCCTGGAAGCCGTGCAAGGGAGCAGAAATAGGAGCCGTTGTCTCCGCCTCGCTTTGGATATTGGATTCAACCGTCGTGTTGGCACCGGAAGGAGCTGTGCTGACGGCTCCCACGCCGGCGCTGGTGTAAGCCGGAATCGGTTTGCGGAATGCGTCGAGAAAGGCCGGGGTACCAAAGGTGTCGGTCAAAGCAATGCCCAGCACCTGCTTGCAGTCAGAGACAAAGCCTCTATCAAAGTTTGAAGCCATATTTAGTACGTACCCCTTCGCCGAAGCAGCCAAGCCAGTACCGAAGAGCCATCTCGTTGGCGTTTTCGTAGTCGTCCGTGATAGCAGCGATGGTCATGTACCACTCATGAGCGACAGTGCCGACGGGGATCACGTCATACTTCATGGCAAAGTGTACATTGCTTGTGCCCGTGAACGCACCCTTCCAGCCCTTCTGTTTGCCCACCTCCGCGGCGCGAGATAGTCCCTTCATGACTAGGTCTTGCGTGTGGTAGTCGCGCCGTCTCCGAGATCCAAACTCGGAGAAGATGCACCCGTGCTCCAACAATGCGCAACCTTTCCGGAACGCCTTCTCCTCCTGACAGCTGTAGTCCCAGTCCTTGTCACTGAATTTGAAGTACGCTTGGCTCGTCAGGGCCAGCAGAGGGATCTCGTACAGGATGGTGTCGACCCAGAGACCCTTGATGGCATAGTCAACATCACCCTTGTCCTCATCACTACCAGTGTCGCCCTCTATCGGGGTAAAGTGGATCTCAACCTGCTCCTTAGGCTTGAGTTTGAATGTGGTTAGGAAGTGCAGATAGGCATCGTTGAAGTAAGGACACTTCTTCTTCAGGAACGCGATCTCATCGCTTGTGACTTGAATGTTCGCCAGCTCTAAGCGAGAAAGATCCCACGGTTAGTTGGTCCCACCGCAATGATTCCCTGCCACACTTACTGTCCAGCTGTGCAAGAAGCCATTTGTAAGCACCCCGGGTCAGCTTCATCTCGGCGGTGCGGTTCGTGAAGCCATAGGTGACATCTGCGTGAAGTTGGTCAGTCCGATGAGTTTTCATCCAAAAAGCACCATTCGCTCTGCTTACGGGTATCAGGGAAGTATTTGAGGATGGCGCATTGCATGGTCAGCTTGTACAAGTCGGTATCCAGCAGGGAGAAAATGCCCTCCGGGAGCGGAGGGGAAGCTTCCTGAGTCATAATTGAACGGCAAGGTCAGAACCTGATACAATACAAGAATCTGACAGACAAAATTGAAGGTAGCTACTGTCCCTCTGAGAGACTTTGAAACTACTCGAGCGAGCACGAATCTTTCAAACGCAAATGAGTTCGCCTTGCTGCGCGGGGAAATCAACGAAAAGATGGTGTTTGCACTGTTTGCATGCAGAGGGGTTTCCGGCCGCGCGGCGACGTCATCCAAATTCTTCCTTTTTGTCTTCCTTTTTGTCTCTCATATTCGTTTGAACGGGTTCAATCACAATGTGCTCAACCTCCGAGCAGAGAATTTATCCGCTAGTTACTTGTAAGCACCGAGTTGTGACCACATTGCGTGGCTCACTATTGAAGCAATTCGTCTGCTCGGCCTAGACTGCCTTTTGCGTCTACCGCCGAGTCGCAAGGCAGATAGTAATTACTTATCTTGCATCGGATGCGCATATCTAGCCTGTCCTCGATTATCGAACCTCACTCAAAAGAGACATCATCTCCGATCAGGCTGCTGCCTACGCCTAGTAGTGGGCGGGCCAGTTCCGCCGTCTCAATCTCTCTCCGAGTTCAGCACATAAATTGATAAGATGTCTCGGCCCCACCACGCGAAAATCGCTAGCGTCGCTGTCACTGGATGCACTCACTCATTGTCAAGATATAGCTCAGCCGGTATTCACACCTTATATTTCACAATTGGGCATGTTGCGCTTTCCCTTTCTCGTGAAGTCTTACTCGTGATATTATTCCGGGAGGTCCAATGTGAATATGATACTCGAATCGTAGTACTTTTCTGGTCGTAAAGTGATAAATGTATGGGCACGTACACATGGTTATGAACTCCTGGCATCACCCTCATTATGCATACACAGTACAGTACATTGAAGGCGCCTTTTTTCAGATAGTACCCTTCTTGGTTCTCGTCCTAGCTCCTGATCGCCGCGAAGAATAACACGACAGGCGGCAAAGTACCTGCCCTTTCCTTCAAAGACGAGACCAGGTTTAGATCAGGCATAATCCAAATGTAAAAAATACATGGCCCTTTGGCGTGCTAATCTCAAGAATCCTCTTTCCCCGAACCCCCCCCCCCCCCTTTCCCGGAGGTTTGGTTGGCAGGATCGGCTTAGATTTTTAGATAGACCAAAGTCCACCAGAACTCACTCCCCTAGCCAATCCCAGTCGCAAGGTCCGCAGAATATCCTCACCCGCGACATCGTCCGGTAGCCCAGCACGCCAGTCCCAGCCTCGTTCATGGACAGTGCCACCCTTCGCGGAATTCCACCGGGGCACAAGCACACCTGAGCTACCGGCTGAGCCGGACCCAGATCGCGTGCGTGCGGACTCAATCATCTCGTTGCCAATGAAGGAGAAAGTGCTAGAAGCATTGAGAGCAGAGACGGACTTATTGAGCATGGCACGTGGTGAAGGGGGCAACAGATAGGAACCGGTTGACGAAGATCCGTCTGCGTTCTTGGAGGACTGGTATTCTATCAAGGTCGAGCGGAAGCATTCTTCGCACTGTTTGTAGACGCGAGGGGTGATAGTTTGAAGGTCCTCAATTGCTGAGAGGATGGTGAACTGTTGGGAGACAGACAGAATGGGAGTCGGTTCTGAAGGTGGTCAGATTTCAATCGAATACGAACGGAGAAAGGGGAATGTGAGAAGATGGTAAAGACTCACGGTCGATAAACGGAAGGACTTCGCCTAATAGTGTCAAGAGACCGTCGACTTGAACCGCGGAGTCACGGTCCGGGTCGTAAAGGCCACCATAGATACTGTCTGCGGCACTGCTGATGACTGCTACAAGGGCCTGGGCTGCCGTACGTCGTCTAGCAAGAGGCTTGTAGCGAGGTTGTTGGCCTTCTTCTAGGTTCACGGCTTCGTCGCGGATCTCATAGTATCGCCGTAACGTTGCGTATCCAGAGAAGTAGTATTGAAGGATACTAGCAGCATCTTCGTCGGATCCTGCGATGGCAGCTAAACAGCGACCAGGATCGCGAATCAGAGACTCAAGCTGCTCATCAAGATCTTTCGAAGCGGGATAAGCGCGAGATTGCACAAGACTGTACGAAATGAGCAGGTCGACCACAGACTTGACCTTACGGCGGTTGTGTGCGCGAGCATAGCATAACAGAGCAAGACCATAGTCTCCCGATTCAGCAACGGTAGTGTCACCGAAACGCTATTCAAGTCAGCAGTCAAGTCAATTGAATTGACCAGAAAGAAGGACCAACCTCAGAAACCTTCCGCCCTTCATTATCAAGATCGAGCTCTGAACAGAGCAAAACAACTTTATCAACTTCCTCCGCCGTATTAAGCGGCAATTTGTCCAGGAGTTCTGAGACACTCTTTTGCAACTTCTCCCTATCGTCTAAGCGACTCAGAACCTCAAGAGCAACCTCCCACCCATTGCGAGTACCATCTTGGCATTCAATTGACTGTCGTTCAAACAGACCCGATGCATAGGTACTGATAACATCGTTCTTATTCACTCGGGAACTGGCCACCTTGCTATCTTGACCTTGACCATACGACAGGACCATCAGATCATCTTCGCTCAAGCCAGGCATCGTTCGCTTTTCGGTGGCTCCGGAATCCAGCCAGCCCCCAATCGATGCAACCTCAACTACAGCACATGACACGCACAATGACCATGTTTGAAGCAGCTCGATGACGCCTTCAACGTTCCCCTCAAAGACAGAGGCCAGCCCAACTTCGAGACTGCTAAGCGAATTGACTCGGAAGCTAGCATCGTCGGCATCCGCACTTGTGGCCTGACCAAAGGCCAAATCAAGTCGACGCAGGTAGGCATCGTCGCGACTAGAGGGAGGAGTATTTCTAGTGGGGCGAGAGAACAGAGGATTGAGGCTGGTGGGAGGAAGCTCACTGGGATGCTCATCGTCGTCACCGCCCCACCAAACGGTCAAACAGATAGTAGCTTCAAGCCAATCCTGTGCATTGTCCATGATAGCATCCTCGTCACCAAGAAGGATACGGTACATGGACCGCAGATTCTGATAAATTGCCCAGGGTACTTTGCTCTCAGCCATACGTGCGGATTGGGTGAAGGAGAAATTTTGCGCGGGTGCAGTCGCTTTCAGCCCAAAATTGACAGCTTGGAACCGATTCTCTTGGACAGAGGGTTCCGGCGACGCTTTGTCTTCGCCTTCTGCAAAAGCCTCCAAGTCAGTCACTGCTGCCAAAACCCGTTTCCTGAACAAAGCCCATTCGGTGCCCTTGATATCCCAGTCATCACGGGAAACACTAGGACAGGACTCCAGGATTTGAAGAGCTTTGTTGACGCATCGCTGAATATTCTGCAGCTGTGTTCCGCGGTATCCTGCTTGCGGCAATCCATCCTCTAAGGCTGATCTTGCGTAGTTGAAATCGGCAGACCGTAAGAGTTCAGCGGCTGTTGTGAGACTGCCTCGAAGAACAGCGGCGTTAAGCAAGTCCCAGAAGCTTGATGACGCAGTGGGATTAGGCTCAAACTGTTTCAAAAATTGCAACTGTGACGCAGGAGGAATGTGATTGGCATCGAGCCAGTCTATGAGGAATTTGGGTACAGGCGTCGGTGACGTTGTTCGAGAACCACCTAGTAACAAATTGCGCGTTGCGAAGGGGTTAATTTGACCCGGTGGGTCAAATGGCCGAGGAGGATGATGTAGTTGTAGAAGAAGTGAAGCCAAAAAACTTGCTTTGGCAATATTCAAGGCTTGATCGCCCGGCCCAATGCCGTCTGACTCTTGATAGGGACCATCTTGACCCGTAGCTTTCTTCCATACACCTGTAAGGCGACTGCAGACGTCCGAGAGGGCCAGGCGAAAGTCAGTGCCATTGTAGTCGGCTTTCCTGACTTCGTCATACATGCGGCACAGTTCATCTTCCGTGCTCATCACAAACTCACTAGACTCTGCCACTGTTGTTAGACGCGAGCGAGATGCGAAGTTGCGCACGATAGATGGCATCGCGGAGTCTTTCTTTGGCGGCAGCTTTCCCTTGCGCAGAAGTGCTTGACCCGCCCATCGCTCGTCAAGCTTTGGGCGTTTAGCGCTAACGGGGTTCGAGTAGATGGATTTGCGATTTCCAAGAGAGACCGGCTGCGGAGCAATAGAGTCTCCAAGCTGGGAATCCAGGAAGCTAAAGCGAGATCCAGCGTCTTCGCTCGCCTTGCCCACGCCCAGACTGCTCCCCGTATTGTCCGTTACCTCGGCCCCTTCCTCGGCCAGACTATCATCTCCGTCTGCATTCATCTGGGACTCCGGAGAGCCGTTGGAAGGCCGAAATTGTACGGATTCGTCAAAGCGAGATCCATTTGTGATGCTGAAGAGGGATTGCGACGGCGCGGAAGATCTCGTTGCGGTTGTCGTTTTCTTGGTAACAGGTGGCAGAAAATCATTTGACATGATAGATGAACCGAAGATACTATCATTATCATTGAGGTTCATGTGCCCCGACCTCGTGAAGAGGGAGCCGGAGCTCATGCGAGAGCTTCCGAAGTCGGAAGGCCCGCCGCCATGCGGAGTAAAGGAGTTGGATGCGGACGGTGGCGCCCCAGCCGGGGTGCTGGACAAATCGTTGAAAAGATTGCGGGATTTACCAGGCGTAGACGGCGGGCTTGAGTCGAGCTGGAATTTCCAGGCCATTGTGTTGATGGACTAGCGCGGATCAATTTGTAGAGGACAGTGACTGGGCGGGTGGGACAGCGGAGTGGACGAAAAATAGTTGTTGGGAGGAAGAGATGATGGTCAATGAGCCCCGGTACAAGGAAAATGAACGGCAAAGGCAAGGGGATATTAGCTGAAACTGATAATAGAGTGCGCGACACGGACTGGAGCAATTGTCAGGGCGCAACCAGCAGAATGGCGCGAGAGGAAGCAATTGCCATCACCGATTTGCATGTTTCTTGCTCGTTGCTCGGAGATCGAGCGAGACGCGCCGACCAAAGGCGGTGAGAGCACATTTTATGCCTTAGGTGTCAAGGCCACTCACTGACAAGCTTACTCCGCTGGCCGGACTAATCCCAGAATGGATGGCTCGTATTCAGCCATGTCGATCTTCCATGCTAGAAGGCTGTGAATGAATATGAATCTCACTCATTTGTTGCAGTAGTATATTATGGGGCTTGGATACACAGCCCAAACTCAGAGTTAACAAGACCTTCAAATACTTCTTATAATTGGCACCGTTATGGAAACTTCCTTCTCAGAAGCATCTGACGGCCGTTGGGAAGTATAAAGATCCTATCCTTCTTTCTCCGCCCTTGGGAGAATCTGGCAATTACGAGACTATGATTTCCAAGATCGCATAATAATGGCTGGCTCCTTGTATGAACCCTCATTTCACTCCGACGCGTCTATCGACCTTGATCCAGATTCAGCGGATGCCGCGCTGCCAAGAGATGATACTATCACCCGTCGCTACAAGATCTCTAACACAGCGTGGCGACATCATTACTAGTGAGAACCGCAGATGAAGAACAGCTCTACAGGGTCCGCATGTCCGAGGTCCGACCAAGAAAGCCAGACCTCACCTTCCATGCTGGCGTGGATGACTCGGGCCCAATTGTGGCAGTTGCCAAGTTCCAGCATTTCTCACGAAGCATTCGCATCGGTTTAGGAGATCCACAAGCTCCGGGCGATATGATTTGGGAGGATCTTACCAGTCAAAGCACAGGTCACAGCAAATATCGCTGGGAAATGGAGGTCCACACGAATGGAAGTTCGCGGCGACAATCCTTCCTCTGGAAAAGAACCCATTATGTCGGCCTGGAGGGTCACACTTGGAGTAGGCTTAGCAACCGCAACTATAAATTGATTGACGAGCAAGGTGGGAATGTCCTGGCGCTATTCATGAGCAATGTGGCTTCATACAAGGAGAGTGGCACGCTTCAGCTCTATGTGGATTACGAAGGACAATTCGATCTCATGGTACTTGCGACAGTTCTTTCCCTGTATGAGAAAGCGAGACGACGTCGATAGAACAGAATTAATAGTGGAGCCTAGAGTGAAGGTAGTTGATGACATAATGTAGTACAGAACGGCCTCCTCCCTGCGGGGCTTGACAATAACTAGGTACCTTAGTTACAGACGGCTTGAAACTCGGACCCTTCAGGCGAGAGACAGACGCCATTAGACCCTTTTTTTTATTTAGTCAAGGATGCACTTTCGCATTTCTTGCCCTATGAATCATTCTTGATCTCTAGGCCAACACGATATGGCACTCCGGCGCCCGCATCGCAAGTCTCGACACGGCTGCCTAGAATGTAAGCACCGACGGGTGAAATGCGACGAGCTGCGGCCTGTTTGCTCCAATTGCGCGAAGCGCATGTCGCAGTGCAAGTATGATTCTGCGACTTCTCTGCTTTGGACCAACGATGAATTGCGCCCTCGTCCCCGACCGAACCAGTCGGGCTCTGAAGGGCCTCGGGAGGCTGAATCCACCTTCTCAACGACTGCCAATTCGCTCCGCATCCTGGGCAAATTGAACGGTGATGATAAGCCTCAGTCAGTGGCGCGTCTCAATCTAAGTGACCTGGAACTGATGATGCATTGGTGCAATTCAACCTATAAGGCACTTTCGCGCATCGGAAAAACGGACGTGATCTGGCAGGCCCGTGTTCCCGAGGAAGCTTTATCCCACCCTTTTCTCATGCATGGCTTATTAGCATTGTCAGCCATCCATCTAGCACGAACAAGAGACGAGGTCAAACGCGCAGCATACGTGAGCATCGCTGTAGCACATGAGCATCAGGCTCTGGCTTTTTTTCGCGAGCAATTGAGCGACATTAACGCATCAAATGCTAAAGCAATGTTCGCCTTCGCTAGCGTTGTCGTGGTCTACACCTTCGGATTTCTTCATCCTTCCCATGCCCCGGGAACGGACGATCCATGGGCCTGCATCAATGGCATTCTGCAGGTATTTACATTGGCGCGCGGCGTGCAACAGATCCTAGACAAGGCTACATCAACTATACGAAACAGTGATTGGGCCGCTCTCTTTCAACTAGATGACTATGATGATGTTCTTCCGGAGGACGAGCGGTTGGCCCTGGACCGACTGCATGAGGTGAATCAAGTCTGCAAAGGCCAGGATCCAGCTCATGATTTGACCACCTATGAGCATGCAATCGAGAATCTGGCGGACCTCATGGCAGCCGCGCATCAGGGTGTAACGTCCGTGAGACAGGCGTGCAGATGGGCGATGAGATTAAGGACCGAATTCTTACAACTGCTTCAGGAACACCAACCACTAGCACTTGTTGTCGTGGCTTATTACTGTGCAATTCTCCATCGCCTTCGGGATGTATGGTTCGTTGACGACTGGGGCATCCGGGTCCTGAAAGCGATCTGGCAGGTCTTGGATGATCAGTGGCGACCGTTGCTCGATCAACCCATGGTAGGCACGCTTGGAGACAAGTCTGTTTGAGCTTCGTCTTAGCGAGGATTCAGCCGCCGGCACAATTGGTGGGCCCGAGATCTGGATCTTCAGCCTTACTGTTGCCGTCAGTGCTCTTGTATCAAAGAATCACGCCTGTTAGAAATGAGGATCACTTCACGGAAACCGGCAGTCACAGTACCTATATTGCCGATAGTAGACTAAGTGGTTCCGATGCTCAGCAATGAGATTTGCTGTCTGTAGTACCACTCAGGTCCCTTCGTTATACTTCGTATCCATACCCGGAAGTGAGAAACAGCCCTCAAAATGGGTGGATTGGTCTAGCGTCGTCTCTATGTCGCTTCTCTATAATTTACTGTCTGGTTCCCCGTTCTCCAACACATACCTATACCTTGCTCTTCCGGCATCCATGTCTTGCAACGCGACATTGACCTCCTCCATGGGCCGCTTTTCGATCCAAGGCAACACGCTCTTCTGCGCTGCCAGCTCCAACATGGCCCTGATATCCTCCCGCGACCCGATATTTGAACCTGCCAGTCTGATGCCCTTCTGAATGAATGCCCAGGCCGGCAATTGGGGTAGCGGTTTCTCGGGCGCACCCACCTGTACAAAGGTGCCCCCCACCCTCAGCAGCCGCAAGTACCTCGCCAGCGGCATATCATTCCCATCGACCGTGCAAATGATCAGGTCGAGCGTTCGCTCATACTTCTTCGCCCAATTTTCCTCCTCGCCCGTCGCGATAAACCCATCCGCCCCTAGACCCTCGACGACATCCTTCTTCTTGGCTGAGGATCGCGAGATGGCGACCACCCGCTCACAGCCCATCGCCTTTGCAAACAAGACGCCCAGATGACCCAGCCCACCGATGCCCACCACTCCGACACGCTTCCCCTCGCCGGCGCCGAACTTGCGGAGCGGGGTGAAGACGGTGGACCCCGCACACAGCAACGGAGCCGCATGTGCCGAGGGCAACGCATCGGGGATCTTGAACACAAACTGGGCCGGGCCGCGCCACGTGCGCGCGAACCCACCCATGGTCTTCACGGAGGTCTTCTGCGTGAAGCCTGCGTCGTAAAAGCGGTCGTTGTAGGTGCCCGTGATGCGGGGGCAGTAGTTCTCCTGGTTGATACTGCAGGCGTCGCAGTCGACACGCAGGCAAGCCAGGATCTGGGCGCCGACACCGACGCGATCGCCGATCTGGAAGGCTGAATACGGCGCAGGGAGGGACGAGACCGAGGCGCCGAGGCGCGTAACGAAACCCACGATTTCGTGGCCGACTACGCAGGGGTAGTCGGAGGGTCCCCATCCGGAGCGAAGTGTGTGCACATCTGTCCCGCAAATCCCGCAGTGAGTGATCTGAATTTCAAGGTCGGTGGGATCGAAAGGTTTGGCCTCGAAGGTGGTGAATAGTAGAGGCTCGGTGGGCGAATGCGAGACCCAGCCGTGGAAGAGGTCGGGTTGTTGGGGCATTGTAAGCGCGATTTGATGGAAGGACAAGAGGTGCTTCTTGAAGATTCGGGTTTGAATGAGTGAATTGCAAGAATTACACACCAAAACTCTCTCTTATTAGTGTTTCGACAGGAGGAAATTTCCATCACGCAGTTGGAGGAGAAAAATGCGGAGATGAAGCCGTCTCCTGATGGGGCAAAAGAGCGGAGGGGCTGGAAATGCCGAGGTTCACTTTTCTCCTTATAGTGTATCTATCATCTTTCGGAGCTGATGTGCCTCTCAATTTCAAATCTCACACAACAAGAACCACCTCATATACCTAGCTCTAAGTCATGTGCTACTATGTTCTGTCGGATCCTCGCAATGTCCCTCATGATAGATCCACCGGTGTTATCCACGGAGAATCAAATCGATGAAGGATCTGTTCCTACGTTCAGTCGGAGAATCCCATACATTCTCACGATCCTTGCCACAGTATCAGTAGTATTATACCCGTATAAAGGATGAGTTTGCTGTCCATTATACCTGTTAGAGAGCTACGATGACACGTGTTGATAGAAGATCCATACCTGATCTCGAATGATGTCTTGCTCAGCTTCTATCTTCCCACTCGGTCCGCAGGAGCGCCCCAATACCAGGAACTACCCGCTGGTGGGCCAGTCAGTGGAGAAAGATACGGATCTGAAGATAGCGCGCTCCAATATTGGCCATGATACCTCGCAGACGATCTTTGGAGATGGCAGTTTAATGACGCCATGCATGACCTACTTTGTCTGGATCATCTTGAGCCACGCGCCAGGATTGTTTGGTATGTACGATTTTCGAGAGCTCCAAGCCGTTGGAACGGCTCCATGTGAATCTGATGACTGGTAACTAGTAAGTTCTCCCGGGCGCTAACTGACCAACCTTGAAATTCTTCTCGCAATGCCTGTTTATGTTTTCTCGATTATCCAGGTTGAGGTTGGCTAAACTGTATGAGTATTATGATTTCGAAGCAGGAATTCAAGAATAAGAATTCTTTCTGCGTTTGAATCCATTCCAACTACCTACTGACTACTCAGCTTCTTCCACGACCTGATGATTCATTCATTGAGCCCCGAAGACTGTAGCCGAAGCAGATGACCTACCATCACTGAGGACACCCCGCAGAGCACCACATTCATTTGTTCATGGAACTTCGTCATGAGGACGGCCCAGTTCACCTTCCTCGTGCTGTATTCTACTTTCAAGCTCTGAACCCACGGGAGCGACATCTCCTTGGCAAGTGAGCCGCGACGTGGACAACCAGGGGTGTGCGAAGAGCTAATTCCGTCCCATCAGACTCCCCTCTCCTTACACCATTTCTCCACCTCCCTGGCCAACTTCTCCCTCTGATCCCTTACCATCTCCATCATAGGCTCAACCTGTTTCAGATACTTCTCACTCGCATATCCAGTCTGCCCATCCGGCCCCGTCGCGCCCGGCCCTTCCTTCTGCGGCGCAAGATAAGTATCATAGACTGAGACCATCAAATCCATCACGGCGGACAACTGGTTGGGTAGCCACTGCATGACAACCCCAAAAAGTCGTGGTTAATAGCTTATTTCAGAGTGGTGTATTTGGCCCTGGAGGGAGGGAAAGATGAAAGAGACTTACGGTAACAATGGGACTACCTCCCGTGGCGGTCGGATGAGGAGTGCGGCGGATGATATACTCGCGGGCAAAGAGCCAGTGCCTCCAGCGGAAGCTCCGGACGTGGTTCAGAGTCTTGAGAAAGAGGATAGCAGTTTCGGTGTCTTGGACGGCAAAGTTGCGGGTGCCGACTTCTTCGGATTTGGAATTCATGAAGGCAAGGAATTCGCGGTGGGGCAGGGGCCGGTAGGCGCGGAACTCGTGTAGGATCTTGGTGAGCGGAGTGGAGGGCATTGGAATCTGGCAGAGATGGTCGAGGAGGGGAATCTGTTTGGTGAGGGTGGTTAGAATCATTCTCCTTTTGGGATCTTCTCTTCTACGAGCTTGAGGAAGAGACTCACCATGCTGTCGTTAGCACCACTCTCGCCGCGGAAGAATAGTGGCTGGTTGTTGAGGACTCCGTCGTAGATGACACCATTCGGGAACATGGATTGGGAGGTGATTCCGAAGATAAACACACGGAATGAGAGATAGTCGTGTGGCTTGGAGTTGGCCCACATGTCTAATTGAGGAGCATAGTCAGTAAGAGAAATGGTCTTCTGTGGTTACCAAGATGGGCGGGGTAGGCCTGGTTACCTTCCATTGAGGCTTCGATCTTTTCCATTGAAGCTAGAATCTCTCGGAATCCATCGTTGACCACCGAGCGGTGGCCTTGCTCAACGTTGTCGACGACCTTGAGTGCACCGCTTATAAGACCGTTGGATTCCTTCACCATATCCACGTGAGTCAAGATGAAGCCGGCTTCGGAGCTCTTGGGGTCAAGACCCTTCTCGAAGGCGCGCACAAGACGCAGGTTTGGGTAAGCCAGGCCCTTGGCGGGGTCAGCAAGGGTGTAGTTGAAGAGTGAGTATGCTGCTGCATAGGACATGAAAGGGGGTATATCGAGGCTGGTAGAGCGTCAGTACCTAGGGTCAAGACTCTGTACCTCGAGGATAGACTTACATTTGGGCACAGCGATACATCGGACGAGCCACAGACTTAGGCAATACGTCCCGTCCGAGTCCATAGCCCTGATCAGGCTTTCTACACCAACTCTCCCAGCATGGCTCAAGGAGATACGAGGAGGCAAGGAAGGAGTAGTCACGGAACGCGGCAGTGACCATGTAGAGATCTGGTGCCCCATCAGATGTAACCAGCTTGTCGATCTCCTCGGTCAGGTCAGGGAGCTCGGCCAAAACAGCAGGACCGAGCTCGTATGTAGCAAGAAGACCTGGGTTGCCATCTGCTCGGACGACAGGGAGGCGTTCAAGCAATGACATTAAAGGCTGGAAGACAGAAGGTAGCTGGGTTGGAGAGGTGAGAAAGGGCAGGAACCCTGTGGCCGTGGTGATAGTGAATGGGTCCAGGGACCGAGGAAGGGTACTCGGATCATCGTGGATATGAGGGAAGCGATCCAAGGTACTGTTGGGTAGAGAAACTCTAGAAGGAGACATGGTTGAGGAATCTCATGAATCAAAGGTAAGAGGTATGATGGGATGATGACGATTTGACGAGAGATATAGAAAGATCCAAGCAAGGGGCAAAGGAGAGGAACTAGAATTTGAAGCCTCGCACTCTTTCAATTTGGTGATTACCGGGCTCTTGTGCCTGGGAATTGGGCGGGAATGCAGACGATTCTTATAATCCCTTGAGGCCGGTATCAATTCCGGCCTCGCAAGCGCCATTACGAAAGAGGTAGGAACACTGCGTGGAGACCTCAGACTCAATCCTGATAACAGGGTATTACCGGCTATAGGCATCTGAGAGAAAGTAAATTGCTACCTGAAGACTTCCTATGCATACAAACTCCTTCCAGGTCAACATATCGTTGCAGATGCCGGCCCGACGACTCTATACAAACTCTTGGCAGGTCAGGGCATGCATGGATCACGGGGGCACGCTATTCCCTTTCCAGCATTGTAATTCCAATGCGCTTCACTGTCTGTCCTCGACTGTCGTGGGTGCTCGAGGCTCGATAACTGACCTTGCTCTATACATGAAATCTGTTCAGTTACATGCTCCATGATGATTGCCTCATAAGATCATTTCAAAGGCTCTGAGGTTCCAAGTTGACGAGTCGCCTACATTGTGACCATGTCTATACTTCACCCGCTGCCAAGGCTCGGTGTCAAGTGGACCGCACCGCGATTGGTCACAACCCCCGGATTGGGGCAAGATTAGTCTTTGGTAGTTGCATGAGGCCGGAATTGAGCCGGCCTCCGACAATAGCCGGCCTTCCTTTATACTATCTCTTATCTTGGGCACATGTAGCGAGGTCACCTGATGTGTTTTGTGGAATAATGTATCGAAGTTCCATCGCTTGACAGATTGCTTGCAACCCTTTGCGCTGATAATGGCTTTAAAGCGCACTACCAGCAAGTCATTGTTCCATCACGGCGATCATTCTTATTAATGCCCACAACCCGCCCACGCTGCTCCCTCGCTATACCTCCTGCTCTCCCACTTGCCCATAGGGTTCTTTTCGAATGGGTGCTCAGTGTCGGTACAGCCTATCCTGGATTTAGACCCTCGTGGTGGTATATGCTCTGGAACATAGCATTCGATCTGACTGCCGGTGCTGTTTGTCTGATAGGTAATGAGAGCGAGCTTTGTTGCCGAGCTCGCCGGATCAAGACCATATTCAATTGCACGACAATAACTACACTAGCCAATACTCAAAAAAAGAGTCAGGGATCAAGGACCAACTCAGAGATTGGTTGCTCCTCGCTAGCAGCCTTCTAATTTCTCTCTCTTACCGTACGAAATCAACTACTGCATGTCTTTCGCTCATTATAGCAGTGACGCTTCGTTTGCGCTCCCATGGCGTTACTAGACCGTTCATTATCCTGAAACTTCATCGTCGTATGCTTCTCATGATGTCTCATGATAAATTCTTGTCACTAGCTACTGAGCCTACTGCTCATATCTGCCACGGTCTCCATTTGGCGGTAGATACAGCCAAGTCGGCCTTGGTACTATCATTCAACAGCCTTGATACCACTCAGATTCATCAGACTTATAGACTAGCCGCATTATTATGTTGTTCCTCTCAGTATTGATGCTGGAATATCAACTCACTTCCAGGTTTATAGTGATAAACAGCCTCAGCTTGCTTTCTCTCCATAATAGGACGCTTTAGCTCCATTTATCGTTCCTATATCCCACATTTACCAAAAGAGCCAATGAGGACTATTAAAATACTATCTATGATCAACCTGTTATTCTCTACCGACAGCTGAGGAAGGGAGCCGGTACACCTTAGGAAAGAGACTACATTACAGCGAGATTCGCAATTGTACCTTCAAGAAGCGACTGTCTAATTCTTGCGCGTACTAGCATTTACCACTACGGAATGTGGAAGATGAGAGGGGAGAAAGCATGATACGAAACTATATCTCTCGAATCAATCCCAATACATATTGAAATACATCTCGGTCTTACAAGAACACAGTTTTAGCCAAATGGCAGAGGCCGGCAAAGATGCTCTACCGCGTCGAAAGGATCAGGAGCAAAAAGCATAGCTAAATTAGGTGTCTGACGAAATGACTAAAGTTTTGACTCCTGTACAAATAGATTGAAACAGAGAACTCCTACCTGGATATTGCTGTGAGAATAATCTTACTGTTTTAGGCTAAGATCGCTTCTTATTTGTTTAAGCTTTAGAAGCCTAGATGATCTGCCTCTGCAGCCGACAAGGACAATTGTCTTCTTAACTTAGAGTAGTTGTATTAGAGCTGTACTAAGACTATTGATTAATATGCAGGATGCTGTAATAGTATTTGGTATGAACTTTTTTAGATTATTCTCTTATCGATATAGACTCGAAACAGGCGTCTTATCTGCAGGCAAGATTCGAAGGTTACTTTCTCGAAGTATTGTGTTGCAAACAACACTGCTATATACTGTGAAGAGATACAGAAGGTTTCATAAAGAGTTTTAACTTTGCAAATCGCAATTATATGCATGTATGTATGTGATCTTGATACTGCGTCATGGCTTTGCAGCAAGCTATTCCCTTAGCCCTTCGCGCGAGCTGATCGTTATGTGGTAGTGCATGAGTCAATTCCAGGGTATGCTTTCGCAAAGATTGGGGTGTATGGTCTTCGTCTATCGTACAAGCCAGGTATATCTTACTGCCGCGTAGCTGCCGTAAAGTTCAACAGTCATGGCTGAGATATTCAATTAGAACCCATTTCGTGTATAAATAGCAGAGGCATACTAACACCTGAGTATCTTTATCACACTTCGTCGGATCAGCAGACCAAGAGATGTCTCATGACCCTTGTCCTTGACTTCTCTGTGCTCCAATGAGTTCGTCCAAGCTTGGTGAGACTTTCTGGAGTTTTCGGTATTCCTCTTCAAGAGCCCTTTGCATCTCAAAGTCAGCCTGTCGTTCCTGCCGAATGCGCTGTTTCTCCATATCGAGTTCAACTGCCTTGTGCATTGACTAGAAGCCGAGACATCCAAGAGTCAGTACCCAAAGAAAAATAAATAAGAGATCAAAGCATCAACGGACCGCCTTTTCTTGCTCTTGCGCCCAATGCACAAAGTAAACAATTCCCGCTGTGCCCAGACTGGTAGCCGCCAGTGTCAGCTTAGAGGCCCGAGACATCCTGAGGGGTTAGTCGAATGATTTGCAAGTTACTTGACCAAAATGGCGAAGTCGTGATCCCAGCCTCGTGTCAGCGATAATCAACGATGGCGGTGATATCTGGCAGAATCGCCGACCGCCCACGGGGGGTCATTCGTGGCGGAGGGGGGATTGGACGGCGCATCACAAGCTCCATAACTCCACGTTATCAATATATCGCCTTCGGCTCGAGTCGGCACTTTTTCGAACATATTCCGAGGTTTCAGAGCGTCTACTTGCAAGATGGTGAGTACTAGGAATATATAACCTTCTTTTTTTTTTTTTTTTTTTGGAAAGGAAGAAGCGCTAACATTATCCCCGATAGTCCGCCCAGAACTCCGCAGGCATTCAGACCCTCCTCGATGTAGGTCAATGTGACTTTGCCTTATGTCCGGGCTTTCAAACTGACAGCACCCTTTAGGCCGAGAGAGAGGCCCAGAAAATTGTTCAGCAAGGTAAGTCACACTAATAGAACTGTCACATCATCCCATCACTATAAGCTGACGTGTTGCATCTTACAGCTCGAGAATGTACTATTCCGATCCCTTAGTGATTCCACAATTCATACATTGACACTTCCTATCAAGACCGTACCAAGCGGATAAGGGACGCAAAGGCCGAAGCTCAGAAGGAAATTGAAGAGTACCGCAAGCAGAAGGAGGACGAATTCAAGAAGTTCGAAGCTGAGGTATTCACAACTCTCATTGAGCCCCATGATAAGGAGTAACTTGCAATTGTTGGACAATGGAAAGAGCTAATGTCCCCCTGTCTTTCATAGCACTCGAGCGGGTACAAGAAAGCCGAGGAGGATGCGAATAAGGAGGCAGAGGTGAAGCTGCAGGAGATCAAGGTTGCTGGCAACGAGAAGGGCAGCAAAGTTGTGGATGATCTCATTCATGCACTGATTGAAGTGAAGCCTGAGGCCTCGGAGAAAATCGTGGTCAAGGCTTAGATGTGCTGTTTCCTGTGGAATTGCTGGGGTTCTTCAATGCTTGGGTTCTTTGTTTCCAGCCTGTGAATATTATTTAGCTGTTTGATCATACAATTGCCCATCTATACGGATTATCTCTCTCGAATCATCTGACAGCTTGTGGGGTCGCGTCAATGTCGCTCCGAGGCGTGGGCATGCCTGCCTGGTGCATGCATGATACATCTCCCACCTTGAAGACCCTGTCTAAATCATGTCAGACTTTTGCAGAATAATCGGTAGTATCAGACGAATACCTGTTCTAATTTTTCTTAGGCCTTGTTATCAAAGAGCATTTAAGTGGCTCCACCTTCTAGCTCCAAGGGTTGTTCGCGAATGTCGATTGCTCGGTATTGATAAGTATGGTCGGCTATATCCATGCCTGAGGCAGGATTGTCCAAATAGGCATCTGTTGCGTCATTATCAGGCACGAGGCCCGCCCGCACTGTATATTGTTCTTCCCTACAAAACTTTGTAAAGAGACCACAGAGAAGGTGATTCAAGATGAGACGTGCTGTCGCTCACTTGCGCACAGCAGGAATCCCGTCTCTCGGCTACCAGAGAAGTATCTTTCAATCGTACTACTTGAATCGCCATCCCAGCTCACGCAGTTTTCACTCCACGCGTACAGGTGCCGATGCTCTTGACCCACGCTTGGAAGACCTGGGCAAAGTCATCAGGGATGAATATGCGGCTATAAGGGATCAATATGGTGAGCCGTATGCATCTGCTTTTGTGGCTACGGCATGCTGTCGTAGATCTGGGAGTGTGCTTGAATTGACCTGATGTCATTAGATGCACCTAAGCACCCTGTCGTGCTTGCTCATGGACTCCTCGGGTTTGATACGCTTCGCCTTGCTGGTCATTATCTCCCAGGTGTTCAATACTGGCGTGGGATCGAGGATGCACTGTCTCTGAAGGGAGTTCAGGTCATAACTGCAACAGTGCCTCCAGCGGCGTCCATTGAGATGCGAGCTGAGGAATTAGCGAAAGACATCGAAGCTGGAGCACGTGGTAAGGAAGTGAACATCATCGCGTTAGTCTCCTCGTTTTTGTGACTGGCTTTGACTTGTGATTGATTTATGTCTAACATTGAACAGTCATAGTATGGTAAGCTTAATCGCTTGACTACCGTTAAATGAAAGTTTTGTTCACGCTGCTGTGTAGGGGTAGGCATTTCAAATGCATTTCGAGATCTAGCTAAGGCAAGGTCATGCTGATTTGCCTCAAAGAGGTCTCGATTCGCGACACATGATCACGCGTCTTAGACCAACGAACTTCAAAGTCAGGTCCTTGACTACTATTGCCACGCCCCATAGAGGTATTGTACGAAGCAGCGAATTACCCCATGTCTCTAACTAGCTTGTCAGGCTCTGCAGTTGCAGACTATGTGCTCAAGCAGATTGGTGGTCTGTCACTCGGTCCAACCTGCGGAAAGATGAAGCGGGAACTCATGAACTACAGATGACCGTTTGGCTCAGTTGTACTACGCCCTAGAAAGACTAGGGATAGATTCAGGTGCATTCGCTCAACTGACCCGTGATCACATGCAAAACACTTTCAATCCTGCAACTCCAGATGTCGAGGATGTTCGGTAGGTGACTTCTCGGCGGGTTCAACAGCAAGGCTGAGTCCAGGCAGGTACTTCTCCTATGGCGCATCGATGCAACCAAGCTTCTGGTCCGTTTTCCGCCTGTCCCATCGCCTCTTGCAACAAGTGGAGGGATATAATGATGGCCTTGTTAGCGTTGCAAGCAGCAAATGGGGAGGAGAAAGGGGCTACAAAGGCACCCTCGAAGGAGTAAGCCACTTGGACCTGATCAACTGGACCAACCGATTGAAATGGCTGGCTGGTGAGATTACGGGCAATAGGTTAAGGTATATAGGAGAAGTACTATTCTTTTCGTTTGCATGTTCTGGAGGTTAACAACGGCTGATGCTGAAATAGATTCAACGCGATTGCATTTTATCTCGACATTGCCGGTATGAAACAGCGGCCCTACGTAGTGGCATAGCGCCCAGATCGATCGAAAATGGCTAATGAGTTGGACTCTAGATATGCTCGCAAAGGAAGGTCTTTGATGGCGCCACTGTTGCAGTAGCCTGCGTCTAGAATACCGTTGCCTACTCCGGAGTAGGGTGCTTTGGGCGGGGTGGATTCTAGTTTAGCAGCATTATGATCCTGGTAATAGACACCCATTTTTGAAACTATCTCTCCGACTCATTCATAACAAGATTGTCGACTCGTGTTCGATTGGTGAAGAGAAGACCAGCAAAGGTGGCGGTGCAGGAGACTCTGACACAGTGACACTGGGCGGGGTGGCTGAGTCCACCATCGGATTCCCACTTCATTCCCGATCGGCAGCCCTGCGGGAATCACTAACAGTCTCAATTTATGTGTGGGCGGCCCCACGAAAGCAGTTCTGCTCTGCTCAGCCTTCCCCTGGATTGACTTTGACCATCTCAACGTCATTGTAGCTCTGCCGAACTCCCCGTACGTCTTTTTCTTTCACCTTATTCTTCTTCTCCTTCCCCCCCCGCCTTCCCTCCAATCTAATTTTCCCCATCTACAAGTCTTCTTCGATCTTCGAGGCGTAGTCTTCATCATTGTATGCATTGTATGCACTTTGTTCCATTGAGATCGCCTCTCATCTATACTTTCCCACAAAACCAACTATCAGGTTCGGATGAAGGGTGATTGTGCGTTGCTTTGCTGTCAGGCATTCTCATCCATTTACGGCTTACGCACGGTTCGCCATGTCCGTAACAATCCACCTGGATCGGCCTCATAAGCACTTCACTAACCTCGACTTTCTGGTCGGGAAAGTGGTGCTCAATTTATCCTCCGAAGCGGCTATAGGAGGGATCCAAGTGAAACTCGAGGGTGAGAGTCGTACGCGTCTTGCCGGCCCGCGGAACCCGCATCATGAGCAGTCAGACAAGAAGCGGACGGAGATCGAGGTTCATAAGGTGCGCGCGCCACTCCACAGTCTGACAACCCCACCTTGTAGATCACATCCCTGGCGATGCTTCAGCAGATTGGTAGAACCCCTGTCTAAATTGATATTAACTTTTCCGCAGATCTTGTACAAGGTCGCTACCGTCTTCCCGACCCCCGAAGTTTTCAACTCGAAAACCCCCGAGCGGGTCTATACGTTCGCTAGAGGCAGCTATGAATATCCGTTCAAGTTCAAGGTAACTTTCGACACCATATCCTTGGTCCTGCTCAGTAGAAATTAATGCCTTAATTCAGTTTCCGTTCAATAATGCTTGCAATTTCCAGAACAGCATGCTCACCAATCTTAATATTACCGGCCTTAAAGTCGAGGTGGCAAAGGATACCCATCGCCATGTGAAGAAGACGCTTCCGCCATCTCTCAGTGGATTCCCCGGGATGGCCGACATCAAGTACTATGTCAAAGCTACGGTCATTCGTCCGCAGTTCTATAAGGAAAATATCAGGGCGGTATGTTCTCCAAACCCTTTCATGTAACGTCCCCTTGACTCGATCCTATGTGGGACTAATGGCTGTTACAAGATCACAAACCTGAATTTCCTGCCAATTGAACCTCCCAGAACAGGACATCCGAGCGAAGAAACCTATGCCAGACGCCAACATCAGTTTTCGAATGCCCCTCCTGCTCCCAAGAAGAAAGGCCTCTTTCAGAAAATGTCGAGTAATTCGCTTCGAGAGACCACCGCTGATGGTCCTCGTGTGTCCGCAGATCTAAGATTACCTAATCCCTCCATCCTTACCTGTAATGAACCTATACCGATGCGGATTATCGTCAAGAAATTGTCCGAGTCGTATGAAACTATCTTTCTCCAGATGCTTCAGGTTGAACTGATCTCATATACACATATTCTCGCCCATGATCTCAAGCGGACAGAGAGTGGTACCTGGATCATTTTAAGCTGCAGCAACATGGCCATGCCTCTAGGCAGGGGAGGAGATCCTACTGAGACCGAATGGACTTTGGATGCTAACATGTGGAATCGCATACCGCTCCCTAGCACTGTAGCCCCATCTTTTGAAACATGCAATATCTCCAGGACCTACGAACTTGAAGTCCGCGTGGGGCTGACACGTGGATCAGTGGCTAACATGAAAGTAAGATGATATTGACCCCATCTCCATCTGTTCTAGGGACAACTACTCACTGCTAGTAGCCTCAGCTTATCGTGCTTCCTTTGCGCATGCCGGTCAAGGTCTTCTCCGGAATCGCACCTCCGCAGGCACTTTTGGAAGCCATGGCTGCGAATGTGCAAGTCAAGCCGACGACATCCACCTCGAGTCAGCTTTTGAACGATGGCTTGCCTCCGCCAATGCCTCCTCGTCCGGACCTGCCACCTGCGCCTTGTAATCCAAAAGACGGCTTTGACGATGCACCCCCAAGCTACGAAGACGCAATGGCTGACACTCTCAGCCCGGTTGATGGCCCTCGTCGAGAGTATAACCCACCAAGCGCCTCCTCCGAAAGATCATTTGAATCCGGGGCTGATGCAAGATCTCCAGTTGGAAAGAAGCCTGAGGCAGCTATCCCATACGGCAATGAGGATGCCTATTCTTCTACGGAAACCCTCGATATGTTACCTTCAACCCCACCGGAGTCCCGGTCTGGCTCACCTGTCTCTCTTGTTTCGCGCCAACAAAGCGTACTCAAAATACACAAGGCCGTTGCCCTAGAAGAAGGCCCTCCGCAATACCAAGCCATAGCGGATAATCAACCCCAGCCATCGGGGAGCCAAAGCGGTCGCGGACCAAATCGGCCAGAGCCGCGCCCCATGAACTTGGGAGTTCCGAATCGGAAGCCGGTTCCTCGTAGTTCAAGCCGGGATGTCTAGCGTATAGCTTCTTCCTGCTAGCTTCAGCTTTCTGCACTTCAGCCAAGAGCATCATGTCACTACATATGCTGTGCGGCCGATCATTGCTTCTTTCTCTTTCGGGCCTGCAGTATACAGTCAGCTGGCTATATACCCTTAATGTGCATCCATCTATCGCATTCTATTTACCGTTTCCTTGGTGGCGGATCTTGAAAAGTGACCGGAATCATATACGTTATATGATGGAAATACCTCGTTCTTCTTCCGTATCTGCTACCATAGCCGATCGAAAGACGGCAAACATTCAGGGTCCGCCCTGAGATTAAGTGTAATGCAGGGATTGAGTGATAGGGAGTCTATGATTTGAGGGCTGCAGGTGTAGTGCCGGCCGTACTAATATCAGTGGACCAAAGAGGCTTAGCGGGGAATCGGATGTTTTGGCACCGCATCGGTCACCGTTCGGTCGTTCCTTCCCCGTGCTTTTCCTCGGTTTCGCGCTGCACTCAATCTTTCTCTCTCTCCCTCCCTTTCTCCCATCACACTTAGCATCACAATTTGACGCCTTTGTCCTACTAATACTATGCTCCTTTCTTCTGCTTACATATGTGTGTCTTAATGAGTTGTACATTTATGTTGTTTTCCCAAGGCATTAACAGCCTTTGAGCTCCCGAGCTTAAAAAGTGCACAAGACGGCTGAGCAACGCCCGGAGGCAGCTATCTCGACTCTGAATGCCTTCTTCCGCACTCCTAAGAAGTTTTTTTTTCTTTTTTTTTTTTGTTTTGATGAGCCTTTCTTGATCACATTGCTCAGGAAGTAGCAGCGGAATCCTCCGACATTCCATTATGCGTCTCCACTTGACAATCCAGCGCCACGGCTTGCCCGTGACGCGCATTCTTTGGACAACGTCGCCCACCTCTGCGTTCGATCACAATGCGCCGCATGGCTCGCCAATGCTTCCCGCTGCTGCATCTGCGATTACTTCGACGCGTTTACCCAATGCGCTCTATTCCAATGGGGGATACACGTTCGCACAGCTGCTGGAAGATATCAACGAGATCATTCCGTTGGAGACGGAGTCGGTTCCATTTGACGATGAGTGCAGTGGACAGTGGGGTCTAGAAGATTATGTGGTGGAAGTGGGTGGCTCGGAGTGCCTGCATTTTATGGAGGTGGACGGCCTCCTGCGCGACGGCGATGAGGTCTTGTATGTGCCATTCCATGCATGTTTGATACACTCATAACCTGAACACCGCGGTCACTAACCAGAAGCACTTCTTTTGATCAGGATCCGTGCACTACAAATTGAAGATCTTCGCGCCAGGCGGCTTTCCGGTCGCCATCAGATTTCCGGAGATGGCAAACATCTCATTGATGGCGTTCCCTTTGGAAAGCCTTTTCTGAAAAGACCTACATCATCTAGACCTGCAATCACGATTCCGCCTAGAAAGAAACGGCGCACTACGATCGCTGGATGGGACTACGGGATACGTTATGATGACGATGCGGACTGGGAACCTCCCAAACGGCTTCGGTCTAACGCAGAAGTCAATGCACCCGAGGCCAGTGGTGATCCCGAAGAGAAAAAGTCAAAAGGCCAGGGAATTACGTTCCAGGATGACTTTCAGGATTATCATGAACCTGACGAGGACGGCGACGGAACAGTAATCCGGCATCCTGTGGATGCGGAGTCAGGGAGTGACTCTGACTTGACCGATATCCGGGAGGGCGAACTAGAGGAGGAGCTGAAGGCCCTTGCAGAGGACTTGGAAATACCCCCCATGCCCAACACGGAAGATAAGGCCAAGCAGCGAAAAGACTCTGTGGGCCAATCTCTCCGCGTCAAGTCCGGGATCCCCTCGGTAACATCAAAAAAAGGTGCACCAAAGGATGTTCAACGTGCCTCAACCCCAGCTGACTCAGAGACTGGTGCAAAGAGGGTTGAGTTGAATGAAGAGTCGGTGTTGCAGGCCCCGAAGCCTCAAAACACACCTCCAAGCAAGGCGAAATCCCCCTTCATGAGTTCGGCTGGTTCGGTTTCTGAGATCAGCAACAAAAGCACATCTGCGTCCGAATCTAGTGATATCAATGACTCCACCTCGGATGAAGACTCGTCTTCCGACTCTGATCGTTCGGTTTCGGACTCAGATGGCTCAGATGACTCGAGTGAGTCAGATGACTCGGATGATGAGTCCTTGTCAGAGTCTGATGATTCCAGCGCATCAGAATCAGAGGCTGATGAAGCTTCTGATTCAGATACCAGCGTTGATGCGCCTGTCAAGAATGCCCCACCCGGGGCAGGATCGTTGAGGACGAAAAAAAGTAATCAACGGAATAAGATGCGCCGACGATTGGCAAAGCTCAAGGAGCTTGGCGCTCTACCTGCACAAGCTGATTTCGCAGCTCTGCGGGAGTGGGAAAATGTGCATGGGCGCGAGTACTACATTCCTGGATTCAACGCTGAGCCCAAAGCTGGAGTTCAACCTAGAAATGAAGCTGAGATCGACGCTAAGGTGCTAAATGATAAGAAAGAGCGAGAGCGCGCAGAATTTGAAGCAAGGCGGCAGAAGCTGCTCCGCGACTTGGCAGCTGGCGGCGTCGATGTGTCAGTCACTTTAGAGAAGGAGAATGTGTCACCCTATGGTGAGAACACACAAAGGAGACGCTCCGAGAGGAATGTTCTCGAGAATGGTTTCAAAGGCACCGACTCATCTAAACGGCTCATCCAAGATGTTTCTAGTACTCGGCGAATGCTTTCCGGCACTCTCGGGGTGAGAAATCCTCTCAACAAGGAAGATGAAGACGCGACTCGAAAGAGACTTGCTGGAAAGGTCAACCATATTCCTCCTCGCAAGTCTGTAAGCCAAGACGCGGAGGATGGTCACGAAAGTGACGTTGAACAGAATTGGGAAGAGAAGTTGACCATCAGAGCCACCGAGTGTATCTATGATGACATAAAGCTGACCGCTCCGCCTTTCCCGTTCGAGCAGCGCTGGGATCAAGATGCTGGCGTTATCATCAGGCAGCGGAAAGGCCGAGGCAAGAAAAGGAAGCGGCGCCAGCAACTTCAAGTCTATGATGCTGGGGAGGAGGACTATGGTAACTGGGAGGATAGTTACTTTGATGGAGACGATCAACTCAACTACGACGATACCGAGCAGCCCAATGAAGAGTACAAAGTACGAAATGAAGCTGAGGAGACAGCTGAGGATCTGCCTCTGTTGCCCGCGAATTCCTACACACTCCCAGTCCTCTGCGAAAATCATCTACAGCGGGCCTCTATCATCGCTTTCAAGCAACTCGATCTGTCTAAAGCCACGAACTGGCAACCCACTGTGTCTGATTATCGGGTCGCTGAGATACACGACGTCTACGAGGACAACATCCTCAAGATCAGGCTCGCAAAACGTGACAGAAGACAAGTCGCCGATGTCGGCCCGGATAGAGCTGGGGATGGTAAGCCATATTACAGCGGATTCGAAATGCCTGGTCTCGAAGATGATGAGGCCGAGGACGATGGCTTCCGAGAGCTTTCTTTTGCAGACTTGATTGAATCCAAGCTTCTCCGAGCTGCGCCCACTGCAGGTCCTGGAGATGCTGAGAAACCCAGCATGTCAGTACATCTGTCTCATTTTACTCCTCTGGCGTAACCGAACGCTCACTCGACCAAGCTCCCTCGCAGCAGAGGAGTCCAGCGTGTTGAAGATCACCAGCACGGCTCAATTTGAAGTCGCGGCCGCGCGACTTGGCGATGAAGATAGTCAGCGACGAGCCCCCAATGCGGGAAGTAAGTCGGCTGACTCGGGACATTATAAACCTTCCCTCCAGCAGACCATAAGCTCTGTGGAAAGTCTTGCAGGCGATTCCAGCCCCGTTCAGTCCCCCACCTTTCTCGGTTTCCAATCCTCTAATCTCGCTCCCTCGCCTCATCGCCCAGAAAAGGCCATGGACTCGGCATCCAACCTCATCGCCGATGCCGAACCAACCCCCCATGGCGGTGCTGACCGTCAGCCCGATCTGCCTCTGCCTCCGATCAAGGACCACCCCGGCACTCTGCAGTCCCCGCAGGCGGCTGAAGATGTTAACCCCGTTCTCACAGCAGATGGTTCTAATGGCGATCTTCAGATGACTAGTAGCCCGCTCAGTATGTTATCCTTCGATCAGCTGATGGAACGGTACTTTCCGGTCAAGCGGGAGGAAGATGTTTCTTCTCCCTCTAATCAGCAAGTCCAGGGCGAAAATCATCGGCCGTCGTCGCCGTCGTCGACAAGCTCAATGGTACCGAATCCGTTCTTTGAGTCGGACAGAGCTCGAGGGGAAGGTCAAGCTGAATTCTCGTCACAGCTATCGGAGGGCGCCGGGGTCGCTGCCGGTTATACTTCAATGGATCTCCAATCTCTGGGTGGATCTCCTTCTACGCCACCGTCAGGCCAACGATCCAGACGGCAGAAATCGAAGTCCCAGAACGCCGAGGAATCTTCCCTGATCAGTGTCGTTCCTGAAAGCATGATTCCACCGATAATGGCACAGCCTAGGCCCCCTGTAACACCAGGGACTGGACCCATTGTGGTAGATTTGACACAGTCCAGCCCCCCGGTATCGCCGGGCGGCAGTGACAATGATTTTGGTCAATCGCAGCGACTGCCCCGGGGACCTGGGTGGGTGCAAAAGCACGTACCCCCCATCCAACGCCGTACCCGGCAGTCACTAGCCCGGCAGCGTGGGCAGTCGCAGCAGGAACTCAAACTGGAGTCAAACTCACAACCACCACCACGTCGGAGACGATGAGAGCAAGAAAGGCAAGATTTGATGTGAAGGCGGAATGTGGGGATCAGGTTTATTACACGCAATGTATGGATGACAGTGGCACGAAAGAGTTGCATGGAAGGGCGTTCTCCTTGAATCGATCTATCATGTATTTGTATGTTACATTCTGCAAACCTAACATTGTACATATTGGAGTACAGACACACTGTGTATAGTGTACAGTTAAGTTACTACAGATAGTCAGATCCAGCAGAGCACCATAACAATGAGGTCATGTGGGGAACTTCAATGGAAGCTCCGATGTCTGACAACAACTGACTGTTGATTGGTGGAAGAGGCTACAACGTCTGGCGACGTCATCGAGCTCGGATTCCCAGATGGGAAAGCTCGATGGCACTCAGCTGCACTCCAGGGCTCAGGCTGCAGCGCTGAGAGCGCCTTCCATGCCAGGTTGTGGGAGAAACATGAAGTGACATCCGTCGGATCACATTGTTTCGCTGCTTGTCATTTCATCATTTTTCCTTCCGCCATTATCCGGTCTGCTGCCACTGACTGGTCTTTTCATAAATCGCATCTAATAAATACCTTACCTTATATCACCCTATCACAAGAATAACAATGCTTCAACTGGTCCACTGCACGCACACCCCCCAACTATAGCGCAATCTACTTCCCCTCCAATCACCGTGGCACCCAATGCGTCTTCCCCTCCTTCTGGCTCGTCCTCTCACCACTACCACTACTAACCCTCTCCTCCATCCGGGCTTCGTCCAACTCCCGTCTGCTGCTGCTACTCGTCGCACTCTCGCGACCTTCTCATCTACCTTCCGGTCTGCCCTCAATCGTTGTGGTTGCCGCAATATCTCTTCCTGTCGCTGCCACTGTTGTGCTCATCGTTGTCCATCGACTTCCTACCCGTGCTCCTCCTCATCCTCCTCCTCCTCCTCCTTCTCCTCCTCTTCTCGCGCCTTTTCGACGACTATCCCCGCCAACATGGTCCAACAATATAAGCTCAAGAATGTCTCGTCTTTCGCAGATGTTAAGGAGCTAGACAAGGTTGAATGTGATGTCGAAGGCATCGAGGAAGGCAAGGTCCTCCTGGTTCGTCATGAGGGCAAGGTCCATGCTATGACCCCCAAATGCACCCATTACGGTGCCCCCTTGAAGCTCGGGGTGTTGGCCCCGGAGGGCCGCATCACTTGCCCCTGGCATGGAGGTAAGCTCTTCAGGTCCTTCGTTCGCTGTTCCATCATTAATCCACCCTGATAGCCTGCTTCAACGTCGTCACCGGTGATGTCGAAGATGCTCCGGCGCCGAATGCCCTGAAGAAATTCGATGTTTTCGAACAGAATGGTGCCGTTTACATCAACGCAGAGGAGTCGGACATCAAGGCTGCTCAGCGAGATCCTGTAATGAAATGCAAGGCGTCCGACTCGGATAGACTAGTCATTGTTGGCGGGTATGTGATCTCCAGTGTGAGTCCGAAGTCAGGTACTAACAGAAGCTCCGTGCATTAGTGGAAGTGGAACTTTCGGCGTGATCCAGGCGATCCGTGAATTGAACTACGCCGGTGCTGTGACCGTCATCACACGGGAGCCGAATCTCATCATCGATCGGACTAAGCTGTCCAAGGCGTTGATCGCCGACCCAGCGAAAATTCAATGGCGACCTGAGGACTGGTACAAGGAAGCCTCCATCGAGGTTGCCCACGATGATGTGGTCGGGGTGGACTTTGATAAGAAGACCGTATCCACTAAATCTGGCAAGTCGTACCCCTACACCAAATTAGTGCTAGCCACGGGAGGTGTGCCGCGCACTCTTCCCTTGGACGGGTTCAAGGATCTTGGTAATATCTTCGTGCTTCGTACCATTCCCGATGTGCAGGCCATTCACCGCGCGTTGGGTGAGCAAAAGAACAAGAAGGTTGTCGTCATCGGCAGCTCGTTTATCGGCATGGAGGTGGGCAACTGCCTTGCAAAGGATAATGAAGTCACCATCGTCGGCATGGAAAAAGCCCCTATGGAACGAGTCATGGGTGAACAGGTCGGCCGCATATTCCAGAAGAATCTGGAGAAAGCGGGCGTCAAGTTCAAGCTGAACGTGGGTGTCTCCAAGGCCACGCCCTCGAGCTCTGATTCTAGCAAGGTTGGGGCAGTTCATCTCGACGATGAAACGGAGCTGCAAGCGGATCTGGTGATCCTTGGGGTCGGTGTGCGTCCCGCGACCGACTTCCTCAATGATAACCCAGCCATTACTCTTGAGAAGGATGGGTCTATCAAGACGGATGAACACTTCGCGGTGAATGGTTTAAACAACGACGTCTTCGCCATTGGCGACATTGCCACCTACCCGTACCACGGCCCCGGCGCTGATCAGGACAAGGGGAGCTACACCCGTATCGAGCACTGGAACGTGGCTCAGAATGCCGGTCGGGGCGTGGCCCGTGCCATTGTTCACAGCCTGAAAGCTGGATCCTTGCAGTCCCTGAAGCCCAAGGCATTCATCCCGATCTTCTGGAGTGCCCTAGGGTCTCAGTTGCGCTACTGTGGTAGCACAGTGAACGGCTGGGACGATCTGATCTTGCAAGGAGAGCCCGAAAATGCTAAGTTCGCGGCCTACTACACGAAGGGAGAGACTGTAGTGGCCGTGGCAACGATGGGGATGGATCCGATCATGGTCAAGTGTGCGGAGTTGATGCGGCGGAAGAATATGCCGACCAAGTCGCAGATCCAGGGTGGGGCAGACATCATGGCTGTCGATGTTCCTACTTCAGTGAGGATCTGATATAGTATCTAATAGGTCATCTGATAATATTTGTCTGTATGAAGTCTGGGTGATTACAGTCAGTGACTGTGTGATCTTCGACTTGGCCGAAATTTATATTCTCGAAATAGTACTAGTTTATATATTGTCGCATGGACCACATGCAAGCATCATGTTTCTGACGAAGGAAGCCCAGTTTCCCTTGAAACAAATCTGCTGGATTTCAGATTTGGAAAACGTTCGATAAGCAGTGATGGTCGGCTCAATGACAGATGAAATTCCACTTACTGCCTTTTGAATTCGTCATCAGCGATAAACAATCCGGAGCAATTGATGTGAGAGCGAGTCCAGGCTGATCGAACAAGTAAATTTTGATTCTCCCATCTAACGCCAGGCAAGAGATACATCAAAGATCATCAAAACAGCTTGATAAAATATGTAACATGCAGGAGAAACGAACACAGAGGACAACAGGCTCAACGAGATTCCGTCCTTGCCCGAAGAGAAGCACGGAACGCAGTGCTTGCGGTTGAGCTTAGAATTCAGCTCCTCTTTCGCTTTCCACACAAACGTACACACATCGTGAACAATTAAGCAATTTAATGAAAGTATTTCATCGGTAGTCCACTAATCCTTAGACTTCTTCTCCTTCTTCTCTTTTTTAACGGATGAAGAGGAGGACTTGCTCTTCTTCTCCTTCTTGATTTTGGTGCTACTAGTGGACTTGGAGGGAGTGTCGACCGCAGCGATTTCCTCCTTCTCCTGGTCGTCGACGTCCCGGAGTTCATCAACTCGATCCGTTTTGGCAGCACCAAGCGGTACGGTGAATGAGACCGAGGGGGTGTCGACGCTCCCGTGTCGTCTGCTGGAGCCCGGTCCAGCGGACGACAGGATTCCGTTCCGCTCGTCCTCCAGAACCTGGACTTCCTCCTCCGGGGTGAGCATTGTGCCCTCAATGCTGATGAACCCGCGGTCCCGTTCGGAGCCGGGAATGACGTCGATGTCGACAACGCGAAACTTGATCGTGCCGCGCACGCGGTGGCCTGAGACGGATTGGAAGTAGCCCTCTACCTCGTCGTCGTCTTCGTGGTTGGCATTGGCGGCGGTAGTAGGGTCATTGATGGCAGACAGGTCGGTGCTGGGGTTTGAGTTAGAGGGGTTGAGGGGGTTGGCGTCGGACGCAAGGGTCACGGGAGTAAAGTGCTCGAGTTCGGGATCGAATTTAGGCTTGGATTCGGAATCCGACTCGTCATCGTCGTCATCATCTGAGGATGGGAATCGCTTGGTATCGTCACTGGATGTGTTATTGGTGGTAGAAATGGTGGTGGTCGTGGTAGCAGTGCTTGACTCGACTTCCTGCTCGTCACCTGGCGGAATCCATTTCCAGTTGGAGGGGAGGCGTTTCCGTTCGATACCGACGGAGAAGAGGTTCAGGGCGATGGCGCCGAGGAAACCCTCCGATTGTACATTGACCCAGCCCTCCAGGAGTTGACCGCGCTGCGGACGGAAAACAAGGAAGGTGGCAGTGAGGTAGACATAGAGAACTCCGTACTCGCCGGCGGTGCGGGCCAGAGTGAGGGGTTGCGGGTGGTCTTCGGTGGCTGCGGCCGCGGCCGCGGACTCCGGGCTATTGGGGGGCGTGCTGGAAATCGTGACATTGGAATAAGCCAGGACAATACCCTGAAGTGGTGGGTAGTAGGTAAGAAGCAGCGGGGAGAGGTGCTCGGCCATGAGAGAGGCCTGCGCATGGGTTGGAGAAATGGAGATGGGTGATAGTGGGAGGTAGAGGGTTGCGGTGGTGAGAGTATAGGGGGAGCTTTCGGCAGGCGCATTTGTGGACTTCTTCTGGCTCTTCAATGATGACTTCTTGCTTGTGCTGCTGCTGCTGCTTTTCTTATCACGAATGGGCATCGGAGTCGCTTGTTCATCGGTGATTGTGTGCTTGCGCTTCTTTTTCGACGGGGATGAAGTGTCCTTGTGCTTGCGTTTGCGCTCCTTCTCCGGCGAACGGTTTAATGCCGGAGAAGCAATTTGTGAATCAATCTCCATCGCGTCAATAGCCATTGTGACTGTGAAGAGCGCAATGGAAGCGCTGCGTCGCAATCAGGGGTACAGAGTAGACTGATTTTCTGCGATGTCGAGGAACTTTTTTTTTACCTTTTTTTTTTTCCCTGACTGTTTTTCCTGTTCGGGGAGGATAGAGTCGGGCGGTGGGAGAGGCGGTGAGCGATAGACGCTGGAGACAAACGGGAATTACTTCGTATTTCCCCGGAAAGTAAACACTTTCCAGTTTCACTGCGGTTGTCATTTGCTTGTTTCTGGAGCGGTCATATGGAGAGGAACTAAAGTTCTGTCCGATAGAGCCTCTTGGACATCTCGCTCATGGCGTCACTTTTATCTTACATGGGATGGGCTATCCTTCCAAACGTGAGTCTTACATTCCCGCCAGGTGTCCGTCTCTCGGAGACTGCTATGCGACACCGAAATGTGTCGCTGACAGGTCACCCTCGACAGTATGCCACCTCAATCGCACAAAGTGTTTACTATGGCCTTACCATTCGCGCTGGCGAACCTCGACCTCAGCCAGGCACTCCTCGTTACGCCCGGCACCGGCGCCGGATCTTTGTCTTGGTCGTGACCAGCTACCTTCTCTATACACTTTATGAAACCTTCCACCGGGTGCAAATCGCAGGCGATTTCTACAAAGCTCTCGGTGTCTCGCCCCTGGCTGATGAGCGAACGATTAAATTGCGCTTCCGCCGCCTAGCCGCCCAGCACCATCCGGATAAGATCGCGTCGGGTGACGGGCTGCGCTCCGATAATTATTTCGTTTATCTAAAGTTGGCGCAAGATACGTTATTAGACCCAGTCCGTCGCTTTGCATACGACCGGTTCGGACCGAGTATGCTCGAATGGGGGGAGAAGAAGACGATGCAGGAGTACATGTTTGCCGGACTGCAACGTTCTGTCCCGCAGTATGTCGGGGGTCTGGTGACCATTATGATTCTGCATTTCACCTGGTGGTCGGAGTGGGGGCGCTATGTGGGTGTCTTTTGAATATAGTATCCTATGTGTTCAACCTTATACTAATGTGGCCTTTAGTGGCGCTTTTTTACCTTTGCAGCTCTGGTGAGTCTCGAGTTGGCACTCATGACACACCCTGGGGCCTTGTTCTTTCCCGCATCCTATTTGCCCGATGCCGTTCAAGGTCTACTTGGAATCTCCGCGATGACATCCGGGTTCTATCTGCTACCATTCCAAATCCTCACACTGGCCCAGCGGGCTTCGGTGACGCTGCATATCTTCATCTCGCAGGTCACTCCACCAGAAATTGGTCGACGAGCCTCGTCTGGCGCGGATGGGCAGCTGCACCCGCAGACAATGCAACGGCTAGGACAGCTACTGCAGCTCTCGCGGGCAACTGATGGCGAAGCGACCCAGCTATTGCAGCTGGGATTTGCGCCGTTCAAGGGTGACCGTGAAGGCGTGGCCACACTGCGTAAGGGGATGAAGGAAGGCTTGGTGCTGAGTGGTGTGCGGGCTAGTCCGGGGGTGCAGCAGGCTGTGGCGGAGGTGACCCAGCGGAAGAAGCAGGGGAAAACAGATTGAGGTCGTTTATTTTGGAATGAAATGCCGTAGAATGATTTCCTTGCACCAGTTACAAGCAGACGAGTGGTTCTCTGATCGTAATATTCGGATTCTCGGTAGAAACCTTATCCTCCGTACACTGAAGTGGAAAGGCATCTAGGCCAGCTGGCCAAGATTTGAGCCCGAGTAGAATTCTAAGCTGGTCAAGGGAGCAACCACTCTCTACTAATTAGTATTCAACAACGATGAAGCAAACAAAACACGAATGGATGACAGCGGAAGTGGTCCAGCGCTCGTCCAAGGGGTCAGCCGGGGTTAAATTGATCCAGTAATAACGCCTATCCTTGTCGTCTTCATGGCGTGGTCTGTCTGTGACTCTGTGCCGCTTTACAGTTCGTGTTGAGGATCTAAAGTGGACAGACACCTGGGGATGGAATCTTACTGGAGGATGAGGGGAGAAAATGGAAAAACTGGAGGTGGAAAAGTGATGACATTCCGGAAGTGGCAAGCCGATCGGAAATGGTGGAAGAATCGAGTCATTTTTTATTTTTTATTTTTTATTTTTTTTTCAGGTTGGGATGAGGTATTTCTGGTTGCCTTTCACCGGAGGGGGGCGCTCAGTTGCACTCATCCTATGCCAGACGACTCGATTAACTGGTTTGTTTCTCTCGGCTTCCTTTCCGGGATTGTCTCGGCGGAGTTGCAGTGTGCATAAATACTAGGTAGATGCTGATTAGGCCATGTCATGAATAGTCGTAGGTAGTAGGCAGCAGATGATTCTTATAATCGGTGTCAAGATGTTGTCGCTGTTGCTGTGGCTGTTGCAGCTGCTAGTTACTAATCAAGTTACTACGATTACAAGCAGGTTCTTTCGTTCGACGCAAGCTGAAGGCGCCAAAGTCTAACGTGGCCGAATTCGGGACGAACGATCCATGATTCTGTGTCTTTGCCTTTCCCTTTCAATAGTTTTGAAGGGTGAGTGAGAGACATGGTTGGAGTAAGAACTAAAAAGAAGGGGTGGATTTAATTTCAAGGCTGATAAGAGACGAGAACGAGACCAGACCGAACCAGACCAAAACAGACCAGAAATCTAACGGAGTACTCTGTACTCTGTTACCTACCGCTTTGTAAGACCCCCATCTGATTAGGCTGATAGGATGAGATGAATAACTAGGATGAACTGTACGGGGTACGGAGATGTATCAATCAATTCACTTGAATCAAGAAAAGGGACAAGAAGACAGATTGAAGCAGAGTAGCGCAGAACAAAGTACGAGAAGAATTAGCATGTAGACTAAGTAATCAAGTTAACTTGCTTCCAATTGAATGTACTCCTTAGTTAACTAAGTTACAAGCAACTAATTAAGTCACTATCTATGTACGGACCAAACAGGGCAAAAGAAAAGAACTTGAAAAGTATGTGTAGTTGTGTACTGTACTGGCGTGGTTTTCGTATTGTCCCATACCATTCCTGGGTCTCATCCGATTAGAAGATCCGCGGTAACAAGGCGTACGACGACTTCATCCCTTCGAGCTTCTCTCTCACTGACCGCACCAGAAAACTCGTTCCCCTAGACGAGCAACACACAACATCCACCCAACCACCACCGCAATGAAACCACCACACGGCGCCTCGACATCCCCATTCCCTTTCATCCCTCCCCCGTCCTTCCTTTCTTTCTCTTCTTCTTTCCCCCCCACCCCCAAATTCCCCTTCTTCTTCTTCTTCCTCCTTTCCCTATACTTCTCACCACTATCAACACCACACCCATCTCCGCCCTCACCACCTCTCAACGCTTCACCACCAAACGGACTATGTCACCGCGGCCTCACCTTGCCTGTTTCTATCAGCCTTGCCAATCTCACGCTTCGCCTTGACCCAGTCTCGCTCGCCGACGCCGCCGTGTTGGAACCGAACCACGCCAACACTCTTTTCTTCCCACCAACCTTACGCTAAATTCACCCACGTCACGATCACCGTCTAATTCCTCAATTAACTCTTTTCTACCCATCTCTCCTCCGGACCTTGCCGTCCGATCGCTCCTAAATTAAAACCTCGTCGCCACCCTCGGCATCTGACGGACGCCGCCTCAGTATCTTTCTTACCCACCACCAGTTGGGTATTACTCTCTTCACTCATCCTCTCATCCGAAGGGACGAACACTCCCTATCAAATCGTCTTCGTTCCGAATCGTTTCCACCATCAAGGTTACTGGCGGCCAGCTCTGCTATGGCTACCACCACCGTCACCGCGAATGGTCGCTCCAGCCGGTCTGGAAGCTCGAAGAAGATGGTTGTTCTCAAAATGTCCCCCGATCTACTAAGCCAGTTCGCGACACCAACCCCAGAGAGCAAGGAATTGAAGAGCAAGAAGCAAAGTGACACCCCGGCCGAGTCTCCAGTGAAATTCAAGGAACCCTCATCACCTGCTTCTTCATCCGCGGAACTGCCGCCCCCGCCCTCTTCTGTGGACAATGCCTCCGATGCAGCCTCTACGCCTGCTGCAGGCACCTCCGCTGCCGACACTCCCCGTCGCAGGGGAGTGCCGGGCCCTAAGCCGGGGAGCAAACGGGGCCTAGGCCAAACGGGTGAGACATACCCGAGGCCGAGAGGCAAACCCGGCCCCAAGAAGAAACTAAGACTGTATGTTGCTGTTGCTTCTCCAATCCATGTACCTATCCCGCTAACCCGATAATCCCCCAGTGATGATGGCACTGTCGACCATGTCAAGATGGCTGCTAATCATAAGCTCGGACCTAAGGCCAACCTTGGCGCCATCAATGCTGGTCTGCGGGCGCTGGACCGGAGCGGTGCCCCATGCCGGAGATGGGAGCGTAAGGTCTTGCAATTGAAAAGCTTCACGGGCATCCAATGGGCATTGCCGACCTGGCGCGCTCCCAAACCTCAGAAGCCCGAGGAAAATAGCGAGGCTAAGGAGATTGCACTCGAGACCGGGGACAGTGACAGCAAGGCCAATCAAAGTGCCAGCGGGGTCCCAAGTGAGAAGAGCAATATGAGTGATGGGGACCTTACCCCACTGCCTTCGAATATTCCTGACGCCTCCTCGCCGGCTCCTGCCATTGCCATGACCGCCTAGTCATCTTCCACCGCACCCTCATACTTATTTAATGTCTTTCTTTTCTTGTATATTATTATTTCTTTTACCCCCTCTTCTCTCTTTTCTCCCTAAAAAAAAAAAAAAAAAAAAAAAAAAAAAAAAAAAAAAAAAAAAAAAAAATTCGGGTCCCCTTTTTTTTTTTTTTTTTTTTTCTTTTTTTTTGCATTTTTTTAAAAACTGGGTCGGCGTTTGGACGATCTCGGTCAGGTCACCTTCGCGCACTGCTACACATGATGGATATTTGTCACCGCTTTGAGTGAACTGTCTGGGATCATCGTTCTCCTGATTTCTTGTTTGTTTCTTCTCTTTGTTATGTAACACTAGAATTTCGCGGGTACGGGAACGATTCCCCGTGCAGGGCATGGATGGGCATTGTATTGCAGCAGTTGGAAGCATGTACGCATGTATGGTATATTTATGGATATCACTTTGTTACCTTGAATGGGTAGGAGGACTGATTATGAAATTCGATTGTGCTAAGTTATTCTTTGGCATGCAGTGTCTCTTTTACGTTCCGTGAAAAGAGGGATTTGGGAGGTTGTGATTGGTATATTCGATCCAGTTTCAATTGGGAAGTGTACCTAGAGTACAGTAAGTCCGGAGTAGTCCGTACATAGAGTAGAATTGGTGATACAAATTCTGCAATACCTAACTACCCCAATGCAAGGCCAGAGAGATATGCGAGGACCAAGGCGCTTTCTTTCTTTCTTTCTTTCTTTTCCCTTTCTTCTCTGTTTGTTGGCTTCTGTCAGACGTCGACGCTGCCCCGGAATTTCAAGCCTGTGTTTTCCCCGCACTGATGTGTTTCTTGGTCGTCAGGCCATCATCCCCTGTCATACCTTCACTACTTTCCCCTCTCTTCTGGCTTTTGTCACGCGAGCTTCGACGTGACCGATGATATCCTGAGTCCCCTCCAACATACGCTTGATCTCTTTCCTCGTCTCCACCAAACTGCTTCAATCTCCACGGTCTGGCTCAGCTGAACTGTGCCCGGTGATCATTTATACCTGTTTAGCTGTCGATACGTATTACTCTACAACCAGAGACGATCGAGCAGCGTAGAACGCAACTTGCACAGGAGAAGCGGCACAGGAGACTGAGAGCTTCAACCGCGTGGAGTCAATGATCGGGGCATTGGCTCCAACTAACTCGTGTGAGTGACTCTTGGATCCTGAGTCGATTTGTGGTTTTGGCATGATTGTATACAAAGTTACAGTATGGGAGTGTATTGACCAGTTGGGGGCTTTTACTGTCTTTCCCTCCCACTAGTTACTGAACAGGAATAGGAATAATGACTGACGCATCATTTTCCCCTTCCGGTGGAGCTCTTCGAGCTCCTCCTCCTTCTCTTCCTCTCCCCACTAATACTGCTACCACCACTATTCCTACTCCTACTACGGCTACAACCATTCCCTCTACATCCACTGGTCCTCCGAGTATCTCTTCCATTCCTCGTCGTTCATCCTACGCCTCCGTCCTATCCGGTACCGCCGTTCTCTCTTCTGCCAGCAGCTCCTCGTTTTCCCCTCTGAACCTCGCATATCACCCCCCGCCTTTGACCGCCAACAGCCGCCTCTCCAGGCTATCCGCCGCCGTGGATGCTGATATCATGAACTCTCCCTGGCGGTCGTCTCCTGGTGAGACTCTGCCTCCCCATTCCCGCAAATACGCCAGCTTTCCTCACCACGACCCTTTCGCCCTTCAGCCCGGCAGGTTCACCGACACAGTCCCCGCCTTTACCCCCTCTTATCTCCGCAGCTCCCGCTATGTCGCCCGCCTCGATGCCGCCCGTCGGGCCAAAGTTGCCGCACATCGAGATACCACTATGCCCTCCGCCACGTCGATCCCTCTATCGGCATCGTCGAGTCAGGCTAGCCTGCCCCGGATCACTCCGTCCCACCGAGGCATGACATTTGATCTGATCGAACGCGAAGCCCCCAACGATGATGACCATTTATTCCCCTTACCCTCGAGATGGAATGCGGAGGATAAATACTCGGGATTAGAGCTGACCAACGGCGGCTTTGAGGTTCGGTATACGGGACCGGTCAATAAACATGATCATGAGGCGGCGGCCGTTCGCGCAGACAATCCCATGCCTCCGCAGTGTGGGATCTACTACTTTGAGATCACTGTTCTCTCCAAACCTAAAGAAGGGTATGTGGTCAGCCGGACGAGCCGACTGGCGCCGCAGGTAGAGGCTCGCTGACAAGACTAGGATGATCGGTATCGGGTTCTCGAGTAAGAAAGCGTCTATGGAAAGGTTACCGGGTTGGGAACAAGAATCCTGGGCCTATCATGGGGATGATGGCAAGTCGTTCTTCGGCGAGAGTCAAGGACAGGGTCGGCAATACGGTCCGACATTTGGAGCAAATGATACCGTGGGATGCGGTGTGAATTTCTCAACTGGCTGTGCTTTTTTCACCAAGAACGGCGTTTTCCTTGGTAGGTCTTTGTTTCCATACAGCCAAACAAGGTCGAAAGAAACTAAAGAGATACAGGCAATGCATTCCGGGAGCTACGTAGTCTCAAAGTCTACCCGTCGGTGGGAATGAAAAAGCAACCGCCGGTACATATCACCGCAAACTTCGGCCAGCAACCCTTCATGTTCGATATCGATGACATGGTCAAGGTACTGCCCCGGCCTCTGTGGCGATCTCTTCATCAAGAGAGCTTTGGCTGACATATCTCAATCACAGAAAGAAAAATCCATGATTTACTCAGAGATCGCCCTGACTAGTACCGCCAGTCTTCAGCCACCATTAGATGAAAACGCCTTACTGCAAGAATTAGTGGCGCAATTTCTCGCCCACGACGGCTATGTGGACACGGCCCGCGCCTTCGCCGAAGAGGTAGCGGGGGAGTCAAGAGCGCTGGAGAATGGCAGACCCTCATCGCTGCAGAAGTATGAAGTTGAGGAGGATGTGGAAGCTGTGAACCGCCAGAGTAAGCATTCCCCTCCTCATAAGCTGCACAGTGACTACGATGCACTGACATGACAATTCCTCCAGAAATCCGAGCCGCCATTCTTGATGGAGATATAGACAAGGCACTGAAGTACACAAATGCATATTACGCCAACGTGCTACAGACCTACCCCCAGATTCAGTTCAAATTAAGATGTCGCAAGTTCTTGGAGATGATGCGGCGGTGCAGTGAGCTATCGGCGACAGCATGGAAGCGGGTGCGACCCACGAATGGCTTGTCAAACAGCGCGGTATTTGACCAGGAGATGGAATTGGATGACCAAGTGAACGAGGGAGATGAATGGGAGGTCGAGGGAATGGAGATCGAAGACTCGGAGACAGCAGCCAAGTCGAAGGAGCTGCTCACTGAGGCGGTACAATATGGCCAGCAGCTATTCATCGATTACCCTCCCGAGGAACGGGGCGGAGACCGGAAGATGCTGGAAGACATCTTCTCCCTGGTGGCCTACCAGGACGCGCGCCAGTCGGTGCATGGGCATTATCTAGACCCGGCCAACCGCATAGCCGTGGCAGAGGAGTTGAACTCAGCCATTTTAGGTAGGCAAACCGTCGGTGGGTGGCTACATGGGTTACGCGGTGGCTAACAATTGAACCAGTGTCACTCGGCAAGTCATCTTCTGCGGCACTGGAGCGCCTGTACCAACAGACGGAGGTTCTAGTGAATGAGATTAGCGAAGAGGGCGGCGCTGGGGCGTTTATTAATGTACGCCATGATTTCTTACTTTGAGGGAAGGATAGGAGAGGTGTATAAGGACATGTCTGGATTTGCCGTGATATTCTACCTAACATTCATACCAAAGACTGGTATCTTTGATGACTGATTGTTCTGAGCGTTGGAAGTCATGTGGCGGGGGTTCTCGTTACCATTCTCTTCACAGACCAAGGTCAAGCAGTCTTTCCTTCATTGACCATGCAGCAACAGGAGGAAGAGGAGAGAAGAGGGCTTGGTGGTTGGGCGACAAGAAGAAGTCACTATCACTCCGGGCAGATTTTAGTGCCCAGTGGGGCCGTCCGTCAATCGGGTTAATTTCCTCCACAGTGTATGCCGTCCGTAGGCTGTAAATGATGTCGAATGATTGTGTCAGCGTGTACTCCGTAGTTAGTAAACTAGTTAACTTAGTTACTCCGTAAAGCATACCTGTCTATAAGTTGCCATCATGGCTGCCTTTACCGCCTCTCCCAAACCCAGTCGAGTCTTCTCACCGCCCCCAACTTGCTCCTCAGAGCCAATCACCAGCACGGTCTCCGCCCTCCGAACGGCTTCCAGCTCCGTTTCTCCAGAACTAACAATAATTATTATTGATTGCATCCATGATTTCAACTTCCATTCACCATTTCTCTTTCCATTCCACATTCCATCATCCTACACGGTCCAGTCCAGTACGTCGAAAATTCCCATCTGCTCACAAATATAATTAACCTATCGGGAATATCAAAGCTCGCTCTTCTTTCGGAATCGAGCAAGAAGCTCAAGCAAAAGCAAAAACCCAATAAACGATCATGGTCTAGTGGAGTCTGTGAGACACCGACAGACTGGCAGACCCTCTCGTCGCGCGATCTGTTGTCCGTTTCATCTACTACGGAGTAGTATCTACAGCCGGAGCTTGGACAGCGTCGAAGCTCGGGGGCCTCCGGGCCACTTCATCACGTCGTTCCAGGGGTGCCAACTCAACCGCTCCCCCTCCCTTTCTCCATTCTTTTGCTGCTGCTAATAACCACTGCTAACTAACTTATTGCGTCTGCTGCATGTGCGGCCGCTCGTCCTCCCCTACCCCTCTCTTTCCAGCCATGGATTCGTCCACTACCGGTCAGCTTCCCAGCATTCCTGCCCACCCAGCCTCTGCCCACGTCTCGACCACGGATCTTCAATGCTGCTGTGGTCGGAATGACTGTGCATTCTTGCTGCATAATCATCTCGCTCTGGAGGGTTTGGAAAAGGATCTGGCAACTGCTGCTAAACTAGGCCAGGTACGTGTCCGCTGGCAGCCTTTCAATCCCGATTTCCCCTACTTTTCCTGTTTAGTGCCCTCTGCCCTCAAATCTACCTGTTTGTTTGTCTGCCATTCTTCTTTTATTTTTCCTTTTTCTTCAACTTTCGGCTCCTTGTTGGTTCGGCCGTTCGGCCCATACGTCAGGCGGCATCATTGTTGGCAGCGGAGGTCGGTTTCTCCATCCACCACCACTACCATTACCGATGATTCGTGGCCCAAGGACGATGAAGTCGTACAATCCCTGGACAAAACATGAGTCTGTCAGTCGACTGGGTCTGTCCAGCTATTTGCTGGCTTTTGGTGGGGGCCTATATACGGAGTACTTCTCATCCCTCTCGCATACTTTCCCTGCACACCTACATGCCTGATTACTCACATTTTGGCCTTGCCCCCCTTCACTGGCGGAGTCTCGTTGTTTACATCGTTTGCGCATCCTGCCAGTCTTGTCCTGGTATTCGACTATCTCGAATTGAATAACTTTCCCTCTTTGGGACTCGAATGCCAAGAGGTCTGAAGTTTCACGAAACAAGAACGGACAATAGAGACAGGCTCCTCAATTGGCCTGTCAAATCATTCCTCCGCTTGCTTATGGCTTCCTCCGATCTCAAATCTATCATTCTCTCCCAATGCTTTTTTGTTCGTCATGGCTGCCTTCTCAGATAATGTCGCGTTGGCGGCTACTAGTATGGCCTCCTCATCGCTAACCTTTGCTCTACAGGCTTTACTCCATCGCCATGAATCGTATATGGCGGAGGCGGAACAAGACCGCCAGCGGCTCTTGCTCAATATCGAAAACCTCGAACGCGAGAAGCGGGAGGTTCAGGCCGAGAACGCCCGCATCATCGAGGAGAATCGCGATTTACTGGAGCAATTAGAGAGCCTGAATAGGGCCGTCGCTGATTCGGACTCGCACGCCAAATCACTGACATCGCGACTGGAAAACACGGAGACTGAGCTACGCATATTGACCATGTCAGCAGCTCGCGCCGCGGATCTCGAAGCCCAACTTGCGCACATGGAATTAGAGCAGAGTCGATTACAGGAACGTCTCCAGTCGGCCCAGGAGGAATCGAAGTCGGCTGTTCAACGGTGGAAACAGGCGGAATGCACTCTCCGCGATCTGCATGACCAGGTTGATCGCATCGAGAAGGAGACCCGGGAGGAACGAGAGCGCCATGCGGATCTGATCCAGCGGATGGAGCGCCGGCGCACTGTGGAGCGCGAGCTGGATGGTGCCGCTGGTCGATTGAAAGGTGCAGCTGCAGCGCAGGAGCTGGGACGCAATCGCGCGGGCGCCAACGTGGTTTCCCACTTCGTGCGCGATATCCTACAGGATAATGCCAACCTACAGGTGGGCATCATGGAGCTACGCGACATGCTCGAAAGTTCGAATCAGGAGGTACAGAATCTGCGGGATCAGATTATATCTCATCAACCCTTGGCTGCGTCTAATGGGCAGGAACCTCGGCCGTCAACAACTTTGAGTCAGGAACTGGAGGCGCAGGAGTCACGATGTGTGTCGCAGGAATATCATATCCATCACCATTATCATCCACCCGCCATCCCTGTTAGCGCCAAAAAAGATCGAGGTCCGTTGTTTCGTCGAGGCAGCAAGAAAAGACGGTCTATGGGGAATGCGGCAGTATTAAACTCGTTCTCGGGGCCACGCAAGCCTAATCATCGCTCGCAGTCATCTACCTCCTCCTCATCAACTATTCTGTCCCAAACATCGGCCTCCATTCCCCCAACGGCTTCTCACCGGTGGTCATTACAAACTCCATTGACGGACTCCGTGGCTAGCTCACCGCAATCGGCCTACCGACCGCCCTCGATTTTCGACCGCTCGGAACGTGGTTTCGAATTCTCCCAGCCGACTAGCCCAGACAGCACTGTCTTTTCGTCTCCCTTGGGAAGCCATCGTAGGAAAGGCCACTCTGATCTGTCTTTAGGATGTGATGAGACTGATCTTCCGCCCCATGCCAAGGAAGATGATCTGGGATACAACTTTCTCAATCATCGTAGTCCTGGCTCTGAACCGCCACACAAAGGGATCGTGGAAGCCATAATCCCGGAGGAGATAGAGTCGACGCAGCATACCCAGACGGAGCGAACTGAGTCTCCTTCGATGGCAAACATATTTTCTTCTCCGTATCGTTCCTTGCGTCGGGCATCGTCCCACGAGAGTCTTTTCTCCGTGGCAGGGATGGACATTCATGTCCCCAGTCGACGCCCGTCACGAACGAATCTGCACGACGTTTCGTCGGCTAGCGTCCCTGTTCGCATCCCTCGACGAATTATTTCATCAAATGCGGATCTCTTTCCCACCACTCCAGTGATTTCGACTAGCAATGTGACGGCGGGACCCGAGCCGGCCTTGGTGCCCAATCAGCGTCCACAAGCTCTTCTCGCATTAATGGCTGGGAATAGTCAACTTTCCACTGAACAAATAGGCTCTGAAACCAGCCATGCAGATGCAGGCGTTGCTACGCCTTCTCGAAAGTTATCTCTACCTCGCCGGGTTGGTGGCTGGGTTCGCGGTCGTTGGGGCACCGCCGCCGTCTCGGTGTCCATTGATGAGGACTCTTCCTCCCAAGTTAGACCCTCTTCACCCAGTAGCAGCACTACTGGCTACGTAACCACAGCCCGAGCAAGCCCATTTCCGAGCCTGTCTTTCCGTCACCCCGGAGTAAATCAAAAGGGACCAATCATGGGATTTCGCCCCATCTCTCGTGCGCCGGTGTCCCTCCATGCCAAGCAACTGGATGAGGAACTTCTCAGGGAGAGCTTGGCTGAGTGAGCTGACTGCTCGGTCATTCTTGCCCCATTGGGAAAACAACAATCTCATTGTGCATGCCTCTAATATAACTCGCTTTCGCTACTTCATCCAACCCCACCATATTTGAGCGGTACCCAATTCCTCCGCTGGAAGCAGCAGCACATACACTGATCGATCCAGTTAACTTTCTTCTATGAATTCTTCATATGTTCTCGAACCGTTATTTAGCCTCTTGTTCTTTGCCCGAGGCTCTTTTTTCTCATCCGTTCTGATAGACATGATACCCAGGAAGTTAGAGACTATCTCATTTACCGCATACAGAACAGCACTGATTTTTAACAAGAAGGTTTTTATACACAAATATTCATTTTCTGACAAGAGTGTCCCCTCTATGAAGATAGATATACATACTGTCAGCAATACGAGATCATGACTGCAATACCATATGATGCTGGGTTATGATGGGCAAAGAAGACGATAGAGGTCAATGTAAGCGGGCGATTCCGTCAGCGAGCTGTTAGTATAGATTGAGGGTTATCCAATCTCGATCGAGATTGTGTTTCGACTTGTGCTCCCCAAGGAAAACAATAGTTAGACTGTCGATCTTGTGATCCGGTATATGTGGATCGGAATCGCCGTGGAATGGTAAAATCCCGTCTGCTCTGCCTCGGGACGCGAGGTGAAGGGGATCTGCTCGACAGTAAAGCCTTGAGCTTCTACAGAAAGTATGACTCGTTAACCTGGGACTGAACAGCGTGCCGAGCGAATTGCAGAGAAAAAGAAGAGAACAATGGAATACGTAAGGGAACCACGCACCACAGGCTGTTAAGAACGTCCGGAACGTATTCTCGTTCCGCAGGGTCGCAGAGATGACAAATTGCTGGAGGCCATAGTTGGTGAAGAGGTCCCCAATGGTAGCGACCAGAAGGGGAATGAGGTCAACGTCGTAGATCTGGTAGACATTGTCAGTCGGATCAAAGTTAAGGTGGCCAGCGCTTGTGTCGATCAAACATTGAAAAATGATAAGACCGAACGCCCCTTAGGGAAGGAGGGGAAAGAGAAGCGATCAATAGCCGGAGGAGACAAGGAAAGGAGAGGGTGTAGAAGGAAACATACCAAATCGGCTCCCAAAGCGACATCAAAGTTGAGACCCGTTGCTTCATCCTTTGCGTCGCCGGCCGGTGGATCCCCCTCCTCCTCTCTGTCCGAGGAACAACCACCCGCGGTGGCATCGTTGAAGCCGGGAAGATCCAATCGCGTGCCCCACTCCCAGATCCCCGCCGTGAACTTGCCTGGCGTGTCGTACAGTCCATTGCGACCGGCACAATCCTGGATCTGCTCTATCAGGGCCAGCTCACGATCAGTTGTGACTACGAATTTCGGCCGGAGATGTTGCGCGCAGAACATGGCGAGAAAACCTGTCCCGGCGCCGAGTTCGATCACCCGCTTGCCCTGGATCAGGGAGCGGGCAGCGGTCGAGTCCGTCGCGAGGTACGTTCCCAGATGCAGAGCGGCTTCCCAGGTGCGGAAACCCGTAGTGCCAGAGGAAAGGATCAGACCGCGGGACTCGGAAGTGATGGTTGTTCGCGGGGAGTCTTGTGGTTGTTGTACCTGTGGTGTCGGCTCGAGTGTAGAGGAAGAGCTGGAATGCGGGGCAGTGTATTTAATGTAGGTGAGTTGTTGAGCTTGTTCAATGGCCGGAAGCTTGGGCTGCGTGAGAAGAGTGCCCCATGTTTCTAGAAGTTCGTCGTTGATTTCCTAGAAGGAAAGAGATTGTATTGTTGAGTCCGTGTTCGGTAGCAAATAGCAAATGACACTGGTGAGGGGGTATGGGCAGAGAGTGGAGGAGGGGAGATGGGATGGTCGGTAATGATAACTGAAATAGATCATATCATACAGATAGGGTTCATACATCCTCCTCCGGATTGGTGAGTGCTTGCTCGAGGCGCGCAATGATCAGCTTGAGCACGCGCATACGATAGTGGGCTGGGGGAAGCGGCCAGAGGGCGGGGTCGGAATCGTTGAACATGCGGTTGTAGAGGGCATGTTGGGTGATGGGGTGGAGAAGAGTCGCATCTTCAGCGGGAAGGGAGAGTGAGGGAAGTTCAACTTGTTGGTAATATTGCGAGACCAGACGGTCAAGAGAGGGAGAAGAGGACATCATGGTGGTGGTGATGATGATGATGAGGAGGAGGAGGCTGGATTTTGAAATGCTGCAAATTACGAAGTACTTACTACTTGCCGTACGGAGTACAGATAAGTGAGAGCCGATAAGAAACAAATGCTGAATCAGCTTGGCTTATCGGGCATTAAAAGACGCTAGAGCACATCAGGCATAGTCGGCAGGGCAGTAGCACTAATCCCGGTCAGGCCTAGGGTCGTCTAGCCGAGCCCACAGCCAACTTGTGCACAACGAGACCAAAATTGAATTGAACGCCGCATTTCGAAGCCCCCGACCCGACTTGATAGCGACTTCGACAACCCGCGCCCTCCTTAATCTGCCCTCCCTTCTGCCTCTTGTCGCATCCGCAGATTCCTTCGCTGTCAACTTCCAACCATGGCCGACGCTCCCGTTACCCTGCGGACTCGCAAGTTCATCCGCAACCCCCTGCTTGCTCGCAAGCAGATGGTCGTGTAAGCTTTCCCCCGATGCTACTGCCCGGAGGATGCCCGGAAGATGCCCGGAGGAAGAATCGAGAGAAAAGAGAAAGGGATTTTCGCACGAGAAGATACGACAGAACGAGTATAAGGTCGACCAGATGGAAAGCACAAGGCATAATACGACCCGCAATGCGAAGGGAAATGCTCCAGAAATATTCTGCGGGGAATATATACCGTTCAAATGTGCATTTGAACGTGTTGGGGCAAGAAGAAAAATAATGATCGACTGAAAAATCACTTGAGAGGGAACCTCCGGGCAGGACGACAAATTTTGCATAACCACGGCAGAGGCTGATATTCTGCACACAGGGATGTCCTCCACCCCAACCGCGCCAACGTCTCCAAGGACGAACTCCGCGACAAGCTCGCCGACCTGTACAAGGCCAACAAGGACCAGGTCTCCGTCTTCGGTTTCCGCACGCAGTACGGTGGCGGTAAGAGCACTGGATTTGCTCTGGTCTACGACTCCCAGGAGGCCCTGAAGAAGTTCGAGCCCCACTACCGTCTGGTTCGCATCGGTGCCGCCACCAAGATCGAGAAGCCCAGCAGACAGCAGCGTACGTTCTTCCTTGTGTTTTCATCACTCCCGCACCGTATCCTCTACTTACACCCCTCCAGGCAAGCAACGGAAGAACCGCTCCAAGAAGTTCCGCGGTACCGAGAAGGTCAAGGGTCCCAAGAAGAACAAGAACTAAGCGGATCGATTCGGTTGAAAGTTCTCTGTTTTTACGTTTATTGGTGAAAATATGGAAGGGGGAAACAAATAGTTGCTCGCTGGATTCGCTTTTTCGTCTTAGGACACGCAGTCGGATGCACTTATCGGTCCCAGACGGACGACGCGGCCACGGGCTGAGCTTGATGACTGGGAAGGTTTGGGTTATTCCACTTGTCGGATGACCCACAATCTGCCTTCAGAAGATGAACCCTGGTGGATATGAATGTATTGGTTGTGTGTGGAGGGCGTTTACAATTTTTTATTTCTCATGGGCGGCCACCGCCAATCCTTCATATCTACAATATGAAACCATGAATTCGATGACAGGGAACTTCAATATCAAATCAGACTTGGAGACCGCTTGGGCTTATTCTTATTGGGGGAAAATATCACATGGGTCGGAATTCTTCACAAAAAAAAAACAAAAGAGATAAAATTGATACTTTTCTTTGCTTTCACTCGGCCCTGCTCGTCGGATTGCCCCGGATTCACTCGCCATTCTCTTCCCCAGAAATCCTTTCATCGATCCTTTTGAATGTCAGACCTGATGATTCAACCTTGATTCCCATTGCGCTACCTCGTATACATCTTATCGCACCCTTATCGACCGATTGCCTTGATCAAGCCCACAGCTCCCTGTATCATGTTCAAGTTGCTTGACACCCACCCCACCCTTATTGTTGTTGGACCGTACGCAAAGCTCCAATCCAGTTCGTAGACGAGCGGGGCAAAGCTGAGCTCCGAGAGTGTGGACTTGACTTTCCATCGAGAGCCTCATAATGAATGCCCGTTTCCGTCCGTGTATCCGAGGACTGGGCAATAACGTCTCTGACCAAGTACCACTCTGAGACCGCAGCATGGAAAAGATCCCACTTCCCCCCGGATGATGCCTGCACCCTTCAACGCTCCAGCTTCGAGTTACATGCAGGGAGGACGAAGGAGAGGGGAAAAGACCAACGAGTTACGATGGTCCGAGCTCGAGCGAGGGTTACAAGATCTCGGTCTAGCTTGACAACTTACCTGCCCCGTGTCTGTCTGTCTGAGAGCCCCTGGGTGCACAAGGCATCTGTTGGCAAAGGTAAAAGCACGGGCCCTCTCTAAATTGGCGTTCTTGCTTGTCTTGCGAGCGGAAGAAGATCCGAGAGGGCGGAGTAGGAGTTGTAGTTGGGATTTGGGGGTAGTTGGAGTATTGTATATAGATTAACTATCATCTTAGAAGGTTACCAGCAGTGTAACCCCTTCAACCAGGCTGATAAGTACATTACCCTTCCGCCACTCTTTGGATAGTCAGAATGATGTGGATAAAACCAAAGAGAAAATGCGTCAATCACAACATTAAGTCCTCCTCCGGTTGGAAGGGACGAGATCTACTCGGTACAGGATACAAGATTGTAGCCACCCTAAAGCAATTGAAAGAGAACCAACCAAAAAGTAACCAGGTAATGAAAGGATGAACCCGTTTCAGTCCTGCCAGTCAGTCACAAGCCAAAGAAAAAAAAAGAAAAATGAGAGAGAAACATGAAATAGATAAAAAGAAAATAAAAAAACAAGATTCCAACTCAACCCAACACCAAGCAAGCCCTGGGAATCACAAATCCATCACAGGCCCTAGTATTAGTGTAACATGCTTTTCTCTTCCTTTCTTCTCGCACTCTTGGGGGTTGTAATGTAACAAAGAGCCCTACACATTGTCTGCACAGGCTGAGATTACCAATAGAGGCAAGGGCAAGGGAGTGGCAGACCTTGCCATTCCATGTAATGACAATGTCCTCAGTCCACCAGTCGACCCTCCATTGATAGAAAATCATAGGTGAGAATGCCAAGAACCGTTGAGCCGAGCCCGACGCCCTTTGTTTCAGTTCTCAGGTTGTTGTGTCACGTATCAATGTTCTCGCTGACGGCTACCGCCTGTTCATTTCTGATAACGCACTTATATGAACCGCCCTTCTCCGAAAATAGATCTCTAAAAATCGCTGGGGTGATGTAGCGGTGGAACCGGGGCCGGGTAAATTACTGTATCAGGGTGACAGACTGGCGAGGTGGTTATCGGTGGCCCATAGAGCCCCGGCCCCGGGCGTGTGTAAGGCAACCCACTCATGAGTACTGATGCCGGTTCATCCGTCTTGTATGAGTGTTTATCCCTTCTTTCACTGCTACTGTATACGTAGACGTCAGAGCCGGCCACGGCAAGATCATCTTGCGACAAGGGTCGTGTGGTCCGACCGGTGCTACTGGCACAAAATTCGTCGCTCGAGGTAGCCGTCTCCAATCCAGCCGGCAGTACAGCGGACGAGGCCAAAGCAGAATGAGCACCAATGGTAGTGAGCAAAGGTGTCCCAAAGGCCATGTCTTGCACACTCGTCCTTGCTCGTTCAATGGAACTGCCGCTTAAAACTTCGTTCGATAAACGTTGGACCGAGGAAAGGATATCGCTGGGGCCGATGTATTTGTAATTCCAACCAGCTCCTGTCCTGTGTTCGAGGGTGTCGGAGAATGTAAGAGCTTCTGGCGTGAAAGAAAAATCAGCAGGACATTGTGAACCTTGAGTCCGACTCGTAGGGTTGGGAAGCGTCCGATCGACGCCTTGTCCCTCGACGGAAGCAGTGCTCATTGTTGGTACGATCGGTGGGCCATCAGTTATCTGATTCGGAGGTCCTGAGAATATGTATGAAAATGGGGGTTGAGGAAAGGAACTGCTGCCTTCCTTTTCTGCGAACATTGTTGGGCTAGGGCTTCGGCCAAGGTACACATTAGAGCTCCAAGGCTTGGGACTCCATGTGAGACCACAATAATCTGCAATCACAGCTTGCGGTGCCCCAGAGTCCATGTATCCGGAAGACTGAGGGCTGTACATATCGGAATCCTCCTCGTAGTGGACAGCATGATCAATACCACACAATTGTCGACTGAAAGGCAGTGTAGACTCATTTGGCCCAGAACCATAGCCAGATCCCCGAGGGAAAGGAGATACACGCATATTAGAAGCATTCGGTGGCGTAGAAGCCACCGTCTTCAATGCGTTTGACTGTGCATAATGTCCGTGTCTGTGAGATGGTGATATTGTAGCATTCGCCGAAGGGTATGGCCAAGTACCTCTCGGCTGCATCATCGAAGAATTGACCTGCGGCAGTGTAAGCTGGTAACCAGTCTGAAACTAGGCGACGGCCAAACTCACTCTTAAGAATTGACAATTGGCGTTTCCAGAGTTGCGGCAATTTGTACAGCCTTGCCCATCGCCGTTATCGCCACTACATTTGATTTTCCTTTTTCGACAACGGTTACACTGAGAAATTATGAGCCATTGAGTTCTTTTCACCAAACGAGAAAGTGAAGCGGAACAACATAAAAAGGGTACAACTTACTGCTACTTGAATGCGTCGGCGTGTTGAGTTTCGGCTTTTGCTGTCTACCTCGGGACTAGGGCTCTGGCATCCAGCTCTATCAACCATGTCCTGGTAGCTATCGCCTCGCCCGGCGTGCGTAGATATCGATAATACATCTCGCTTGGATTGTGAGTCGAAGCCCACGTCGTCGTCCGGAACGTAGATAGAGTGAGCCATTACTTCATCCATCAGCGTAGGTGAAAACATGGTGTGCCCGAATCCGAGACTCACATTTATTCAAGACAGGTTCAAGGGTTGAGAAGCTTCTCAGAAGGTTACCAAGGAGCATAAAAAGGTCCGTGAATCAGGGATAGTCGCAATTGAGACATCCGTTCTACCTCCGAGTATTGAGAAAGGAACTAGGAAGGATGGGCGGGCTCTAGCCGGAAGCAAGGCCAGATTTAAGTCCATGTGTTAGGGATGCGTAGTGTTTCCTGGAGGAGAGCCTGGCCCTTCTTCATTCTGCTTTTCTTTTCCTTTATTTTCTTTTTCGTTTTCCTTTTTTTTTTGTCCGCGCAAGGCCTTATTTTATTATTTAGGGGAAAATGGCTGCTGGCTGGCAGATTTCAGACCGACCAAAGGCTTCACCTGACAATGCCCCTCGAGCTGAAAAGGGAATTAGGTCGTTCCCTATTCGAAAGACGGTGGCCAATTTGATACCCGTTTCCTTCTGTGGTTGTACCAGGCCAGAAAAGGACGACATGCAATCAACCGTCCTGCATCTCATTCAGGCAAAGGATTGAAAATAAAATCATAAGACAAAAGCACAACCAAAGAGTGACACTGTGTTGAGAGTCCAGGTCTGGTCCCCATAAGATGGCGATGATGAGCAGAGAGACAGAATACGCCGGCGTTTTAGGAAGGTTCAGTTTCACAAGGAGTAACGTTGCACCGCTTGTGGAAATGGCCTGATAGAAAACCACAGTCAGACCTATCACTTCAAGCTGGGCAGACAGAGATCTCCAGGGTCGGACTCAGCCAATAGCCGCTGAGGTGAACTCCGCATGTGTTGCTTCCAATACCGGTCCATGTCTCTGAATGATGACATTCTTTGCCAGTGATAGGACCCTGCGTCAGAAACGACCAGCCAGGGCAGTCTCAAAGAGCGGACAGCCACCGCCTACGTTTGCATGAGCATCATCAGCGCGAATACCAAGCTATTGACCGGAAGGCGGAAGCAACTAGCGTGTAAATGTTTGCTCTTTGCTAGAACAATGGTCTGTATGCAAAGCCCATTGGCCGGATGAGGTCTATTTCCAAAGCAACAAACAAAGTCCTCTGGGCAGTCTAATCTTGACTGGTACTTTTGACAGACACACCAGCTCAGATAGGATCGGCAGCGGTTCACGAGCAGCTTCAGCAGGAAGGGACTTGAGTTGAAAGAAGCTCGACTTGACTAGAGCAGGATACAATCAGACTGCACGAAACTGCAAATATGGCACTGATGTCTCGGAAAGCTTAGCTGCTATGCCCCAGGGCAACAGCCCAGAGCGATGACTGGGTCCCAAAATTGGCTGTGCTCTAGCAGCGGGTCAATGTGGCTCAACCGCCAAGCCCGAATGAGTGAGCGGAGCCCTGACATGACATTATGGATCAATGCGGCCAGCAATAGTACCATCAAAAGAAGATCGCCAGTCTGGGTCTGGATCTGCTCTAAGACCTGCAAGGCTTGGCTTTCCCTAACTCTGCTCGTGAGATATGTAGAGGAGTGCCAAGTGAGCGAGAGCAACAAACCTGGCGCAGAGTAATTTAGACAGCCTCAAAAAAGGGGAGGGCAGAAGACGATCTAAAGCAGTCCGAGAACGAATAAGATGAAATGAAGGAGCTTTTGCAACGCAACGAGGGTTGACCTGGACTGTGGGGCAAAAAAAATCGGTTAACTATGCAGGAAGGTCAGGGGCACGAGTCCGGGTGCACATTGTCGCTGAATGATGGGGCCTTGTCGACATCTGCTTGTGCTCGAACCTGCAGCTCTTTCACACAGCGATTGGTCTAGATCGGAATTGATCCATTCGCGGCCATGGCAGTAGCTTTGGTGCAGGCAATGCGTGAGAAGTAGATGGCTGAGCTAAAATGCTAGTGTCGTTCTCTCAAGTAAGATCGAGATCGCGATCAGTCACGAAACGTGATCCATCTGCCTGATAAGGCTTGAGGAAGGTAGACTAGTTATAAACTCCTCGATGATTGGCTGGTAGTGTACATGGGGTGATGACAAGGTAGAAAAGAAATGTGACGAAGAAAAGGTAATTAAGAGACAGCGATCGAAATAAAGGATAGAAAGGGATTGAGCCAAAGTCCCAATGATTGAGAAAAGGCTTTGTGATCAAAGTATCTTCCATTCGGAGCTATGATCCGTCAAGTGGTTGGATCAGAAAGCTGTCATTGGCAATAGGACCAGCCACAAGGATACCAAGACCCAGTGAGACTTCTCACATCCATGCTGGGATCGCATTGGTTCCAAGCGTTACGGGGAATCGTCGATGTTGGTTAGGATCATTCCTGAGGTAAAGGGATTAGTTACAATCCATGTCCAGTGAGCACCACGTGTCTTTCCTAATCGGATCAGTCGTGCTGTCATATGTGTGAAAGTATCAACGGGGTTATTGAATAGCTGTTGGGACCCAGCTGCAGGAGACCGCCCGTTAGGCTCAATGCCTCTGGTGAAACTTGCACCGGGTAAGTGAGTCTTCGAGCGTTGGGAGGGGGCGTTCATTCCCCATGGAGAACCGAGAAAGATCTCTGATGATTTGAGCACACAACAAGCTGGAGCCATCTTCCAGACGTTGTCTGATAGACAAACAGCACTTCTGCGTCTTGACGCCAGAGATGGATGAGGCCGATGGGGCACAACGCACCGGGAACAATACTCGTCGTGCTCGTACTCCGTACTCGATCGGGAGCTGTAATTAAGGATAAGTTGCCGACCGATTTGAGCAACCAGATCGCCGGTAAGAAACGAAAACAAACGACAAATAGTTCTTGTAGTTCAATTTGGCAGCTGGATCTCGGGCCCAGGCCTAGTGCAAGAAGTTAAGAATTACTAAGTAGTCACTTACAGGAGGTAAGTTACCTAGTAGTATCTCCTAGCCTGCCCCTAAATTGGTCGTCCAACGGGGTTTCTCGGAAGATATCCGGCTTCTGGTTCCAAAGTCACGGCGTTTACACGAGAGAGGCACCGGAACAACCATCCGAGAGTAAGAGCATGTTCAAAAACGTCCGAAATGATCTAGTCAACAGTGAGTGCTTCTTACGGGGCTTGGGGCTTGTATGACCATGACTACTTCGTATCAAGTCGCTGTCACTCAGGTGACAAAGGAAGTAGGTCGGGGAGAGAAGAGTAAGGGGGAAAGGGGAAAGGATAGTGAAGAACTTTGGTGGCGTGCTGGAAGCAAGCAAGCAGTTGCGTCCCCGAGGACTGGGGGGAGGTTTGAACTAAAACTAATCATTTTAGTTCAATGTTCTATTTCATTGAACTCTGAAGTCTGTAAATTTACTTACTGCATACAGTGCATAGTTAGTGCATAATTAATCACTCTGCGAGGTATACTGTGTAGTGTGTATAGTTACTGTAAGCAGGCAATCGAACAGCGATCGACGACGTCGACTCATGTAGGACTAGGCTGGGCGGCACGCACGCAGCCCAGCGGCTCCGCATTATTGTAACTACTACGGAGTAGTTACGGACCACTAACCCTCCATCCATTTCTTTCTCGTTCCCTTCTTTCTGGCAGCTTCACCACCATCAACCACCAGCCGCCCCCCCCCCACTTCACCAACCCCAACAACTATTTCTGGCTCTTTTGCAAGGAGTCTAGAGTCAGTCAGTTCATCCCTGCTTTTCTTTGGTTCCTGTTTTGCTCAACGCGCTTTTTCAGTTTCTGTCTTACGCACTGTCGATCCTCGCGATATCACCCGCAGCTGCCGGGAACCCAGGATTCCGCCATGAGTGTGCTGCTAGAAACCTCTCTTGGCGACATTGTCATTGATTTGTTGGTCAATGAGTCGCCGAAGGCTTGTGAAAAGTACGTATCCCTTCCTGTCTTTCCCTGTCGTCTTAATGCTGGTGTTCTTGTCATCATCTTCTTCTTCTACGCGCATACAAGGCGAGTGGCTGAACGAAAACTAAGCTATCTATGGTCTCCCACTATAGCTTTTTGAAGCTCTGCAAAGTCAAGTATTATAACTTCTCGCCTGTGCACAGTGTCCAGAGAAATTTCACCTTCCAAACTGGTGACCCTCTGGGACCGGACGCCAAAGAAAGCGATGGCGGTTCCTCGATCTGGGGCCTATTACAGGGTCCCTCCCAGCGAACCTTCTCGCTCCCAATCCCTCCCAAACTAAGACACGACGAGCGAGGGACTGTGAGCATGGCGACTGTTCCTTCTCCCAACGATCCAGATCTACGCATTGCCGCTAGTCAATTCATTGTCACCCTCGGCGAGAATCTGGACTACTTAGACGGCAAGGCTGTAATTTTTGGCAAGGTGGTAGAGGGGTTTGATGTGTTGGAGAAGGTGAATGAAGCCTTTATTGATGATCGCGGCAGGCCGCTTAAGGATATTAGGATCCGTCATACTGTGATTCTCGATGATCCTTTCAATGACCCTCCTGGGTTAGTGGAGCCAACGGAAAGCCCTGTGCCTTCACAGGCACAATTGGCGACGGTGAGAATTGCAGATGACGAAGACCTGGATGATAACATGGACGAAGAGGCATTGGAGAAGCTACGACGGGAACGGGAAGCCAGAGCGCAGGCGTTGACTTTGGAAATGGTAGGCGACCTTCCGTTTGCCGAGGTAAAGCCTCCAGAGAATGTGCTGTTTGTCTGCAAGTTGAACCCAGTCACTCAAGGTACGCATACAATATTCACTGTTTGATTCAACTCTGACCATGATATGACTCTAGATGAGGACCTGAACTTAATCTTCAGTCGCTTCGGGCCGATTATCTCATGTGAAGTGATTCGAGACAAACGTACTGGTGACAGTCTACAGTATGCATTCATCGAATTCGAGAATCAGAAGGACTGCGAACAGGCCTACTTCAAGATGCAGGGTGTTCTGATTGACGACCACCGTATTCATGTCGATTTCTCGCAGAGTGTAAGCAGTCCTTGTAACCCTCGCCGGACGCTGCTGCTGACCACTTGCTACACTAGGTATCAAAATTATCAGAAAGTTGGCGAAATGCAACCATTACCAAGCGCACCGGTCAGCGGGGTGGGTTCGGGGGTGTAGCTGGACTGGAGCAGAAACGCCAGTACCGAACAGCTGACCACGTCAATACACGTCGCCGGGGGGAATATTCCATGGTTTTTGACAAGAGAGAGTCTGGACACCAGTCAGCTCCTCGTCGCGATAGGTCATACAGCCGAAGCCCTCAACGGGACGAGCGCCGTTATAGACGAGCTAGTCGAAGCCCCCGGCGAGAACTCCACCGTAGCCGCCACCGAGATCGATCGCACAGCTGGAGTCCAGTGCGGAAAGATTCGTACGGCGACCGGCGCTATGAACGTCGTGATGACAGGTATCGGGATCGTCGACGCCGGTGATCAAAGGAGACGAGACAAAGAACCCTCATGGCTATGAAACCACGTATACCAAATTACCCATACCCTGAGACTTTTTGTATGATGCGTTTCACGCTCGCGGGCGAAGCATGAGAACTACCATGCAGGGGGTCCAAGGTCGTTCATTTCACAAATGACCTCTCGCCCGACTGCACTGATCACCATAAAGAACATCGGAACGGTTGCATAGACATAGGCCTTCGCGATCTTATTCGAGCGTGAGAACTGACTGTGTTGGCTCCATGGAATAACTGCTTAGTACGTAACAGTAGTCACTACAGCCTAGGTACAGTATACCATGGATGACGGTGTGCCCCGCCCCCCACCAGAGATTGGTTGTGCTATCCACCCTGGCCCCTTCCTCGTCTCTCTGATCCTAGCTAGTCTGTCTAAAAATAATCCTAGTGAAGATGATCGATCCCCTGAAACCAGGGGTCTTTCTGGCGGTCAGTGACGGTCCTGCAGAACAGTACGGACTCACGGCATAGTCAAGAATTATTGGTTTCCTCCAGCCTTGTTTGTTTGGTTGTCCGACTAGTTGTACATAGTACGAGAATACGTGACGTATGTTATAACTAGGTAGGCACTCAACTAGGTATGGTTCCGTTGTTGCTTCTTAAGGGCCGATCTTTCCCTCCCCCTCCCCCTCCCCCTCCCCCTCCTTTCCCTCCCCTTCCCAATTCTTCCCCGCGCTCATAACAACTTTTTTTCCACCTCTCTCTCTCTCCAGTCCGTGTCCTTGTTCTCTCCTCCCATTCTACTATTACCATTACTCCTTCTTCCGATTTTGCCTTCATCGCCCTTTGATCTTTCTCCTTGAAGTATCACTATCACCATGGCTGCCGCCGCGATCAAGGAGACCGTCTCCAATTTGTTTCACAGCCATCCCGAGAACACTCTTCGGGAGCCATCTTTCGAAGAGTTTCAGCAGCTCAAACAGAAGTATACTGATGCTGGCCAAGGACACGTTTTCGCCTTTGTCGATGAGTTGAAGTCTGCAGAAAAGTCTCAGTTGTTTCACCAACTGAGCAATTTCGACCCCAACCGAATCAACGAATTAGCCGACGAAGCCTTGAACCCCCCAAAGACCCAAGAAGGTCCCGCTTCGCTGGAGCCCCTGCCTGATCTGGCCACCGCCTCGATCTTGGATTCGGACCCTAGCGACATTCAGAGATGGTATGAGGAAGGACTTCATTTGGTCGCGGGCAACAAGGTAGCTGTCGTCCTGATGGCTGGTGGACAGGGGACACGCCTAGGTAGCTCAGCTCCTAAAGGCTGCTTCGACATCGGCCTTCCCAGCCACAAGTCTCTCTTCCAAATCCAAGCCGAGCGCATCGCCAAGCTGCAGCTTCTGGCCAAGAATGTCACTGGAAAGGACGCTGCCATTCCATGGTATGTGATGACTAGTGGTCCTACTCGCAAGCCGACGGAGGAGTTCTTCCGCCAGCACAACTATTTCGGTTTGCACAAGAGCAATGTGGTTATCTTTGAACAAGGTGTCTTGCCCTGTATCTCCAACGAAGGCAAGATCCTGATGGAAAGCAAGTCCAAGGTATGTTGTGCTAGATTCGGTCTAATCATAGTGAATCCTCGGTATTGACCGCTTTTACATAGGCAGCCGTGGCTCCTGATGGCAATGGTGGTATCTATCTCGCCCTCCTCACCTCCGGCGTTAGGGAGGATATGCGCAAGCGCGGAATCGAGCACATTCACACCTACTGTGTCGATAACTGTCTCGTGAAGGTTGCAGACCCCGTCTTCATCGGTTTTGCCGCCTCGAAGAACGTCGATATCGCCACCAAGGTAGTTCGCAAGCGCAACGCTACTGAATCCGTGGGTTTGATTCTCCAGAAGAATGGCAAGCCTGATGTCGTCGAATACTCCGAGATTGATAAGGAGACAGCCGAGGCCAAAGACCCCAAGCAGCCCGACGTGCTCAAGTTCCGCGCGGCCAATATTGTCAACCACTACTATTCCTTCCGTTTCTTTGAATCGATTGAGACATGGAGCCATAAGCTGCCTCATCACGTGGCCCGCAAGAAGATTCCCTGCATCAACATCGAGACTGGCGAATTCTTCAAGCCGGAAAAACCCAACGGAGTCAAGCTCGAGCAATTTGTTTTCGATGTCTTCCCCATGACACCACTGGAAAAATTTGCGTGCATTGAAGTGCGCCGCGAGGACGAATTCTCGCCGCTCAAGAACGCTCGGGGCACTGGCGAGGATGACCCGGACACTAGCAAGGCAGACATTATGAACCAGGGACAGCGCTGGATTGAGAAGGCGGGTGGTGTTGTGGTCACCGAGGGTGAAGCAAGCGGTGTTGAAGTCTCCCCATTGATCAGCTACGTAAGTGATTCAATCCCCTGTTGCGCATGCATTCCACGACCGAACTGAGACTAAGACACATCTCTTGTAGGGCGGTGAAGGACTACAATTCCTCAAAGGCCGCGAAATTAAGGCCCCAGCGGTTATTGAGAAGGAGGAGTAAATAGGTCCACAGAGATGGAGTGTATGGAAGCATTCCCATTGCAGCTCAACTGCGGCAAGTGTGGCTGGCTGGCTACCCTAGGACACATTTCTTGTGTGTTTACAACGTGTATGCACATTGTCGGCCGTTGATACAGATCGGAACCATGGAACCGTATCCAGCTGGAGGCATGATTTGCAGTGTACCAGCCTTGATTGTAAATCTGCTGTCATTTGGTTTGCGCTAGGTGGATGAACCACCACAAAGCGCCTGTAAACATCATATCATTAACCCAGCTAGGCTCTGGGTTCGGAATAGTTTCCTTCTTCCCACTTGAGCCTGTTCTCCGCCTTCAAAGCATACAAAGCATACAAAGCATACAAAGCTACAAAGCATACAAAGCATACAAAGCCTCGAACCTGAAATCTCTCTTACGAAATTTCCGAGGCTTCGATGACTGCTGGTCCTTCGAGAGTAGATCAAGCGCCGGAAATAGAGGAAACACAATGACAGTACTTGATACACTTTGAATACATACGATAATACACTGCCGGACCTGAGATCGAGCATTCAACTGCTGCACTCCGACCGACCTTCCGCCAATGTTTACTACACGGAAAAGCCCGGGAGCTAATTGGAACCCTTACAATTGTTCGACAATCTATCTGATCGTTACCATACATTACAGAGGTAATCTGTTTCAGTTTCCTTGCTTACTTAGCTCCATCGCTTAGACACTAACTGGTGTTGAGGAATTCCTTCAAGGCTCAGTTTTCTACTCATCCTCTTTGTGCCTTGTATACCATCCGAGCTAGATTGTCTTGGTTTACCTCGGTCTTCTTCCAGAGCCACTTCCCCAATCTGATTAATCTATTTTTCCTGGGCGCCCCATGCTAGGTCAGTGTTGCTCTTCTCAAATTTCCATCCGTGACAATTTTTCACGGCTTTTGTCAGTCCACTCTTTCAAGGAACAAGCCGTCAACGGTGTCGGTTCCTCTCAGGTCTTTTGAACTGATGATTTCAACAGGTGTTCTGCCTTAGATCGGAAGAATTTATCGCAGGTCGCCCGTTTCTCAAAAATCTAAACAAGAGTGAGTCTCCCTGTCGCCTCTGTTCTGCTGCGTTCCGGTGGCCGCATTGACTGTTGCTCCCGTCTATCATCAGCCTAAGGCCGGTTGTCCACCATGCGTCTGAGAGGGGCAATCGCGTGCGACGCATATGCACCGTTTTGGCGCAGCCTTACAACCTCCGCAACCAATTGTTGCCACTCCTAAAAAAAAATTGCATGGCATCCAGACCAGTTCACTGCGACCACCGGCGCACAGCTTAACAACGAAGACTGCACATACACATGAATCAGTACCGCTGACGGGAGGACATTGAAGTATACATAGTACCAAAGCGGACTGCAGCAATGTTGTTGTCTCGCCGAGCCTGCTACAAGTGTGGCAACATTGGTCATTACGCTGGTTAGTTGTGATGGAGAAAATTGCGTGTAACCGGAGCTATAGCTTGCTAACAGGCTGCTGTAGAGGTCTGCTCCTCGACCGAGCGTCTCTGCTACAATTGTGAGTAAATCCCGATGGCGGGTTCTTGCTGCTGTAGTCGTTGGCTAATCACCATCTCACAATCACAGGCAAACAGCCCGGTAGGCCCTATACGATGCACGTCATTTACGCACCAACAACATATCTGACTCGCTCACAGGACATGAGTCCAACAACTGTCCGCGTCCCCGTACTACTGAGGGTAAGAGTGTTTGGGCCTCTTGATTCATCAAGCACGAGGATGCTAACGTTTTTGTCTTTTTTTTTTTAGCCAAGCAATGCTACAACTGCCAGGGAGTAGGCCACGTTCAGGCTGATTGTCCCACTCTTCGCCTCAACGGTGCCAACGGCCGTTGCTACAATTGCGGTCAGCCCGGTCATCTTGCTGTATGTCTATTATTCACGTGTGTACAATCGCGTGGATATTCAACTCATTGACCCACTCCAGCGCAACTGCCCCGTTCCTGCTACGGGTGCTCCCCGGGCCCCTGCTGCTCCTCGTGGCGCCTTCAACCCGGGCTTCCGTGGCGGATACTCTCGTCCTGCCACTTGCTACAAGTGCGGTGGTCCTAACCACTTTGCTCGTGATTGCCAAGCTCAAGCCATGAAGTGCTACGCCTGCGGCAAGCTGGTATAGCCCCCATCCCTCAGTTTACCAATCTCTGCAACCTCTCGGCTAACCATCTCGTTAGGGCCACATCTCCCGTGACTGCACCGCCCCCAATGGTGGTCCTTTGAGCTCTGCGGGCAAGGTTTGCTATAAGTGCTCCCAGGCTGGCCACATCTCTCGTGATTGCCCCAGTGGCGACGCTCCCCAGCCTGTGGACGCTGCTGCCCCTGCCGCCCCTGCTGCTGTTGCTGTTACTGGCACTGATTCCAGCCAAGAGGCTGCCCCAGTTGCACCTGCAGCTCCCACTGCGGTCGCTTAAAGCGTAATTCAGCGATCGATCAAACCCAGTTTTGGGCGCCTTTCTCATTCTTTTTCTTTTGTGTATTAGGGCTAGCCGACATTGGTCTTGTTTTTTTCCTATCTTTTCTCTATTTCTTTTTTCATGTTCTCTCCTGCATATATTGCGGCTTCCCATCGGTTGCATCGATTTCAATCTCCATTATGTATACGACGAACAACAAAAGTTTCACGAAGTCTTGATTTCCCTTGATGCTTGGGTCCTCAACACGGCTCAGGGTCTTACGGGTGGCGTCTGTTGATCTGTTTGGAAGGTACTCTCACTTACACGAATCCAGTGCGACAAGAAAGGAAGGAAATGAGGCTAGGCGAGTCGATGGTTTGTTTGAGTGTAAGAAAGACAATGGTGGACCGAAGCAAGTGCGGCTCTATGTATGGAAACAGGCTTCAAGGAGGTGTGGATGGAATCGTTTGTGAGCATGAATGTGTGTGCTAAAGATGTGCGAGTAGTGAAAAGACTTACCTGGCATTTGTGGTCCATCTTTTCGAACTATATCCTTCTCATATGCGTTGGGTTGGTTGGGAAACGAATCAAAAAGCTTAAAACAGAGAAACACTCAAAAGATGTTTCAAGCACAGGTGTTGAGTAGTGCTGGATCAGTAATATCGGTAATCCTCTTGTTCGAGTCTCCTACTGGCATGTGCTGCAGCAACTTGCACCTACCTTCCAAGCTTCGTTCATCCCAAATCTCCGACTCGAATTCACTTCACAAGCAACCCCTGCCACACATCATTTCGTTTATCGCAGAGGGCTTTACACTGGGCCTTCTGATTTTAGGGCAGCAGTCATGCCTGGCTCTGATACAAGTGACGAATTCAACAATGATGTGGTTACCCTACTCCTCCCTTTTGGTTTGACCTTCCTGATCTTCCTTTGCAATAACTGAATTGTCTTTCTTTTTGACAGGCCTTCATTGTCGATATCGATTCAATCCAGTCTTATGGTATTCCCTAGGTCTTTTCTTGAGTTTCCTTCTCAAACCTCCCTGCTCATTTCTCTTGCGACTAACTAGCCTACAGGAATCGGAGTTGCAGACATTACAAAATTGAAGGCCAATGGTTACTTCACAGTGGCGGTAAGCACAACCCCAGTCCTTCCTGTACGACGTACTCACCTATACACTTCCTCTACAGTCAGTCCATAGCGCGACGCGAAGGACATTGCTGAAGATTCGCGGCTTCAGTGAAGTCAAAGTCGAGAAGATCAAGGACTCCATTCAGAAATGCTTGGTAGGTACGAACATTCCCCAATAAATCATTTCAGGGGTGAATCTCATACTTAAGGACTAGCCCTCGGCCTCTGGCTTCATGACAGCGATGGAACTAAGCCACCAGCGCAAGAAGGTGGTTCGCATATCTACAGGGAGCAAACAGTTTGACTCTATCCTAGGAGGGTGAGATTCTTCGGCCTGGGAGCTGTAGCAGCAAGCTTTTCTGACCCTATCAATTCCTGATCCTAGCAGGGGCTTCCAGAGCATGAGTATTAGTGAGGTGTATGGAGAGTTTCGTTGCGGCAAAACTCAACTCTCGCATACCATGTCTGTTGTTGCCCAGCTCCCAAAGGAAATGGGCGGGGCCAATGGCAAAGTAGCATACATCGATACAGAAGGCACTTTCAGGCCCGAACGCATTGCTCAGATAGCCGAACGCTTTGGGGTTGATCCGGACTCAACGCAGGAAAACATTGCTTACGCCCGAGCTCTCAATAGCGAGCATCAGCTGGAACTGCTAAATACCCTGAGTCGCGAGTTTGCCTCCGGAGAGTATCGGCTGCTAATCATTGATAGTATAATGAACTGCTTCCGCGTCGATTACTGTGGACGTGGGGAGCTTGCGGAGCGTCAACAGAAACTGAATCAATTCTTGATGAGACTCGCCCACATGGCTGAAGGTATGTATGGAAACTGGATGCAATCGGTTCGTATGTGAGACCATATCGCCAGACTAACTATGACTGGACAAGTAGAATTCAATGTCTGTGTCCTAATGGTTCGTTGCCCTATTTCTGAATTCCAGTGACCGGTAACCAGTCTTATCAGATATAGACAAATCAAGTTCAGAGTGGTCCGGGTGCCAGCGCTCTCTTTGCTGGGGCTGATGGCCGTAAGCCAGTCGGTGGGCATGTCCTTGCGCATGCATCAACAACCCGAGTGCTGCTTCGAAAGGGCCGCGGGGAGGAACGAGTGGCCAAGATACAGGACTCACCCGGTACGTTAACTCGTCTCAGTCAATACAGTTTATATCTAAGTCTGCGCAGACTGTCCTGAGCGTGAGGCAACGTACTTGATTACCAATGGTGGAATCAACGATCCAGACAAGGTGTAGGTGGATATCTATTTACGAGTTGAACTGTATGGGGGAGTGTCAGATGTTTTGCGATCTCTTTCAAGCCATCATCTCGTAGTGTTTGATACTATATTCCCTTCAAGACAAGGTTCCAATGTCCGGAAATATATGTCTTACGTCTTATTTGTCTGTTGTGCTGCTATTCGTTCGGATGTATCGACGGATTTCGAGGTTCTTTCTCTCCGCCTTTCAAACTGCCGGTGCAAAATTATCTTCCGCCCGATAAAAAAAAAAGTTATCTCGAATGAGACTCGCCTGCTTTACTGCACCGTCTTTTGAATCCTTGATCTCTATCTGCAGGCCCGCGTCACGTACAGTCAGGTAGTCTGCTATTAGCAGCCAGCCATAGCCCGATTCCCCTCGCCAAGATGAAGAAAGAATTTGAGATAGCTGGATACGCCGTGCTGCCCCTGCAGCTCCCTAAGACTTCGTCTGTAAAGGCTGCCACGCACTACATGTATCTCCGGGCTCATGAACCTCGCAACCCGGATAAAGACACTCCCCGCTCGATGTTTATCGCAAACGTCCCCGTCGACACCACCGAGGCTCACCTGCGCCACCTCTTCGGCCCCCAGCTCTCAGCTGGTCGAGTCGAGCGCGTCCACTTCGAGTCCGTCTCCACAAAGAAGAATCAGGCCGCCATTCCGCAAGCGCTACTTGGCGGCGGTGTCAGCAAGAACAAAAAGCGGAAGCGCGTCACCACCGATGAGCTGGAGTCTCAGTTGGAGGATATTACGCTTCCCGCAGTCTGGGACCGGCCGCTTCAAAAGAGCGGGGCGCACGCCGTGGTGGTTTTTGTGGATCAGCCGAGCATGGAGGCCAGTCTGAAGGCTGCTCGAAAAGCCGCGCGAAAAGTGCTTGCCGGTAGTGGCGCTAAGAAGATTGTTTGGGGGGAAGGGCTTGACGAGGATCGCGTGCCGGCCCTCGGGCTGGAGCGGTACCTCAATCATTCGCAGGCTCAGTATCCTAGCCGCGGGGAGCTTCTACGCACGGTTAATGATTTCATGACGGTGTTTGAGCAGGTGGCCGAGGCGCGCAAGCGGGAGGCGGCGCGCAAGGCCCAGGAGCCGGACGAGGATGGCTTCGTAACGGTGACAAGTGGACCCAAGTTGGCGGATGTGGCGCACGAGGATGAGGCTCGAGAATTGATTGAGAAGCAGAAGAAGAAGCAGGAGGGTCTGGAGGACTTCTATCGCTTCCAATCCCGGGAGAAGAGAAAGGAAAGGCAGAATGAGCTGCTGAGGAAATTTGATGAGGATAAAAGGAAGCTGGCGGACTTGAAGAAGAGAAAGGGGAGTTTTGCGGTGAGTCTTCTTGCGTCATTATGCTTTTCGGTGATTCATTGAACAAAGGCTAACGAGTTATGCTTCTGATTTTGAAGCCTGAATGATTGTGTCTCTCAGCCTTGATCACCACGGTGCAATATTTACACATCGTCTTGGTTTAGCGTGGCGTTAGGGCGGGTTTGTTTACAAAAATGGTGTCGTTCTAGGTAGATGAATCAAGGCTTGAGATAGAGGCCAATGTCCTCTTTAATGTAAGTGCTCTCTTCTTCTCCCCTCCAAGTCGAAGTGCATTCCTTTTCTTTTGTATGCATATGATGAACACGCTGGGGCCAGAGTAGCAAGACTCAGTGAGCAGCTCGATGTTTTGCCATGCCTTCAAAAACCAGCATCATTCAATCTTCTCACCTTTCTGAAGCAAGAGTCGGGAATATGTACCGTGGCTTCTTCCTCATGAGTATATCCTTGAACGTGTACTGATATTTTTGCCGGATATAGTGTGTGAAAAGTGACTCAATACTGGCCGAATGTCTGGAACAATGTGTAGTATATTCTTTGAGACGGACGAGCTCGGGTTTTTCGACTCTTGCAGTGACTATCAGCTGGGCTGCCTTGCAAAGGAAAACTCTTCAATATGAGAACAACTTCAAGAGGATTGACATGACCTACAGCTTGAAGCATAGACGTTTCTCAGCAGGAAAAAAGACCATGTTGTTACTAGCCAGACGAATCATGCCATTTCGAACTACTAGATAAGCACTGCATTCTCGCAAAGCTTCCGTAACACCGTAGGACAATACATCGCAGAATTGGCAAGCAGCTGAAACCCCGCTATACCGCATTGAGTAACCCGACGTCACGCCGCCCGAAAGATTAGATCCGCGGAGTGTCCCCTCACTTAACAATATTGTGCGATCAGCATCTACTTTCCTTTCTTCTTGCTGCGAGCTTTGTCGCAAAGCTACTGTATAGGCGCTTATCGCTGTCTCGCTGAAATTAATGAATCCGCTAGAAGAAACTGAACGACCTACCATGGCTGCATCTTTGTCAGCGACCATGCCCAAGGGAGGCGCCGGAGAGATGGAAGGAGGGGGAGGCTTCATCCCACCAGCAGCAGCACACCTTCCAAGCCCGGCGCCCACCACCTCAACCGTGACACCATCGCTTCTCCCCAAACCGCGAGCTCACCCTTTGCGTCCGGGCTCTGCTAAAGAAGCCACGGTCTTGGAGTATATTGACAAGAAGCTCTTATCTATCAGTCGCCGGCACGCCAAGAAGTTCAGCGGAGCTTTTATCGGTGATAACGGAGGCGGCGGCATGAGCAGCAGCAGCGGCAGTCCCCAACGCACAGCACAGGAGTCGGAGTCGGAAAAGGGTTATGAGAGTTTCAAAGAAGTCGCAAAAGATTTTGAAGGCTTGGTGGACGTCTTGTGGGTTAGTGGCACTCGTAAGTTTCCCCCTTCCGTTCTTCTTTTTGTTGTCTTATGTTTAGGGCATGGCGAGGTTTCGTCAACAGTGGATGAAAGCGGTCGTTCTTGTCTACTGGCTAACCTTCCTTTTCTCTCTTTCTTATCTACGATATGTTTTCTAGCCTCGTTACAATTACCCTACCTGATCTCGTTGGCCGTCCAAGTCAATTCCTATCTACCGGATTATCCGTTCTCGTCCAAGGCGACTTTCCGATTGCTGCGGAAGCTGGACTTGATATTCGCGTCGCTACTCTTGGGGGAGGATGCAGAGTCTGGGGTGCCGCTGCCCGGGTTCGAGGGGAGGACTAACGTGGTTTCAATGACGGAGAAAGTGCGTATTAAGAGTATTGCAGAGACGTGTCGGGTTGTGGTTGTTGAGGCGAGGGAGCAGGAGGATCTTGATGATGGTGACAAGGGCGCGGGTAATGGAATTGATGATACTAGTGAAGAGGACGAGGAGAGTGAGGATGAGATGATGAACGATGCGATGGAGACGAATGAGTATCCGATTCCTGGCAGGTGGGAGATGGAAGCGGCTAAGGTGTACGAAAAGACGATTGAGTTGTTGGGGGATGAGCTGGGGAGAGCGGATATTGGAGAATTTTGTGATACTGATATGGCGGCTGGTGAGGAAGAGGCCCGATGTGATGGGTTACTGGTTGAGGAGCAAGATTGATCATTTGAAGCTTGGTGCTGTCGGTCTCCCAATTAGTAAGAGCCGTGAGACTATCCTTGTTCGTCTTTGTTCAGTTTTGATGATACCCAGATAACCTGGTGGAGAGAGCCTGGCTGAAGATTCCTTCTGAGATGTCTATGATGTATTGTCGTTACTTCAAATTGATATCCGTAATAATATGGGAGGGAGTATCTGACGAGGCATGGATTGTTCCGGCTCGATGCGACAATCAGAGAGCATTACTAAGTGGTTCACACCTGGAACAGTACTTAGCTACAGCTAGAACTTACTGAACGTGGTTGGAACTACCAGTTTTTCGGGCCCGACACAACAGGACAGTAAATTGTTGGTCGCCTAGGTGGACTATTAAGTCTAGTAGTCATAACTTGCGTGCCCTGGTACTGCTTGACCGCTAGTATTGATTCTGGTCTGGCCCGATTACGGAATCATCTTGAGTGAAGCCCAACCCATGGTTCTTGCCTTTGCCATTCCAATGAATGTGAGTTTGCAAATTTTCTCGGACCATGACACTCTGTCATTTCGTTGGGTCGGATATTCGGCTGCCCAGCAAGAAACAAAATCCCTACTATGTGCTCCTATATGTATCAATTTCTTTTAGCAGTAAGTACTAAGGAGTAGGAGGAAGAGTATTAGTAGTCGTCAGGATATCCGAAGTATCTTCCGACCAGCTAGTTGTAACAAAAAGTGGTTGGCTAGCTCTCCAGGGAATAATCTGCAAGGGACCAAGTACTGCTCCAGGCATGATCGTGTGTAACCCACTTTGGGGCTGTTGCTGGCACGCACAGTCGCACGCTCTATTCGGCTTAGCTGTGCTGCAATCCTCGCATGGCAAACTCGTCGATCTGATCAATGTGAATGGGGACGTACCAATCGGGAGTGAGACAGTGTTGCGCTTCCCATGAGCAGCAACATTTGGAGGGATGAACGCTGGGCGTATGTATGTACAGATTCACATCCCAATGCGATCACCCTTGCTCATGCCAGAGTGTGCAAATGGAGTTGGCTGAAGTGGGAGAGAGAGAGTATGTGTGTGTGTGTATGTGAGAGAGAGAAAAGAGAGAGAGTGACAAATTGTATGAGATGGTGCTTTACAGCAACGTATAACAAATAGGTAGTAGCGTACCTAATAGCTCCCACAAGCTACCTATGTTGTAGCAATCTGCTGCAGACTGATCGCGTCGCGTACGCGTTTTAACTTCTAGGGCGGAATGAAGCTCATCTGTCAATCCACCCAATTTCTGTTTCGATGCCTAAGGCAAAAAGCTGTACGAAGCACAATGTATTGTATGTGAGATATACATACTTCGATTGTACGAACTGAAACAAGCGGAAATCAACTCGCGAGGCTGAGAGATAAGAATGGTGTCTGAGACTCTTGTGATACTCACAGAGTACTCCGTTTTCCGTACAGAAAGAGGTACCTGCACGGTGCTACGTTTGGGGCAAGACGATACCTATTGTAAGCACGGCAACCAATGACAGCTGAATGGAATCACTTTCCACGGTACCTAGTAGGTTGGTGGAGCCTGCTCGGTCATGGGTCTCACTAAGGTCTTTCGGTCACTTTCAGTAAGTCATGTTACCACTGCCCGGTCACTGTTAAATACTCCGATAGTTCTCTCCATCTACTAGTTAGTAGGTACCCAGTGAGGGTGATCTCTCTATTAAGTACCATACATGTATACTTCATGCACTTTTATTTTACGCGACTGAGTACTTTGTCCATGCCGTTCACAGACATTGATTTCCAAATCGTGGTAATTTCTGCAACTCCAGGTCTGGCCCGATTGTATCTAGCCATCGTTATCATTACATTCACTGATCTTGCTGCATGGACAAACAGATGGCCTCGACTGGTCCTTCCACACCACGTACTCCGTACTGTGTAGTCGTTTTGTATCAGTGTCCGACTGTCATTACCTCTTTGCTACCTCAGGTAGGTATTGATTATCTTTGTTATCTGCTATAATTGAAGAAGCTATTATCGAAGAAGGACGGTAGTTGGTAGACTCCAGAGCCTAGTTTTGCTTCATACTAGGCCACAGAAGTCATCCACAACCACATGGTTTTGTGCTTCTCGAATGTACAGCATCCGTGACTAAGCCTCTCTGAGCATTGTCGCAATCTGTATTGAGCAATTAGCAGCTCTTGAATCCATGGGCCCGGGGCGCATTGGTGGGGGCCAGGATTTTCCTCGCCCTTTCATTTGCACTTTCCACCGTGCAGTCCAGGCGCTTCGCTTCCACTTTTTGTCCCTGCTTCTCTTTGTTTCAACATGATCATGATGACCATGATATTGCCATCCTCTCGCTCTCTTTCACAGTGCTAGTGTATCACCAGACAGTCTCCAGCCCTGTGGGATCCTTCCAGGCTTCCGACCCCGGGTGCGAACAATACGGATCAAGCTACTGTGGTAGTCTAGGGCACCAGTCAGGGCCGATCCTAGGGAACAGATGGTGGAATTTTAGGCTGCAAGCGGAAACAGATCTACGAATTACCTTAGGCATGCACAAGGTCAAGCGGAGAACGGGACAAACTATGACGATAAGGACCCATGGGACGCGAATGGAACCGGGCGAGTCATAGCGCGTTGCCGGATGGAAAGTAAGAAAATAATAATCCATAATACTAGGTAGTAATAATGAATAAAATGAAAGAGTGAAGTAATTAAAAAAATTACAGGGTAATCACAAAAGAGAGAGAAGAAGTGAAAAGGACCTTAGTTTGAAGTGCGCTATCCATGCATCAGTCAGTTCCTTGCAGAATTATACAGCTTTTCTCGGCCATCTGCAGCTCAGTACATTATGGTGCACTTGGAGAAGACTGAAAAGTTCGTCTATGGTGCCCACTGTTACTATCTCGTTCTGAGGTTCTGTCAGAGCAGTAGAGGTAGTTAATCAATAGTCATCAGCTTGCCTATCTATTACTTGACTCTTAATTCCTTCCAAGCTCTCTCTCCCCAAGTCCTGTACGTGTGCACCATTGCACATATCAAGGGGGATTGACCGGACCCGGCCACTGTCGGCTCCCCCACCTTCTTTTCTCTCTCCCCTTGCGCAATGATCATACTACATTCATACACTTCGTGAGCAGTGCTCGAGGAAGCTCAAATACGTTATACAAAACCCCTTCGTCTGCGAGAAGTGCTACTCAAATCCAAATTCCCCGGGATTCACCCGTCGTGGAGACTTTGTGCGCAATCGGAAGCCACCTTGTGGTAGACGATAGTTATGATTCTTCTAACTACTGCCATGTGCCTACATCATCCGCGACAATCAATTGCCTGGGATTTCCAAGTAATACAAGAAAGCAATTACACTAATCAGAGCACTTTCTCCGTCTGAAGGCATTCAAGCAGCTAGAAACGATTATGTCACGTGCGATGAAAATAAGAATCATGGCAGCGCTTGCAAACCCGCAGGGTGTAGCAGGCATCCCGGTCCGAGGGCAAAATTGGTTGGGCTGGGTCCAGTGAAGGACATACCCACCACGATCCTCGATCCTGTACAGTAGCTCAGGTATGTACTTACGGAGTAGTATGACTTGCTCGGCAATGTTAATCCTACGGCAAGATGCGAATACAAGCGCGGTGACTGCATTTACTAGGGGCCAAATCTGTTTGTTCGACGGAAAGAGCATAATAAATGGAAGCAACTGGGGTCGGTACGAAGGGAGCCCACCCGAGTCTCGATTTCCATCGAGAGTACGTAGTGATTAGTAACCTGGTATTTGACTTAGTATGAAAGAATTAGTTAACATCCAGCCATTATATGTCATAGCATCGTGAGCCTCAAACTACTAACTCAGATTAAGCATGATTTGGGGGATGGAACAACTTGTAGTCAACAGTGAACAATACTCAGTACTAAAGAATACCCGTATGAATGAGTTACTGTGGTTAATACTTACAGCACTCCATACACTAGTACGTAGTAGCTTAAGCAGTTTACTCGACTAGATCCTACTGGGTTGCGGTAAGACCACACGATCCCACCTGCACGTCGAAATCCAGATCTACTCCCACCTATTATTGCACACTCAGAGGCTAGAGCTGCTGAGCCGATCATAGGGTTGACTTAACCAGGATTGTTTATCCAACAAAGAAGCGCAAAAACAAAATGATAATAGGAGCCTGGGGCGAGGGGAGTAAAAAACAGGACTATTCCAGTAGTAGTCGGCAAGCTTTCGTCCCACCGAGCTGGTGGTAACTTGTTATTGTAAGGATGCTGCGCCCCTCCTCACTTCTTTTTACCCTCTGTTGCTTGCTGCAGTTGCCATTGACGAAAAGAAAGTAGTGTCCGCATTTGCTTCCCAGCACCTTTGATTATTCATTCTTATTAATTTAAACTAACCTACTGTGGTAGTTACCTACCTAACCGTCCCTGTACGGATTCATCCTGTCCTATCTCGGATATCTGAATCAGAATTTGCGTTGAAATTTCTGAATTTTTTCTTTTCTTTTTCCTTTCCATTTTTTCCTCCCTTCCCTGGGTCCAGGTTTGATTTTCCCCAAGAATTAATTACTCGAGTAACGTATTATTCTTATTGTTAGTTCGTTTGTTCGTCTAACGAGTTTCTCTGCTTTCATCTGTCCTTGGTCTGCCCTAGCAGTAGTAGTGGTCTCCTGCCATTCTTCCTCGTTTCCTTTCCCTTTCTTTCCCTTTCTCCCCTCCATCGGATCCTGAAGAAATATCTTTTCTTCTTACCTACCCCTCTTCTAATTCTTCTTCCTTCTTCTTCCTCCTCCTCTTTTCCTTCTCCCCTCCCCTCCCCCCCCCCACACCCCATTTTGTCCTCCCTGTGTTCTCTTCTCGAGTTCTTCTACCGTTCCCTTGTGTGCTTTTCGGAAAACACGGAGTCGGTTTCGCGGATAGTTCTGTGTCTTTTTCTCCTCTCTTAACCTATTTTCTCTTTGGATCTGTTTCCTATTATTTCTCCACCTCGTCGGAGTTGTCTCGATTGTCCAGTTCCTTATTTCTCTGTGACGTCCTGACCTCTTAACGCATACTTGCACCACGCCAAAGCAACGCCTCTCTCGACTCTTAAGCCAACTCATAGCTCGCGATTTTTTACATTGTCGGGTAAGTTGTACACCTCAATTTCAATGCTCGTCTTCTATCGTAATCTTCTGGTTTGGCTTTCTTCCCCATCTGGCTTTGGTCATCACACTGCACTGTCCTTCTTCCCATCGTTGGTGTTTGCGCGGGACAATTCGGCCACAATCATTTTCGGAATCATTCTTTACAATCAATCGACGATTGGTATAGCATCCCTCGAGCATCCTCACATGGACTTTTACACGTACTGAGCTCGGGACAAGAGCGCTTGCCGTGTTGATTCCACAATGATGCGTCAAGCGCCCGCAGTTCTCCATCGCTACGGGTGCTTGGCCGACGAATTTGAACGGTCGCTCGAACGAAAGCTTGCCACGGCTCTCTCATCACTATTGGCCGGCTCGTTCCGATTGTCGTCCGGCCTCTTGAGTAGCGCAGCGATGGGGGATTGGATGGATCAATTGGCACGGTCGCAACCGGGCGCGGATGGGCGAGAAATTCGAAATATGTCATCGACGAATGCGGCTTTTGAAAGGGCAAGAAACTTCAGCCATCTTCATTCAATGGCCCTGAGCATTGTCGATATTCCGGTCATCGTTCACTCCCACCCTTAATTACAGATTTCTGGGGGGTTCCGCTGCCATTTCTGAGAGGAACTTGGATCTTGGCGCAGAAAGGGAGCGGGTTGATCCTTTCCCGTTATCCTCTTTCATCTCTTCTTTGATTGACGACGCGTTCGACACTGGAGAGAAGAAAAATCCGACTCCCCTGGCAATAAGGATATTTCCATTCCTCCAATCTCGCCTACTACTCATCTTGTTCCTCGTTGGTACATGTTTAGCTCTTGAACCGCGCTACTCTGCGTTTTGGCTTCTCTCATTCTTCATTGATTTGTCCTTCTCCCTTGTATCCTGGGTTTTCGTCTTTTTTTTTAACCTGGCACCACAACACCGTCGCCTTGCCGTGTCACTGATTCGCTTTGCTGACCAGAGGTCCTCTTCACTTTCGCAGGAACTGATTTGTCTCAATCATCTTACAAACTGAACGACCCTACGTCTTACTCCTTGACGACTTAAACGAATCCCTTGTCACACGGGCCATTTTCGGTATAGAAAAGTTGATTTCGCTTGAGTTTATTCTCCTTTCGCCCGCACTTTTAAGGTACGACAATCTTTTTCACCATCTTGCTCATGGTTTCTAGAGCAATGGCAGTGTTTTGTGCTTTGGTTTTGAGAATCACTAGTTTACGTCCACTAACTCAACGATGTCACCTCAGATACCGTTACCGCAGCTATCGTTACGAAAGTCGAATTTTACGTCAATATGTCTTTCCAGAACTTCGAGTCTTTCCAGAACCAGCACCCTGCTGCTGATGCCGCCGCTGCCGCTCCTGGTGCCCCCGCTACCGCAGACACCACCATGACCGGTCAGGCTGATCCTACCACGGCCGCCTTCCAGGGACCTGCCCCCGGTGAGCCCAACGCTGCTCCCGTTGCCCAACAGGCCAGTGAGGGCAAGACTACTCTCTGGTATGTCTAATCCCAGCTTCATCAGAAACTGTGGGAAAAGCTGTTCTATACTCACATAATTTTTTTTCAGGATGGGCGAGCTTGAGCCTTGGATCGATGAGAACTTTGTCCGCAACTTGTGGTTCCAGATGGGTGAGCAGGTCAATGTTAAGATGATCCGCGATAAGTTCTCTGGGTGAGTAATGCATAAATGCTTGTGGATTGAAAGGCGATCCTAATGTTGGTAGTAGGAGTAACGCTGGATATTGCTTCGTCGATTTCGCCTCCCCCGCTGCTGCTGCCAAGGCTCTCTCCCTTAACGGCACCCCAATGCCCAACACCAACCGACTGTTCAAGCTGAACTGGGCTACTGGTGGTGGCCTTGCTGATCGCAGGTAAGCAATTTCTCCTATTGTGGGCAAAAGATGAAGACGTTCAAGCTAATATCCTGTCCCAATCAGCCGCGATGATCGTGGTCCAGAATACTCTATTTTCGTCGGTGATCTCGGCCCGGAGGTCAACGAATACGTGCTCGTCTCTCTCTTCCAGAGCCGCTTCCCGTCGTGCAAGTCTGCTAAGATCATGACTGACCCCATCAGCGGCTTGTCCCGTGGTTATGGCTTTGTTCGCTTCTCCGACGAGAACGACCAGCAGCGTGCTCTGAGCGAGATGCAGGGTGTCTACTGCGGCAACCGCCCCATGCGCATTTCCACCGCCACCCCTAAGAACAAGGGACCTGGCGTCGTGCCGGGTGCCATGGGTATGCCCGCCGGACCGGGCATGTACCCCCCCATGGGTGCTCCTCCTATGGGCTTCTACGGTGCTCCCCAGCCCATGAACCAATTCACTGATCCCAACAACACCACTGTTTTTGTTGGTGGCCTGTCCGGCTATGTCACTGAGGATGAGCTCCGCTCTTTCTTCCAGGGATTCGGCGAGATTACCTACGTCAAGATCCCCCCCGGAAAGGGCTGTGGTTTCGTCCAATTTGTTCAGCGTCACGCCGCTGAGATGGCCATCAACCAGATGCAGGGATACCCCATTGGCAACTCCCGTGTTCGTCTGAGCTGGGGTCGTTCCCAGAACAACTCTGGCCCCGCTGGTAGCCCCTACCGTCCTGCTCCCCCTCCGCCTCCCATGTACCCTTCGATGGGCATGCCCCCCGCACACCAGTACGGCGGCTTTGCTCCTATGAAGGTTAGTTCCCCCCAGTGAGCGGCCCTAGCAGCACTCGGACCTGGGTTTATTGACTCCAATGTCTAGTAAAAGAGCGTTCCTCTTTAGTTTGAAAGAAACAGCAGGAGTTTTGCGTCATTTCACGATGGGTCTTTTGTGTGTCATAACCAGTCTGCTATTATCTCTGCGAAAGTTACCCTCTATAGCTCTGGATGAGCATTTCCTCCTGTGCTACGTACTTCATATGCGAGCGCTTCATTTTTCTTTAGCAGCATTTGAGCTTCGATTCTATTCCTATCATATCTTATTCTATTTTACCTTGATGTTTCCACCTTATCTACTCTCAAATTCCCCTCTCATCCAGTCTGTTGTATGCTTTGCGTTTTCCCTCAACGCTCTCGAACCCAGTCTACATCTATCATGTCTATCGGCCTCCAAAGGGTCTACATTCTTATGTATACGGCAGCAATCGGATTTGTTTCATCTGCGCATTGGTTCCCATATACTCCCTGGGCAGGCATTTTGTGAAAAGTTCATCTTTCCCCTTTCATGAAGCAGTCCTACCAGATGCCCCTCAATCCTGAGGATGTGTCGCTGTGTTCGGTGGTCATTCAGAGGCCTGTATAACATTTCTTCATCGCGGCCTCGTGACCTTCTGCTCCTTCAGTTCTCTTTCTGAAGAAGTCACCCACTGCCTTGAATATCTGCTTTCATGCGCTCTCTATTCATCTTCTTGGATTCTACATCGCCCCCCATCTTCTCTTGTTGTATTGACGAGGCGTTCTGACCTAATCCTGGGGTCGACTGACTTCATCGCTTTGCCTGCCTTCTCTGACATGGGTTAGAGTCTGTAGTCATCATTGGGGAGGTCCGGTGGGAAGCCGGCCTCAGGGCGTTAACCAGTCTTGGGTGTCGTAATGTGGTTTCCTACTTTTGTCTGTTTGCGGATGATTCCCCCTGCGCTTTACAGGACATTGTGATGTACACGAAACAGGATACTATAAATGATCATAGGTACCATCTCAATTGCTTGTTTTGAACGGATTGCAGGAAGGCCATTTGTCTGGAAGAGCGGCAGGTGCTGTTTCTGCTGGTCCTGCTTACTATCGTCGTCTCTCTGCTGTAATCATACCACTTTCCCTCCTTCCCTCTCTCTCTTCCTCCCCTCCCTCCTTCCTTCTCTGAGATCCGACTTCCTGGTCGTCCTCGTCCATCCTCTTCCTCGTCAGCTTCTCTATCTTCACTCCATCACTCGCTCTTTACTTCCTCTTCTTTTCCAAGCTCATTCTCAGGCCAGCTCTTAGGTATTCCTCAACACAAATAGCCGATTGAGGGAGGGCCTTATATACCAAGTTGTCATCATATCTTGCTATCCGTCGTTTTCTATTCGTCATCCTCACTTTTCCGATTCTTCCTTTCTCAGTCTATCTATCCACTCATCCTCTTCTGCTTCGAACCACAAGTATACGCGACAGAATAATTCAGGATGCGCTACGAGAATTGGGATGTGCTTCTCTTCCCCGAGACTTCTAAGGTGCCTCTTCAGGAATTCAAGACGCAGTGTTTTGTTACCAAGGACAAAGGTCGGTGACCACTTAGTTTACCGCCTTATGCGCATGTGAACTCACATGCTAAACAAAAGTTGCAGAATCACCCTACCTACATAGCCCGGCTCTGATCAGTCCAGCCTCATGCTCCGGACCCCAAGGCAATCTAGGGCAGTTGCCGGTGCTGACTACGTTCATCCCTAGCTTGCGCCACAATACTCCTTTTCGGGTTTCCATCCATAGTTGGGAGCGGCCTATGCCGAGCCGGTTCATGGAAGGTCTTCTGCAGCCAGATGATACATTGCTTTTCGAAGTTCGCGTCTTCATCGACGGGCTTTGCGTGTCGTAAGCCACTCTCAATTGCCTGCCGGCTCCCTCTCACTTCTGATTTGTGCTTATTAACATCATGCAGCGGTAGTGTTTTTACTCAGAGATCCTCTTGGCCTCATGTACTCGGTGAGTCTTGCTGCCCTCGAAAGGTCAGCTTTATCATGGGGGGGGGGAGCAGAACTAACTGACATGATTCGCCTACTTAGATCTTAGCTCATGTATGTTCCGAAGACCCTCCCAGTCGAAGGTTTGCTGCTGACATATGCCTGGTCCAGATGTCGACAAGAGCGGCAACCAAGATCGTCTCCGATTTCCCACCTTTCATCATGAGATTCTGAAGCAGCCGCATTGGGACGCTGGAGAACTATACGGCAGGATTAGGGTAGTGCTAGCTGAGGGATTCTCGCGGCCGCATCGGTCTCCACCATTCGAACGTGTGAAAGAAGTCGTCGCTTTTGCGTTCCAGCATGCCCCCATTCGTGAGTTGGGCCAAGAATTGCTTAGCTCCGAGAAACCTTACTTACAATAACTAGAGATTCTAGAATACTCTGAGATTGCATGGCCGAATGCCTCTATGTGGACGCGTGAGCCCCGGCTATTCAAGTACAACTCGGGGGGTGCAACAAGCAATATGAAAGAACCGGAAGATAGCCACGCGCATTCGCCTTCCAGGCATGATGTTCGGCAAATCTTGGCCACTAAGAGCCAGACCAGTAATCAATCTGGCTGTAGCTCTTGGTCTTATCGCAACTATCAGCCGCAGGTAACTCAATGGCAAGGCCAGCCAGGCGAGCCCAGGTGGCTGCCTCAAGAACAACTCATAACGGATCCCTTTATCGATCCTTGTGTACTTGACCCGGCTGCACGTCACCGAGGAGCTAGAGCATCCTGGGAAGACGTGCCTATGCCAGACTATACGTCCAACTCCAGCAGTAGTCGCGCTATTTCAAGCATGACTGGCATCAGTTATGAGCACAGCAAGCATCCCAGCATTGTTACCCCTATCGACGAGGAGTCGTACACTCAGCTAATAGAAGCACTGAGCCCTGCGCCCCTCAATTGTGGCACGTACGCTCCAACTAACACACCCTCGACTGCATTGCCCATGGGAGCTAAGCTTTCAGCGGCGGTGAGGGCGCGCTCCGAATCCTATTCAAAGAGCGCTGGTCGAGAGACTGAGTGCAAAGAGACATCAGTGTCCGAGACCAGGGACATTTCAGCTTCAAGCACGAAAACAAATCCGGTTGTGGACGCTACAGCAACAGGTAAGGTGCATGCTAGTCCGAGCACACACGTCAAGAGTCGAAAGGAAATTTTATCCTACGAAAACAAGGAGAACGACGTTTCGGTTGAAATATCTCACAAAGACAGCGACAAATCTCGCCAGACTCCAGTGAGACCCGCAGTACGTACGAGTGAAATCATGGGGACCCCAACTGAGTCCCAGGAAAGTCTAGTGCTTTGCTCTGCTGACGCTGCGGAGAGCATCCACAGACCTAAAAGAGAGCCTATCCTGCTGTTCCTCACTCAAGACTCGCCTATGGCTAGATCTCTGGTTCAACAAGCGAACCTCGACGGCTCTCCTGAGGCAAGGCCACCGCTTGCTAGCGCGGCCCTGGAAGTGGCAGAATTAGATTGATTAGTATTATTGTTACTTTACGAAAGGCTCGAGGTCATTTGTTTGCCTTCCTTGTCGATTGACGGTTTCACCTTGTGCTTTTGCCTTCTGTGTTGCTCTGCACATTGGCCCAATTTCTGTTCCAGTGACAGCCGGGAAGCAGAATGGGACTCGAACTGGGTGGTTGCCGGGTTGGCTGGGTTGCTGAACCCCGGATATTCGTTGATCATACCTATATATCTATCCCTATCCAAAAGAGACTGCCACGCGTCTGCAGCATGGATGAGAGACCAATAGACGTGGTTAACATGCATCGGTATGTAATGCAATACAGACTGCATCGGAAAAGAACGCCTGTCAAGTGTAGCCCAATGCGGAAGGCGTGGTGCTCCCCCTGTGCACCTACTCTTTGCGCTTCAGCTGGGTCTCCTTCTCCTTCTCTTTTTGTCCGCAATTATCTTTCACTGACCCCCTTCTTCAAATGACTTCCAAGATCGAAAGAATGACCATGGATGATCTCCAGACATTCTCATTCCAGGCGTTAGGCGCAGCTTCCACCTCGAGTGCTTCACTCACAAATGTGCTATCCCAGTACCGGTTCCAATCTCCTCGCGGGCTTGCCCACTGGGCTTGTGAATCCTCCCCTTACTGGAGACTCATCGATTCAGCGTCTGCTCCAGCAGAGGGCCCAAAGCTGCTTTCGCTACCTTGATCTCGTGCTTTGCCACCACCATCACTACCACCACCACGTCGTCTCTTGGCTGCAGGAAGATTGGCACGCGAAACTTATCACAATACCAGAAGCGCAGAGTCATTCCCAGAATCGAAACCAGCCGCAGTCGTCGCAAGGTGTTATGAGGAGAATCCATCGGCGAAGATGTCGTATCTCGCGGATGTGAATTTGGATCTCCTGGAAGACAGTTTTATTCTCTTTTGCTTTGGCGTCCTCACGACACAAGCGCTGCCATTTCCACGTTTTCATTTCAATATTTCAAAAAGTCGTCGTTGGGGTGTCAACCTTACAATGTATGGGTACACCATTGTGAGTTCCGCTATCTATGCTACCCAGGAAGAGGTCAAATCCGATATCTGTCGTGCTGCACTGAAGAAGCTAAAGGTTGACTTTCCAGATTGGAAGCTGCCTGACGAATCGGACGATTTCAAGCATCTGTTGACTGGGACTGGGTTGATATTCTGTAAGGCAAGAATTCCCGTCATGGCCTTTCAGAGTCGGTCTGATACGTTATCATAACAGAATCCTGCACTCACAACGGCCTCGACACGCCAGGTTATACCAAAGTCATGCACGAAAACGAGTACTATCACAAGGTTCAAGTGCACCGGACGACTTACACTAGTAGACTCGACTTATGCTAAAGATGAACACTCACAAAGATCATGCGCCTTGCTCGCATTGCGTCACCTGTACATTGATGGGATATGATATTACCAGCAGCCTCATAGGCCCACTCATTCTCAAAGGCATAGACGCGACGATGCTCGCCTTAGTTTCAAAAGACCCTCATCAGGCGCGTCACCTGGAAGCCTTCGAACCTTGCGCTGAATGCTCGCACTGAGCAGAGATTTGGCGGACTCGAACAACTGCCCCGGAAGAAACTGGGCTGAACGTACCCTCAGCCGAGTACCATAGCGAAACAAATGACGGCAGAAAGAGGGCGAAAGGCGAACCACGCATCTCGAATCTGTTGCCACTCCAGCGCACTAGATTGGCGTCGATTGAAGTGACTGTCAAAAAAAAAAGGGAGAGAGATGGACAGTGACGCCTCATGAGGTAGAATTTCAGATACAGGATCGCGGCCTATTTTACAGAGATATGGCAAAGTACTTCAAAAGGTTCTACCCTTCATGTTTGCAGCCACTTGCTAACGGGTCCTTCTCATATACAGAGATCTGCGATGTACTCCATCTGGGATACCCTGAATTCGAGTGGGAAGACTGGACAGGCGAGGATCGACAGCCTCGGAAATTATACTGCTGGGGCTTATTTAAGGACGACCCATTCCTCCAACGAGCCGGCGCCGTCGGTCGCATGGACGGCTTGCAGGATAGCAACGCGACGGCTGAACAAGCCTGTGCGAAAGAGGTTATTGGATACTTAATCAGAATGGTTGAGGAAGATGTGGAGCTCAAGGCTCACATGGCAAACGAGCGTCGAAGTGTTGAACAATGGCCTGTTAAAAATGAAGATGTTACGATGCATAATCATAAGTCGTTTTGCATCCTGTTGTAAACTGGCAAGCTGTTGTCCTTCCTATTCTCCCTCCCCCCTCCCAATCTCTATCTCTTTATTCTTTTCTTGTCCCTTTCTTCTGACATTTGTGTCGTTGGTTCTTCCCACGACTTACTCTTCTTGCGTTCCATGATTCATCGCGCTGATTCCACTGTGTCACGCGCTACTGGGTTTGACCACAAGAAGATACCAGTGTCGTGATTTCACGGCTAGATATCCTTCCGTCTTGATGATCTGGTTGTTGGAAGAACTCTCCCTGTCGAGTACATCGTGAATAGTGGCATTTTCTGCCACTTGTGCCCGTGTCCAGATGCAGTCAGCATCAGAGTTTATGTGAGTGTTTCTATCTGCATTGACAAGAATGGACCATCCTATGCACGCAATGCGCAGTGACTTTGGGAGTATTGTTGCAACAATGGTAATGCTATGGTTACTTTTACCATATCCTGAGAGAGACTAGATATCGCTTTGGACCGGTTCTGGTCCGTAGCAGGCCAGCCGATGCGCACGAAATCTCGCATGGAAGACCCGCGGACAGGCAGCCCAGCTCAACATAAATCAAGAATAGCATACAAACAGGTGGATAACCAACGGAGCGGAAAGTATCGGCTAAATTGTGTACGATGTAGGGTGAACGTAGGGGACAAGATGGGGAAGACATCATTTTTCTTCCTCAATTCATGAAACAATTCCCATGGCAGGGCCAAGATAACGAATAAAACCTCATTGATAACGCCCGAAGCAAGAGTTAGCAAGACAAAGGGAAATAGAAGAGAAAGATAAGATACTGAAAACAAGTAAAACTTGCTTGTAGAAGAGAGAAGGAAAGGAGCTTCGAGAAGGAGAAAGCCAGTCAAGGAAGTACATTTGGTGTAGGGGATCTCAAATATTAGGGTGGTAGAGATTTGCATGGCCAACGGGAGAGAAATATCACACTAGTAAGAGCCTTCGGGTGGAAGGATTGGTCAAAGGGACAGAATTAATCGAATAATAGTGATAGACGAAAAAAAAAAAAAAAAAAAAAAAAAAAAAAAAAAAAAAAAAAAAAAAAAGACTCAAAACAAAAGCCGTGCAACACAGATGGGTCATAGAGAGATCAACTTGCGCGCAAGGTCTCTTCCGGAACCAGTTGTCAATCACCTCTCGTCGGCAAAGGAAGATGCAGGACGGATACGCCAACGCCTTGTCACTAAACCACGTATCCCAGATCATGTCAACAAGGAGAGAGACGGTTAGTAGAGACAACAAGGAAGAAAATGAGCAAAAGCGCAGCACATATTGAAGTTTATGGAATATACAAAGCAAGGGTATATGAGTTAAGAACTGAACAACCGTCGAATCACATTCAAAGGCCATCCCCGGCACCGGTCTCAACACCGTCGGTGGGATACGATATATTGGGATCGAATCCAAATCCAGCCGTATCAGCATCGGTGTTGAGGAATGTGTCGAAATCAAAGTTCTCAAGGATGTCCGGGTTCTCTAAAGCGCTGAAATCGAGGCTGAAAACCTGTGGCTATGGCAGTCAGCATACAGTTTCTTCTATTCAAGAGCTCAAGCGGAGACATCTGAAATCTGGAAGACATACATCAGGAACGCCGAGCTCGCCGAACTGCTGGCCCTGATCCGTCGGAGGCTGCACCAGCGGCTGAGGGGCGGGAGCGGACGTAGGCTGCTGGGGAGCGCTAGTCGTGGTATTGGCACCCGCCTTATTGAACGAGGCGGGATGCTGAGGAGTGATTGGTGTGGATGGAGTCGGGGTCGGCGGGTGCTCAGCTTCGGATGATGGTGTGGCAGCAGCGTTTGCTGATGCGGCGGCCGCTGCGGCAGCAGTAGTTGCTTTCTTCGAAGGCCGCTGCAATGTCGATTAGAAATGTGACGACAGAAATAAACGGCATATGAACGGTATAGAAACAATACAAAGGTACATACCTTGCGAGTGTCCTTGGTATCCTTCTTTTTCGGGGCAGGTTTGTTCGCCTGCTGAGGTGTCGGTGGGGCGGCTGCGGCCGTCTGGGGAGAGGGTGGCTGAGTGCGGCCAGTGTTGGCACCGGCTGCAGGAGGGGCCTGGGGAGGTGGCATCGCGTTTCGTTCCTGCGGCGTACCAGTCGACTGGGGTTGATTTGCAGGAGACTGTTGTGGACCCATAGGCTGTTGGGCGCCCTGCTGAGGCTGCCAACCTCCACTAGGTACCCGATTTCCAGCACCAGCGGCAAGAGGTTGACCCATTTGAGGAGCACTAAACGCCGGATTGGAGCTCGGGGGTCGCATACCGTTGGGAGCGGTCATACCATCAGGTATTCCCTTGACGAAGAATTGGCCGGCCATCTCAGGGGGGATCTGGTTACCGAAATTCATGGAGGCGGGAGATCCACGACCCTGGGCCATCGCATCACCGGCACTCGGGGAGCCAGGAAGACCGGTCTGGGGCATTTTAGGCGTACCCCGCTTCATTTGTTCGTTGGGATTTGGCGACGTGCCCGCCCTGCTGCCTTGGGGAGAGGTGCCTGGTTGTAGGCCCGGCTGCCCAGGCAGCGGGGGCTGGCCGTCAGGACGGGCCATGCTGTCCTGCTCTTGACGAGCCATCATCAAACGTCTCTTATTCTGCTGTTCAAGCAGCATAAGTTGCATTTGATAATCTTGAAGAGCATGGTTTCCGGGCTGACCGCCAGGTGTCTGCATCCCGTTCCGGACCTGGGCCATTTGACCATTCGCGCCATAGTAGTCGCCGTTCATGGGATACACCTGGCCATCTGGCATGGACACCATATCCGTCTGGTTTTGCATGACACCGGGGTTCATCATACCATTCGGCATACCCTGGTTATTCATTGCTGAGCGTGAGTGATGAATGGCCAAGTTCTGAGCATATACCTGGATAGATTTCTGCTGCGCAGCAGGTCCTGACTGCGGGAAAGCCTGGAATTGGTTGGGGTTCATCGCCCGGTTGAGTCCATTCTGCATCAAGAGAGCGGCCTGGGGGTTCGGTTGACCTGGCATGCCCTGAACTTGAGCGCGTCCGTTGGGTGCCAACTGCTGGCTATTCATTAGGCCGCTTTCGAGACGAGGCCGCTTCGAGGGGGATGGGGCGTTTTCTGCGGATGATGGGGATTGTGGGCGATGGCCGTTCATGTCAATGTCGGAGTGCTCCCGAGTCATCTGCATCATCTGGAGTTGTTGATGCTGATTCTTTTGGAGTTGTTGCAATTGTTGTTGAGTCCTGTACAACGGATCAGTATGTCACCTGCAAGCTGCAGGGTAATGCAGAATAATGAGCATACAGGCCTGGGGTGTTGTTCTGCAGAGCGGTCTTCTGAAGCGGTTGGGGAACCATGCCATTCCGGCGGATGTTCATTTGTCCCATCTGGCCAGTCATCAGCGGCTGCTGCCGTAATAGTTGGTTCTGGTGTTGCTCTCTGAGGCGCATAATGTTCTACAGAGCCCCAGTTAGACTTGAAAGATGTATTGCAGGCATGTGAATGATATATACCTGGGTATGATTGAGGTATTGGCGCACATCAGCACTGTTACCCTTCTTGCGCTGGGCCCAGAAGAATTCCCAGAACAGACTGAACCACTCCAGAAGGAAAGAGGACTGTTGACCTTCGCTCGAGATGTGGGGGCGAGGAAGATCATCAGGAATCTTTTTCTCCCCGTCCTTGCCATCAGTCATCATCACATCCCCATCAACCCCATTCACATCACCATCGCGACGATGACCGGGACTCGACTTAATGGGGGGTTCAGTATTGAGTTTAACGGATTCATCCTTCACAAGCGCTCTAGCACACTCATAGTAGCCGCGTTTCAGAAAGTAGTCGTAGATAAATGTGTTAAGATTGCCGACTGTGCTCTCAGGAATAGTGTGAATGGTTGCATCGTTGCGTGGGGCCGCAGAACCATTGTTGATCATTGGGACACCTCCCACAGGACCGCCTGCACCGGGATTCATCCCAGCCACGTTCATTTGATTCATGGTGGCACACAAAGGGTTCAGCCACCCTCACCGGACGATTGTCTTCGACGTCAGAAAGTTTATCTCAGAAGACTCTCAACGCGCATCCACCGTCTCAGGGCGAGGTTAATCACCACGGCAGATTTGATAGGCGCGCGAAGACCCAGGCGGAGGGTAACAGTCCAGGTCACTGCTGCTTCCGACCCAATATCTGACGGCTGGGTGTTCGAAGGCCAAACGCGATATCGCCTACCTCACTTAGTGTGGCGTCGGTGGACAGCACAACGGCGAAAATCACCAAATCGAGATGAGCGTAGCCCACTCGGAAGTGAAAGCAACGAGTTATTAGACGGGAATCTGTCGCTGACTCGAAGCAGACAGAGGGGAAGCCAGAGGGAGAAGTATCGGTTGAAATGGAAGTGCAACACAAAGACAGTGTAAGAGAGATTGAGTTCGCAAGGAGACCCTGCCACCAGAAAATGCGCGACAGAACCAACCAGGGTGAAAGAAGAGGGCGGCGACAGGCGACAGGCGACACAAATATAGGCACAGGACGGGTACGGCGTGTTGGAGAGAACGGCCGAGGAGGCGTCTCAAAAAGCAAGCACCACAAGTACCACCGTTTGAAAGCCAGAAGAGGGAACAAGAGGGGCTAAAGGTAATCACCAGAGCCCCTGCAGGATAAGGGAAAGGAGGGGGGGTGGGATGGGGGAAGTAGAGAGTGGAAAGAGACGGAGAGATCCGGCAGATTCGAGGAAAAGGTGGAGGGGGAGGGAGGAGAGGCGAAGGTTAGGACAAGGTGTAGCGGTGGATCTGAGGTGTTCTCTGGTGGGTGGGAGGACGTGGATATCAGGCGCGGTGCCTGGAGGTGCTGGGCTGTTCAATCACTACCGGCTGGGCGTGAATCGCTTGTTCGGAACGGAAGAATTTGACCGGAAAGCCGCAGAAGGGCTGGGAGATGCTGCTGGCTGGCGTATATCTCAGCATGCACTTCCAGATATGGCGGCAACACCTTAGGGAAAGGGAGGAACAGAGGGAGGGGGGGAAATATAGTACAGTAAGAACAGAATAACTTACCTTTTGCAATGGGTACTAGCAAAGAACCATAAAAACAGGTGAGAGCAGAAGAATCAGATGAATTGTAATGTAAATCGCCCTCCCCGGAGATTCAACTTGGATGTTAGGAGGGGAAATAGCGGAAGTGAAGGAGGAGAGAGCCAAGTCTTTTTCTCTTGCGGGAGGCAAGAAAACAAGACCGACCGGGTCCGGGTGATGTATCGATCGATGTATCTAGACAAATGATGAGGTTAATCTTCCAAGTCAAGCACATACAAATTCATGTTGCACAGAAAGATACTAAGTAGAAATCACTACGTCATCTTCATTCACTTTTTGTTCACTCTTTAGATCAGAAGGGTTGTGAGATCAGACAAACGCGGGCCCTTGGATTTCTTTTCCAGGTCATCAAGGTAAATGGATGGATGGATAGATAGATGGTCTACACGTCTACACAGTATAGACCAAGGTGATGGGGGAAAGTGAGATGCGGTCTCCAGCAACAATAATCAGTCTCTGATAAATGGTGGCAAAAATAAAAACAAAATCGACATACCTATTACTGTGCCGATTCTCGGCAACTTTTCCTTATGTTTAACAATCATATCAATTATCTCAACTGTTCCGAATTGGTTACATGAGTTGATTCTATCTACAAGCCTACACGGTAGTTATGGCTTAGGACCTTGCGTAATTCCTAGCACAGCCGGGCTCAGTCGGGTCTGATTGTTCATTGCCTATTCAGGCTTAGTTTATCGCGTGTCTTCCAGCCAACTATCATCCCTCACCTGTGACCTGATCTGATACCTATGTACTCCGTACTCCGTACTCCGTAATACAAGTTTCTGAGATTGGAGGACATCAACGTCGTGGTTTTTTGGGTCGATCATAGGGTCAATAATCAGATGGCAGTCCAACAGGCGGATTCATGCCGTAAGAACTTATAATACTGTCGGAAATTTCAGACACGATTAGGGCAAGCAGGCTAAGATCTGGGGCCCGATATCATCCTATATTCTTTGCCTGTGCTAATACTTAGGCCCCCATTCGACTCTGTAAACCAGTCAATCTTCTTGTGATCAATGGTTTTCATGCGGTCTTCACTGTCCCGGTCTAATTTATGTGATTGTCCATAGAGTATGCACCCTTCCCACTAGGGCTGTCAATCATAATGTACAAGTGATCCCGATCAATTAGCTGTAACTGCATTTGAAAAATCCGCAAACACCCCGACGCCTCAGCAAACAAGATCAGATTCAAAACGCCGAATTTGCTGCCGCGTCTACTCCTCTTCAGGAGGCATCTCGTCCTCGATGTACCTTATAAGTGATACGCGCATTTCCGTGGTGTCGTCTCCGCGCAGTACATCGCTTACAAAATGCGCCTCAACCTGCATTTGTACCTGTTGACGGTGTCAAAAGTCCGCTATCGAGTGTATGATCGAAGTAGGGAATGATTACCATCTCCAAAGCCCCACGTAAAACACCACATAGAATATTTGAGAACCAGAGCTCATCTTGGGCCCGCCCATCGTCCGGTAATTCAACGAAGTCTGCCAGCGGGTTTTCGTCAAACACCAGTGAAAATTGATTGTTGTCGCTTGTCCAATTGGTTACAGTGGGCGCGATATTAAGGAATATCCGAAAGCCGACCTGTTACATGCCACGCTCGAGTGATCAGCCCATTCATTTGTCGAAGGGTATTTGAGGTCAACAAATCCCACCTTAGCGATCATGTCTGCTGTTTCCCGGAAATTAGCGCACCGGCCTACATTCGACTTCGCCAAAAAATCCTCGATAAGCCGCATTCCGATGTTGTAGCCCATTTTTTCCAACTGCTTGTTGACTTCCGGGTAATTTCCATCATAGTCCTGACAGAGTTGTGCGACAATTGTTCCGTATGTCAAAGTGACCAGTTCCGCATTGACTTTATCGACTCTTGTTCTAACGAGGACAGGCTATGAGTCCCTGTATTCCTTGACTCGCGAGTCTGTGTCGTTATATCAACGTTCTAGCACCGCTCACTTACTTCCATAATCTGGCGCATTAGTTGGTATGTTAGCAAGTGAACATATCACGGATGGGAGCTGCGGCATGCTTACTCTTCACCAATCCTGGATGCTTTGGTAGTTGATGACATGTTGGACACTCAGAGTCTATGTCCAACTCCGACAAAGGGTTTCAAAGATAGCCTAGATATCAGCTTCAGAGCGAGAGAGGATTAGGAGGCCAGGTCCAAATGCTTGAGTAAGTAGTCAAGTGTTGACAACGAACTCTCCCCGCTGAACCTGCGAGGGAAATGAGGCGGAGCTTCACCGCCTAGTGGGCCATCCGCGGGCGCCTATCGCGGTTAAAGTCACACAGAGCATTGATTCAGGAGACAGACCATTATCAACTTAGCGCCTTTTCTGCGTCCCCGCGCCATAACGTTCAAACAGCTTGGCACGCCGCCTTCTCGACTCTACCTCAACACATCCGTGTGTCTTTCTGTGCCTGCCGAAGCTCACGTGTCTTACCCTTGATTGTGAACTGGCTTGCTCTCAAAGGATGTCTGGCGAGAAGCGACCTGCCCCGGAGGCATTTAGTTCCTCCAACCAGCTCGTCGTCAAGCGAAAGAAGTCCGATGCTAGTATTGATAGCACAGCTGTGATCAAAGGCTTCTCGCGAGATGGAACTCTCGTGCAATCAGTATGTTACTAGATTGTCGACCTGTAACTGTATGTCTGGAGTGAACTGACTGAATCTGAATACAGGTTCCCCGCACCAGCGGGCTCCAGGCCCCGATCATGGAATTGACAGGTAATCTGCGCCGAAGGTAGTGAGGTGAACCATTACTTAACGTTGAGTCTAGGCCATTCTGGCGAGGTTTTCTCCGTCCGGTTCGATGCGTCAGGCCAGCACATTGCTTCAGGATCGATGGATAGATCAATCTGTGAGAATAGCCTGGCTTTTTCGACTTGGTACGGGGTACTAACACAAGCGAATATCAGTGCTTTGGAACACATACGGAGATTGCGGAAATTACGGTGTACTGTCAGGACATCGAGGTGCTGTTCGCGATCTGCGGTGGTCTCGAGACTCTAGGACGGTATTCTCCGCATCAACAGACATGACACTCGCCAGCTGGGATCTCGAAACAGGGCAGAGGATCCGACGACACGTTGGTCATGAGGATTACATTAATTGTCTTGATATCAGCAATAGAGGGCAGGATTTACTGGTTAGCGCCAGCAACGATGGCAGTATAGGCATCTGGGATCCTCGCCAGAAAGACGCCATCGATTATGTGGAAGGGGAGCTTCCCATCACCGCTGTGGCTCTCTCTGAGGCTGGCAATGAAATATACAGTGGTGGTATAGACAACACCATTCATACATGGGATATCCGAAAGAAGAGTATCGTCTACTCTTTAGCGGGACATACGCATACAATCAGCTCGCTTGAACTGTCACCGGACTCGCAAACACTTCTCTCGAATTCTTTTGACTCTACCGTACGGACATGGGACATTCGGCCTTTTGCACCAGCCAATCGACACATTCGGACCTTCGACGGCGCTCCCGTAGGCTTGGAAGAGAACTTGATTCGGGCCAGTTGGGATTCGACGGGTGAGAAGATCGCGGCCGGAAGCGGGGACCGGAGTGTTGTTGTATGGAATTCCAAGAACGGGAAACTCCTATACAAACTACCAGGGCATAAAGGGACCGTTAATGATGTTCGCTTCTCTCCTAATAATGAGCCAATAAGTAAGTCGTTCGTCACACACTAACCGGTTGCTCTGTTGTTCTAACAAACCAACAGTTGTATCTGGGTCATCCGACCGCACTTTATTACTTGGTGAGCTTGGCAAGTGAGCTTGTCCTTGAGTTCGTGTCAGACCATGAGCAAAGTAGGCTACGTCATAGCACGGTACACAAAGCAACAAGACCACTCTGTGCGCAGCCCTAGCGAGACTTGTGCAGTTCTGACTTGCGAAAATCATTCAAGCACATTCAAGCGAGGCCTAGGGTATCCTATTCAGGGATTAAAGGACAATGACTGAATTACACGTGCCCGGACAAGGCTACTGTTGGATCTTCCAGCTACCCTAATTTGATGTATATGTTTGGTAGACTATCTACTGTGCGATACTGCAAAGCATCGCTGTCCGATCATTGATTGCTTGGGTCCTATCGTATAGTCATGTATACATTTCAGCGGAACGCACTGTTAACCATTTCACTGTTTAGTACCCAAAAACAATTATGACATCATTGAAGAGGGAGAGAATTCGGGAATGTGTGTACAGTACTGGGTTTGCCATGTGCTAGATTGTGCAATGTGATCAGCGGGAAACGTGGGGTCATCCAGGGGTAGATTGGGATACTGTGCAAGTACTAGTTAGTACTCCGTACTGAGTAAATACCTACTCCATAGCAGACCGCTTATGAGGGTTTTGAATAAGTATAATCTTAGAAATCAAAATGCACTGACCAAATGTAAGGTCTCTGGCAATAATCTTGAACTTACACTAATTATAGATCATCAACATTCAGATTTCATAAAACAGCTAGTCACTGCGTGATACAGTACTCCGTACTTGTCATTCTATTGTCGTCACTAAAAGTAGGACGGCAAGCGCGACCAGCTACTGACATGTGATTGATTTAGCTCCGAAACTAAAAGTTGCTACTTTTGGAAACAACTGAACCAACCCGCCGTGGCCGCGGCTTGTTCCCCCTGCTCAACTACGCCGTTTCCAGCGCTCTCTCTCCCTCTCTCTCTCTCTCTCTACACCCCCCCACCACCCCGTCATCCATCATTCTGCTAACCCACGCCTTCGTTTTCCTTTTTCTTCCCTTCCCCTTCTTTCTTCCTTTGGATCAATTGACTTCGATTTGACGATGATACGATAATCTCTTCTTCCCTCCCGATACACATATCCTGCCGCTCGCTAGAATTGCCTCTTATCAGTCAACAAATATCCTTTCTGTCTGCCAGCCAGCCGGTATCCAGTGACTTCGTCAGTCCCTGAGCACCCATCGCATATCAATTTTAATTACCTTCGTTTCCTTACTCTGTACAATCACTTGTTTCGCAGCCTTACCGACTGGCCTCAGCGACTGTAAAAATTGATTGTTTGCTATCAAGGCTGGTTTCTTCACTGCCGAGCACAGCCACTTATCTATCCTTGACACAATCTCAATTCACGAACTTAGCCTGCCAGTGTTTTCGTTCTGCGTTTGCCTCCGTTAATCTTCCTGTGTATTTGCCAGGTTGAGGATCGATTTGGTGGTTGCTGGGCACCTCTAAGGTCGCAACAAGGAGTCCCTTATGCTGCTCACCTCTACCCCTCGGTCAACCCGGGCTGGTCCACCATTATGAATCATTGCGCGGAAAACAACCTGTTTTGCTTGTTTTCATCGCTCACGACTGAGTCTCTCTGAAGCTCCGATTTGCTTCATTGCGATCGATATTTGCAGGGAGTTGTCATCACGGTGCACACCTTTTCAGAGCTTGTTTGTGTTGTTCAACGGATGCGGAAGTGACTTCGGATTCATACATACTTCCCAAAACAACCTGCATCTGGACACAAGGAGAGTTTGTCGCTTCACTTCCTTCGCTTGGTATTAAAGCGAACCTTACCAATACCTCGCTCTTTTAACTTCAATTTATTTCCTATTGCTTCCAAGCAGATGATTGTCATTGACTGTTAAAAATACTCAATATGGCATCGGCTCGGCTGTCTCATCTGGAATCGACACATTCCAACTTAGACTCCGGCATGCCACACAATTCTGCAGTGTCCGACACTACCCACAGATCGAATCTTTATCCCCAAATTATTCAGCATGTTGACCAACTCATCGCAGCAAGAGCCATTCACCGTCGTGGGAATGACGAGCAACGACTTCTTGGCAGTAACCGCACTAGGGACCAGGACCGCCGGGTCCGTGAGGGTCCTACATCGTCGGAATATATTTTGAATGATGTGACAGCCTCGCCTAATGCGCCTCAGCGAACATACGTTCCGATTTCCATGCAGCCTGCTGCAGATCGTGATGGCAATCAGGCGCAAGCCGAAATGGGCATGTACGAAGAAACACAGGCTCTGGCCTCGTCGAGCAACTCTGGCAGTCCCAGCTGTGGCAGACGATCATGTACCCCACTCTTTAGACAGAGGAAAATTCGCAGGCGACTTATTACATTGATAGCGTCTGGAGTCTTCCTCCTTTCCGTTGTCGCTGTTTACCTTGCATTTGCTGCATCACGCACAACATTGGGTCGGGAGCTCCAAATCCTCTTAATCTTTATGATACTGATAATCGGTATTGTTTTCTGTCATTCATTAACTCGCTTTCTCATGGCGATAGTACCAAGATCTGCTTCTGAGATCGCAACAAATCGCATACCGAGCAGGGCAGGACCCTCTGGTTATGCACAACCCGCACATCCTATTCACGTTGTTCTTGCGGCGGATGAGGACTCTGTGACTGAAAGTCGTAAAGCTGTTCGAGAAAAGATAACTGCACCACCTCCAGCTTACGGTCTCTGGAGAAGTAGCGTGGTATGTTTATAAACAAGTTGGATTTTCTAGCTTGCGCTAATCGATTACAGCGACTGAACCCGGATCTGTTGTATTGGCAACGTGTGGATAACAGTTCCCGATTACAGCAGGTTTTCGAACGCGGTTTTAGCAACAAGTCTCAGGCACCCCGGCCACCTAGTTACACCTCCGATAATGGTATCGACTACGTTGTCGAAGCACAGCCGCGATCTTTCATGCAGTGTCATGCTCCAGAGCAGTCGAGCCGCCGGCAATGATGTTCTTATTCTCCCTTTTGTTCTGCGCTGCACCTTCTTAGAGTAGCTGTCGTGAGCAAAATCCTGCCTTGCAGAAATTTATGTCCTCCGTGGCTTAAATTAATCTCTTCATCCAACATATACCCCCAAACATCGATACATATTTGTCATTTCGCTCGTGTCTTGTTCATACTCTGGTTATCTGGATTCAAGCGGGAGTTACAGTGGCTGATCAGCAGCAGCATTGATGAGCGCTACCATATGTTGAATTTAGCTTGTAACCGTTGCATTCCTTTACAATGCCGAGATCTGGTTCAGAATCAATCTCTGTAGGTTAGCGGCTATCTTGTCTTCACCAAGACCCAAAGGATTAGGGATTAAGAAATTGCGTATAAGGGGTCGAAAAAGGCATATCTGGCCGGAGCGCCAAATGCCGGGGAGATTGAGGCGATCTCACGTGCTGGTCCCGCGGCGAGCTGCCACCACCGGCACCACTGCAACACTACTCTTCCCCCAATTCCCTCGAGAGCTTTTCGCAAAGTAAAGTCTCCTGAGCAAAGGGCACACTATTCCGCTTGCTCCTTTGCGGTCTCAATCTATTTTGCGCTCACATGCTATTGATATCTGACTCGCCAACGCGGTAATGCGCTAGGGATGTTGGCGCTCTCCAATGTCCAACCTCCGTTCCGTATGGGTGCTGATCTGGGCCTTGCTTTTGTCGCTATGGCTTGCTACGGCTCAGGGAATGAGGACCGATCGAGTTAGAGAACTTCGGTACGATTTTGCAAAACAAAGATATCGTCCTGGTGAATTCGCTAACGGCACTCCACGTTACCTATGACTAGTAAGGAGACCGAGCGCATGTTTTATCACGGCTTTGATAACTACATTCGACATGCATTTCCCGAAGATGAGCTCCGTCCCTTGACCTGCCGCCCGTTGGTCCGCGACCGAGACAACCCTGCGCATGCGGAACTCAATGATGTTCTTGGGAACTATTCCCTTACTCTGATCGACAGTCTTTCGTCTCTGGCTATCCTTGCGTCGAGTCCAGAAAATGGAGCAGAGGCCTTAGCTTACTTTCAAAGAGGAGTGGAGGACTTTGTCATGCTTTATGGAGATGGTTCTGATGGTCCTGCAGGCCAGGGCAAGCGGAGTCGAGGATTTGACATGGATAGCAAAGTCCAGGTCTTTGAGACGGTCATCCGAGGGCTGGGTATGTGCCAGTCTCATCCCTTACAGTCAACCAGCGTAGAGCTGCTATCCTGACTAATATCTTTCACTACAGGCGGACTTCTCAGCGCGCATCTTTTTGCTGTGGGTGACCTCCCCATCGTTGGGTATGATCCTCCAGATGAGGAAGTCGCCTTCGCAAAAGCTTGGGATAAAGCATCCTTTCAAGACTGTGGACACGGTATCACTTGGAAGAGCGGGTTTGTATACAATGGCCAACTCTTGCGACTCGCGGTTGATCTAGGCAACCGTTTACTACCTGCATTTTACACAGACACCGGTCTTCCTTACCCGCGGGTCAACCTGAGATACGGAGTCCAACGACAACCATTCTATGCCAATTCGCCGCTCAATGCGGCCCATTCGTGCAACGGATCAAAAACTGAACGCTGTCAGAAAAGCCGCTGGTCATCCTTCCCAGAAACCACAGAGACTTGCAGTGCTGGCGCCGGCAGTCTTGTTTTAGAATTCACCGTCCTAAGCCGGCTTACTGGCGATGGCCGGTACGAGGAGCTTGCTAAGAGGGCCTTTTGGGCCGTATGGACACGAAGAAGTGAAATTGGCTTGATTGGATCTGGTATTGATGCTGAGTCGGGAAGATGGATACACTCGTACACCGGGGTGAGTACTTTTCAAGCATAAGAAAACATTACCCAGCTTGGCTGAACAGATGGTCATAGATCGGTGCAGGAATTGATAGCTTCTTTGAATACGCATTCAAGTCATACGTTTTGCTTTCTTCGGGAGAGCGACCGCCTCATAACACAAGCAGCCCATGGCATCTTTTGGACGATTACTTCCCCCCCTTGGGCGAGCACGAACACTCTGCACAGGCTTTTTTGGACGTTTGGCAAGAGTCTCATGCGTCCATCAAGAGACACTTGTATCGGGGCGATGGACATCAACACCCTCATCTCATCCAAGGCGACATTTTCACGGGTGCGACTCGTGCTTTCTGGATAGATAGTCTCAGCGCCTTTTACCCTGGCTTGCTGACGCTGGCTGGTGAGGTGGATGAGGCAATTGGCATCCATCTTCTGACCACTGCTGTCTGGACGCGGTTTTCTGGCCTGCCTGAAAGATGGAACGTCGCCACAGGAAACATAGAACAGAACTTGGCATGGTACGGTGGTCGTCCGGAATTTGTTGAGTCGACATATTACCTGTACCAGGCAACTAAGGATCCATGGTATCTGCATGTGGGCGAGATGGTCCTCCGTGATCTCAAGCGCCGATGCTGGACTAAGTGCGGATGGGCTGGAATCCAGGACGTTCGCAACGGAGAGCTCAATGATCGAATGGAGAGCTTTTTCTTGGGAGAAACCGCGAAATATATGTTTCTCCTTTACGATTTCGAGCATCCGTTGAATAAAATGGATCAACCGTTTGTGTTTTCTACGGAGGGTCATCCACTGATAATACCCAAGCACAGCACCGCCTCCCGCAGACGCCGGCAGCCACCGTTGAGCGTGAAAAGCAAGGAATCTGTCTGCCAATTGGCCCCCCGTCCACCAACATTGGTGGTTTCATCCACGGCTGCACGTCCTGATCTTTTCCATGCTGCGAACTTAGCTCGCCTGCACCTCATGCCCAGTAGAGGCGTTCCCGAAGGGCCCCTTCTTGAGTATGCTGAGGATCATCCAAGCATATCGATGTCCGATATATCGTCGCCTACGAATTTTACATTTTACCCCTGGACCTTGCCAGCAGAGTTGATACCTTTCAACGGGACCAGTGCTCCCTTAATCTCTCGCCCGACCCTCGATATCTCATTCCCTGCACTCCCCGGGATGGTCATAGGTCCCGGGTCGCTGGAACGAGTTCGGGATGGAATTCTTGTGAAGGCCATCGGAGGTCTGCGGCTGAGCATGGTTCGCGATATACCGGCTCCTGACGCAACCAAAAATCCAAATAAGGTCGAATATCGGGTGCAAGTAATCAATAACGTGCCCCTGGGTAAGGATGAGAAGGTATATCTTTCACGGGAGATCACATTCGATGTGCTTGATCCCACTGATCCTAACTTTACGCGTGTTCGCGACTCTTCCATGGTAGACATTGTTATTGATGTCCTGCCAGAGCTTCTTCGTCGACAGAACGATTCGAATGATGGCTTCGAAGCTGCTGAACCTCAGCAGGCGCGGGGTTCAATTATTCACGACTCAGCTTCGGTTGAGGGCAACATTGGCAGCGTCGACCCGTCGAGTTCCGGTATGAAAACCGTACTATCCTCTTTGGTGAACTCCTTATCTACTCTACTGCGAGACGAAACGCATGCTGAGACGGGTCTTCCCCTTCAAAACTCGCCAATTCTGCGATTGATGATTCCAGCGGCTATTTCGACTGGCCTCGGGTCGGCTCCGTTGCCCGATGTCGAAGATGCCCCAACAGTGTCGGTGGCGGGTGACCTGTCAAAACGGCGCCTCGCCTGGTCCGCCGTCTATTTCGCGGACGAGCTCTGTGATCAGCGTCTTTCAAGGGAGGTCGTTCAGAAACACCAAGTACTTGTGCTTCGGCGTGGCGGTTGCAGTTTCTCGGAAAAGCTGCGCAATATTCCCGCGTATCCGCCGTCACGCCATGCTCTGAAACTTGTGATAGTGGTCTCTCAAACTCCTGAGGAAGAGGAAATGTGGGAGGCGGCGGGCTCGGTGCCGGCCTCGCCGGGGTTGGCTGCTGTGCACGCAGAGCGGCATCTTGTTCGACCACATCTAGACGAAAGCCAGTTTACTGCAGGTGGCCTTCCGCGACGCCATCTACTCAGTATGGTGATGGTGGGTGGCGGCGAGGAAACCTATGCGTTGCTTCGACAGGCGACCGGAGTGGGAATCAAGCGGCGCTATTCAATGCGGTCACAAGGGGTCCCGATCCACAACTTATATATCGTCTAATATATACATTACGTGTTCGAGAATGACCCTCGCTTGAGGCCCAGGCATCTGCCGTTATATGTACATACCTGGATATATTGTAGATGTCAACAGAGAATGGAAAAAACGAGAATGTATATGTAGATATACCTGACAAAGCTAGGTATATGATGACCAATACAGAGTAGTTAACTACTTTGTACTATTACCACGCATGTAACTTGGTGTTTTGGACGCTAAAAACTTAGCCTGATCGTAGGTAAAGCGCAAATCCAGTCACCTTCCGGCAATCGGGCCGAACCCCACAGTTCTCTAGCAAAGCCCTCCCGAGTCCAGCCCCCTCGCCGTCCTCCTCCTAAGGAGAGGAGGGTCTTGCGCTTTCTGCCTCCGAGCATCGGACCTAGTTACAGCTCATGGCAGTACTAGTTTCATTGTACAGTACCGACACTCTTTGAGACTTATCCTTTCATTTACCAGTAATCACTCACTCCGCATTGCATTGATCTCTCATTGTTGTCTACATTTTTTTTCTTTTGTTCTTATATTTTTCTTTTTTCTTTGCAGATATACAAGTTCTGCATACACAAAATACATCACAAAATACATCACAAACAGGAGAACAAACAGATATGCATTTCCACGAACCTCCCACCAGGGAGTACTCCTTCATCCCGATCAATATCAATACCGCGAGCACGACCGTAACCACCACAAACTCGGCTGAAGAGCAATCCTGGTATCAATCGCAACGACCACTGTACCTCGCCTACGGGTCCAACCTCTCCCCCTCACAAATGTCCACCCGGTGCATCCACAATCCCACCTCGTCGGTGCCTCTCGCCATTGCCCGCCTTCCCCACTGGCGCTGGCTCATCTGCGAGCAGGGCTATGCGAATGTTCTGCCGCCACCGAACCTGCGCGTCGGACCACAGACGGAGGTACGAGACGATAAGGTGCCTGTCGCAGGGACGGAGGATGCGGTGTACGGGGTGCTGTATGCGATGGATGAGAGGGATGAAAGGCTGCTGGATGGGTTCGAGGGGGTGGATAGGGATGCGCCGGCTGCGGCGCCTAGTGGCAGGGAGGACAACGTGACGGCGGTGCCGCCGCAGAGCGTCAGGCCGCAGGAGCAGGGGCAGGGAGATTACAATAAGTGGGTGGTAGAGGCGGAGGTTGTGCAGTGGTTGGAAAATAAGGTCGGTGCCAGCACTGTACAGGTGTTGGTGTATGTGGATGAATTGAGGGTTAATTTGGGTCCGCCTAAGGAGGAATACATTCCACGGATGAATCGCGCCATTCGAGAGTCGGTCGCTCTGGGACTCCCGGAAAGGTGGGCAGAGGAGGTTATGAGGCCATCTATCCCTCGCGACTGAGTGGGTTTATCGGACGGGGCATTCGCTACGACCAATGGGCGAAATATGCTTGTTTACGAAGGCATTAACTAGCGATATACTTGATTTTGTCGTCAATGGTATAGTATTTTCATCAGTCTATAATTTCAGAGAAAGCGCAGCTCTGTTCGTAACCCGCAGGACAATCATCTTCATATTTGTGGGATTTCGCTCCAATGAGCTAGAAGATACCAACCTAAAATTTCAGGTCGGGTCCGAGGACGAGTGGCTTTACGTCCCAACAGGTAGCCGACGAGGTCAGATCATCGGTCGGGGAGTAAGCAGCCAGAAGTCAGCAACGCAGCAAAGCCACAATTGCCATCTACTGATTGCACGATAAAGCACGGCATTAGATTACCGTAGTCTGGTCAATCCGCCCAGGCGAATCACTTCCGGGGAATGAGCTTATTTTTCTGACTTTGCGTACCTTTGACAACGAATCGAACAGAGGGGTAACACAGTGCGGAATGTCTTTGCTTTTCATTATAATTTCTTTTTTTGCCTTTTTGGTGAACTCAGAGGACCTTCTCCTCCTGGCCAGTCAGAAGGGTATGAACGGGGGCGGACAGCTTGTCCCGTCCCTTGAGGAACTCGAGTTCAAGAATGAAAACGAAAGCCATGAGATCACCGCCCATCTTCTTGATCAGCTCCCCAGCCGCGAACGCCGAACCACCTAGGTTTACGTCAGCTTTGCTTGCCTTGATTATCAAGATCAAAGGATAGACACTCATACCGGTGGCTATGATATCATCCACCACCACGACCTTCTGACCAGGCTTGATGGCATCAGACTGCATCTGAAAGAAGTCCTCGCCATACTCCTTCTGGTAGCCCTGAGTCTCGCAGGGACCGGGAAGCTTGCCTTGCTTGCGGACGGGGACGAAGCTAGCGCCCAGTCTCAAAGCCAAGCTAGGACCAAACAAAAAGCCACGGGCTTCCAAACCAACAATGACATCGGGTTTCTGGTTGCCGTTGCTCTCGAGTATGTGGAGCTCGAGGCAGCGCAAGAGAGCCTCGTGCAGGGTAGGATTGGCAAAGATCGGGAGGATATCTTCGAAGAGAATGCCAGGCAACGGGAAGTCGGGAAATTGACGCAAAGCACCACGCAGGCTTACTTTAAGATTGGCGAGTTCGGTGGCGCGGGCGGGATTGGAGGCGGACTGTCCGGCGATTTGGGCGGCGGTGGTGGCATGGGGATCCTGGAGAGGAGGGGTAGAAGTGGATTGAGACATGGTGAAAAGGAAGGGAGAAAAGAAGGAGGAAGAAGAGGAAGAGAGGAAGGAGGGGAGGAGGGGGAAGAAAATGAGGGGGAGGGAAAGAAAGAGTAGGAATAGACTAAAGAGATAAGAGGGGAGAGGAGGACAAGGAAGCGTGTAGTTAGTGAGGGGTGATGGAAAGGATCGAAAAAAAGGAAAAAAAGACCAAAAGAAGAAAAGATATCAATATGTGATAAGCAGCGAGGGGAAAACCAGGAGGGCAAGAAAAATTAATTGGTGGTATTGAGCTGTAGGGAAAGTGTAATCATCCGGTCACACCTCTTTCTTCATCAGCCATTGCAGGTACAATCATCGTGGTACGGGACATGTATGGGTAAGTATCATTCCTATTAATCCCCTTTTTCCTTAACCTCTAACTACCTCCCGGGTACGAAGTGCTGTCACTACTCGTTAGACTAAAGTAATACTAGCTGATGCAGAGAGCTTATACCCCTCCAGCTGATGTGGTGCCAATGGAAGAAAAGTGCAAAGAGAAAGATGATCTAACGAATCGGACAGCGAACCGGCACGACAGCGAACCGTCGTTTTCCTATATAACTACCACTATGAAAATCACAACTCCATCATTTTAGTTAGAATAGATAAATCAAATAAGATATACAGTTCTTTATATAGAAATATCATAAATCACAGATAAAACTATAATAATACATATCTTAAATATTAGATTTACAGATATTTCAGATATATTATACTTTAAATACACTGTCAAGAGTCAAGCAAAGCTATATAAATCAAGAGATAATACTATATTTTATACTATATTCTAAGATAATATAGCTGAAATCCTCTTTATAATATACCTTATCTAGCTTTATATCTCATAATTCTCCATATTACTTTTACTAATATCTTGTAGTTGAAAATATCATAGAGTTGCCATTTTTATATAGTGGTAGTTATATAGGGGAACGACGATTCGGTGTCGCGCCGGTTGGGTGTCCGATTACGTTACGATGAGTCTTTCTTATTCTATATGTGCATAATCGCAGTTTCTTATGATCTTTTACTTTTTCCTTATCCGAGCAAGAACCACGGACAGAGATAGCTATATGGATGGCTAGTGTGTGTGACAAATCATCATGGCCAACTACATTGTGATCCCAGCAAATCCGATCAATCGGATGGCTATATTGGTGACCAATATGTGTTTCCGGTGGATTATAACCATGCTGTGCTGCATTCGGATCTTTTTCTCATCTCAAATCCATTGGGTTACTTGTTATATCACATTTTCTTGGTCAAATAGCCACGGCCGAGACTTTCTTGCTACTCGTGCATAGGAAAGAAAAAGAAGGACAACCTAATCCCAGATCATCCCATGTTTTCGCCAATCAGAGTAGCACGTGAAGGTGTTCGACGATCACAATGGATCATAGCCATGGGCTTCGAAGGCGTACAGAAGATAGAATTCAATCTATCTACTCCGTACACCGCCGCTTTTTCACTGGCTTTGCCCTCTAGCCCATTCTGGCCAAGGATACCAAATGGTGTGTCAGGCTGGCGACTTATCCAAGGCCATACATATGGACCCCATGGTCAATTACCTCAAGTGGCTGCTGGACCTGCAGCGGAAGCGCAATGCTGCCTAGCCGTGCGCTGGTCGCCTAGTCTGTCAGTCTGCATACTATTACTATGAGACTATGGGTAAATACAGTACTGCGGAGTAGTTTACTGGGCTTACTGTCCACTCTTGTCGTTCGGAAAATCCGCCATGAAGAAAGAACCTCCATCTATTGTTGTGCCTGAATGTTTTTCTTTTTCCCTGCGGGTTGCTGATGATCTTCTTGTTGACTATACATATACTACCCGGGTAAATTCATGGAGAACAGGCACCTAGACCATCTCTAGCTTTGACAATCTGTGCTTCGCGCCCAGTTATCCCACATTAGTTATATAATCGCACAGATACCGCCAGTCACCTACTGTATGTCCCACCAGGGTCAACATGAAGAACAAGTAGACTTTTGTTGTTTCTCTCTGCATCGCGTCGTGACTGTTGCAGGTTTCCTGTACCTAATTCACGCTACTGTGCAACATGCTTCGCCATCACTACAAGCCCCGGTACCACTATACATCTTGGTCAGAGCTTCCTGGTACTCCTCTGCCTTCAAATTGGTTCCCTGGCTCCACCCCTTCATCTTTCCGCGGCAGCGGATATGTGGCGGAGTCCAGTCTGGTAGAGAGTGATGTCTGGACCCTGCGGAGTGCCGACCATGCTGCAGCTTATAGCCTTATACTTGAATGTTCGGAATGACATACTAGGAACCTGGACCAGGCCTAATATTTCGGACTTCAGACTCAATCATAGCTAGACCGGGTTTAGCATCACCAGACATCGCCAGACGTGCGATGTGCGTATGTGTGTAGTCTTCAAGTCCGATGACGTTATCTCATATTGATTTGGTGACTAGCCTGGGCTTTTTGGCCTTTTATTTTTTTTTATCTCCCCGCGAGAGCCCATGCAGCCGAAGCCAAGATGTGTTGACACTCGAAACCAAACCGTGTTTACTGCTGAGAGATGTACTCCGTAGCATTTTCGGAGTGACCCATGAGCCCTTCCCATGCATACCAAGTGATTGCCAGGACCGTGCCAGTTTGGAGCTACATCGACGGACGGCGGCCTCGTGGCTGCACTGGCTGCATAGTATTAACGCACGGCGACCACGCTATGTGCGCACGCCGCACGGATGGTCTTGCCCCATCCTACCTTCCCATCGATCACACCATTGGCATATGTGATGGTGGCATGCATGAAATGCATGATCAGGGGTGGTGCGAGATATCCTGCCATTGGCATGACCGGTTCCATATCACGTAAAATGTTGAGGGTCTAGATGGCTTCCGCGCGAGGAAGGAGGTATAAAAAACGTTTCATCCTGGGCAAAAGGTGGATGAAAGAAGAGCCGAACGCGGGGGTTGAACCCGCAACCTTGAGATTAAGAGTCTCACGCTCTGCCGATTGAGCTAGCCCGGCCGTTGTTGTTTGAGCTGCCATTAAATTAGTCTCATATCCATCAGTAAAGCCTAGAATAATTCTCTATCAGTCCTAATCAATTCGTGTACCACGTAATACTGTATCAATCGAAGGCTGCTCTGATACCGTGAATTTTCAGAATAGTCCTCTCACCATCCTTGCTGACTTGTCTCGAAGTAGCTAGTTCACTAGTGAGTGTCGTATTATCTAACGATACTAAAACAGTAATAATTCATAACACCCCTCCAGTGATTAGGCCAGCCATGTCAACCGGTAGTCTGCAGCTTTACATCTTCCCCTCTCACTGGCAGTCCCACTGGAAGGAATAGCAGCGTATGCAATGGCACGCCAAAACAAAATTTCGGAGGAATGGCACACTCCATGCTAGTAGTGCCCAGTGCTCACTAACTGGTTACCAACAGTGAAGCTACTTATTGAACCGGGTGTCGATGGGGCCATCCATCATGTGACAGCCGCACAGACCAACTCGCTTAGCTTCTGCTCATTTAAAGGAAAGCTAGAAACGCCGCGAAGATTTCCTTCTTCCGCCCCTTCCAAGAATTCCCTCGATGATCAGACTCCGCACTTCTGCTCGCAGCAGAAGTGCTAGGCTGGATTACCAAATGTGCTGTCTTCCGTGTAAATCCAGACTTCATGCATGAAATGTCACCTGCACCCATCGATTTTCAGCCGCAGCTGGAGCTCCAGCTGCACATTTTGGCTAGAGCCTTTGAAGCTCTTCTACTGACTACTCAGCAACTCAGCTGCAAAGAGAAAGGATTGCAGCAGAGGCTGAAATATGCCTCAGAAGAGGTAAATACCATTATCCCCGCCCAGTCCTCTCACTTCCCCTGCATTCCCAAATGTCCATTCCCAAATGTCTCAAAGGACGAGAAAATTCGATTAGCTCTAGATCAGGAGTCGCATTTGCGGCGGTGACGGATATATCATGTATTATCTGATGAGACCTCTCCCCCCTTTTTGCTACTTCCCACACTTCGGAAGTGCACATGCTGATATCCTCGATTAGTTCACCAAGTTAGCAGACAAAGTCCCTGGCGGTCTAGACGGCCACACCAAAATCGTTTCCGAGAAGATCGCTGGTCGCTTTGCTGAATATCAAAACCACGCGAAGCAACATATGAGCCTGTCAGACGTAGTAAAGTCGCTTGCCGAGTCCGGCAACGTAGGAGATGTGGCTCTCGCCTCCATTAGGGAGGGGCTGACATCCTATCATTCTATCATACATCCTCACGATGATAAACAGCTACCTGACCTCAACCCATGTCTTGTTGCCACGAGAGCGGGAATTCCGCGCACCCTAGAGAAAGACTTCACTATCAAGGGGACGCAGGGGAGTCTGCGTTGCCCGTTTGCGAAGCCTAACAATAAACCATCTGAAAACGGAATGTCCAACGGAGTCGAGTTTGCCTCTCAGAATAACAATGGGGACACTTGCGGTCATACGGACCTAGACCCGATCAGAGCTGAGCAAAATGATAGACGGTCAAGCCGCGCGCCCTCGACCCGCTCGTCGAATACACGCTGTCCTGTTTCGCGATGTCCCATTAGGTATCTAGACCAGCATAGCCCGGAGGAAATCGCCGATTATGTCGAAAGACACAAGCATGAAATTCCTCGAAGTCATGCTATCTGTGTCCAACGGTATCAACGAGACTCGGAGACCATGCGGCATCTAGATGCAAAGTATGGTAATCTGATCAGCATGATCCAAGGCCTATCCGTCAAACATCGAGCCTTCCTCCCAGGTACCAACAAGCACGGCGCGCCACCGTCAAGCTCGTCTGTTGAACGAGTAGAGAAATGGGCAGAAGAAGTAGGCTTGAAGTCGGACATGCACCGGCCCATCAAGGAAGAAGAAGGCGCAGTTGAGCAGGAAGATGACGAGCGAAAAGGGCATTTCGACCGTCCTCTGCGTGAGGTGCGTCTGGGCGAATCTCCAAGCAGGCCTTGGGGTATTCCTGTCCCAGTAACGCCGATGCCTGCTACCACTTCTGCACCTCAATCTCCAGCAGCACCTATTACTGCTTCCCTCGATTCAAAAGCCAATCCTTTGTCTCAAACGCCAGCAGTCAACATATCCCTCAACGCACCTAGGGCTGACTTAGTGCCCGAGAATCACGCCTTGCCCCCGAAAACTGGACGTTGCCCATTTGGTCACGGTACGCCTTCTGGTGACAAGCAGAACAAACCTCCCGCAGTGCCGCAGGAAGCGGAGACGAACCGAAATCCTGATGATGTGAGTCATATGGAAGACACAGCCAGAGCAGACGGTGAGAATCCGCCCGACACAGACAATTTTACACCACAGCCGGCCATGAATAGTGTGGTCTTCAATGGCCCGGTGTTCTTCGGGTTCTCAGCAGAGCAGACAGCCCTATTCCTGCAGCAGTTGGGTAGTCGAGGGCATTTTGATGAAGGGTGATCAATACTCTATAAGTATTACAGATTTGATGCTGCGCTTCCACCTCCTATCTCTTTCTGGCGCCTTTGTTTCAGCGCAATTTGATCGCCTGATAATGATGCCATGACATCCCATTTATGAATTTCTGCATTGTACATACATGACATATATTATGTATATTTCCCCTAGCCCAGCGAGCAAATTCTATAGTGTCTTAATATACCGTGTACGATGGTATAACCGAGTTCGTCCTAGTTCTAGTTAACGTAGCCTTTTAGTCAGTAGATTTTCCCGATGTCGGGCGGACAAGCCAAGCCCGTTTGCCGCGGGATCCCCGCCATTATCTGTCACTCTCTCCCTTCAATGTTTCCCTCATTAGCTCGTCCCCTGTTCGCCCGTCTGGCTTTCCCCTCTTCATTTTCTCTTCGACCTCTTCGTCGCCCCTTGCTATTATCCTCTCCTTTGAAACCGTTTCAACATATCACCATGTCTACCGGTCTTGACATTGTTCACACCGCTGGTGCTGCCCAGCGTAAGTGCTGTTTACCCCGCCATTTCCCAGGCAGACAGCCAGACAATTGAGAATCGAATCATTCACAAAACACCCCGATTTTGATTGTTCCTCTTGTCATATGTCACTATATCACCTTTACTAGGAAAGCATGCTAACTACTTCCTTGCCTGTTGCTACAGCCGTCGGCCCCTACGTATGTCCCGCTCGCTCCCCTCCTTTCCCGCGCAAGCAATGCAAGCGATCTGAACCCATTGACTCACAACAACACCATACATGCTATCAATACAGTCTCAGGCCATCAAGGTCAACGGCCAGATCTTCCTCTCCGGCCAGATCCCCCTGACCAAGGATGGTGTACTTATTGAGGGTACTATTGGCGAGAAGACCCGCCTCTGCTGCGAGAACATCAAGGCTGTCGTTGAGGCGGCCGGCTCCAGCGTGGAGAAGATCTTCAAGGTCACGGTAGGTTTTCCTTCCCAGTTTCTTTCTTTCTTTTCTTTATGCTGTTGTTATTGTTCCCTTCTGTCATCTCGTGTATTCATTCTTCGGAGGAATGGGAGGGACTGGGATGGGTGGGTGTTCAACACAGCGACTGGAATTGGGATACTTGAAAGCGTGGTTGAGTGTGGTTACAGAACGCCCATGAAGGAAGAATGACCTGAAGGCTGACTGCATAACACACCCGCTTTGTCGGGATTGTGGCTCATTTTAGGTCCTCCTCGCCGATATGGCCGACTTCGATGAGATGAATCAGGAATACGGCAAGTTCTTCGCCCATAAGCCCGCTCGCTCCTGTTTCGCTGTGAAGCAATTGCCCAAAGGTGTGCCCGTCGAGATTGAGTGCATTGCCTTGGCTTGAATTATGTGACTCTCACAGCGCTGTGTACAATTGGGATAGATTGTACATACATGCATGTGAACGGAACTCGGCCTAAAAGAATGACCGTATCACGCGACCTGCTTGTATATCTATGTTGTATCTTTAGATGAGTGCGGTGTTCGACTGAGCCTATTCATTCAATGCAGTCGACGAACTCTTCGTGACTCCGAGCTTTAATGCGACTGTAGTTAACTATCATTGCACTATGTCATGACATGGCTAATGCCCAGAGATCACGCCTGAACCTTGGGTCCACGGCTCCGCGAAATGCAATTCATACCAAATAAATAAGGCGCATTTAAGATCAAACTAGTGGTGGGAATCATGTCAATATACGCAAAGTTGGCAACAACGGACAGAATGGGTTATATCCCAGAGCACAAAAAGAAAGATAAAAAAACAAAAGAACCATCGAATCGAATGCGCGCAATTCACCCAGTGGCCGCTTGCAAACACTCATCGACGTCCAAGCATGCCCGTCATCTTGGCCCCGACCCCGGCCATCAGGCTTTGCTTTACGATGGCGTCTGCCGCCGCGGCTGCTGCTAGTCGCTCCTTCTGGCGACTTCGATCGCGTAGATAGCCTGCAGCTTCAGGACGCATGCGCAGGATACGCAGGATCATATCGTCGTTTGGCTCCGCTTGAGCTTCGCGCCATTTTTCCTCTTTCAACTTTCGCATTGTCCCGAGATTGCGCGAGAGCATGATACTCTTGGCACGACGAGCAGCCGGGAGGCCCAGCATACTGCCAGGCCCGGAAGCGCCTAGATGAGGAGGCGCCGAAACACGGTTTTTGTTGGCCTGCTGGCGCGAAATTGTCGCAGAGGCCATCCGTTCTGAGGTGCGTATCAGGCTCTCGGTGGGTTCAAAATAGAAGAAGTTCAGCGTCTGAATCTCATGGTATTTGGGCGACTTGAGGATATCCATTGACACGCCGTGGGCTTCCCCAGTCTCCTCATCCACCGCGTGGAAGAAATTCAGTAGAAGCACGAGCCAGCGTGCGACAATATCAACCTCTTGCATTGTTAGAGGTTTCTGGTGAGAGGGCTTATCTGACAAAGGGGGTACTAGCAAACTCTCAATGGTAGCGAGGACTTCTTTCCACAGTCGTGCCATCACCATCTTCATAGCTTCTGAAGTAAGAGTCTTGTTCATGATAGCGAAATTATCGTTAAAGTAGTCAAATAAGGGCGTCAACGCATTCTCCACATCTGCACTGGACGGGGTGGCGGTACTCGACTGAGCACGATTCCGGTTGAGAAAGTTAGAGACACTGGATATACTGAGCCCTCGTGATAAAAGGGATTTGAGCGTCCGGCGCGACAAACAATGACTGATATATGCTGATAGCTACGAAAGAGACATCAATGGAGTGTTCTGCAGCATGGGACGTGCTTTACTCACCTTTTCCGTGATTTTCCGTGTCATATCCCTCTCTGTCCGCTTCAAGGTTCGGAAGGCTTTGCCAAAGTAAAATTGAATGTCATCGCGCTCTCCTTCCATACTCACACGGAGTAACAGTCTGCCTTGGGTATCAAGATCCAACCAATATTCTCTTGGGAGGAAGTCACTGAAATGCACAGGATCAAGCTTGATTGACGTTCGTCCCACGTAGTCGTGATCACCCACTGCATCCCAATCCCAGATAGTAGCAATGATGTTTAGAGGACCCTGCGTTGTGATGTCGACCGCGTCATCCCACCGTGGATTCAGATTGTTATAAATGATGCGAGTCTTCGCAATGCGCTTCTGATACTCATCAGCCAGCACCACGTAAGGGTCACTACCGCCATTCATGTCACAGGCTTTCAGATCTTCCGCCTCCACTACCTTGATGGTGAAGACATAAGTCGTTGACTTGCGAATCTTTTGTAATTGAGGTGCTGCATGTCTTGCTATAACTTCTGCACAACCGTCCACATTGATTTCCTGTTCAAGCTTGTCAAGTTGAGAAAGTGCATATTCAATATTGTTGAGTTTGACTAAAGACTATCGTAGATCATAGGATTAGTTGCGCCCAGACAAGAACTTTAGGAGAAACCAACCTCGGGGAAGAATTGAAAGGGCTCAATCTTCTCTTTACTTGTCCATGCTTCTTTAGCAAGCTGCATTAGTTTCTCCTGAGCCGTCTGGTTCATAGCGGCCTCTTGATCTGGAGAAAGACGATCCATTTCCCTCGCGAACATCTGCTCCAAAGATTCGCAGTATCTTGCAACACCGCTGCCGATCGACTTGGAGAGAGCCGTCATAAATTTGGCGTACTGCAAGTCGTCGTCCCATTCCAGTTGTACCATCTGTTCCACAACCTGATTGAAAGACCGGAAAATGTCAATCACAGACACACTGTGTCTGTATTCTTCAGGTATCTCATCCGCCGAGCCATCAACTCGGACGTTGAAGGAATCCTGTTTCACTGCCTGCTCCACCCAGTCCATGACCTTCTGTTCTGTCAGGCGAATCCACCGCCAGACAAAATTCTCCATCAGTCCCTCCACATGGAACGGAAATGATACGCTATAGATTGCAATCAGCACCCGAAGTAACCGTCTAAGATCAATGAAGCTGTCGGGGGACTTACTCAGGCAATGCCTCGACAAAAAGCCCACGAACATCTGCCAGTCTACGGTAGAGATCAAATCCATCCTGTATGTCAGTCGCTTCCCCTCGCACCTTCTCCAATTCGATTATCCGGGCTACCATCTCATGAGCATCTTCCGCAAATATTGGGAGTACGTTGGAGAGTAGAATAAGATAAGGATTAACCCTAGTTTCTCATCAGTATGAAAGTTCACGTTGGTGATGGCATCGCATACCCCATAATTTCTGGATTGTTGCGATATCGCTTTCGAATTTTCTGCGCAAGTTTTGTAATGGCATCGCACAACTGGATCACATGGTCTATTTCCCATTCTTCTGGCTGCACCGGAATAAGCTGACCCAAAAGCTCTTGATATTTCTCAGAGGCTTTTTGCGCCAGCCCGTCCTGCACGTACGAGCGAAAGCGATCGATGTCTTCCAAGTCCTCGGTATAGCTGGGGTCCAACTGAATGTGAGTTTCCAATATGAACATGACCGGACCGATCGGGCGTGGTTTAGTCTCATAGCAGTCCATCATCACGTCATAGAGTTCTCTCAGAAGCGCCTCATGAAGGGATGATAGTATCTGCTGCATCAATAGAAGGTCGTGAATGGTCCACTTCTTACGGTCAAACAAGACTGAAGCCACGAAGCTGCTGCGCTTTCTGCCATCTGAGTTCGGCGCTTCCTTGACAAATGTAAATGCTAAATCGAGCGTGTCAAGGTCGATCTCATTATCGACAAATTTCGACCGCACAACATCCAGAAAGAGGACCATCCGTGAAACGGCAGGAACACGCCAACGAAGACAAATCTCATTCAAAAGCTCGGTTGATTGCTTAGACAACAACTTCATGAGAGATGCTTCCGATGTAGCCTGGGAGGCCTCAAGTTCGCGGTCCCTCAGGTCGTGACCAAGGGTTTGAGCTAGTATGAACCGGTACATTGACCGGGGATCCTGAGGTATATATGTATATGTATCAGATTCTTCGGCTCCGTTCAGACCATCGTCTGCCAGAGACAATGAGCTCAGATCCACAGGCTGATCTAAAATATATGATGATGGTCGTTCAGAAATTGTTCTCGAAAGCTCTCCAATTGAATCCCGATCCGTAGCGCTCGGACTGAATTGTGGAAGGGCATCTCCTGGGGCGCTCTTGGCAAATTCTGGATTTGATTGCACAATAGCAAGCATCATCTGGGATAGATCCGGACCTTCATTCTTCTTCCACAGCTCGTATGCTTCTTCATTCTCGAAGTCTTCCCGGGACAATGTTTTTCGAGTTTTCAAAGTTAGATGAGCTTGGTAGGTCTTCAAATCTCGCAGGGCAGCCTGTCCCGTCCAGACCGCTCGATTATTATTGATATCGGCTTGCGCCTGGCTCTGGCTCACATCGAAGATTTTTGCAACATGCTGCACGAGAGTCATGTCCTTGATATCGTAGCTTAACGGGGCTATAACTTCTACGCTGGAGGTGCCATTTGTTTGCACAAGATCCTGATCCTGAGACAGCAGTTTGTTCTCTAGAACCGACAGTCGATTGGCCAGTTCGGGCCGTTCTTTGGCCCAGTCGTGGTCCTTTAGAATAAGTGCAAACAAACGGACAAATAGAGCCACGTGTCTGTCCACCATGAATCTCCAGTGATCATCATCGGGTTCCTTTCCTTTGCTCAATTCCTTGGTCGCGTTTGAATAGAAGATGAGGACAAGGTCTTCGGCCCGCCGATCCTTTTCCATACGCTTCTTGAATGACTGGTCCTTCAGGGTATTGAGAAAAGCAGCAAAGGTCCTCACGACCAGCGGATCTTGGTACTCTTTCCGCTTCTCTTTTCCAATCAAGACCCCAGTCAGCCTTTTCTCCAACTCCGAGATGAATCCATGTGGGATGCGAGTGCTCTTCGAATCTCGCACGAGCGAGAAATCGCTCATCAAGTCGTGGAAGGAGGTTGAAGCTCTCTTCGGCCGTTGCGGGGCTGGAGCAGTTTGGACTCTGCGCAACCGTGGTTGGAGAAGATAGGCCAAGTAAGCGACCCGAAGCGCATATGTGTAGGCTGTGGAGGAGTTCACAGGTCTCCTGCGAGACCCCGAAGATGTACGCGAGTGGCGAGCTTCATTCTGAATGCTGTTGATCCGTCGGTTGAGCCCTCGGGACTGGGTAGATGCTGTTGACATGGGAAGGACAGGCGGTGTCGTTGCTCGCGGTCGGTAGATAACTCCTTTTTATCCTAAAGGTGCTCAAAATAGATACTGCAGTCTCTGAGGATTGAGTAGAAGAGGGCATGGGATTGAATAGCTCTGCAATCAAACCAGCAGCAGTATGGCCCTGAGAGTAAGGAGTGGTAGTGGAGATGATTGCTGCCTCGCAAGGGTGACTTTCCGGTGAATTCTCCTGAGGCGTAGATTCAGTAACAGAGGAACCTGGTAACGAGACACTATTTGCTTTATGAGAGGCAAGGGCAACAAACTGAGATAATTAGAGGTCGAGCGGCTACAAAGAAAGAAAGGTAAGGAAAGGCTTTGGGGTGTTGGAGAGGGAGAGGAAGAAGTGGTGTGTTATTGTTGCGGTGGTTCACAGGTGGTGTATTAACTAATTAGTAGTGGTGGTTGGTGAAACAAAAACCGCCGCGCGCCCGCCCCCATAATAAGTAACAGCTCAGGGACTGACGTAGTCAATCGCCCTAAAAGTCTCAACAAACTGCCCATCCCGACGCAAATACAAATGCAGAGGAATTTTGCGCTAGACTTTATTTCGAGCGAGAGCACGGCGAAACCTAAGTTCACCCACAACCAAAGTAACAGGCAAATGTAAGCCCTCGGCAAACACTGGTGCAGGAGCAAATCACTCTTTCATTTTGATGGACCGTGGATTTAAGAGCAACAGAATAGAATCGAAGATACTGCTATGCCTTCTTCCTTCCCCCCCCCCTCTTTACAACCCTCAACACCCTTTCTCTTCCTTTCATTTTCTTTTTTTTTTTTTCCCTCGTGGAATAAGCATTCCTAACCAAATGCTTCCCAGGCGCCCTACGCGACCTTCATAAGGAATTCCCCCCGTTGACCCACGAGCTGGAGTCTCTGTAAGAGCCACTTGCTATCCTAAAATCCACCCGTATTACGGCTTCGAAAGACGGCCATTCCAAACCCTTTCGCATCTGGGCCCTCCCGTGAATCGAGCGGATTGGGGTGGGGGCGGGCCTTCCCCAGTGTACCGCCGTTCGCTGGGCCACCATAGAAGGTCGAAAACGATCGCGAAACTCATATTGTACTTATTTACAGTGTATCAGAGAATAAATTGATCACCACGAGTCCCCGTCAGATTTACGGGCCTGGGCAGCAGCGAAAGTAAGATAGTCAGTATTAATTGCGTAAGAAGCATTTCAGGAGGCGGGATGCAATATTGACGTACGACAACAGCGCCGGATCCACCCAATTCTTTCTCCAGTCCGTCAGGGAAGGTCCTGGGGGCGCTGGGCTTATCAGGGTAGAACAGGCTGACAGTGCCGCATAGGCCCAGGAAAGCCACGACAAAGGCTCCGATCTGAAGGATGCCTTTGCCAGGCGTTACATGGGTATATTGTTCGGGACTGAAGACACCGAGGATCTCGTTCTCCTCGTGGACAGGCTCGCCGAAGTTGCGTCGTTCCTGCTTATCCCACCAGTCGCCATAGGGATCTCTGAAAGCCCGCTTCATACGGGGAGGGTTCTGGTAGTTGCCATTCTGCAATTCGTAGGAAGATGGGGTCAATTCTCGAAAGACCTGCAATTGAAGAGGAGGGGTCACAATTGTCTATCAGCTCGTACCTGCAGGGGATCATCGAGCTCTGGCGCAGCCAGGCTGCGAAGCTGGGAGAAAGAAGCACGGGGAACGGTGAAGCAAGCAGTCACCTGGGGAAGGCGCCGGGCCAAGATCCGTTGAGACAGCATCTGTTGAACGCACTAGAGGTCAGTCCCCAAGCAGACAGTGGGTTGGCGCAAAGGCATAGGAAATGGAACCTATCATATGACAAACATAGAGGCATGAATCACTTACCCTTGATACTGCGAGCAAGATCGATCAGAAAGCCAATTGGGGAAGGTAACCAAGGAAGGTAAGGTAGAGAGAGACGACTAGGTAAGGTGGAGGGAGACCGGACTCGGGAGAGAGAGTGCTCGAAGTCACGGGTATGTTGAAACTGAATGGAAAGCGATGACGGGGGGAATTGAAGAGATATGATTGGTGGTATCTCAAGGCGGAGATCACTGGTGGCCTGAGGCATGAAAGCACTTGACCACCACCGACCTGCTTACATACTTTACTTTTTCAGTACACGGCGCGCACCGTCCGCCTCCAAGTCACCCCGACGAAAAAACCACCTCTTCAACGCAATCACTCTCTCCGTGTAGGGTTTTTGCCTGCCAGTCACGCTACAGGGCTGATAAATATGCCAAATATCTCGTCGCACTTTGACTTAGTTCTCTCAACATTTTAATGTCATTTTTTCCCATCTTGACCGCGTCCTCGTTGGGAAAACTGGGGTCAGCTTTCCAGAGGGCCCCTGTCTCCGTCATTACAAGACATGCAAAACGGTAGTCCGAACGGAACTTCACTCCAAAATGAAAGCGTGACCCCCGAAATCGACGCCCTACCGTCCGATTTCCTTCCCACAGATCTCCCGACACCTTCTGTTTCCCACACCTTGAATTCTGCTGTGCTCGAAACCGAAGATGACGGGCCTGTTGTCGACCATCCAGACGGACCTCCATCGAAGAGACGAAAGCTCGCTGGCTTTACCCCGTCACGTCGCCCGTCCTCCCGTCCAGCGTCGCCACCGTGGAGAAAGGCCGGCCATGACGGACCGACTTCCTTCATTCAGGATGGTAGACGCAAGTCATCACGAGTCAACGCGCTTCCCATCGAGCTACAGAGTCCGTCTGACCAAAGACATACGCGTGCGGCCCAAAATAAGTTTGTGAGCAAGAATACACCCAGTAGCTCAAAACGTGTCGCGTCTTCCCCGAATCCCACTCCGACAAAGCCGGCGAGGAATGGAAAGTCTCTAGCTGCTAGCGCCGTGATTAATGGCTCTACTCGGACTACTACAGCGAGGAGGTCTACAGGGAGACAAAGCTTAGCATCGCAATCGCCAGCACCCAAGCAATATCACAAGCGCACGAGATCGCACAGCGCTAGTACGTTGCGTCGTGTTTCTCAGGGTGCCGTCAACGGTCCCAGTCGACACAATCTATCCTCCTTGAACGCGAACACTTCCGTGTCTCTGGATGACGAGGGTAACTTAGAACGAGAGCCTGAAGATGGCGGCTATAAAGATTTCGATGATGATTCCGACCAGCCAGTTCCGCGCCTGCGGATCAAAGTCAAGCGACCGATGATGGAAATCCAGCACCCGTCCCACATCCTGCCGCCACGAAAATTCAGCTCATTTAAAGAATGGCTGGACAGCGATGAGAGTAGAATAAGAGATCCCGCGCTTCTTACACCGTCCGACGCGCTTGAAGAGTCTCTTAAGAGACGCCGGATCGCAATCGCGGCGCAGCCGGGAGGTCTTCTGAGCCCTGAAATCTGTTCTGCATTTTTACCGGAGCAGCAGGAGGAACCTACACAGCAATATTCCCATCAAGACCACCTTGTCGCACATGTGTCCTACTTCAAAAAGCTCCTCGATCAGGAGCATAGGCGCCATCGCAACACGGCAAGACTCTTTGCTCAATGGTGTGCTGACGCTTGGAGGAAGCGCAACAAGGATCCAGAAGATATTCTTCGGGAACAACAGGAAGAGATGCGCGGAAGACGTAAGCAGCTGTCAAGGGATCTTCAGAAAATGTTTGATCTAGTGCGAGCCGAGGTGGATAGGATTCGTTTGGCACGCTGGGAGGAAGAGCGTAAAGCCGAAGATCAACAAGCGTTGGATCGTGCGATCAAACAGTCCACAATGCTCTTTGAGAAACGACGCATGGAAATTCTCGGTGAAGCCGGGAGTGACGCATTATATTCAAGCGACGGAGAGCAACCTGGGTCAGATGATCTTTCAGACGGAGATGACGAGGACAATATGTCCTCCTCAGACTCTGAGAGCGAGGGTGACAATGATGTTGATGACGATGAAGACTTAACAGCCGAGGAGTTACGGTTGAAATACGCCAACCTTCCAGAAGCTAATGCCGTTTTCGATCACGATTCTGTGATCGCTGACAAGCCAGCTTATAATAGGGGTGGTATCTCAGATACTAATCATGTGTTGGATGGGGTCGAGAGGTCAATAAATCCACCCATAGAAGCCCACTTCGATCAGTATATTGAGCTCGAAGAAGTTGACTCAGTGCTTATGGACGACAGCGAAGACGAGTCCACTGACATGGATGATGATGACGACATGAGCAGCAGCGTCGAGGGGGGCGATTACGACGAGGCGGAGTCGGACGCGGAGACTAGCAACGGGCCTGGATTGTTGGGATTTTTTTCGGATAAGGATATTTCCTTGGACCAGGAAAGTATTGTCGAGGAAATTGCGAGTGACTATGCTATAGAAGCCGATACAAAGGTGATATTGGCTGGGGAGGAAGAAGAAGAAGAAGAAGAAGAAGAAGAAGAGGACGAGGAGGAGGAAGAAGAGTCAGAAGATCCTGACGAAGTCTCTCTCGTACCAAATTGGCCATCAAAGGATTCCTTCCCATCATCTGAAAATTCCCAAACTTCAGTTGCTCCTGGTTTGTCCTCACGGCCCGCTTTCATTCCCGAGTCCGCTTCTGGTGAGAATACGACGCAAGACCTCGAGATGACGGACGCTGTTACTCTCGAAACCGAGGATCATCAGAACGTCCCGGGGTATCAAACTCAACCTCATCGCACGCAAGACCATGACCACGTTGAACAGATTAGTTTCCCTAGCAAGGAGGCATCTAGTGAAGCATCTCCGGGTACAATTGCCACGAAGCCTTCTGAACCAGAATCCGTTTCGTCTTACGAAACTCCGGAACAGCAGCTTCAGGCCAGTGAGTTCTTAGCTCCTGGTTTGAAGACCCCTGTGCCACATCTTCTTAGAGGGACTCTACGAGAGTATCAACATTTTGGTCTAGACTGGCTGGCTGGCCTCTATGCCAACCACATCAATGGAATACTTGCAGATGAGATGGGTCTTGGGAAAACAATTCAAACTATAGCTCTACTGGCCCATTTAGCCGTTGAGCATGAAGTCTGGGGCCCTCATCTGGTGGTTGTCCCCACTAGTGTCATTCTCAATTGGGAGATGGAGTTTAAGAAATGGTGTCCTGGATTCAAGATCATGACATACTACGGGAGCCAAGAAGAACGTCGGCAAAAGCGCAAGGGCTGGATGGACGACACGAGTTGGAATGTCTTGATTACCTCTTATCAACTTGTCTTACAAGACCAACAGGTCTTGAAAAGGCGAAGCTGGCACTATATGATTCTCGACGAAGCTCATAACATCAAAAATTTTCGATCGCAGAGATGGCAAGCACTGCTTACGTTCAGGACGCGTGCTCGGCTATTGCTTACCGGAACACCACTCCAGAACAATCTGACCGAACTATGGTCCTTGCTTTTCTTTTTGATGCCTTCAGACAGCGATGAGGAGGGCATGGAAGCATTTGCAGACTTGAGGAATTTTTCCGAGTGGTTCCGACGCCCAGTCGAGCAGATTTTGGAGCATGGGCGAGAAACCATGGATGACGAAGCAAAACAGGTTGTCACCAAACTTCACACGGTTTTGCGACCCTACATCTTGCGTCGCCTCAAGGCCGATGTCGAGAAGCAAATGCCAGCCAAATACGAACATGTTGTTTACTGCAGACTCTCCAAGCGTCAACGTTATCTGTATGATGGTTTTATGTCAAGGGCGCAGACTAAGGAGACTCTTGCGTCTGGCAATTACCTCTCGATCATCAATTGCCTCATGCAACTACGCAAAGTTTGCAACCACCCTGATCTCTTCGAGACGCGGCCTATTTCAACTTCGTTTGCTATGTCGCGTTCTGTAGTCACTGAATACGAGATCAAGGATCTTCTTGTTCGTCGGCGTTTGCTGTATGAACATCCACTCACAAAACTTGACCTTGATTTTCTCAATCTGGTCCCCATATCCCGCGAAGATATTTCCCGCAGGTTGGCGGACGACAGCACTAGGCTCATGGCCTACGGCCCTTTTAACAAGCTGCGAGAACAGCAGTATCATCGCACTAACTGGCAGATGGTTTTCAACGGCTCAAGTGTTCAGTCTGCCTTGGATGCTTTAGAGAATGAGTCTAGAAAGAGGAGGATGGCAGAATTGGAGCGTTGCCTCTATTTCGAATCTAAGCGGCACGGTCGCCGCCCAGTTTACGGGTCGAGTCTTATCGAGTTTCTCACGGCGGACAGCAAGCAGCGGCCAACCACTAATGGACCCTTGCGAAAGCGCCCCCTGGCTAATTGGTTGTCAAGCCGCTCATCCGTCCTCGCATCGATGATATTGTCGATTGAAGAACGTTCCCAAGTGATGGATGGCTACATACAGCGGTTTGCTTGTGTGACTCCCGCAGCAGTTGCCTCCGGGGTCACCGCGGCAGCTTTAACTCCCATCGAAACTCGGCACTTCACCAAAGAAGAACGATTCCCGTCCTATGATCCCTTTCATGAGGCACAGATGCGGTTATCGATCGCCTTCCCTGACAAGAGACTTTTGCAATACGACTGTGGTAAATTACAGCGACTCGACAAGCTGCTTCGAGACCTTAAAGCGGGTGGACACCGGGCATTGATCTTCACGCAGATGACCAAGATGCTCGATATCCTGGAACAGTTTCTCAATATCCACGGTCACCGCTATCTAAGACTCGACGGAACGACCAAAGTTGAGCAGCGTCAGATCCTCACCGATCGGTTCAATAACGACAACCGCATTCTGGCATTCATCTTGTCCAGCCGCTCTGGTGGCCTGGGAATCAACCTGACTGGCGCCGACACCGTAATTTTCTATGATTTGGACTGGAATCCGGCGATGGATAAGCAGTGTCAAGATCGTTGTCATCGTATTGGACAAACTCGTGATGTTCATATATACCGGTTTGTCTCGGAATACACGATTGAGTCCAACATTCTCCGCAAAGCCAATCAGAAGCGGATGTTAGATGACGTCGTCATTCAAGAGGGGGAGTTCACCACTGACTACTTCACCAAATTGGATGTTCGCGACATGATTAGCAGCGAGGATGTGCTTGAGAATCAGGATGAGGCCAGCGCGGCCATGGACCGGGTGCTCGAAAATCGGGTGTCCGGCAGTGCTCGGGTCTTCGAACAAGCCGAAGATAAGGAAGATATCGACGCGGCCAAGAACGCTCAGAAGGAGTTGGAGCACGCTGATGATGGCGACTTCGACGATCGGACTCCCAGCCAGACGCAGGCCGGGACACCGGTCGCGACTGCAGGGCTTCCCATTGGATCCGATCGAGACCGTGCAGCTTCAGACACTCCTGGACCGCAACTCCTGGCTTCGCCTCAGATTCACACCGTCGACGATCCTGGAGATGTCGATGCCGAGCCCGGGCATGTTGATGACTATCTGCTTCGATTTATGGAGTGGTACATGAAGGACCAGCCGCTTGTTCTACCCGCAGACAAGAGCAAGTCAAAGTCTAAGAAAGGGAAAGAACACCGTCTTCGCAAGCGACGTCGTTGACCTGTAGGCCTATCATGGTTACAAATGTGTACGCGTATCTGATATTTCATAACTCCTACCTTCTATATGCATGTTTCAGAGCATAGCACATACGTATTGATTGGGGGTGTGTATCTCCAAAGTTTTGTTCATCCCTACATTTTCTCTTTGTTTTCTGTTTTTTTTTTTTTTTTTTTTCCTTCTTCTCCTCTCACATCTCTTGTGTACTAGTCGGGCGATGAAAAAGGCAAGGTTGAATTCTAGCGGGCGTCTTTTGTGTTATATATTCATGGAAGAACGAAAGCCGTGGCCGAACCCACAGAAAGCAGGAGAGAAACACAAGACAGGGTGAATTTCATGTAGATGTCTGTTAGTTTTGATTACCCGTTCCTTTCAATCATGTCCACTATTATAACTACAAGCTACTATCATTGCTCCTTTGATTATGTCCCTTCTCACCTGCACTGCTTAGTGTGGGAGTGTCCCAGGCAGGTCGGCTTGGGCAGATATCGAGTCGTCTCAATTTGTCTTCCTCAAAGTCTCCGGTTCAACCCCGGCTCTAAGAATAAAAAATCCATCCCGACCAATGTGTTTGGGTTTGGGTTGAGCTCAAGGCCTGGCCTCATTTCGTTGTTTTCTAATCTCTCTTATTCAATTGAATAAGGACTTTTGGACTCCGCCTCATCCCGCCACAACCTGTTTCACATTATCATACCACTCTTAGCCCAATCTATCGAATCGACCGATCAGCGGAAGCCCTAGTAGCTTGAGTATAGCGTCATAGTGAGCTCGTTCGCCGAGGGCGTGGAGAACGTAGACAAGATGCCATCCTGTCCGTGGACAGATCAGACATCCGTTGCCCCTCTCCGTGGGTCTTGGGCCCTCCGCTTATCTCTATGGCCTAGAGTAAACAATCTCTTGGTAGCCGGCAGGTAGGGAAGACCTGGCGGGCAGGAGGATGGGAAATGTAGCAGCCCCGTTTCATGAGGAGATTAAAGGTCGCCGACAGGATGTATACTTCGTGTGCGCATTCCGAGTTCATCAGCTCCGACCTGCTCGCTAACTGAATGAGGAATGCAGCACTAGGCAAGATCCGAGGAAAGGAGAGGGAGGATAAGAGACCAGATCGGCCGTAGAGGCTAATCCAGAGTTTCGATCCACATGTGCGCACCCCGTACCTAAAGTCTACGTCTGAAACATGTGCAATTCCAGGGAAGCGTGCTGCACAAATAGGGAAAGAGGAAGTCTCGCTGGCAACATAGACCGTGTCCTGAAATTCGTAGTTGGTGCCATTCTCAAAGCGAAATTTCGGAGGGTCGGTCCTGTAGTAATGCTAAACGGAAATAGGGCCGAGGTCGAATGACTTTTCAATGGCATCGAGCTTCTTCAAGGAGTGAGATAGATGATCGCCCACGCAAGCTAGATCGCTCGCTAGCCTTGCTTAGAGATCAGGTTGGGTGGTGGGCCTTACAGTGGGATGAAGGGGAAAGGGGGAAAGGAGGGTCTTCCGGAAGTTGAAGGGAGTTGAACAAGGTACCGACCGTAATGTCGGAAGCCCCAGATTAACGATCCGTAAGACGCCTTCAACGCGATTGTGCCAAAAAGATCAATGAGGACCCTGGTGGGTAAGGATATCTGAGGGTACATTGGTCATTGTATGATCGAGACACAAGGTTAAACCTGTTGAGCTTCCGAGCCGAAGATTGGAAACATTTGGAGTCGTACCGAAAATCACCACGCGCTCGGCACAACGGCTGTCTCCAACATCATATTTGACTCGCCCCCTCTTGGGATAGAAGGAATACTATCGCATTCATGGATCACTCCATCTCTATTCAGCTGACCTGTGACTTGAGCAGCTCCACTGATCAACAACAAGGACAAGGACAAGGACAACCTGGGGTTTGGAGAAATCCCCACTCTCCAGACCGAGCCGTTCCCTGACTGGCCGGGGTGCGTAGAAGGAGGAGACAGGCTGGATGGATTATTGGCCGATTCCCTGTCTTCTAGGGAGGAGCTAGGATTAGAAAGAAGAGATGCCAAATGGATCATTGACCAGATCAACAGCTAGAGGCATAAGGCACAAAGACACGATGCATGAGGCACGAGGCACGAGGCAGCCATGCCTTTCCGGCTCCTCAAGCCTCAGCGTATTCCGAATGCGGAAGAACGTCCGTTAGGCCCAACTCTCGGTACAAAACTTTGAATAGGAGGCCGAACCCCGGAGCCGGCTGATACTTCAACTACTAGTCTACTAAGAGATCTTCTGACTCCTGAGAAAGTACTGGCTCCCTCAGGTTTGAGCTGGATATGTGTGGGTGTGGGGCGGGGGGGGAGGGTTCGCCGTTAGGCTTGGGAAGAGATAGTAGTAGTATAGTACTCCAAGGAAACGCAGGCATTGAGGGCGGATCTGCATTACTGATTTCATCATGTACTGTAGTTATATCAGTATCAGGATCGGAAGCTTAGCCTTTCCAGGGCTAGTAGTATGATTACCACAGTACAATTATGCGTGTTCGAATTGCCAGAGCCATGAACTCATCATTCCTAAATGAGGAATGGGATAGAGAGCAGATACGGGTTCAGAAGAGGATTGATCCTTGCGAAGATCTGCAAAGCAGATCTCCCCTCTCGGAAAACGAGCCTTTACGGAATACTTCAACTTCTCTAGGTCAGGCAAGGCCATACTCCACGGTAGATAACAGCCTGGAGTAGTTACAGACTACGCCTTACAGTGCACCGACTGGGCAGCAACCAGGCGATTTGTGGACAGAGAATACCCTCTCAGGTGACCTCGTAGCGGATGATCCGTCCTGCCCATATATCCTCTGCATCTAGCTAGTAGTGGAACAAATATCCTTGTTGACCATATCGCCCGAATCTGCCTTATTCACACTCGGGATGACTTCGGTTGTGTAGTAACAGGTCCAAGATGCCGCCTGGAACGATCAAGAGCGTCCCAACCAGCCTCCGTGTCTGGCCATTGTACATTGCCCTGATAAGGCTTGCCAGTATAGAGTACTACCGGTATCATCAATTGCATCGTTCAAGTCCCCACATGCGCGATTGCGACCATGGGACATACTTCAACTCAACTGAATGAGGATGAGCACTTCCAGCTTCTCCGCGGACAAATGCAATGCTGAAACAGTGTTTGTAGTTAGAAGCTTCATCGAGGTTGCGCCATGAGCAGCCACTCAGAGCTGGTAATTAGCCAAGTTAGTCAATGGATTTTCTAAATCAAACTGTAGCTTGTTATTCAGCATACAACAAGTACCGATAGTCAGCCTACGACGGTGAATATAGAGGAGGCGACCGGGAGGTTCCCTTGCTGAAGGTTCGGCCAACTCGGACATCGGAACGGATAGCACGGAAACTCAAAGAATGGTTCCCTTTCGCCATCGCCCAAGAAGAGGAAGATATTTCGAGGTGAAGAGGTGAGTAGTAAACACCTCATACAAACTCACTGTGTCGGAGGGAGAGATTTGAAGGAAACCGGGGGCAAAAAAGAGGTTGCGCGAAGGCAGCGCAAGTCCGTCTGCAAGCTGGACACTGAGATCGACCGTGCCCTTGTCGTTCTCCGCCAGGGGAATGGAGTAATACACAGCAACTCCTCAGTTGCCCTTCCTCATTCCCCCTCCCTCGTTTACGAAGATCTGCCTACGTGGTTGTCGTCCGGTTGCATTATGTGGCCATCAGACCACACTGCTAGCGTATCTGATCATTCGATGATATTTATACTGTCATTTCACAGCGACAGCATACCTGTCAGGTTTTCCCGGCGAGACCCCGCTGCGCTTACTATACAAGTCTTATTGCATTTTTGATGTTCCAGCTGCTGCTGAAAGCTGGCAGTTGGCACAAGTCAAGTAAGGCGACTGGTAGTGTGTACAGAGTACCACGTATGTTTTCGTAATATTCTCGGCCTCCACTATCGCCCAGCCACAGTGACGGGAGTGCGAAACTCGTCCGCGTGATGGACAGAGCATAGGTAGATACCTGCCCAGTGTGCCGACCAATTGAGTCTCTCTGTGCTGACCTACCTGCTAATTCGATTCTACCAAAGCAGACCCGTTCAGTGTTCTTAGGCTATTAACGTTTGGGTACGCTGTACCCATCCCAAATCAGTCGCCTGCAGCAGAGAAGGTATGACAAGGACTTCAAACAAAGAGAAAAACAAATCCCCTGTGGAGTAAGCTGCAGGCACGAGGAGGTGAATATGATCAGTCGCCTGTCGGGATTAGATTAAAGGCTGGGGCCAGGACGCATCGCCCAATCCTACTTGAAACCGCTCCGGTCAACAATGCTATCCGAGGATTGCAGCAAACAACAGCCACGTTAAAGCATAATGTATCCAACCCCAGTTCTTTAGTGCCGACTGGCGCCAAGTACTGAAAGGCCTAGATGTTAATTTGCAAACCGCAGCTTATAGATCGGATTGCGGGGAGCTAAAGTCCAAGGAAAATTTCGTAGAGATAGCATGCATGTTTTGGGACATGAGATTTTAGAGAGCGACGACTTGGCACACTTGACAGACCGGACGGTGTCTCCAGCTAGGCTGATTACTAGTCTAGGTGAATCCCACAAGACGAGACTATCATTCGAGCTTTTCTGGATCAAGATCAGCGGAGGATCCACCAGCACGGCATTGATTTGCCTTTGCCCATTACCTTTCCAGATCGCCCAGTAGCGATCATACATGATATGGATGTATCTTGTACAATCTCGATACTCACTCGTACGTGTAATTATTATGGCTCCATCCTGGATAGGCAGCGGAACTGAATCCGTTATCAGAGTCATGATAGACACTGATTGAGCGTCTTCAATAGAGGCTTTCATGAACAGCAAAAAAGGCAATTGTAATGGGTAGGTATTGAGGTACTAATTAATAATGATTGTTCTGGAGAGATATGGCTGGGACATCAAACCTTGGCCATTGAGTCATTGACATACTTCGTACGTACTCTTGCTTTCATCGGGAACTCGGGGACTCGGAAATTCGGAGACTCGGTTGAGGGAGGCTGCCTGCCTGGTTCGCTGAGTTGCTGACACTGGTACAGTCAGTACCATAGTACGTTCTACGTTGTCCCCAGGCGCAAGTGGAGAAAAATAGTCGGTGGGCGACTGGATGTGGCTTCGGGGCTGAAGGGGCTCTAGTCCGGCACACTATTATCTTTTCGTCGCCTGGCAGGCACAGCATAGTCAACGGAATCGATCATTAGTTTGTAGTTAGTCTACTCCGTACTTCGGAGTACTTAGTAAGTTACTTAGTAGTGCGAACCACATTCGCTCTCCTTCCCCAGGGGGGTGGAACAGAAGAGTTGATCTGGCCGATGCTTCTCCCCGGGGCGCTTGCCCTTCCAGTATTAGCCAAAGTATGAACTTGCCATTGGCCTTGCATCCGAATCAATTCCATCTGGGCCGAAAGCATAAAGTTTTGTTTTCGGAAGATGATCGAACCTTAACAAGGTTTCAACGGCCAGAGTCGGTTTGACTTCGAACGGTGGTCTCGAGGGAGCGCCGCTGAATCCTTGGCTTCTGCTAATCCATGTGCTAATCAGATTAAAATCAATGAGTCTAAAGGGACGGTGGTAGTAGTGATGATGATGACGATGATGATGATGATGATGGTGATGATGACGATGGAGTTGTCCTAGCAAGATGCTTTAGCACAGCTACGGGAAGACTACATACGCTAGTTGAGCTCCATCGAAACATGACATACATGCATGCATGATTTGATCCGCGCTGAGTACGACCTTCCGGTACCTACTGCAGCATTTATTTATTTCTTTTTCACATCAGCTGAAGGAGTGCCTTGTCAGCTAAGTAAGTCAATGACTCAGTTTCCTCCACTTAATCACACTGTACTGGGAATGGAATAAGTTATGATGGGGATGATGCAAAACGGAAAGAACAGGGTTACTGTTTTAGTCTGGAAGAAACCAGATCTCCGAGGTCAGGTTCTAGACTTCCATATGGGCAGGATTCAGGAGGCACTCACCATTTTTTCATGATAATCTAGAAGTCAGTAGACTACTCCGACCTCACTCATACCTTCCATGGACTTCAGCAGCCTCTTGTTATCCACACAGAGGCCACAGAATAAGATGAGTCAGATTGCAGTGTGATGTTCAGTACTTTCGAGTTTCAATTACACCCTCGGGAATCGGAGAACAGGTCGTCAAATTCGTGCTACACGAACTCTCAGGTCCCATTGTCGCATTGACCGTGCATACTGTGAGAACTAACTCAGTAGGCTCCTACCCGTTCATCTGTCGTCCCCACCCAACCTTCCCCTCTCTATCTTCATCTACTGTGCCCTTCTCTCAATTTTCATCTTTTTGTCCTTTCCCGATCGGGCAGTTCGGGAGATGCGCCAAGACCTCGCCCGGGTTTAGCTCTTCTGATGCTGGGGAGGGGAGAAGATTGGGGAACCTGAAAAAGATCCTCCACTACCTAGTAGTAGTTTTTAGGTCTACAAGGACAAGGCCCAAGGTACCTAGCCCACTAAAAGTAGAGGGATCGCCCCTGATGGCGAGATGGCCAATGAAGTACCTCTTAGTGCCGGCCTGGATCAAATTGAATGTGCACATGCGATTGTTTCATGGTTCGCTCGGGGCCTCTTCACTGGGTACCCTAGTTCTACGCTCCTGATTTATGTTCTATTCTTATCCTATCGAGATAGATCATTTGCCTGTGAAAGGATCTCATCATAGTACTTCGTACTGGTCAAGCATCGATCTCTCATGCAGCTCGCATCCTTGTATCCATTACCGGGAGCGAGGAGCCCATTGCGTTTGAAGGGGGCGGGGGAGCATTGGACGTAATGAGACGACAGAGGAAGATCCGTCAGTTTGACGTGAGTGAGCGGTGCTAATCCACTAAATTGTCGACTGACTGACAGTCAAAGACTAGTGAATCTGTCCATCCTTCCTGCCAGGGCAGAAGCTCATACTCAAATGACACAAGAGATAGTCGATTAAACAATTAGGCAGAGAGATTGAGTGAATGAAGGAAAGATGTGACCGTGGGCATGGGTAGTCTGTTGATTGATTGATTTAACTACTGGATGATCTGAAGACAGCAAACCTCTATGGTGGACGACTGGAAGTACCATTTCTCTTTCATCACAGTAATCAAGTAGAGTGGCATGTAGTAGCTGTGTCTCGAATTACAACAAATAGCCCTAGATACCCAGGGTATTTTGCCACACAAACTCTTGTAATGTCCTCAGTCTTCCCTCTCCCTTCCTTTCCGGATATCCTCAGAACATCGTCCCCCTCTCAATCGTCAGCATCATCCTCGTGCTCATCTTCGGCTCATGCTTCTACAGTCCGTTACCGAAGGGCCATAAACAACCGCGGATTGACCCAGAAAGCTTACTTGCAGGGCTCTCACTGCTCGCGGGCATTGGGAGAGTGACAGGACCCGAGACAATGGGCGTACCATCGGTCAAATTCTGTGACCTCCACCACCATCTCTCCGATTGCCAGTAAGATTTTCTTGAATAAAATCATTTTCCCTTTCTTTTCTCGAACAGGAAAAAGGAAAAATGAAAGAAAAGAAAAGAAAGTATGCGTAGGAAAAATTAAATTCATTTTGAAGAAAGGAAAATCTTTTTGTAGAAAGAAGTCCGGCCGAAAGGGTCGGAGTGCTCCACCCGCTCTGACTTCCAATCATCTGTAGAGTAACGATGCTCGTTCCTTGGGCAGCGTCGATCTCCCATGCGCTCGTTCGTCCGGATGGGCACGAGCTTCTTCTGCCCAGCTCCAAATCTCTTCCAGTTCTCCCCGGCCCCTTTGCCTCTTCGCTCTGCCACCATTTGCTTGTACTTGCCTTTCCCCGGTCCACTCTCTGCTGAGTCTGCTCCTCTCCCTCTGTTTCTGCTTCTTTATCATTATTAGTCTGAGCATGTCTGCCCTGCTCCACTATGGCATCCTTCGATTCATCGCGGATCCCACCATGCTTTCACCCTTCCCCTCTCCACGCCCCACCCCGTTCACTTTAGACTTTTCGTACCTTTCCTGACTTCAGGGATCCAGATACACACCTACTCCGTATGATTCACGGTCTCTTCCATTTAGGACCTTTGCTCCGTACCTCAAACCATGCTCTGGTACATCTGTCTCCAACCACTAATCCTATCTTGCACATCATTCAACTCCCAGCAACCCCACTCACTCGCCCCTCCCTCCTAATGAAACCAGAGCAGTCTACGCTCATGTACTTATAACCATCAGACTACCTCCATGATTAACCCACTTCGTTTCTGCATTCCCTCCTGACATTCGTTCTTTCTCCGCTATAACGGGCCGTGACACCTTTCTTGTTTAGATCACCCCATTGATCTCTCATTGATTGCTGCTTGAGTCAGTTTACCGTCCAATTCGACCTCTCCGGGGCAGTACCACTTTGTCGAGTCTGGCTCGGTATCCCCTAACTCTTTGGGAAGGCGTCTCACTGGAAGAGTTGCAATGAAGAACTCAATTCCATCTGATGTGTGGGAGAGAAAGAAGGCACTCATCGCTCAGCTATACAAAGACGAGGAGTGGCCGCTAAAACAGGTGATCAAGAAAATCCGTTCTGAAGACTTTAACCCAAGGTAAGCTCGATCCGTGCAGTGTGCATGAAACGAGTCATGCATTAACCTCCTCGTTCATTCCCAGTGAAACCCAACTGCGAAGCAGATTGAAGAAGTGGAGGGTTACAAAGCCTTCACGCCAAACACGCAAGAAGTCCAATGATAGTCAACAGGAGGGTTCTGGCGACGACAGTAGCCGCGAGGACGGCTCCCCCCATTGCAGGGCCACTACTGTCTCTCCCAAGTCTCGGCATCATATTCGCTCGGCCGCAACAGAAAACCATTTGCCGGAGTCCGATTGGTTCATGAACGGGTCTTTTGCACCGCACGATGATCTGCCGGCTACAGTTTCCCTGGACCACGCATGGGCTCCTGTTTTGTCGCAACATTCGCCTTCAAACATACCTAGTAAGCAGAGAGAATCTTCTCATGCTTCAGTTGTGGTTCCATCGAGCTCCGTTTCCCATACTTCACCTTTACTGGACGATGTTCTACTCAATCCGACTACAAGTATGCCGCCTGGTTTCCACGAACACCCTTACTGTTTCACCGCCGAGCCCTACATGCAAACACCCGCTTCGACCGCAGCGACAGCTGGACCAATTCAATGGTCAATGCCTCAATGGTACTCGATGCCTATGGATCACGAGGCGCAAGCTCCCCCGATGCCATTTTATACTGCAGCGCCTTTGAGTCCTCCGATCGATCCTGCCATGCACCTGATATCTCCTACTGTATCACAACGGATATATGCGCCTCGGACACCATCGAGGCGCCGGGTTTCCGATTTACGCGATGACGGCGCACAACTATGGAAACGTACCATGTCTGCCCCATACGTCCAGGATACCGCTGCCGGTCACGCCAGACTGGAACAGAAGGGATTGCAATCGACCTCTGTAGATAGGAAGGCATCACTTCCTTCCAAACCCGCAAGTCCGCATAACATGGGCTTAATGACACCCCCGCCCTCTTTTTTTCCTCCGGGACAGCATTCTGCGATGTGTGCACCTGTCTACAACTATCCTGGGCCTGAGCCTCTCGTTCATCGACCTCCGAGTATCGACTTCTAAGCTACTCGGTCCATCGCGCTAATGCCAAACCGAGGCAAGCGTTAATTGCCTTTGGATAATTCACTCCGCCAATTGCCTCCTACAACGTGCAATCGCCGCTGATGTCTTTCGGCTACGATAATCTCTACTTCATACTTCTGCCAGTTTTTCCACACTTTGCTTTCTTATTCTGTATTCACGTCGACTTATCTCTCTTTCTTTTATTTTTTATTTTTATTTTTATTTTTCTTTTTGTTTGTCTTTTTCTTCTTCCTTTTTTCCTTTTCTGCTTCTTTCTCTTTTTCTTCTTTTCTTTTTCTTTTTCTTTTGCTTTTTTCTCTTTTGTTTTTTTTTTCTTGGCTACGCCCTCTTCTTTAGGACATAGATGAGGGATCGGGCAGTTCCATCGATGTCATGTATACTAGGAACTCCGATACCTGGCGTATCGGCTGGTTGTACCGATGCATGGAGTGGGTGTACCGGTTATAATGATATCCACAGGAGGGTAAAGGAGTTTGGAAGCGCATGTATAAGGATTTGTTGACAATGTGTCTAATTTACGGGGTGGAAGTACCTTCTTGCAATAACCGGGTCAAAGATACGGGGTCTGCAAGAGAATTCTACTACGGGAAGATCCGCAGCTAGAGGGCCAGACAGGTCGCTACTGTGGGAGTTTGTTATGGATGTATGTATGTACGCAATCTAGTCCCTGATTTAGCGACTCTAAATCTGAAGTTTTGATACTCAAATCGGAGTTTATTGTTTACGGTTTTGTCTACGCTGCGCTCAAGCGAATTTGGATGGCCAGTATGTCAAACAGAAGTACAAGTACGACGACTAGCGGACGAAGCAGGATGCACCTGCGATAGAACAATATACTGAGCATAGTGAGTGTGTATAAAGATTATCAATAACTATTCGAAGACGGACCTCGGCATCTCTGGGAGCAACAGTGCGGGGAAATTCTGGGAATTGCGGACGCCGCGGGAGCTCCAGCTGTCCCTCCCATTTCCTTCTCCTTCTTCCCCCCTGTTCTCCCGCCTGCGTCTTACCCTGCTTGGACCAGATTGCCATCTGATAAACAACAAAGCATAACTCCAGCCTTGTCTGATCCTCTCAACCGCCTCACATTCATTTTCTGCTTACTGCCTCTCACTGCTCACCCTCAGGTGTTCAATCAATACTAGTAGTAGGGCAAACACGAGTCGATTGTTGACTACCACAAACATGCGGGCCATTCAAGTCACCGAATACGTGAAGGTAGATGAGCCAGCTCTATCGTAACCGTCTAACTAACTGATCGCAAACTACTAGGGGCCTATGGACCTCAGAGTCGTTACACTTCCTACCCCTGTTCCATCCCCAACGGACTACCTTATCGAAATCCATTCGGCAGGTACCAACTTCTTCGATATCTTGCAAATTCAAGGCAAATACCAGCATCAACCTGCATTACCCTGGATTGGAGGTGCAGAGTTTGCGGGTACGGTTTTGGCAGTGCCTTCCTCCCTTAGAACGCCGCTACGATTTGCTGTCGGCGATCGAGTCTTTGGTGCGACGCAGGGTGCCTATGCCACTCATATCCTTGCTCCTGAGCAAGCCCTACTACCTATCCCAGCTGGTTGGACATTTGAGGACGCCGCAGGTCTGTTTGTCACGGCCCCCACATCTTATGGGGCCCTCGTCCATCGGGCAAATGTTCAAGCCGGCGAGTGGGTGCTGGTGCATGCGGCCGCAGGCGGCGTTGGTCTTGCCGCCGTGCAGATTGCCAAAGCCAAGGGAGCGATGGTAATTGCGACTGCAGGTACCCAGCGGAAGCGGCAGATCGCGCGACAGTTTGGCGCGGACTATGTCGTCGATTACCGGGATAAGAGCTGGCCGGAACAGGTCAAACAACTGTGCGCCCAACACCGCGCAGGAAACGGCAAGGCAGGAGTCGATATTGTCTATGACCCTGTCGGGTTGATTGAGACCAGCCTCAAGTGTGTCGCATGGAATGCACGCTTGTTAGTTATTGGATTCGCAGCCGGCGAGATTGAGAAGGTCGCTTTGAATCGGGTGCTTCTCAAAAACGTCAGTCTGGTCGGACTGCATTGGGGCCAGTATGCCCGGTTCGAGAAAGAGACAGTCAAGTCTGTATGGGCCGGCATCTTCGATCTCGTCGCACAGGGGAAGTTCAGGGGCACTGCTTTCAAAGATGAGGCCTTTGTGGGCCTGGAGAGTGTTCCCCGGGCTTTGCAGGCGCTGGGCGGAAGAGAAACTTGGGGCAAGGTGGTGGTGAAAGTCGTCGACCATGAGAACGATACAAGCAAAAGTAAGCTCTGAGCGCATCGGAACAACTAGATCAGCAGAAGTCCAGTCACCTATAATCTACAACGCACAAAACAGGGCTTAGCAAGGTTACATGTTCGTTCAAGCGACTTAGCAGATACTATTCTGGATTCGCTATGCAAACTATCTAAATACGGTCGGCGGGTATGTAGGTGCGCAAGGAGTCATGCTCTCGTAGGAAATATGATACGCGAGCAACATGAACTATGAAGGCCCTAAAAACTTTCTCTAGCAACTGCTCATCAAATAATGAAAGGGATCAGCAAGAACCCCAACAATCCAGCTCCAGTCGGCCACAGCCACAGGACGTGACATGCGATGACTGTTCTTCAAAAGAGTCCGTGAGAGATGCTCAAACGCTCTACTTCAGCCTGAAGGCGTGAAGAATAACGCTCAACCTGGACAGCTGGATTGAAAAGTTGCACGTAATGTACTGTGTACAGCAGAGTCAAGTATTTTCACCCTGCCTCGTCAGGGGTAGGAATATCAATCGTTCATTTTCGAATATGTAATGTAGGGTTGCGTCGATGCATTGAGACAATGGTTTTTCTGAAAGTGCACATGGACAGGTGTGCTCGATTTGGCTCCTGGGGCATTGTAAGTGCGTGGCATGCACAGTATTTAGCTTGACACCGCTGGATGGGTTTAAATGGTGGAAGGACACGCCAGGTGATGAATAAAAGAGTTGAGGAAGGGACTCGCTTAGTTGGTGGTTGAGTCAGCATGCGGGGCTCGAATGGCGAGTGGGGCCGAAATCGGGCCGACTCTCCGATAAGATGTTGAAAACAACAGCTTGACATCAGCAATTAATCATTAACTATTGCCCACATTGCTCCATCCAAACCGAGATCCAACCATGGAGGTTGTGAACAGGAACGGAAATGTGAAATCATCCGGTGTCTATCACCCTGAGCTAGGAGTACTATTTAAAATGAGGCACATGGAGGGGCACATGGAAGGGTTTCCTAGTATGTATGTATCCAAGTATGATGTAGTTCATTCTACTACAGAGCGGTATGACTCAGTTTTCTGAGTAGTCAATGCGACAAAATCTACGTCATCATAATTACCAGAATTAGAAAAAGAATTACCCACGCGACCCCACCTACGACCAAAACAGTCTATCTCGTTGTGCAAATGTAGTTGAGCACATCCCCAAGCCTGCGCCTTATTAGCGCTCGACTAGCCGGTTTTCTGCGGCCAGGCTCGGCCTCTTGCATCATATGGTCCGGCTATATTAGGTTTCCTTTATCGCCCAGGGTCAATCGCTATTGTCTTCCCTAAGCTGATCCAACCCATCATTTGATACCCCTCACATGGCCAGGGGTTCTCCCATCATAGCATCAATAGCATCGAAGCTACCATCTTCGCTGTCACAGCAGTGTCGCCCTAAATCTTTCTAGCATATACCGAGCATGTCTGCATCAAGCAAGCAATCCGAATTCAGCCATCTGCCCCGTGCTTCCGTGGGTCCTTTGGTTTGTCCTCACGAGGTATCGCTTTTTCTTGACTGAAATGACTGCGCCGCTGGGCTATGCTAATGGGGACTTCTGACTTTAATGGACAGGGTCGGGACCTTCTAGAGTCCTGTCAATTCAATAAAGGATCATGCTTTCCGCAGGAAGAACGCCAGGCATTCAAGCTGCTAGGCCTGCTTCCCCCCAATTTTCAAACACTGGAAGAGCAGGTCCAGCGAGCCTATGAGCAATATAGCAGCCGCGAGAGCGATATCGCGAAGAACACATTCATGGCTAGTATGAAGCAACAGAATGAGGTTTTGTACTACAAGGTAGGAGCTCCGAATACTTCCAATCCCGTAACCTAATCCACGTCGGCAACCTCGCGGACTGATACTCGAACAGCTCCTGGAAACCCACCTTAAGGAAATGCTCAGTATCATATACACGCCGACCGAAGGCGAAGCGATACAGAACTATTCTCGCCTGTTCAGAAAGCCAGAAGGATGCTTTCTGAATATCAAGGAGCAGGATAAGATCGAAGAATGCCTCTCCAATTTCGAGAGCAGCGATGAGATTGACTACATCGTGGTTACTGATGGAGAGGAGGTGAGTATAGTCATGCTCTTATAATAAGTAGAACGCATGATTAACGTCCGTCGCAGATTCTGGGCATTGGAGACCAGGGTGTAGGTGCCATTCTGATCTCAGTCGCCAAACTGGCATTGACAACCATTTGTGCCGGTATTCATCCTTCGCGGCAGCTACCGGTGGTTTTAGACTGCGGTACCGATGTATGTTGGTTGGCCTTAGACCATATTGGTCAGATACTGATACCTCCGGCAGAATGAGACCTTACTCAAAGACAATTTGTACCTGGGACTTCGACAGCCTCGGGTCAGAGGGGAGGAGTATGATAAATTTGTGGAGAGGTTTGTGACAATTGCTAAGCAGAAGTTTCCAAAGGCATATATTCACTTGTGAGTAGCGAACATTCGCATGTGTTGAGCTAGGCTGACTCTCTCTTCAGCGAAGACTTCGGTCTCCACAATGCCAAGCGTATCCTTGACATGTTCCGCTCCCAGATTCCATGCTTTAATGATGATATACAAGGCACTGGATGTGTAACGCTGGCCGCCTTGATGGCTGCTTTGCATGTTAGCAAGGTCAAGCTGGACGATGTGCGTGTAGTGATTTACGGGTCTGGATCTGCTGGCATAGGCATTGCCGCGCAGATCGCTGACACAATTGAGAACGAGGCGCGTAAGCCGAAAGTAGAAGCTAGGAAGCAAATATGGTGAGTAGTGCCGGCCGACGCTGCTGTTTGGTGTTTCTCTACGCGGCGCTAAATCGTAATGATATACAGGTGCCTCGACAAGCCTGGGCTTCTTGTCAAATCTTTGGGAGATCAACTGACGCCGGCCCAAGTACCATTTGCACGGGATGACGACGAATGGTCCGGAGAAGAGCCACGCGACTTACTGGCCGTAGTGAAGAAAGTGCAACCACACGTGCTTATTGGAATCTCTACCAAGCCTAAAGCTTTTACGGAAGAGATCATTCGCGAGATGGCCAAGCATGTCGAGACACCTATCGTCTTCCCACTCAGCAACCCAACACGCCTACATGAAGCGTGCCCCGAGGACATCAACCGTTGGACAGATGGTAAGGCCTTGATGGCTACTGGTAGTCCATTCCCGCCTGTTGAGCTGAATGGAAAAAAGTACGAAATTGGTAAGAAGACAAATCCAGTTCTTAAGTGACAAGAATCTTCCAAAATAACGAGTTTTGACTTGCGTCTAGCCGAGTGCAACAATTCAACTTGCTTTCCTGGAATTGGACTGGGAGCAGTTCTCTCACGAACACGGGTGTTGTCAGACAAGATGCTTGTCGCGGCAGTCAAAGCATTGACTATGCGGTCCCCGGCGCTGCAGGATCCCAAGGAGCCACTTCTTCCGGACGTTCAAGACGCCCGCGAGATCAGCGTCGATATTGCAAAGGCCATAATCAAAACTGCGGTGGAGGAAGGTCATGCAGAGGAGGTGGGGATTCCGACGGAGGATCAGGAATTGGATGAATGGGTTCGGATTCAAATGTGGGAGCCAAAGTACCGACCGTTGGTACGACCGCAACAGGAGTGAGTGGGTTTTAATTGGGTGGCAAGTAGGTAGTCACTTGATACGTACATTAGAATAGATAATTCGATAATAAGTGTTTAGAACTATACATCAATACATATTATGAATTTGGAGTAATGTGATGATGAAATCATTTCTTTCGAGGTCATCATTGATCAAGGGCAAGCAAGCAAGTGGCACACACATCACCTCCTCCTTCTGGCTCCTCTCCCCGCGGCTTTGATTTGAGTTGAGGATTTCTTTCCTTGCCCGAATTGTAAATTCTTCGTCATAAAGGTGAAATACTTACTTTACTCCGTAGTGATTCCATCTTGTTATTATCTCTTATTCTCAACCACTTTATTTGCAGTTTGTCAACGTTTAACCTACCTTGCAGACAGTTATCATGAAATTCACCCTCTTCACTGCATTGGTGGTCCTTCTCCAGATCTCCAACACTTTGTCATTGAGCCTCCCAACAGTCGCCCTTGGGGGCACCAAAAGCGGGCCTCGTCATATTTCTGAGATCGAGATCGCAAAGCGTCGTGGTGGCGGGGGAGGAGGAGGTCGTGCAGGGGGCAGCAGTAGTGGGGGAGGAAGTGGTGGCCGCACCGGCAGTAGTGGAGGGAGCAGCAGCAGTGGAAGCAGTTCTCGAACTAGGTGAGTGCATTTGATTTCTTTTTGTGTGTGTGCAGAAAGTAGTCGGCTGATTTTTCCGTCTCGTTGAGCTAGCTCATCTACCAACGATGGAGGCTCAACTCGCAGTGGTTCGGGGTCACAACCGGCCTATGGCGGAGGCAAATACTATGCTGGTGGTGCCACAACCCCCTATACTGCAGGCTCCCGGTCGCGCTCCGGCGTGACACCCTACCTTGTACCTGCAACCGGGTTGGCCTTCTTCGGGTTCTGGGCATACAACGTCTACGCATATCCATACCCCCATCATTACTATTATGTGAATCAGACCTCACATCGCAATGAATCCATGCCCGTGGTCTGTCTGTGCCAACAATACCTGGAATGCGGTTGTGATGATAACTCCAATTCTACCTACTATGAGTCCCTATTCAACGGAAGCCAACCTACCAACACAAGCATCACAAAAGTTGCCAATGTGAATGGTACTGAGTCGATTTATATTAATGGTACACTATCCAATGGGACCCCCGTGGCTGATTCTTCTGCCTCGTCCACCGCCGCAATGGGGCCGAAAAGCCAGTTGAAGCCTGTCAACGGGTTCTGGACTATCGTTGCATTGGTCATGGGCCTGATGTGGGCTTTGTGATGGTATCGTCATTCTACAGTAGCTTTTGTGTTCTTTCGTCTTCCGATCTCTCTGTTCGTTCGGTTGTTTGTCTTGGCTCTTTTTTCACATCTCTCTTCTTTAGAAAGCCTCTCAGACTAACTAGACTTTCGCCCTCTGTATTAGTGGATTACTGCAGGGTTGCCATCGGGGCTATTGAGCCGGCTCCACAGCCGTCAAATAATTCAGGCCTATGCCAACCATCACTCCAGCCTTTTCATTCGCTCACCATGTCTTCCCGCTTAGCCATCAGCGTCTCAGATTGACAGCCTACTATGAGTAAAACCAGCCGTCCAGCGCCACCAAGAACTTTCGGCCTTTGCATGCCATACTCTCATCCGACCACTACTCACTGCTTTCCTCGAAAGAACATTTCCTCACTCTGATTGTAGCTAGTATAAGTGGCTTATAAATTATTGATACTGTACAACTGAGGCCGGAGGCAGACCCTTGCTCCTAATGACGGGATCAGGTAATATGTAGCAAAGTTACGGGTCCTGTCAGCTCCAACCCTGAGGATATGCGCATTGCGTAGTCTCACAATGTGACCGGGCAAATCTTTTGGGCCCAGACAGTGTCAAGTCAAGCCAGCGAGTGGGCACATTAGCCTTCCTCATCACACCCCTTTTCCCACTTGATCTGATACTCCTGTCATCATTCTTCTTCGTTCTTCTCTTGTTCAGCATCTCGATTCGTACCAGTAACAGCTGCGCTGTCGCTTCCGCAGTGTGTTGATTCAAATCACGTTCTCTCATTTTTATTTCTGATTCACAAGAGCAATCACTCCCTTTGCAGCCCTGTTCGTTCTTTCAGCCGCAGCTTGTTTCATTCATTTGAATTTTGATACTACACGGGTTCATCTTAGAAACGCCTCGACATCTCCGCATCGTCCTCATCGAGATACTATACTGTTTTACCTTCTCTCGACATACCGTTACACTTTGAATCAGCTGGTCTCATTCCTGCCTAGTCCTTCGGCAGAAACAGAACTTTAAGTGTCGAGCAAACATGTATCTCTCTAGCGCTCTTTTCATTGCCTACGCGGCCTTCGCACCAATTGCTACCGCAGCGGTGCAGGCCATACCTACCGCAGCTGCTGTTCCTACGAGCGCTACCAACACCGAAGTCTTCTCTTCTATTACACCCACTCTGGTCTACACCTCGGCTACTTCGTCCCCGCTCATTCCAAGCAGCAGCAGCAGTAGTAGCAGCAGCCTCAGGGTGGCTGCTACCACCGCCAGCTCTGAGAACCACCCTTCGAGTTCGTCAAATATTCTCGGCCATACGCCAACTATCAGTAGCCATATCTCCAGCTCTGCTGTCGCCAATTCCGCGCATCCTAGTTCTTCTGCGGCCGCCAGCTCTTCCTTCACCAGGTCCTACATCACGAAGACCACCACTCTTCCCACAAAAGGCACTTCCGACGACACCAACTCTGAGTCCGGATCATCAACTTCCGCCGACGCAGCTGAAGCGACCGAGACTAGTGCGGCGGTCCCAGCCGCCAAGCTATCGGGCAGCCTTGCTGCTGGTGTAATCGCTGTCGTTGGACTTGCGATGCTCTGAGATAGTTCGACCCATTGTCTTGCTCGGAAGTTCAGGCTCGGCTCCCTAGCTTCTGTTTCAACTATATAAGGTCTTTCACCTCATCCTCGGAGGCACTAGCTACAATGGCGACAACGGTAGGCCGTGCAGGTATTTCAGCTCCCAATTCAGCTTCAAATCACACAAAGGGATAGAAGCCAACAAGCAATTCGAATTTCATGAGTGATAGATGGAACCAGAATGAAGATGTAGTCTATTGTCATGTTGCCGAGCATAAGCTTACGTTCAAAGATATTGTCCATAGCATTCCATTTCACCTGAAGACTGCAGCTGTAAGGTTAGGAAGACATTAAGTAATTTATCACAATAGGTTTGCTCAAGACCAAAGATGTTTATCATCACGAAATTACGATATAGTAGCAGGAGGCAGGAGCTTTTATTGGCTGATCAAGGATCTATGCGAGCGATGCACAAACACATAGATGGTCTTGATGGTAATGTACAGTTGCAATGGAATGGTTGTGGTCAGTGGCATCAAGCCATGGAGAACCCTAAGATTTGCGGAACGTTGCCTCATATCTGTTTTGTGATGATTCGGTCAGTACAGTAACACAGAGGGAGATCGTAGGAGTTGATGATGGTGAAGCGCTGTACCTCTTTCCTCTGAACGCCCAGACACCCCAGTTGCCACATGAAACATCATGAGGATCCAGGTCATTGAGATCCCAGCGTAAGCTGCGGAAAATGTTCTCCCCAGGGTCGAGCAGAGTATCAAATTCACCAGCACATTTGTCATGCACCCAATTAATATCCCGTTCCATGTCCCATTGTGTATAACCTGTACTGATGATGGGAACTTTGGTCTCCAGTAACTGCGGAAGCGTCTCTTCCCACTCATGAGAGCTTGCGGGATGTCCAAGGCCAGGATGGAACAACATGAAGCAGTCTAAGTAAGGATCGAAGGGCTGGAAGTAGTTCGCTTTGTACATCGTGTGGAAGTAATCAACATAAGTCGTAATTTTTAATTGACCCCCGAGTCGGTCCTCGATAACACCTCCGAATGGGTTTCCAGGAGTGCGCTCCGGTAGCGGGAATTCGGCGTCGCGATTCGTCATGCTTTCGGGTCCAATGAAAATCAGATGTATCAGGGAGCGCGGAAAGATATAGCTGAGTTGCAACCAAACCTCTCGTGGCAAGGAAGACTCAGCCCGAGCCCCAAGAATGAAAATACGCACCGGTGGTGCCTTCAAGCGTAGTCCTCGGATATCAACCCCCTCTCCGGTCTTGGGAGGATGTAAAGTGTATCGCAGCGCTGGAAACTCCAATTAGCTTGACAATAACAGTAGTATGTAAGGGGAGGCGAGAGATTGTTGGTCTGAAAACTCACCGGTAACACTTTTGAGACCCTCCACGGTAAGTCTTCCCCCTTTGCGAACATTATAGGGACTTAACTCATGCAAGACACTTGCAAGTGTAAGCGGATAGGTGAGCATCCGGGTCACTTGACGCATGCTCCGGTCGTCGTTAATCGCCTCAAACTCTCGCGTATAGAGGAAGGTGTCCCAATTAGTCATGTTGATAACAAAGTTATCATCTTGTGGGCCTGGGTAGGTGAACTCCGGGAAGTGGCGTCCAGAATGCAGATCATGGTCATCCTCGTTAATCTGCCGTATGGTCTCACAGACCTCTAAGTGTGCTTCGAAGTCATCCATCCAATGTCCCTCTGAGCAATATATCGGTACCCCGCAGTCGGGGCATTCAAAGTGAGAATGTGCCGGTGGTAGACTCGTTGTCTGGTGGCTCTTGCGCGCCTCCGGATCGTGCGGAGAAACAGGTAGCCGGGTCTGCTGATGGCTTGGATGTGGGCAGAAGGCATTTTGTTTTATAAAAGCTGCACGCTGCCTGATTGCGACTGCTGGCGACTGAGAGAACGGATGAAGAAGGTTATTTGGTTTCAATAGGACGCGCGGATCCGTGCGAGTGTTTGATGTGGAGGAGAGGGCCTTCTGCACAATGGGTCCTAGCTGCCGCGACTCAGCTGGGAAAGACAGGGCTATCCGTTTTGAAAGCGTCTGAGGCAGGCTCTCGAGGAGAAAGGGGCCTTTTCTGGCACAGCTTAAGCTCCGCACAAAGGCAGGATTGAACGGGCCATATCCTCGAGAGGCGTGATGTGGCAGGCGTACCACAGCCCGTCGGCAAAGTACCTGCAAGCAGCGACCACAAGTGTACTCGCCAGTCATTGCTGGTTGGTACAGGCCTAAATCAACAGAAGTAGTAAAGAAACAAGAAGCTGTCGAGTGTCAACTACCAACCGCAACGAGGAAAGCAGTAAACATGGCGGAGCTTGCTGGATAATTGCCAAGCCACTAACACGTGATTTTCCTGGCTTAAAGTCGCGCCTACAATGTAATTACGCCATGGTACTTACTACCTTATGTAACATTATTTCGGTGGATGGCTATGTCATTTGCTATGTATGGCTGGTTTCCGATATTTTGGTACAGGCATGCATTTCCTCAAAATTCAATCACACAAAGATTGGATTGACGACGCAGTATAAAGACGTATTGCTCTCCCTAAAAGATGTCCTCACAAGCACTCCAAGCTTGGGCTTCCCGACAGGTCCAATAATTACCATTGTGTGCCCAGTATTGCTCTCCCGTGATAGGGCATTGAGCTCGCGTAAACCATTTGGGCTGATACTCTTCTCCGTTGGCTTCGCGCTCTCTGCGCTTAGCTCGTTGCTTTTCTTCCACACGATGCTTCTCACTGGCAGCCAGGTCATATTCGCCTTCTTCCATAGCACGCTGGTCAGGTCGAAGCCGTGTATCCGTAGGAGGGAGGTGCTCTTTCAGACCCTCCGGCAGGGCGTTGAGAGTGATAACGAACGGAGTCAGATTGAATGGAATTCCGCTTGGGCGCGCATGACATTGCCAGACCAGAAGCGTCTTGGCTGACTCGGGGTCTTGACCAGACACAGGTGCTTCAAAGCCGGGAGTATGCCGCGCATATATCTTGTCGTTCCACCGGCCGCCAATGCTCCATCTCGGGGTTCCATCCTGATCTACAACTTTCCCGGATACCTGGTAGGCGGAGGATGCCTTCCACCCTCTGGGCTTAAAATCCAGGTAGCAAATCTCGCCAGTTGTCCAATTTTTGATCTCCATCAACCCGTAGTTGTCCACAGTCGGATTTCCAGTAATGATGCCGATAACAGACGAGGTGACCTTCTTCCAGGTATACAACTCCTCTCCTCCGGATGCCGGCCGTAACCGAAGAAACCACGTCCCTAGCAAGTTGATGTCGAATGATTTTCCATAGAATTTGGATTTCAAGGCAGACTCGCCCTATGGAGAAAGGTCAAGTCAGTTGATCGAAAACAGCCATTGCATCAGAGTAGTCTTAGGCAAAGAACTCACATAATAATCCCACTTCGTCGACTCAGCCCAGGCAGCGCCTATCGGCGGGTGGTGGCTGACCTGCTCAATAAAGAATCGATACCCCTTGTCCGGGCGGACGTATTCAAAGGTCTCACCCAAAAGGGGGTTGAAAGGCTTTGCGACACGGCCGATGGTCGATGCGTACTCACTCGCAGCATATGCAGCAACGTATAATAATCGCTCCATGGAATTGGGTCGGTCCGCCGCGATATCCAGTAGGTCCGCATATTCCAGGTCTTCAGCTACGCGCTGAAGCAAGGAGGTAGGCTCATTGAAAGAGACTGGGAGGGTCATCTTCGTCATGTCCTTACCGATCATTGACTTCAAAATACCCTATTATGATTGTGAGTATTTCGAACCATCAGCTTTTTCTTGCAGTTAGCCGTTGGTGAGTTGCTTACCCATAGGGAGATTTTTGGCCTATTATCATAGTCCATTTTCAGCCGTTCCCTAATACCCGATTCGTATCCCTTGAATGAGGGAATAATCTCCGTTCGCTTAATGGCTCGAAGCTTGCTAATCTCTTCTAGAGATTCTGTCTCGTCATCATCAGCGGGTACGACGGTTAGCTTCTCTACCTCAATCTCCCCTGAATCGATTGCATCGAAAAACTCGTCCTCGTCGTCCGACGCTGAGTCGCAGAGGTTACTGATCTGAGAAAGAGTTGACTGTCTGCGGCTGAGAGAGCGCCCTGGCTCTTTCTTCACGAGCCGTGAACGACCGTCACCCAACGTGACCTTTGCCGTTTCTGAATTATCATCAATGGGTTGCTCATGAGACGGAGGCCTGCCGGCAGTATGGCCGACATTTGCTGACTCTAAAGCCTCCTTGAGCGCTCGTTTAGTGCGCCGCCGTTTTTCCTCGGATTCACCCATGCGCGACTGTAGCTCCTCGTGTTCCTGTGCGATCCTTGCCATGCTTTCTTCCCACATGTTGCGTAGATACGCCTCTCTGCTGACTCTATATTGCCAATAAGCATCGCGATCCCGGGAGATCTTCAGCAAATTCTGTACCAAGCCCTGTAAACTACTTACGGCTGCTCCACAAGCTACCAGAGCTTGCTCGATGGCCGGATCTGAAAGAGGTGTATTCGGCGCTTTCGAATTCTCTGCCTGTAGTGAGGCCGTGAGGTTGGCAAGGATCTCAAGCTGAAATTTAGTCGACTGTGCGGTGATACTCAGAGCATCTTTATCAGCCAATGGCAAATTGTGACTTGAGGCATAGCCTCCATCCTCATCCTCATCATCATCATCATCATCATCATCTCCGTCAACGTCAGGTGCAGTCGTTACATGACTAGTGATACGGTGCACCTCATTGGGCGGGGCAGTATGATCCAGCGAGCCGTACATTGAGCCGTCTTCATCTCCGGGAGCACTTTCTAGCGTTATACGCGATGCATACATGCTAACTCGTGAGCCACCATCGTTTGGAATTGGTACTGCGACGGATGACGGTGCCAGGTTTTTGCCGCTTGGTTTGTTGAGAATAGTGGAGCCTGATGAATCCAATATGCTCTCAGGCGAACGGCCTTCGGTCTGTTCAATTTTTGCTTGACGTAGCGCTTCAGCATGCCTTGTCTGGCGCTTTTCCTCCTCTTTCGCTTCGTCCTTGGCCCATTGAATGGCATTGTTGAGAGTCCAGAACCAGCGCTTAGCCTCAACGACATGATTTGCTTTGAGATGGTACTTGACTGATGATTTGCCATGGATCTCAAAGCGAGTCTTGTCTTGAGGATCCATGTTAAGTCTGGCAATCTTCATATTAATGGCACCTCGACAAGCTGAGCCCGCATCGTCTGCCAATAACGACCAGGGAACATCAGGTTAGCGAGTGTGCCATGGTTCGAGCTGGTACGATTTAGCCAGACCTACCTTGATGTTTATAGTAACTCAAAACCCCATCCTCCAATACAAACCAACGTAGCTTATAACCGCTGGTGTAATTCGTCCATTTTTTCAAATAGCCTCTCATTTCACGAGCTTCTTTCCCGGCGAAAGGAGCTTCGGCTGCACTCGCCCGACCAGAGACGCCCGAAGTCGTTGCGCTGGTGCCTAAGATGGCTTTTTCCTGTATACCTCGTTGAGCTATGACAGCTGCCGGAGATTTCTTGACGATCGCGCGTGTCTTTTCATCTTTGGTGACATCTTGTGGAAGTTTCCCTTTTTTGTCTCGGCGAAATGGGTCGGCACCATGCATCAGAAGAATTTGTATCAGCTTCGTATCTTTCTTCCTAGCCCCTTCATGTAGTAAAGTCCCCCCAGAGTGGACCGTAGCAGGATCTGTAACTAGGTCCAGGCTATTGACGTCCATGACGCCCTCAACACGAGGCTCTTCCAGCACTTTTTCTAATTTCGCGTAATCGCCTTGAGAGGCCAGTGCTCGAATCTCCTGGGTTTTAGCATCTATGAATAATGACCGGGCTAGTTGAAGTTGCTGGAAAATTTCGGGGGTTCGTGCAACGTCAAGCGCGGTTTGACCAGAGTAATTTACAAGGGAGTCATTTAGCGAAGGCCACTTCAGTAGCTCACGAACCACAGGGCCCCGTCCCAGTTGGGCGGCCAGGTGAAGGGGAGTGTTACCGTCTCGATCTTGTGCATTCACATCCAGCTCTTCACCAGTGGATAAGACATACTCCACGACCTGTGGCTCCGCGCACTGAATAGCTAGGTGGAGAACAGTGGTACTTGAAGAACTAGTCATGCCCTGAGGCTCTTTGTTCTCTTTTATAGCTTTTGATATTGCAGTGGGATCGCCGCTCCGAAGGATCTCGAAGAGGCGGAAAGTACGCACCGACTGGTCCAGGGACATGCTGCTGCCTTCACCATGTGACAAAGAAGGAAGCTTTTCGATATTGTCGTCGTCTCGAAGAGAGCTCATCGGTTCTTGAAACGTTTCAACGGCAATCAGAGGTAGCAAGTCTGGCTCCTGACGTGATTTGCGGCGGCTGGAGCTTCGCGCCGTCGGTATACTGGGGGGAGTGGACGGGCAGCTGTTGATCGGAGAAGAGATGGTAGGGCCAGATGAATGGGCAATGTCGCCAGTGACACTGCCCTCACGCCGTTCACGCGACTTGTCTCGGTGCAAAATCGCCAGCGCCAAAGAACTGCGGGAACGTCTGTGCCTAAAGATCACAGATCACCTCTAATGTCAGCACACTCAAATTGCGGGGTCCAGCCTCTGACCACAAGGATGGTGCAGTCCAGCCACCCAGTCCAATGTCAGAGACATAAAGTAGATGGCAGAGCTCACAAGGGTCAAGTCAGGATGGACTCACCCTTCACCCCTATCCGCCATCTCTCTCCACTGCTCGTAACGGCGAAGATCAGTTTCCAAGCCGGACTTTTTGATCAGGGAGTGTACAGCACCACCAAATTAGGCATAAAAGATGCTCTGATCTATGCAGCGAGGCGGGACGGGAGAAATATGGGGACAAATGGGCGACGGCCATTGAAGAAAAGGAGGTTGGCAAAAAGAGGGAGGGCGCAGATCTGGGGAAAGGCGGCGGGCGTTGTTGGGGTATCTCCCAGCTCAGTGTACTGTGTACTGTGTATACAAAATCGCGCATCTCGGCATATGACTTACAGCTGACCGACAAGATAACTTTTTATGGAAAGAGAGAGTACGGTTCATAAGGATTCAGGAATTTCAACAACGAGCTATACAGACGAGCCTCACCTAGTCTCTCCACTCACCACCACGATAACACTGCCGAGCTGTCGACGAAGATCCTCCTTATCCACATCATGAGTGTCTTCCACCTCGCCCCACATGTCCGTCTGCCATTTGACCTCCAGACTGGACGCCTCTGCTGCCTCTTCAAGACCAAATCTTCTCTGCCCGGGACGTTGTAAGCTACGAAAGTTCTCGCTCCATTCGGCGACTAATCGAACAGCTATAAGAAGACTCTTCGCTGCGAGTATGCCTCTCTCAAGCGCGGCCAAGTCAAAAGCGTGTAGATTCATAACCCATTGTCGGATTATATCCTTGGTAACTTGTGGTTGTGATACTGGCAAGATGCTGTCGGCATCTAGGATGGGTCGGATATCAACTCCAGGCCAGACCTTGGTACTCAGAAAGGCGATTGTATCATTGGCGACCCTTATCTGAGCCTCTCGAAGACTTTCCATATTCTCGCCTTCCTTGTCCACTTCTCTAAGGGAGTCGGCAGGCTCTGGTACCCAACATAATAAGGTATCGGTGTCCAAATAACGCATCGCGGTTTTCACAATCTGCTCTCTAGCGGACGACGTGCCCCTCGCATCCTCTCGGGCAATGTCCACCGCCCGTGCTGTAAGAGAAGTTAACGGGATCAAGTGGTTTTTCAAAGCTTGCTGAGCAGTAGTCATCACATCCCACTCCAAAGCAATCGCATGCGCCAGGTAAGGTTTCGTCGACGGTATAGACAATATCTCTTTGGATGGCGTTCTTATTGGGCGGGTTTCCAGCAGAATTTCGTAATCGCCTTCTATTATTGAGAATCAGGAGCACGTCGGATACCAGGTCAATCCCAGCTCTATAATTTATGTATCGTAGGATGAGATCAATCTTTACCTGACTTTCTCCGCACATTAACATCCTTCCAAAACCGCTTTTTGAGTCTTGCGGAGGGCTTCGCTGGAAGAGCATCGTGTTCGGCCGTAGTTTCCAGTTGCAGTTCAGGACGTGGTTCAAAGGGAGAAGCAGGCGAAGGAGCCCGAGGGGGAGGCCCATGGGCCGTTATAAGGTGGGCAACAGCGGCTTTGGGGGAAGAGGTTTGGAGACAACGCGCAATAGTTCCATGAGGCTGAGCGGACAAAGTCGAGGCTGCCGGTCGCGATAAAGCCGCGTAGAAGCGAGATAATCGTAACATCGCCGACTCAGAATAATGCGCAGCAAAAATAAAAAAAATAGGTGAAGAGGCAATGAGCATGAGCCGCCGTCAAAATGTGTTCCAGGTCAAATTCGTACTACTGGCGCAAGACGGGAGCAAAGGTGAACTCGAATCGGGGCGCCGCAGGCGCCGTGGGCACCGAATACGGAACGCGGCTGCCGCAGATCGGCTGCTCTGCGCAGCACTACTCGAATCTGTTCGAATGCAGCTACAGAACGAGTATACTGGTTTCATCACTATTTCTTCCAAGTAATTTAAGTTGGCTTTGATCTTTATCTTCGTAATACAGAATGGTTTCATCTACGGAGTATTCAACTGCCATTCGTTTAATCTTGACCCCTCAACCAAATCAATTCTAGAATTAGTGTTCGTGTCTGTCCAGATAGCAAGATGCTCGGCTTGTAGGCCACCCTTTGCTTATCGATTTTGATGCCAATTGAGTGACAGAAGCGGACGTTATATTTGGTTAGCTGTTTGGGGTGGGCCATAGTCGACCTCGAGACTTGAATGAGAGATGACCTACCACACAGAAACTGGCTGCCCACAACATTACGGGCGTGAATGTAGCTAATGATCTACAGGATTTCAAATCTTGTGCACTGCGTATGAAAAGTGGCATCACATGACTGATGGTGAGATGTTCCAGCTCATTCTTTGGTGAAAAAAAATGGCTAGCTGGCGAGCCATTGCAAAGCAAAGGATCCGAGTCAGGCCATTGAGAACATTATTCTTGGAAGACAAGGCCAGTAGCGTAAAGACAATGTCCAACCCATACTTTTGTACTATACATAAAGGATACATTACGTATTAACTTGCGACACCCTAGCACATCGAGGAAATCCGATCGCAGTCGAGGATGATTCTGGTATTGCTCGAGGCCTCAAAAGCGCAGCTTGAAGCTGAAAATATCATTCCATACAGCTCGATTCATGGAAAGAGTCGAACGCAGATAAGGGACGAGGAACGGAAGGAAACCTGTCGGCAGCATGTCAGGACGCAGGGCTAAGCGACACCCGCGCTGCCGGAGCTTGATCAGCCTGATTTAGAACCAAGTTTCTCTGACTTGGTGTCGTAAAGGTATCGCATCTTTTGCACGAAATTTGGCCTCTCGCTGGCTCTCGAGATGGCCTCAAGAGCTAGGAATAGTTATGGACATATCACATTAGTAATCGGAACAGTTCAGCCATAGTCTTGCAGACAAGGCCAGTGTGGCAAGGGAGAGAAATGGCATGATTTTGTCACTTTTGTGCAGGCGGTAGCCCACACTATTGCGTAATGAATTTGGGGTAATAAGGCCGTTTCATGCGATCAAGATCTGTTCGCTTCTTCATACGCTCCGCGTCGTAGTCATCGGCGCCATCTCTGCTACCCCATGCAGTCTGCAGATAAAGCTTAAGTCAGCTGAAGACCTCAAGACGAGATGGAAAGGCAAGCTCCAGAATCCCCCGTGAACGCAGGCATTGGCCAGACAAGATGTGGCAACACGAAGAGCGAGGGCACTGGAAGGCTGGGGGATGACCATCATACGTGAGGACGTTTTACTGCTGAGAGGGATACGAGAGGGGGGAAGCGTGGCACATGAACAAGTTGTAAGAGACAAATGTAAATGAAAGAGAAGTGTGATTTTGGGGGACTTGAGACTGTGGGAGCCATATGCAGAACAACAAACAGACAGGGCATTCCACTCGGGTGGACACCGCGACCAAAATATGCATGAGATGAGACGGGCTTTAGTTGGGCTGGGGGGTACAAAGGGAAAAGACTCGGGATGCGACTTACCACATTGAGAGTGAGGACGGCATACATTTTGATCCCACCGTGGAAATAGCCAAAGAGTATCGAAATTGGTAATAGGATGAAGTCCACAGGATAGCGGATGTAGTGTCCCAGGAGTTTGATAAATTTGCTTATAAACATCCAAGCTCCGAGGGCTTGCATAGCCATTGTATGAACATTGTCATCCCAATCTACCGTGGCTTTATGGCACAACAAGAGGAGCAGGAGGTCACCCAACAGCGCTGGGGGCGAAAGTGTTGTCAGATGAACAGCATATGCACTCCAAGGTTGGCGGCTACAATATTATTAGCATGTACAACTCAGAAAGGGGTGAAAGAAAAAGAGAAAGAAGAGAGGTACAACAACAAGAAAGATAAGTTAATAGTAACAAAACGAAACAGTTCAAAAGCATCCGTATGGAATTACTGGCGGCATGGTTGATTCAAATAGCGCACTGGGATGAAATGATAGATACCCATTACGCTCAAACCGATTTGAAGACTGAACAAGAGAACCAACGAATGTGTCGAAAATAAACTGACAAGGGAAACTTACTACCAAATGTGCTTCTCATGAAACATGCTTGTGATGTTGCTCCTCCAGTTGCTGCGTGACCAGCGTGCGCATTGCTTCAAAAATTTTGGATTATTTTCTAGCGTGGTCAAGACCTCGGCTTCAGGATGGTACTGCATGTAAGTCTCCCAGCCATGAGAGACCATCCAGCGAGTGATGAAGTTGTCATCATCAGCATTCAACTGATATTTACCAAACCACCATTCTTCATTCGTGAAGGCATATGTGAATCCTTCATCTTGTAAGATCTTAGTTTTATAAGCCACCGTACGCCCGGACATGCATGGCAACCCTCCATCAATGTGTGTGGTGGCTGCGCAGTCAAAATTTCGTCGCTCAAGATATAAGGCACCAAGATACCCCCATATGCGCTCGGACATGGTTGGTGCGATGGCCCGTCGCAGCCGTTGACAGGTTACTACACCACCGAATCGCTCATCTTTTTCGAAAGGCGCCAGAATCCAAGGGAGTACTGTGCGTGGCCAGCTCACATCGTCATCTGCAAAGACTGTGATAGTTGTACGTACTTCTGGAATCGCACGCGTCATCTGGCGCCGCTTATTCGGGTGCGTCACAGTGAACAAGCGAATTTTGGACTTCGAAGCAGGCATCAAGCTCAGCATGTGTTCAGCCTTTTTCTTGTTCGCTTCAATAGTCACCAGAAGCAGTTCAAAGGGATGATTATCGAGTATCGTCCTTATCGTCTCCACAAGTTCATCGCCGCAGCCCTCCAATGTGGGAAGTATCACCGTGACATCTTGAGCAGTGAGGGCTGGGTTTTCGGGAAGAGGAATAGGCTTGAAAGTCCAAAAGGAGACCAGATTGACCACCAAGCGGAGATAGCGGTAAACACTGCATGCCGGATCAAAATGATTAGAGAGTGTATCTTACTCGCTGTACCGTCGATGCGGTTTAGGGAAGCAGAAGCAAGGCGACAGAATAAACTCGGAAGGTATTGTGGCAATGGTCACTTACAAAAGAGCCACAAATGCTCGCATGAATGGAAATTCCATGATGACTCGGGGATCGCAATCTTGTACCCAACCCAGTCTTACAGCTGAACAGTAGATTAACTTGGATGCAAGATTGCCTTGATTTGCATCCAATTCGTGCGAATTGGTACAATCGCACCAACAAGCAATATACGTGACCCAATATAACACTGAAAACTAAATCACAAAGAAGATAGACAACGTCCGGAAGAAAGAAGGACAATCTATAATTTAGCAAAATTATCGGGTCGGGAGAGAGGAGGGCGAATTAGGGGGGCGAAAGTGGTGAATGAGTTGAGGAAAAGGATGGCAAATTGGGGCAGGAAGCCAAAGCGAAGGAACGAATGTCTGAACTGGAACGGCGTCTACCCCTCGAGGTTGTCCAAGCGCTTTGTGAGAAGAAAACGGGGGCGAGACAAGAGTGCCAGGACAATTGGCTTCGCAAGAGGAAGTAAATGCCAACTACTTATGGGCAGGGAAGCAGCATTTGAGACTTTTTATTTTGTCGCGAATGGAGACACTGGCGCGGGATGGCAAGGAAGGCGCATGGTCAACTCCGACATTCAGACAACAGTTTGAACCAATCTGTAATGAGAAATATAAATAAGTTACTTGTGGGCTCCAGTTCCTTTGTCATTTCGAGTGTCATGCAGGTGTATTTTTGCCTCGTGCGTCAGAGACCCTGGATCTAGATGGACTGATGGAGGATAGTGAGGGTGGAGAAGGGATTGGCGGCGGCCCATGCATGCAGCTACAGACTACTACAGTGCAACAGTAGGCTATTACTAGCGACATGGTCCAGAGAGTGGGGACTGGTATTACCGCTGCTGGTGGTGGTGGTGTGTGGTGGGTGCTGGATGGTGGATATACTCCCACAGTAAGATGACGAGACCATGGTCGAAGCTAGTCACTAGTTTGTTTACCAGAAAAATTGTACTTGACCGGGGGATGGGAAGTGGATAAGAGACAAGATTCATTAGGTGTAGGGGGGGAGCAAAGCGGAGAAGACCTTACCAGTCTGTAGCATCGATTGATGACTTCGACTTAGTAAGAACAGTGCTGTGGAAGCAAAGAAGGGCAGAACAGGCTCATCTCTCTTCTCCAATACGTCTATAGTGTGCTAATGAAGCTTGTTTCCTTGAGATAGATAGTTGAGTAAGTGAAGTAGGGCTACTGTGTTAAAGGCGAGAGATGCAGAGTCAATTACTCCGATTACTCTTGTCCTTGTCTCGGGCATCGTCGTCTCGGAGGTCCAAGCTTACATCCACACACATCTCTCCACATCTCTTTCGCTCGGTCGGTATCTTCTTTTTCCACATATTCCTGCCGCAAGAGAATATTACACACTTGACTCTGCAAAAGTTCATCCTCCTAATTCCCCGCATATTATTTGTACTCTTCCTATCCCAACGATTGCGCTCGTAAGCCGATTTTTGTGTAATAAGGAGGTGACCATTTCGCCAAGTCCGATAGGCAAGATGCGCCGATGAGCCGACGACCTAAAACAGCTAGGGAGAAAGTAGACTCGAGGCGACCAGAGTTTGTTTGTCGGCTGGGTGATCAGCCAACCGAACGGGGAATCATAATTGAGAGCCTGGAGACGGGCCCCAGTACCTAAGGTACCTAAGACATAGCTACTGGCAGAAGGAAGATGAATCCTTCAAGTACGGAGTACTATTGAATGCAGTCGGTAGTAGCCGTCAAGTATAGTACATTACTATTGCGAATCCTCACCCCTGCCCTCCCTAGTCCTACATAGGTAGCAGGTGCGCTACCTTCATTTCCACCCATGACCTTGAGAAAACCAGTAATTACAATCCGCAGCTGCTTCAATCCCAAAGGACGAAAGAGAAGGAGAGCCATGCATCTCTCTCTACTATACTAATATTCTGCTTAGTTTCCTTCTATTTGGCTCAGAATGCAAGTGAATGGTTGTGCTTAACGTAAATCAAGTTCCGTTCGCTAGTCATCTCGGCCGGCCGGAGAAGGGCCCGTTTAGCACGGCCAACCTGTTCTGTTTCCCAAACATAGGTCAGAGATTCATGAAAGACAATAAGGGCTGGAGTCGGATTACTATTCCTATCGAGATGCAGCATGGTGCATCCAATCGGAAACATATTCATGGAGTGTGTTACTAAGTAGTTACAGCATGCAAGTCAGAAGTGTGTCTTATTATCAATTGTCATGAATTTAGTTAGATCCGATCGGGGATTTTACTTGAACGATATGAGGAATGAGGGATGGCAGAAGACGGGAGAGCAAAGTCCAGGGGAGCCAGCAGAAGCGGAAAAACAATAAATAGAAGAGATAGATTAAATGAATGGGATGTACCAGCACCCTTGCTTCACGTGCTAGTAATTCCCGCGAGGCTGTGTTCTAGTTGGGTCAGACATAATAGGTAATGAGTAAAGATACATAATATTTAGGCCACATGATACTGTAATTACACTTACTTCACCAGTGCCTGTTGGGTTAGTTGATCAAGTTATATTACAGTATATAGGCACGATCACAGTCTGAAGTGTTTGTCGGGATTACGGTACAACATTCGCTACTGGACTTCTAGTACTTGTGGCACATTCTGTCTTAGTTTCACACTGATCTAGTGTGGATATGGGTGACCTAGTAATGGATATGATTAAGGTCATAAGTGAGCTACTGTACACTGCAGTGGTGAACGAAATTGAGCCAGGAAGAGGAATGCATGATCTGTGGAAGATTTGCGATTCGACGAATAAGCAGTATTAGCACAGAAGTTAAGACAGTATGTATATGCAGTAGGTACTACTAACATCCATGACAGGAAGACATTTCTCTCAAGGTGGTAAAGCATGGGTCAAGCTTGTCCTGTTAGACTATCGAAATACGCGATTTTTTTTTTTAATTTGAGGCAAGCTCTTACTAAGGTAGCTGACAAAGCCGTAAATACTCTCTTTAGCTGCCAACTTACGGATCGTCGAGTATGGATTTGCATATACTGTAACAGTCTATGATGTATAAGGTGCCAAGCATTAGAATCCTGGATATTATGAACTAATGATACATAGAACAGCAGTATGATTCTGTAGGTACAGCATCTGGCACGTTACTATCACGATCGAAGGCCTGGAATGTTAACCCGAGGAAAAATCTGGGGTTGCAATATGAGCACTCAGCCATATTTTACTATATTTAAACATATGGTCAGATGAATGTATAACAGCTGATATAAACAGCCAAATATCACACCCATAAATATTCAAGTTAATAGATGATCCTAGTGGCGATCTCCCAATCCTGTCAGATTCGAACATGTTACATGACCTATAACCACGCTTACTCATACAGGCTATGAAGCTTGAGTGGTGTAGTGAGTAGTTGGTATCACATATCAAGAGTACTAATACGAACTCACGGTATGCTTTTGAAGACCATGCTACGAAACTTTAATTACAGCTGGGTGACTTTCTTTTCTCAGTGAACTTCTCATCTACTATAAATGAAAGATTGACTAGAGGCTCATGACAGTTTGCTCAAATTGCAGGGTTATTGGGACCCCATGGCGACTCGTTCATTCAAGACAATCGCTAGCTCATTGACTCGCATTTTTTGACATTTAGCTAGTGCGTGCAAGGCTTGGTAAGACTCTCAGCCACTAGTCCAGGCTCCCAGACCCTATCTATCATACGCTACTATTAATTACGATTGCGTCTACTACGAATACTCATAGATACTTATCTTTGTCTGGCACCGGATGAGAAAACAAAGAAAGCTAGTACTCACTTTTGGCTCAAAGCAAGTCTAGAACCGGTCAAAGACATTGAAAGCGAGTGTATTGTCATTGGGGTCAGCAGCCTGACAATGTCTTTACCAGTCATCAACCAAAGATTGGCTTTCTGTCTTGGCAGTTCTCAGTGATCACTCAGCTTCACTCTCAACTCACCTTCTCTGGCTTAATTGATATTCACGCATCTGTGATCGAATGGTCTGGCTGCATTGCTCAGTACTTTCCAATAGTCCGGACCGGCAATTTAATATTTAGCTTCATGAAGCAATCAGTTATATACACAGTAAGTACACAGTATTGTTCATACTGCACGTATACATACGGAAGAAAGAGTGGAATGCGATAGGCCCACTCAACTTAAGGCTCCAATAGCAATGAACGTGCGGCCCGAGCTCCACCTCTTGTCTAAGGATTATAGACTCGCATCATCCCAACGATTCTTGTCTTGGCGCACAGTAAACCTGTGGGATTTCTTGATTGTGCAATCATACTGGGTATATCTGATATTTTGGGGTACTTTCCTCCCCATACTACACCCGAAATGGCAGTTGCCTGGATGATGATGCTACCTACGCTACCTTCGCTGCTAGTGTGCTAGGTGAACTAGCAGCCCTCCAGCCTTACTAGTGGCTGCAGAAGAAAGTGGATGCTCCTGCAAGTCACCTTAAACGGTTATGTGCTTCGAGACTGGGCGGGGACTGTTGCATTCTTGCAGATTGTGTCACTTACTGTGTACTCAACAAGACGCTTCTAAATTAGTCTGAAATCCTGCGACCAACATTAGTATAGTGTTCCATGTTCGATCAGTCGTCAGCTTATTGAGAGACTGGGAGTGATAATAGATATTGACGGACTCCAAGGGTTGGCTGCCCGACCTAACTAGCCCTGGTGTGATAGTGAGTGATTTTAGCGAACAGCTCACGGAATCCTCGTATAATACTTTGGCATGAACTTCGTGTATAGCTCGGCAGTATCCTTGCGATTCGGATGATTACACGTCCGTGCGTATGGAGCCTGCCGATTTGCTGCTCGAGCCTTTTTGAGTGCTGTGCATGCATGTCCTCAGGCTTTCTCATCCCTCTCCGCTCTTTAGTCCTTAAGAGTCCATTGCAGTGACGAGGATATTCTGGCGCAGTGATTGCAACTTTTCGCTCAAATATGCTGTTGGAATTTTCCCGTGAACAGCCACTAAAGATCCTACAGACTGCGCATATCTGACAGCTTTTTAAGACTTGCCAATGCCAACAGGGCCTGAATATGTAGGTGAGTGAACCAGACGCGTACTACATCTTTCGGCTGCACGGACATGAATTGTATTAATACTACGGAGCCCGGAGCAGTCGCCGTCGCGCCCCACCTGTACCCGGGAATGACCGAATGAAGGATCCAGACCAGTGTGCTCACAACAATTTGCTGTTCGTACAGTACGTTACTAATTGTGCATAAGTTCTCTCTACCTAGAACTACATAATACATAGTAGGCTTGAATCAATTGAGTGCCGGATGATTTGGCTGCCAGGTGAAATAGCTACAGAAACTACGAAGTACACTGCACGCACTGCCTCAACTAAGTGTTTCCTTTAATTAAAGTGCTTTGTGCTCGCAGTGGCCAAGTAAGGTGAAACTGTAGTCTCATAGCGTATCTTTATTCATCACGCCAAGGTATCCCAATATTGCATCTACCGAGAGATTCGTGAGTTGTTTATCTAATCATATACAACGAGCAACTGAATGTGTAGGTACCACTACTACTCTGAAACACGAAGTCCATGTATGTGCACTACACTGTACTGTACTGTACTGTACTGTACCTGTTCCATTCAACATCTGGCGTAAGGCCTAATTCAATTAATGCTTGCTATGGAAAAGCGATCCGTGCTGAGAAAATTGTTCCACAGACATCGCCAGAGTCAACAGAGTGGCAAGGCCCGGGAGATTGATACCGTTTATGTCCACCAGCTTATTCACTGAAGCTGCCTCAGAGGCCCGGCCTGATCAAGTGCCGTTTCCTCCGTCTTCCTGGCATTCATTATCTTCTAACCGCATATCAAGGTCGCGCTTATCAGCAAACTATGACAATTTCCGTTCTCCATCGATCAACAAGGAAGATGACATGCAGCCTATGCGGTCGATCAGTACGCCAGCCGTGTTTAGGGAGCACCATTCACTTCGGCTATCCAGATTTGTATGGTTCGGCTCAGAGGGAAGGGATAGATTTATGAGCTAACATCATGCAACTTGCTCGGAAAAAGGGACCATGCTGCGTACGTAGCCTTGCGCCGCTATTACTTTTCTCTCTTGTGGCCTACAATTTTCTCGGCTCTATTTCGCCATGATGTGACCGAATCGCCGGACTAGAATATTCCCAGCTCAAGCTTCAAGCATAGGAGGAGTACTGTGGTAAAGACAGCACTGTATTAGTACTAAATAAACAATGCTTCTGGTACACCCAATGTATTCAGGCTGACTCCGTATAGGTGAACTAAATTCCCTAGTGGAGGCGGACTGTGCACATTTTAGCGCAGCCTAGTACTTACTGGTGGGAACCTCTTTCATATACGGAGTACCAAAATACGGAGTAATCGTCTGGTGGTGGTGGGTAAACCAATGCAAAGCATCAGCTACCGCCCGCGGGATCCGAATTTGGCAGCGATGGGCGAGAAAGAGCCTGAGGAGAAAGGCCACTCCACAGCTGCTGTGCACTGTGTACTGTGGTATAGACTAGCAGCATTGATAGACCCGTGTGCCTTGCGCCGATTCTCAGGAAGGCTAACTGCTCTGTCTATCTTGGAAGCACTCCTGGTCTTATATCCTTGGTACAAGATAATCCCTCCCCGGAAAATTAAACTTCAAATGCTGACAAGACACACATTCAATACGGATTATGCGGCAGGTGCTCTGGTTTTATATACCCCTGAGAATCAACATTCCACTTAGAGACCCTTAGTGCCAAGCCTATACTCCGTAGGCTCCGCTCATGAAATGTAAGCATAGGGTAAGATCAAATGTGAGTAATTCGTAGCACATCTACTGGACACTATAGGCTGGTATCAGGCAAGACGTCAGGTGAAATGTTTCTGTTTGCTGCCCAGCGCACCCCCCTTCCTTTTGCAGTTCACCTACACGGTACATGGGGATGGAGGGTGGTGTTGGGCTGTGGGTCACCCTGAAGCTTGGCCAGGCCATTCTTACTTTCCCAGTTTCCCACATGAAGAGGCGTTCTATTCCGGAGTGCGAGTAAGTCCAACCTCCTTAGAAGGAAACTAGTAGTATAGTACTCCGTACGTAGCGGAATTAGGGTCCCCACCGGAGTGTCACTAGGCTATCCCATTGAGATCGCGATTTTGCAGTTATCGAAAACGAACTCCACTACAAAATGGGTGACTGACTGTACTCCGTACCTTTACCTGCAACCATTTTCAATCTCCACTTGGTCAAAGCTGTTTGGCTTGACTAAAGGCCCCGAGCAGAAATACCGGACGGTGTCCGGGAATACAGGCTCTATGCATGTACGTAATACACACAGTACGTACATACACAGTTGTAATATAATTCACCTATTTGCTGTAACTAGCAGTTCTAGAGGATAAGGATTTTTAACTAGTCAAAGCTAACAACCGCTTGATCCAGTAGAACTATAGTAGTGGCCAGAGACTTGAGTAGGTAGACATAGTCAGAAGAAGATGTACATCCTAGCATATGTGCATCAATTTGTATGTGTGTAACAACATTCTGTTACTAGCACTAGTTAGCTAGCTAACTAGGATGAATGATTCAACCTTGTGGCATTATACTATACAATATGTACTGTAGATTTGTTGGCCTGAAATCTGACCTACAACCCTACTGCCATCGTAACCCATATATTCCATGAGTAATATTTATGTTCCGAACTAAACCACTCAACGCCGCTGCTATACAAAGAAGTACCGCAAGAGTCGTCTTAACTTCAATTTGATTTCGAGCCTATCCAACTGATCGCACGCCATGTAAGATATGATGCATAGCATCCAACTTCTTCACGGCATTAGGTCTACGGAGTAGAAGCTGTAGATCTGACGTCAATCCTCGCACATGGGCTTCAGAAATATCAGTACCTGTTTCCAGCTGGAACCCCTCCTTGCCCCCTCATTGCCCGCTCTCCGCCCCTGCCTTGAATTACACCGTCCGTTGACAGCATCAGCGGAACTGTAGTTGAACTTCCCCCCGTGAACTGATGTACGTGTAACCAGCAGGGGAACTTCCAGCCAATCCTGTAGGGTATACTTCTAGAAGTACCAACCATCAGCATTATAGTGGTGTTCAATCATTACCATTACCATTACCAATTGCCTATCCTGCTTACCCCCGCCCTATTCAGGCTATTCTGCTGACTTGGCTTTTTCGGGGCTTGGGACCTATGTCGTTGACTCGTCAAGAAGGTACGAGTAGTTAGGTACCTTACATATTTTGCCTGTTAAGCTACTTGTTCAAATGTCCAAAACACGCAGTGTTGCAGAAGAACGAGTTTCTTCATGGCCAAAGCTAGAGTTATGTGCTTCCCTTCATGCGAGCATAAGGCTTCATGATTGAAGTGCATCTCAATGCTTTGCCTGGACTTGGATCGATTGCAACAGGACATGGAGACAAGCTGCAATATGCGAGGACAATGCGGTTTCGTCAAGTATGCTGTGGAGTCCATAACCAAGCTGTGGGATTGAATTCCACAGCGATATCTACCACCCCAAAGAGCCCTACAGCCCCGTACAGGTCGAAGTTTCCTTCTAGCTTTTGAACACCTCCAGAGTCCTCATCTCTTTCCTCCGCGAGATCCCAAGCCCCGACCTCATCTCCATCACGAGTAAAGAAGACAGAAACGTCGAGACTGTTTCTCTCACATGATCGAGGAAACACCATTCCTAGGCCGACGGTTTGTCCTTGACGAAACTCGCTTGTGAAAGTTTTGCCACCCCAGGAATCATTCACAAAGCGACATCCGTCATCGGAAAAAATGCCGAGACTCCCTCGCTCCCATCCGGGAGACCTCCAGGAGGGATATGGCTTAGCCACATATCCTATAGAGAAACCGCTGGATTCGACAAACCTACTATTGGACCTACCGCCATGGCCTAAGAATTTGACTTCGAAGTATATCAGCTTGGTCTTGTTTGTCCGCAGAGGAGAATCGACCAAGGCGAAGTAAAGAGGTAGATTGGTTGTTAATATCGAGTCACGATTCCTTGGATCCGTGGAGCCAGCCCAATGGCCTCGCGGAGCAACACGCACAATGCCATGAAATTTTGAGGGTTGAACTGGAATCAAATCGAACTGCTCCACAGCTTCGTAAGTAGCAGGAGAGGGCTCCACAGGGGGCTGCAATGGATATGCATTACAGAACTCGTGCGCACGCAACGCATCATGAGAGGAGGCATTGCCTGTAGACGAGTTGAGAAAGCCTGCTGCTGGCGGAGGAGGTAAGCCATCTGCCTCGACAAAAAACTCTTGCCAGGAATGGTATGGTGGACGAGAAGGCTCTGGGCCCCTGTCTGCCAGCGAAGAAGCGACAGCACATGCGTAGGTGGGCGGTGATTCTTGAGACATCTTTTCGAGTGTTTGCTCTAGAGGCTATTTTGCCAAAATCGGCGTCAAATTGTAATGCCTCTCATTGAAAGGCGTAGCGTATGGTCGCTTCCCGCTACTTGCAGCTTGCTCTTCCAGGAGTTAGTTGAAAGATGGTGACAGGTTAGGCGATTGTCCAAGCATTCACATCCTCTGTAAATTATTGTTGAAGTCGTTCATCAGTTGTCCTTCGGAAAACGTGAGGTCTATCTCCGTAGGTGGCTGGTAGCTTTGTGTTTCTCGGAGGGTGTTTTTATCTTTGAGCCCCACCGCAGATGTCAGGTGAGGAGTCGACACGAGCGAATGGCATTCAAAATAGGGAATATACCCCTAAACCACAGTGCGTACTGCACAACTGGTCCTGAGCCTGGGCTCAGAATGCGATACCAGCAACTCCTAGCATAATTGTTAATCTCGACTCACTTTATTGGTTGCTGTCGCATTTGTCGGTTGCGAGCGTCAGGGAAGATAGAACTACCAACCACTCATGTGCTCAAATTTCATCACTAGGTTGTACTCTCCGGTTCCTTAGGTACGTGGATCTAGACATAGTACTGCTATCTAGAGTGCATACGTCAATGCTCAGTTTAGCCCAGCAGCTTCAATACCTACCACAACAGTGAGTCTTTCAGCATTTCCTCGTCTTTCAGATGCTGCTGTATTACTCATGAGGAGCTCAGGCCAAGAACGGATAGCAGAAATGACAAAACCTCGATTTAGACCTCGACCGGCGTAGGATCGAACCTTTGCAGTCACCTGTTCTTGTAGGATCGGAAATTCGCGTCCTGCTGGCCTGCAGCTGGTAAGGCGGCTGAAACCGCTGCTGCAGTCCCCATTCGTTCAGCCCCCAACCTCATTATCTCGTGCTTATTGCTTTCATCATTCGTCCAAAGTCCCTAACACGTCCATCACCAGGGCGCGGAATTCTGTCTGGTGGTCGGCAGTGCCCATGAATGATTCAACCCAGACTGCTTCTCTTGTGTTCTGTAATCACTTCCGGCTGGCAACGCTCTATCCGAATCCACGTCCCAATGATGGAGCAGGATCAGAACAGCCAATCGAGTTGGAGGCCACGCAGGCTGTCCATCACTCATCAGATCCAGCGAGCACTTCGTCTCGACAAGCTTAAACATGTGAGTACCATGGCATTTTTGCATCAAGCTCACGTTTGTCACATCAACAAAGCCCTTTCGAACATGCCGAAGATGATTTGCCTGATGCCCTCCAAAAAAATCCCAGGACAGACGCAGTCAGATTCTAGAAGCTACTGCTCCAACAACAAGAACCGAGGTAGAAAAAAAAATCCTCCAGCGTTCAGAGTCGAGCGATTCAAGCAGGAGTGAGCATGCTCAATTGAGCAAAGGAAACGACAGACGTCACATTTCGATATCGATAGCTGGTGATGCAAGGGTCAAGAGACTATCAAAAGAAACACGCGTCTCTTCCGCCGACAACGCTCCAGCAATATTTGGAAAGAATGACTCAACCGAGAGACCTAATGAGTTACTCAGGGACGAAGAGAGACGGGCTACCAAGCGCCTGGAGGCAGACAGGACAGAGCTTGAGAAACGGCTTCTCAGGCTCGAACAGAACGAGGCAATCAGAAGCTCCCGACTTCTAAAAAGAGGAACCCGTCGTTTATCGAAAAAACAGCCTCTGGACCTATCGATCAGGGCGTCAAGTGTAAGTGCGGATGAACATCAGTCTTCAACTAGGCTTTCTTCCATGATCTCGATCTCGAGACGCTCATCGCAGTCCCGGCCGAGCTCGGCGGTCGAGGCTGACCGGCGATTAAGTCAACCATCAGCTAGCACCGTAAATTCAAGGTCGAACGTTGACTGGGATCCAGCGTCCCACGTGGGAATGAAAGTACCAGAGCGTTTTAGCACGGAAGTCTCGAAAGAGCTCAATGCGACAAATGCATTACTCTCATATCATGAGGGGAAGTCTATGCAGAAATCCACACAATTGACTGCAGGCTCTAATACGAACAAGGCCAGCGGAACATGGCAGTCTCGTGAGACAAACCAGGTGCCAATGATATATAGAAGAACGAGTGCTCTTGCACCAGAAACGTCAGAGCTAGCGGCCCAGGACTCATTAAGGACAAGTGACCTGGACCGGACCTCATTCTCAGCAGCTTTGAATATACAGGGAAGATGCCCTGGCCGGATGCCCTTGCCCAAACCCGCAATCACAGACACCAAAGACACCCACTCGAATTCAATCCCCAAGCAGCGAGAGCATCATTCGTCAAAAACAGAGTATCTGGCTGGAAGACCTCATACCCGTCTTCAGGCGACTTCATTACATGAGTCTTGCAAAACTATTCCAGCGAGGTCTTCATGTGGCAGACCTGTACAGAGGCGATATAGATCGTATCTGCCTTCGCCCCTGGCAGCGCCTTCGGTGAGTGGGTTGACTAGTGAACCAGTTCCAACCAAGGCAATCTCATCTAAGCTCCCAACTCAATTCGCCCTCGAGAAGCCGAACCAATGCCCCCCCAAAGCTTTGAGGGGTCCTGCCCCTGGCAGCTCAAGCTCAGTACTATTGCTACCCAGCAGTCATCATGGCCTTAGTGCGCCCAAAGAAAGAGCAGATTTTCACAGACCTTCATCTCGTGATTGCAACGGCGGACGCTCTACTTGCCCCCACAAACGTCCCCGCCCTATCTCCAATGATGACATGCATATTGATCAAGGTGAAGAAATTGATTTGTTGGCGCCACATACGATTGAGTCCCGTGAAACAAGAGAGATTCTTCACTCTCAGGCCTCCCTCGATCACAGTTCTGGCGCCAGGCTGAGCCAAACATGGACCATGCATAATCTAAGCTCCTATGGCAAACATGGGACATCCCTCACAAGGTCTAAGCCACCCTCCGGACCGCAAAATCCACAAGCTTTCTCCAAACCCTCCACTGATCAGCGAAAACGATTTGGTGGCTCCTTGTCCTCGTTGGACAATCCATCTCGCGAGCTACTGACAGATGAATACAACACGGCAGACGAGGGTCTATCTGTCGATTCATTATCAAGAGATGTGAATGATACTTTGACCTTGCAATCGGAAGTTCTTGGGGTTGTGAGTTCGACGTATGGCTTCAGTGCTGACTTTTCACCAGCAACCATGCAAGCACCGGCCACGATATCTGACTCTCTGCTGTCGCAGAGCAATAGCTCTGATGACCAGTCATTACTCTTTTGTGATCAGAATATTCGTAAGGTGTTCTTCATTTGTTGTGAGTGTGGGCACTGGCATGACATGCCTTCGCACAAGTGCTCAGACTGTCTATATGGCGGTGATCATTCCACTTTAACGAACCGCGATTGTTCAAAAAGGAAAAGCAAAGAAATTGTCATCGAGAGAAAGGTTGATCTTGCTATGCCCAGAAGTGGGCATTCGAAACAGACTACCAGCCGACAAAATTCTCGTAGTACATTCAATGCATTATCTATTTTAGCTACCCCGCTCCATGACTGCTGGTGCGGACACAGGATGAACCAGACATGCTGTCAAGTATGGGATACTGTTGTCCATATGCAGGAGAGATACCATTAAAGCTCGAGCGAAATCAATTGTTTGGCCCCTGTGGTTTGCAGAACACACCTCAGACAGTGCTTGGATACAGTACTTGCGTTCAATGATCCTTCTACGCAGCGTACTCTCATGGAATGTCTCTCGCACCTGAATCATTTTTGATCCACGTTTACCCTCAGAAGCTTGTTCATATCTTGAAGCACGGATGGAGTAATGTTTTGCTTAGTACCATCTCCCCAGCCCCACTCTCTCTTCTATTCAAGATATTGAGAAAGGACATGTGTTATACTTTGCACGTAGAAAAATGATCGCACCGTTGTGAACTGACATGGCGTTGTGAGATACTGGTCACTAGGCTGCTTTGGTACAGAGCCCATAGGCCGTATGAGGGGTACAGTAACTTACAGCTAGTAGCGAAATGGCCGGGCAAGTGACTACTCGTAACTCTCTGCCTTGCCTCGTTACCTCTTGCTTCCCTCACCTTCACAACATTCAAGCCATTCCCTTTGGATGGCCCTTGTTTGGCGCCATGGTGCGTCAAAGGACCTTCTCGAATGCTTCCTCAGCTGCATCTTGCCAGGCTGAGAGAAATCAGGTATGCAATTTTCTGGTTATGCCCCTTACGTCGCACACGGTCCTCTCCCACCTCAATTGGGAACGATGCAGTTGTCGCACCAGAAGCTGCTCATTTTTCATCAGGACTGACCGGTCGCCTTTTTCCTGTTTTCTCTCTTCAGGAGCTGGAGAGCATGTATGATTATTTGGCTAAGGTAATCCTGCTTGGGCCAAGCGGGGCTGGAAAGTAAGACCTGATGGAACTCCTGAACGCCTATCAAGTCCGTCACTCGCTTACACATGCGCCTTCGTAACAGGTCTTGTGTGCTACATCGCTTCGTGAAAAATGAATGTAGGCTTTCAGCTCCTGACTTAGCATATGTATAAATTCATCCCGAGCTGGTAACTGGCTTGCTAACGCTTTGTGTGCGTGTAGGGAGAGTGCTGTCCTCGCAAACAATTGGGGTGGAATTCTCCTCCCGGGTAGTCAAATTGGGCACTGGCTCACGACGAACAAGAATCAAATTTCAGCTCTGGGATACGGCTGGAACGGAGAGGTTTCGATCTGTCTCCAGGTCCTATTATCGAGGGGCCGCAGGGGCTATCCTGATTTACGATGTTTCCTCTCAAGCCTCATTTACATCTCTTCCGACTTTCCTGATGGATGCCCGTGCTCTTGCCTCCCCCAATCTCACCATCCTTCTCGCGGGAAATAAGGCAGATCTCACCTCTGATGCCACGCAACATAACGACGGCTTTGATGATAGCTCCCGGCCGCCTCCTACCCCGTCTAGCACCTCCAGCAAGCATTCTTCCTTTCCTCTTGACTCCACCGGCGGGTCCGTTCGCTCAATCACGAACTATGATTTAGAAACACGTCTGACAGCGACACGTGCTGTTCACGGTCGCGAGGTCAGCACGGAAAGCATGTCACGCTGGGCCGCCAAATCCGGTATCCCAGTAGCCGTCGAAATCTCAGCATATACCGGGGAGGGCGTGGAAGAATTGTTCAACCGGCTGGCCCGGATAATCCTTACGAAGATAGAGTTAGGGGAGATTGATCCGGATGATCCACAGAGTGGGATTCAATATGGGGATGGTGGTTTGTATGGTCCCAGCGCCAGTGACGGATCTAGTATCCGGAGTCGAGCGACACTCGATGATGGTTCTGTTCAATTGCGTCGCCGGTACAATAGAGCTGGGGCCGAGAACAGCCGAAGAGGTGGCTTCAGTGAATGGGAAGATATCTTCAGGTTGAGCGACTCTCATCGAAAGAAAAGTAGTCGATGTTGCTGACCCGGATTTATGCTTAATGCTGCCCGCTACTGCTTTGCTCGGGGGCCGAACACCCGAAATACCTCGAACTGAATGTCCCAATGCCGGCACTGCTGCTGAATCATACATCTCGTTCTTCGTACATCCTCTTGGGTATTTGAGATAATTAACTTAATCGCTTGTGTCCCAGTTCTTCGGGCAGGATTTATCCTAACTTCGCTCACAACGCCTCTCTTTCTATTTCCTCAGCAAAGATACCCCCATGGAAATCCCTGATTGTCTTCTACGATGTAGTTGACCTAATGATCTAAGGTTGTGTGCTCATACTGTTTTTCTGGCTTTCTTCAGGTTCCAGCCTAGCTCGATCTCTCGGAGGTTTTTTCTGGGCTAGTAAAATTATTCACTGCTGTGCAAATGGCAGCGCTGTGGCTTATACCAGTCACTTCAGACCCTAAGTTGATCATGAATGTATACCTTTCAATACACCTATTTCTCTAATATGAGCACGAAGGTAGTAAGGAGCAGGAGGGAAGTTTCAGGCCTTATGCTATCTGCGCAGAAAGTCGTCTGAACAATCCACCTGGAGCGACAAGTTCCGATGTTTTTGAGCGGTTTCAATTGATTTGGATAGCTAGGGTCTATGCGTCTATGCCAGCAATAAGTGTCTTGATGCCCTTTCCAGCCCTGACCTCTTCAAATGCCCGCTCTGCATCTTCGAACTTGACTGTGCCCGTGATTAAGTCCTTGACGTTCACTTTTCCTGAAGCAACGAGAGACACTGCAAGCTTATAATCGCCACTGCCATAACGAAAACTGCCTTTCACGTTCAATTCCTTGGTACATGCAGCCATGATGGGAAAAGTGATTTCGTTCCTACCCATGCCGCCTTGTACATACGTTCCGCCAGCACGGACGACATGTATTCCAGTATGCACAGACGGTTCTGCTCCGGATGCATCGATTGCTACATCTGCACCCGAACCCAGATCATTTTCCTTGATGATACGATCTGCGTTTTCCAATGGACTGGCTTTGAAAGGCTCGTACGTCGCAGTTGCTGCGTAGCTACCCGCGAAGTTGAGTCTGGGCTTCTGAATATCCACGGCGATAACCTTGGACGCACCGTACGCCTTTGCTACAGCGCAGCATAGAAGTCCCACTGGTCCAGCGCCAAATACAACCACTGATTGTCCAGGCTTGACATCGGCCTGCTTGACGATATGTACGGCGACACTCAGGGGCTCCATGAGTGCCGCCTCTTGCAAAGTGATAGTATCCGGAACCTTGTAGCAGAAATCCTCGGGCAGGATGTAGTATTTGGCGAGAGTTCCATCATAAGGGGGAGTAGCGGCGAATGCCATTTCCTCGCATAGATTGTACTTGCCTGATTTGCACGGCTCGCAGCGACGGCAAGGGACGCCGGGTTCGAGTGCAATGCGATCTCCCACTTTCAATTCGGTGACCGCAGAACCGACCTTGCTAACAATTCCTGACGACTCATGTCCCAGGACCATGGGTTCCTTGACAACGAATTTACCAATGGAGCCATGCTCCCAGTAGTGAACCTAGATATGCCTCTCGGGTTAGAAAAAGTTCCCGGACTGACCGTTCCAAATGCTATCGACAAACCGTACATCGCTTCCGCATATACCCGTGAATTTGACATTTACAAGGACATCGTGTGGTCCGTTCAAGTCTGGGATTGGACGGTCTTCGAATTTGACTCGATGAATACCTTCTAAGACGAATGAGAGGTTCTACATGATGATTAGCTTGCGTCAGTAATTGCTACCCTCCGCTCGCCACAAAGGTGTGCTTTTCACGTATATGTTTTATACTTACCTGAGCACTGGAAAGCTGGGCAGACATTGTGGGCAGATAGTGACACGAATGTAATGAGCCGATGATTAGCGGTGGTTGGTATTGATACAATCAACGGAGCTGTGAGAGATTCGGTGCCGTCGAACACAATTCGAAGTACTTTAAAGAGGTCAACAAACAAGTAGAACAAAAGAGAAGAAGAAAGTGTAGGGCTAGGTTGAGAGTGATGTAAAAAGAGAAGAAGAGCAGAAGGGACTTAAATACTCTAGCTTTCAACCGAGGAAGGATAATTGAGATACTGCCAGTGTCTTCTTACGTATTATTAGGTAGTTAATGGTGGGGGGACGGGTGCAGTAAACAGGTGATAATCTAATTCTCTTAATTGACCCTAAGACTTGTCCAACCCGGATCTGAGCCAAGAATTGCAGAGAAGGTCTCTTTCCAAAGTCATGATTCGAGCTAGAAGAATACTAGTACGGAGCACATACGATCTTGCGGAAGCTCATGGTGAGCAACGGCAGCGGGGTGAGAGGGCGCGGTACCACTATGGATCATGGATACTATAACTCGTGACTACCACTTATTCCGTACGGAGTACAGTAGTTATGTCCAGTCGACTATAGACCGAATGGGGAGAAATCCATGACCGTGATCTGTGGACCGTGGACAGCAGTGACTTCTACAATCCGGCAGATTACCTATTGGTGGACTTGAGGCAATTAACCGGTGGGTGCCTATTGGAATGATCCATGCAGGATATGGAGCAGGTATTTAGCCGGCCAGTCACCTACGGAGTAAAGTCGACCACGGAGTACTTACTCAGCTAAGTAATTACGGAGTAGAGTACTGTAGCTGTAAGAGCCCTGGGCAGGAAACCGCCTTCATGTTGAGGGAGGCGATGTAGCCTAGTACCTAACCTAATTACTTAGTAGTATCTACCTTCTTCAATCCCCGCTCATCTTTCTATGGCGTTATGTAATTCCTTTTGCACGGTATTCATCTTTCTGTTCTACAATACCTAAGAAATTAGCTATTGAACATTATAAATCATTAATTCTTCCATCTGCAGTTCACTGTCGGTAGGGGTAGTGATATCTTTGACCTATAGTACTTACCTCCGTCTTTGCGACTTAAATGCGTCACATACTTCTCACCGTAAAGTCCTCCGAATACTGCCAGGAATTGGCATGTAAATCACATCTCACTTTTGAGTCAGATCTAGATCTAAAAGAGAAGAAAATATCTATCTAGTAGCCGAGGACATTATATTCTTCCTCGTGGTGTTCCAATGGTCCTCAAAGTGTTGGCTGATTGGCGAGTCAAGTAAGTGGGCTACAGCTTGGCTTAGTCATGGATTTTGCAGCTCTGACTAGGTAGTTAGTCCTTTGGCCACGGCAAATGCAACATGCTCTTGCATGCTCAAGGATACCAAGGATTTCCACAAGTCTTTAAGCAATACAATGTCGAAATTCTGAAGCTTACGTTTGCTTGCACCCTTTCGATCCCCAATCTGGCATTCAAGATGATTAGGTCTTACCCCTTCCGTGCCGCCTGGGGGACGAGGCGCCTCGTGCACTCAAGTGTGCGCTTCGGCTGCACCAGGCTTGCACCGGTAGAGCTTCAGCGGAGAGCGTTTTGCAGATCTACCCGATGTGCCTCCGAAGAGAAATCTCAGCCTTTCAAACATCAATTATATGAGAGTACACAGCAGCGCCTCAAGAGAGAGCGTGCTGAGCAGGAGCGTTACTCAGCGTATCAGACTCAGTCCCAAGGTGGTCGCTATGCAGCAATGATGTTCGGTATGCAGATTATCTACTTCTATGAGACGTCTTCGTCAAATTCTTTTGTAAAGCCAGCCTATCTGATGCTACCTGTCTAGCATTGACCTTCTTCTCCACTGGGGCGTACTTCTTAGGCTCCTCAAAACCTGCGAGCCTGCCGACATCATCAACAAGTCCATTGTACGAGACAGAGCCACCAAGGCATAACGTCTCCACGTCGAACTTACAGGCTGCGTGGGCAGACTTCGTGGATGTTCTAGGAAAAGAGAACGTCTCTACAGAACACAATGACTTGGAGATGCACTCGGGATCTGACTGGTCCTCATATGTGCGGAAAAATGACGAAAAGCCGTTCCTTGTTCTCTATCCATCAACAACGGAAGAAGTTTCTCAGATTATGAAGATTTGTCATCGGCGTTTGATCCCCGTCACGCCATACTCGGGCGGGACAAGCTTGGAAGGACACTTTGCACCCACAAGGGGCGGTGTGTGCATCGACTTTCGTCGCATGGACCGTATCTTGGAGCTTCACAAGGGGGACCTGGATGTTGTGGTTCAACCTGCCATCGGCTGGGAGGAACTGAATGAGAAGCTCTCCGACGAAGGCCTATTTTTCCCACCAGATCCTGGTCCTGGCGCTATGATTGGCGGCATGGTTGGAACAGGCTGCTCCGGAACGAATGCTTATAGGTATGGAACCATGCGAGAGTGGGTGCTTTCTTTAACGGTTGTCCTTGCCGATGGCACAACCATCAGAACCAGGCAACGTCCGCGGAAGTCAAGCGCTGGGTACGATCTCACTAGGCTATTTATTGGCAGCGAAGGCACCCTTGGGCTCGTTACGGAAGCAACATTAAGATTGACTGTAAAGCCAAAAAGCCAGAATGTTGCCGTGGCAAGCTTTCAAACAATACAGGATGCAGCGGCGTGTGTCACCCGTGTGGTGGAGGAAGGCGTTCCCGTCGCCGGACTAGAGATCTTGGACGATGTCCAGATGAAATGCATTAATGCCAGTCAGACGACCAGCCGACGATGGAAGGAATCGCCTACACTCTTCTTCAAATTTGCAGGGACGCCAGTGGGAGTCAAGGAACAGATAGGTCTCGTGCAAAAGATTGTTTCATCATCGGCAGGGAAATCCTTTGAGTTTGCCCGCGGTGATGCAGAAATGCAGGAGCTCTGGAGTGCCCGCAAACAGGCTTTGTGGAGTGTGATGGCTATGCGGAGAGGGCCAGAAGACCATGTGTGGACAACAGATGTGGCGGTGCCTATGAGCCAACTGCCTGAAATTATTGATGCCACTAAGCAAGATATGACCGAGAGCGGCCTTGTGGCAGGTATCTGTGGCCACGTTGGAGATGGGAATTTTCACGGTAAGTGGTTTCTGCTAGTGTTCTTGAAAGCTCTTTTTCTGACCCTTTTCAGCGATCATCCTCTTCAACGAGGCCGAGAAAAGAGCTGCAGAGGCTGTAGTCCACCGTATGGTGAAAAGAGCTGTTCAGTTGGAAGGCACAGTGACAGGAGAACATGGCGTGGGGCTTGTCAAGCGAGATTATCTAGAGCATGAATTAGGTGAAAAAACCGTGGACGCAATGCGTCGGGTATGTAGCCCTTGTCGAGCAACTGCCGACGTTCCATTGACTGATAACCCCTAGCTTAAACTTGCTTTCGATCCCCTTTGCCTCCTCAACCCCGATAAAGTCGTTCGAGTGGAGCCGCCAACGGCTGGTGAGATGAAGAAATGGTAAGAAGAAGAAGGCTGCCTATAGAGCCAGGGGAACTATGCCAAAGTCTCGACAAGTGAAGACCATGGTGTTGCCTCGAATCTATGCGATATGCTCAATCTCAACCTCTCATGTGCAGTACCAGCGCGATTTCGCATGCAGCTTACACTCACAATCTCTGATCTCCTTCACGCCTGAAATGACCTTTGCCGTCTTCTTCTGACCAAAAATACACTGCCCCTGCCTCTTTGCAGCACCGAAATCGCGAGCATGCTCATAGGGCATGCGCCACTCCTGCATCTACAGACCTTGTTTTCTCACAATTGATTCGACCTTAGCTGGATGTGACTAGTGTCTGCAAGGCTTTGTTTTCGAGCTGGTGCTCGGCCATCTGATACAGCTGCCTATTTATCCAGTTGACAGATGCCGTGGGTTCGTTTTAGCTAAAAGTCGATGTTGTCTTACCTCCATATGGTCACTAATAACGTAGAAGAACTGTCTCCGTAGCGGATGGTCAGGCCTGCCACTAGCTATTCTGTAAGCATTTGATGTACTGTCAAACCGATCGGTACGTTCTAGGTTGAGAGTGGAGACTGTTTTGATGATATACTCTATACAAGGTACACCTTCCGTACTAGCAGAACGATTGGGTTAGTGTTTGTGCACTCTTGATATAGATAATCTGGTCAGGGCCTGATGCCGTCGATGTCGAAAGAATGATCATAGACATCATTGAGTGGGTACTAGAATGCCCACTCAAAAGGTGCCACAAATTTCACCTGGAAGGAGGGAATTAGTAAATAGTTTGTTTGTTTGTTGGCCAGCTCTCCTAACTAGTTCTTAACGCACAGTTCTGCATTGACTGACTAATGGAGATACTCAACTAACTAACCAAATAAGTTCGGCGTACGGATTACCGTACGTAACTTAAATAACCCTCTACATCCGTCGCTCCGCCCGCCCTCTCACCGCCGTCTTCCGGGCTTCCCCAGTTCTTCCATACTCTGCCCCCACCCCCTCTCCCTCTCTCCCAACCCCCCTTCTCATTCTTCCTACTCTCTCCCCCTATCTACCTACCATCCCTTCTCCTCACTTTCTGCTTCTTCCTACCACATGTCATACCTCTATCACCCTCAACCAATTCTTTCTGGCGCTTAGTTCCTGCTTGGAAGGTTTTCTAATTCTGGGTTCCATCTTCGGTTTGCTTATCATCATAGTCAACTATCCATACCACTGCCAAGCTGCATCGTGGACACTCTAATTATTTATCTGTACTTATCAGCTTCCTTTGGCACCCTTATTGACGTACTCCACTGGAATTTCTGGAGTGGCGTTCTCCTCACTCATGGGGGTTATATCACGCTTCTTTGTCCTCCGTCTTCTCTAGATGCAGCTTCACCACACCGAACCATATCTGTCCTTGGATATCCATCGTGAGAAGCACGCCGTGTTTCCGAGGCCCGGCTTCCTTATTCTCGTTCCTAAGCCTATTTTCCCCACGACAATGCCCTTGTTCAAGACCAACTAAACCCCTTCCGCAGTCGTGCCAGTGGCTCGGAGAGATTCCAGGCGACATCCAAGGCCTGTTGACTTATGCGGGTGCTTAACGTCTCGTCCACCTGGAACCCTCGCATTGTGAATCGATACAACTTCATACGCTCCTGATTATACGCAAGAGATTAGGGGGCGCGGATATCGTTCAGTCGGCTTGGATGCTGTGAGTTGGATACAGCACCGCAATGATAACCAGGCATTCTCAACACTTCCTAGCATTCCCTGCCACCATTGATTGTGTTTATCCTGTCTATTGAGAACGGACGCGTACAACTGTTCAAAGAGCTACATAACTTTTGTGAGGCGCAGGATTTGTCTTCACGACCTGTTCCTGATTTGAGTGTGGCTTGTGAACAGACTGGAGTCTCTACTGGGTCAAGCGATCAAAGCAGACGTCTCTAAGATGCCCCTTCTAACGAAGGCTTCTCGAGTCAGCTCTTTGACAGCATCTGATCCGCCCCGCACGAATGTGATGGTTGCGAACTTTGGGATGTCCACTTGCGGAGATTCCAGAGAAAACTTATACGCCTGCCGCAAGTACCCCACGCACGTCCCCTCTCAGACATCAACTGCTGGGGTTACACGTGCAAGTGTACCCATGTCAATACCTTCTAATCTTGTGCGCGTCGGTAGTCATGTCCCTTACGCGCCGCCACAGATTCAATCTTTCGAGTCATCTATATCTGGCAGCGTTGACTCCCTGAACGAAGGACCAACAGACAGTGAATCTCTGTCACAGCCTGGGCCTGAATTCTCTCCTTTGTCAATGCATGCCTCGTCCAAGCAAGCACTGCAGTTGTCACTACATGTCCAAGATGGTTCAGTAACAAAGTCACCCGCATTATCTCAGACTAACATCGCTGGCCGCACATCGTTCGGGTACTCACGAGAGAATGGCAGCACGTTGGAGACAACATCACCGGTATCGAGGTCATCATTAGATTTCGTTTTCAGGTCTAAGACTCGGAGTAGTATGGATCCTATCGCTCGAGCAGCTACAGTACAAGCAGCACGCCAAGCTTTTGAAGAAAAAGAGGCAGCTAAGACATGCAGAATAGAGGCTCAACAAATCAAAGCTGAGAAAAGGCAGATTCGGCAAAAGGAACGACACTGGCGAACTGCAATCGACCCGCAGAATATGGAAGCCATAAGTTATGAGAAGCCCGCGTCTGAGACAATGCAGCCTTCGGAGTTGCCGGGTTCACATTCGAAGGGCTGGAAATCGCAGTCGAAGAACACCTGGGTGCTTTTCCTGACGTGGTTTCGTACTAGGGTTTTCAAGCTGCAGAGGAGGATCCGAAGGATAGCCTGATACGAGACAAAAGTACCTAGAAATTCCTCTATCATTGCCCTGGTGTTCGCTTTCGCTTCCTACATGCTTGGATGATTCATGTGCCATTCTCTGAAACGCTAGCGCTAGAACTGGTTTGTGATTAGCTTCAGAAAACGGCCAATGCTCGCGACCAATACTGTGTTCATGGGCTTGATGTGCAGTGATTCTACTCCGAACCAATACACGGTGATGCAATTTATCCTAAAACATTCTGATTGTGATCATATATGATCTAAGAATCTCCCTTGTGGTTTGGCATGAAAGATTTGAGAGCGTGCAAAATTGACCAATAACATGAAAGCCCCTCGAACATGGATATAGGAAGCCAGTGGCAGAAGGAGTAAATGAACTCAATTTGATACCACCAGCGGGATGAATGTGAATAAATATATTGTTAGCCTGCAAGAGCTTGTACAACATCACGAAAGAGGAGGTTGGCTGGGGGCAGAACATATGGTGGTATGTCACCAAAAACACTAGCGAGCTGCGGCTGCGAATTCAAACCATCACTCGCTGTAGCTAATTGCTGCCCACTATCTAGGTCTCCCTCCGTTTGCTGTCCGAACACACTAGCCAGGCTGAAGTTCTCAATCTGATTATCTGGTAAAGCCATATGTGTAGGGTGAGGTACTAAACTCAGACAGCTGTACCTCTGCACCTTGACTTCAGCATCAACGATGATGAAATCGCCGGAATGTCTATCAGGGAGTAGAGCAACGGGAAAGCTGTCAAGCATGGATTCAGCAAGTAAAGAGAGAGTTTCAATGTCGTAAACCTGTATACGAGGTTCGATTCTCCGGCGTTTCTTTGACACGGGGTCCTTTTGCTGGACTTGTGCAACAATCGCGAACGTCTTTGTTTCAATGCTGACCGCTAACAGACGTGACGAACAAGGCTGTATGTTTTCCGAAACATCACTTGAGCTAAGGATCCTGACGGAATCATTCACAGTATCCCAAATGTACAGGGATCGTGTTGAAGTGATGAGGAGCTGCGAACCCAAAAATGCAGACCCGCACGGATCCCCCGCGTATAAACCAACCCTGCTGTAGCGAACGCTACAGTTTTGAGCATCGACTAGCATCGTAAAACCAGAATCCGCTAATAATGACGATGTCAGACAAACAGCAAGCACCGATCCGTCCTGCGAATAGTCCATGTAGGCCGCACCTAATCGTGCAGATTGATCCATGTCAAGATAGCTCTTTAAATCAATGGCAGTTCGACATTTCCAACTCTCTGACAGCTTTTCTGCACCTTCCGTCTTTAGGCCGCTGCGTTGCCTGACGATTGGGCACCAGAATCGAAGCACTGCATCAGCACCGACAGTGGCAAATTCGTAGGCGCAAGGCCGAGCAGCAAGGTCCAAAACCCGTGTAGGCCCCTTGCTCAAGAAGTGAGGATTATCAACTCTAGTCACTAACTCCCAGATCGTAGACAAGTTGTTCCATCGCCAGAATTTTAAAAAAGTCTCCTGATAATCGGTAGAAATGTGATCGCCATGAGCATCACGCGGGATGAGGGCCTGTACATCTCGAGCGTATGGGGTCCAATTATCAACAGTAGCCATCCATTTCCCGTCTCTCGAGAGGGACAAGTGACTCACATCCGGCGCAGTGATGTATGAGCCATCTGGGCTGACCTTCAAGGTTGTGATGTTGGTACGAGCAAGAGCTTGTCGTGAAATATGGGTATTGGAGCGGATGTCGTAGGTCTGAAGTGAACAAGCATTTGCAACGGTATGACCATCCGCGGTGATCTGGTGACAGGCCGGGACAGCTAGGAGAAGTTGGTCGGGATGCTTCGGATGTAACGCAGCCGCTATAGACCCGACTGACGAGAGCTTCTTGGTCGAGGCCCAGTTGTGAGGTTTGGTCGAAAGTGGACACAACTGCAAACCAGTAATGGTAGCAAATGGTTGCAGCTCTCGCGCAGATAGCACAATTATGGAATTGTCAGCTAATATGACTGCATAATAGTCGCCCATGGTGGAGAGAGCTATGTTGTAAATTGGGGACGAGAGGTGAGGTAGAAACTGCTTTCGGCCCGTGTCCAATTGCCAAATGACCATAACAGACTCATTTCCACCAGAAATGACATAGTTACCTGAAATCAAGGCGTGGTTAATCATTCCGAATCTAATCATTATCCGATTAATCATAGCTTACCATCCTTCGACCAGCGCACCACATTGACGGAACTCCTATGCCAATGCAGCCGCCTAGGTGTGAGACCCTTGCCGTTGCCGATCTCGTTCTGTAAAGAATTGAGAATATCATTGTATATCATGATAGAGCCCCCAGACTCACCCAACGCTAGGTCAACTTTGCCCGTAGTCGCCCGCTCCCCGGAACCCAAGGTCTCTGTTCGTTGTGAGGCTGTTTGATACCGAATATCAGCGGATGTAATACTAGTGGGCAACGTTAATTCGCTCCAGGTATAGCAAACAGATGCTGAGTCTTTAGTATGCTTCTGAGAGCCGAGAAGAAGGTTTTGGCCTCCAAAGGCAACCAACATTCTACCCTGGTAAGCAGCTCTTAGATGTGTGATTTGGGCGTTCGTGGTCAGCAATGAGGTAGTGCGGAGCTCTTCATGGCTTGGATGCTGAAGGACAATCTCCTTCTTTGAGTCGCCGCGCTCATGAACGGAGAACAGGGCATCTATTCCAGACGGATTTGAACAAAGGTCGATGCAAATCGTTGGCCGGGAGGCACTCCGATAAGAGATCTGTTGGCCGGAGAACCATTCCCACTTGCTCACAGAGCCAGTGGAGCTGAACACGTAGAGGTGATCTGCATTCAATGGGGAGAATTTATAACCGATTACACTCTCGCAAGGTTTTAGCGTCAATACGCGAAAAAGTCGCGAACTTGCCACTGAGTAGATGTGGACTGCTGTTTTGAGACCAAGAAAAAGGTATCTATCACGATCATGGTAAGCGAAAATTTCGACATGCAGGCAATGACTTTACTCACTTGTCATCCGGAGTAAAGAGCGGGTCGGACTTGCCAAATTTCCCAGCAGCAATACCAGAGAGGAACCAGGAGTTTGAAACAGTTCTTTGTTCTCCATCCCAAGGCTCAAGAACATCTTCCGGGAGAGTGACAGGATTTAATGCCAGAGCCTCCGTCCTCGGTGACCTAATAGTCCTAGAATGTAAAGAGTCGTTGATCTGATTGTCGATAATGGATGTGCGTCGGCGCTTGACGCGAACACTATCGTCGGTCAAGGCCATCTTCCTTCCGACCACCTCGCTTGTATGCGATGTTTTTGAAGGTTGTCTATGTTCCAAGCCAGGCATTGATGGACTTCAGTAGGGAAAATATGACCGAAGACGGTTTCCTTAAGTTAAATTTGCTGTAAATTATCCTCTCGATGGTTGAGACCGAATGGCATAATTGAGGTTGTGTAGCCGGCAAAAATCGAAAGACAGGCTTCGCACCTGCTTACTGTGTACTGCCTTTTTTTTCTCCCTACAGCTCCTTACACTGCGGGCTCGCCTGGTTCTATGCCTAGTATGTACTAGTTCTATAATCTCACAGCAAGCACTAAAAGGCTTTCGGCTAAGCGCCTTACTGGAAAAAGGAATTAGTGGGGCCAGGGCTTGTCAGCGCTGGCGAATAATGAAAGATGGCGCATCCATCAACGAGAGACAATTATTCCTCAACTGCGGGAATCACTTCAAAAGACCGTCTGTGGAGATCACAGAAACCGAGGAATTCTTACCACCTGGTAGCTACACACCACAACAGTCCTTTCGCTCATACACACACTACCATCATCTTCTTTCTTGGAGACTAAAGACTAAGGACCGCTCTCCGTCAGAATCCTTTACCTTCGATAGTCTTTCTCGTCTTCGAGACATTTTTGACCAAATGATCATCCCGGTCCGCTGCTTTTCTTGTGGCAAGGTATTTGGCGATGCATCCTGCTTATCTACAAGGCTCTAACCAACCTGCAATCATAGGTCGTTGGGGATCTGTGGGAACGTTATTTGCAGCTTCTTGACGACGGCACCCCAGACGGGTAACTTTCCTCTCCCATTATGCTCCCCTGTGCGATGTGAACAGATTTTTAACGAAATATATCCAAGTGATGCTATGGATCAACTTGGCTGTAGAAGGTATTGTTGTCGTCGGATGATCATGACTCATGTCGATTTAATAGAGAAACTTCTCAGGTTCGAGCACAAAATCGGGCTTACGCGAAACTCGGAAGCTGACCTTGTTCTGCAGATATAATCCCACCGAGAGAGATCGGGCCAAATCTCAGATATGAACCATTTCAAATCAGATTCGACGACTTTTCCAAAACTTTAGCTGCCTCAGTCTTGTCGCAATAACTTCTTTCAAACCCTCTGGATATATCGGTTTTCTGCTCACTCCTCTCAGCGCCCAGAGACATAAATGAGGCTTCCACATCTACCCCTCTTTATGTTACCGCGGTAGGCTTCAAATTTTCTGGAACTTTCTCGTTTTTGGTCTCCAATGCTTTTCTAGTTCTTTCCAGCGTTCCTTCTCTTCTTTTGCTCAAGTTTTTCCGGTCATCTCGGCAGTCTTACGTCACGGTCTTGTTAGATATTCCTTTCATGAATGTGTTTTCGAGTCATTGATTGATGGAGCTCAACAATAGCTTTCAAATTCAGTTCATCTATATCATCCGCAATCAGAATCACAACTGCGCATACTAACCTGCTCCTGGCTTCGTATTGTTGGTGCCCTCTTGGCTACTTATCCCTCCTGAAGACATTATCGCCGCTAGCAGGTCAACTTGAACTACAAAGTGCACGCACAGTACCACAAAAATATCGAGGTCTATACAAATAACCAATGCACTACCACTTATGCCCATGCACTTTCAAGCGTTTATGTTAGACGTTTGCAACTTCTTATCAGACCCCAATCAATCTCAATGATTCGGCACCCCATAGGCCGGCAGCAATGGACTGTATCCTAGATGGTCTCAATTCGTCCCAGTCCAATCTGCAAGCATCCATCGGTGTACTGAGATCGGGTAGTAGTAGAGCGTGGAGAGAATTGTTTCTACAACAGCACGAGGCTGCAGTGCTCACAAGTCGTTATTGATTAAGTACACATGTGTACTGACTAGTTGTCACACTTCATATATGTTTGATACCGCCTTGATACATGCTTCCCTCCTCATAAGGATATGACTACGCAGACTTGGAAAACAACAAATATCATTGATCGTGGCTTGTTAACAGCCTCTGTCTATCCTTATGCACAAATAAGGCGCACAATTGAGTTCCAGTAGCTTATTGCTACGAAACAATATCTCTTGAAAATTTGCTGATTATGTTGAAGACGATTTGGACAAATATGCTGCTAGTAAAGTACAGTACATTGTCACAGACTAGTGCCAGGCACAAAGCATCTCACGGCGGCAAAGCACATGATGTGTGATGAGACGCCCCATCGGAGTACTGGGGCTACTAGGACTGCTAGAAGTCCTTTGCGGGGAGCCCTGCTGAAAAACTACTTTCCATAGGATTATTATCTGCGTATCGGTGCATTTCTCCTTACATATTTCGTGGTCACTAAAGTTGTTCCATGCTATAACTATATTGAGTTTCCGACAATTCCATGAAACCGTTTCTTTCTGTTTTCTAGGTCTCTCAGTTTACCCCCTTCTGATACGGTAGTCCTTCCATGTCAGAGGATGCGAAGTTCCACGATAACTCGATTTGGAATGCTAATCGACATAGGCTTGACAAGTATCACAACGAAAAATCCTACACTGGTCTGGAGTATGACATGGGGTCGATCTCCTTTGATTCAAGTGAAAACGTGGGTGACAACCACGACCTCCAGTCTGCACGCGAACCGATGCCGACTGATCTGACGACTCCCTTTGCGGGACTATCCCAGCCCCAACTTGAAGTATGATTCTTGAATGGCAAGGCTGGACTCTATACTGAAGCCAGTGGCAGATACATACTGCGGATGCAGGGGTTGACAAAATCGAAACAAGCTCGGATGAAGATGACCCACCGCAGTCCGTGATACATGCTCCTGCGGGCTTTGGTGACTTTGTAAGTGAACAAGATGCAATTTAGCAATTCCTTCAAGCCGTGCAACAGTTCAATCACTAGTAGCTAATGGAAGGAGGGGGCGAATGGAAAGCTTAATGGACAAGTGCCCTTTGCCGGCGCGCTTGCACCATCGAATGCTATCAAGTCACATACATCGCATATAGCAGCGCAGTTCCCCACGGGTCATGATTCTGCAACAGCGGTAGTGGTAAATCCCTACTTCTTCACCATCTTTCGCCTCACGTAATGACAAGTGCTAGGTTGGGTCGAATAATACAGTATCACCACCTCCATTAAGTACCTCGATTGAATCTGCGAGAGAGTGGTCCGAACGCCCAACTCCTCGGGCACATACAAGGCAGGAGTTTGATAATCCTACTATAGAGTTAAACTCCAGGACTGCTGATGGCAGAGAGCATGCTGTTTCTCAGGGGGAAACGCCATGGATCTTGATGTCCAGTATGGAAGGTGAGTCACCCCCTTCAAGCACTGGTCGAGAAGGTTATCCAGGATGCGATGCTTCCAGTAACCTAGAACTAAAGGTTTCAAGCATTTTAATGAGGAACTAGAGATCGACGCCTTGAAAGCAGCCCTCGCGGAGTGCTGGGCTCTATGCAATTCGCTGGCCACTCTCAGTTGTCTATATGGAGAACGGCAAGGATCTCAGATCAATGTTCAAGACGAGGCTTGGAAATTATGCTGGCGCCTATGCCAGGAACTATATGTCAACCAGAAGGATCCTGACTCATCAAAGGTCAATATTACCCTTGATATTTGTCACGCCTTCTGTCAATCGCTGTTTGAAGCTCGCGAGAAAGAAAATGAGATGGCGGATTCGGTTCTCCGCGTCAGTTTTGAGCTTAATAATCATCTTTTCAATACGCACGATCGGAACCTACCGGAAGCGTTTGGGGAAAGAACTCTCGACTTCTACATCACATTGTGTCATCGTCTAATGAAGCAGAAGAGCTTCGTGTCTGAGACAGAAACTCCACTGCGTGCGTGCTGGTCATTTGCAGAAATGCTGTTTACTATGCGTCAAAGTCAGAGGGGAAACAAGAGGCCGGATGAGGACTTGCTCGGATCAGCGGTTCAGGCTTGTTGGGACCTCTGCGATGTTTTCCGGGAAGGTTGGACACAGCGGAGCCATCGAAGCTCCGATCGTGGAACACCGCGGCCCAGCCAAGCAACATTTCAGCAGGTCATAGAGAAGGTCAATGGGCCTCAATATATTGACTGTGAGATTTCGAGGCAATTGAGAAATCCCGAAACACCTACTACAGTCTTCGATGACACTGCAACTATGTCACCAGATGAAGCACCTATGCAGAATATCTTCGTCTTGGGCCAGGACCCAGGCCAAGCATCACACGCTGCTTGGTCCTCAAATTCATCAGCTGTTTCGGGACAATCACGATCATCAGAGCAAAGCTCGTCTGCTAAGACTATAACTACCACCTTGTCGGGAGGCTTGAATCTAGTGTTTGTCAAGATATTGGTTACGAAGGCTGCGATGAACAGTGGGTATCAGCGTTCTGGGACGCAAAGTTTCTCGTCATTCGTCAAATCACTTTCCTCTGACGCCTTTGGATCTCTTTCGTGGCAAATATCACTTCTGAAGAATTATAAAAGGTTGGTAGCGCTTGACCCCATTTTTCAAGCTGCTAGTTATCAGGCACGGGCAAGTGCCATTGATGTAGCGCAAGCCGTTCGACTCATTGCGCACGGAGGGCAACACCCGTGGTTACTGGATCTTTACCGCCTGGTTTTCGGATTCCAGACAGATGAGGCTATAAGCCGGAAGGAGATGGTACTTCAAGTATAAATCATTTGCGACGTTCACGACTTCCCGCGGTAGATGGCCTTTCCTCAAGTGTGCGTCGCACGTAATCAAGATACAGGGGACAACATCAGCTACAACTTAGGTTCGTGATCAGTCTTAGTTGTATGAAGGCAGGGCCTTGATCATGGCAATGGGCTCGATGGCAAACCCGGTACTTTTGAATATAGGCAATGGGAAAAGCTGGCTCATGCGATCGTGTGTCTGTCAAAATGTTCCTGTGATGCCTGCCTAGAACGAGACTATCGCCCGTCATGCATACTGAGGGAGTTTAGTGGTAAGATAAATCATGATAATGGCTATGATGTCCGAGCACGCAGCAAGTGCTGCAACAAGCACGGCTGTTCTAGAGGTTTATGAAAATCTTTACTGTGTACCTTGCATGCATAGATTGTTTTCTTGCAATAGGTATTTAGATATGACAAGCTCGCCGAGTCTTTAATCCTCGCCGTCCATTCTGCAGATTAGGGCCGACCCTGAAGCCCCGATGATTTTTCTCTCTTACACAGCATTTGAGAAAGCATGAAATGACTCACATCCTCGTCCGCCCAGTAGCTCAGATGGCTGGCAATACTAGCAATCATAGATATGTCAAATGCACCTCTGATTATACAGTCAGCGGCATGTCTCATAAAGATTCCAGAGATGACTGAAGGTGTACTGAACTTACTCCTGTATGCTATAATCGACACGTCCATTGGCGTTCAGAGCTCTCACTTTTGCGTCTTCCAGTAAGATCCTTTTCGAGCTACTGTCTGCCTCACTGGCCCTAGTGACATTGTTTGCCTGTGGATTCTGCCTCTCTGAAGCACTGTGCCTGTGAACTGTTCCATATAGTGTTTCCAAATCAGGATCAAGGAGTGTGGGGCGGCGAATTTCGTCCTCACCCAACGCATAAAAACCTGCAACTGAGGATCGATTCTCAGCATTTTGATTAGTAGCATTGGATGGTGAAGGACTAGAAGTATCCTCGGGACTCAGTCCCAGACTGCGGTTGAGCAGACTGCTAGCGACACCTGAAGTGAAGTTTGTCCAAAGAGAGCCCACGCTCTGACCGACACGACTACCAATCATCGAGAGAGACTGGCCAGATGTTGCCCACAGACTTTTTTTTACCGATGGTAAAGGCTGTGGTTTCAACGACGACAACGCAGGAGATATCAGAGGCTCTAAACGATAGCTCACAGGGTCAGAGGGATGGAAGATATTGTAAAGCTGCTCACATTTTGGAGATGAAACAGATGGCCCCTTCTGAGCGGTCGCTGTACTTGGCGAATGTTGGGCAGAAGACCTTTGATGAGAGCCATGTTGTGAAAGCAACTCCGGGGAATTCTTTTTTTGTTCTGAGAGGGCCAATGCGTTGACTAAACCCTTGTCCCTCGTCTGCCGCCCAGCTATGGTCTTTCCCTTCAGCATTTGGAACAATGCTACAGGGGATCCTAGACAGAAAAGGTCCTGACAATTGAAATCCAATGAAAAACTGCGACTAAACTCTGCTTGGCTGTCCTCATGGATAGAGGCAGCCGCATGATTGCTATCATGGGGTTCATGACACAGTATATCGAACAGGATTGCACTGCCAAGCGAATGACCGCAGAGACTTACCGAGCCCTTGAAGGATGGGTTTCTCTCCTTAAAAAGCCGCAGGATCCTATTACATTCCCCTTTCACTATGTGAGAAATTTGTTCACAATACGCGCTCTGGTAAAGCAGGACATCCATGGCTAGATCGGAAATGAGATTTCGAACAGCAGGCACATTGTCGAGCGTAATATCAGATAGGGTAGGGTATGCTTGTATTTCATCTTCGGGAGCTTCCGCATCGGCTAGGTCAAGTTCCTTACGACTTTGTTCCATTCGCTGATAAGGAAAGTCGAGCATATGCCTCCAACACCTAAAGTTTTGCTCAACAAACACGCGGCATAGGCGTTAGCACTAGACCTTAGAAGGCTTGGATTGTTTTATGTATGATTGGTAGTGTCCAGAGGGAAGTGTTGCGTGGGCCCGGGATGAAGAGAGGGACGAGGGGGGGGCGCAAGCGACTCACACAGGCAAGACCTGGATACGGCAATTTTCATGTTTATCATCGAATTGCGAGTTGAAGGCCTGGAGGTCGGGCGACGCTCGGTAAACACTTTTCATAGTCTTCCGTAGAACATTGACGTCATGTATGAAATTGACACTTTCTAAGCGTAGCCCAAGTCGTTGCCCAATCCCATGAGTGACTAGAACCAGATGATCAATCTCTCGATCTCTATCTTCAATGGAATCCTTCGATGCCTCCATTTCTTTTTGTTCTTGTGTGCGCACTCGCTCTTCCAGATCGGCAATTTCTGAGCCGTGAGCTGCCCTAGTAAACTCTTCAATCGGACGCGTTCTTTCGGAATAAAATGGACCGTGGGCATTTGCAGTTCCAGGCGATGCTGTTGAGCCCATCGATTCGAAGTCTTTACCGAGCTCTCCAGTCAATTCAGTGCGATATTTGAGGCCTTGGTCTGACTTCTTCTGCGGTATACCAGATCTGGAAGGATCTGTGGGCTTCTTCGCATCGCTGAAACCTCGTACCAATCTCGTACCTGCAACAGCACCCAGCTTCTGGTATACGGTCGTGCTGACCCTGGACATGAAATCATCACTCGTGAGCAGTGCAGTGGATGAATCTTGATATGTGACTATCTTGCTCATATAGGCGCCGAACAGTCGATAATGCCTTAATTCAGTGCCCATTCCAGAAAAAGAATGAGGACTAAAATCTGCCCGTGATAACATGAGTAACTCTACATTTCGGCTGGGAGCTTCCTCACTTACCTGCGTGGTTATACGCCTTCGACAAACCAGCTGGTGTAGATTGACTATTACCCAAGCAACGCCAGGGTTTCAATTTTAGATATCCCTCCTCAAGCTGGGTTGCCAAATTCTCTTCGCATGGTTTCAGAGTAGATCCTTCCTGAAAGAACCAGGTCCCGCGGCGTACTTCATAGACGGGACCTAACCAGTATGTTGGTGCCAGCTCCCTCTGCTCCACATTGACTTCAAACAAGAAATCCTCATTCACAGAAACCTTGGTCGGGGTGCGTGACTGGTCAATGCCTCCTTGCTCATAGTGTGAATTCTGACTTTCACCCTCAACCATCGATAATTCTTGAAAAGCTAATTCAATTGCTTGAGAGTCTCTATTTGAGAACTGCACCAACTTCTTGGGGGGAGATAGCTTGGTATCTTCTTGATTTCGAGGACTAGCAGATAATTCCGGCTTCCTTTTCGGCGAATCTACTGCATAAAACCACTTCACATTCAAAGGAGGGCAGTCTTCAGGGTACCGGTGGGAGCCAAGCCTGTACCTGTGCGTCACAGTATGATCTTGTCCTTGTGTTTGCTTCAGGGCATTTTGGATATCGTTTGTTTTGTCGGATGTAGACAAGGGTGTTGAACTTCTCGGGGTACTCCAAGGCGAAATTGCCCCTAGAAAGGAACCCCGTTGGCTATCTTTTGGCATGAAGCTCACGAGAGCTCGAGGTTTTGTGTTAAAAGCTAATGCGCCTATGTCAGATAAGCCCATGGAAAGGCAAGAGTAGACGAAGGTCCAAAGTTCCAGACACGTGGGAGCTGTTGACGGGTTGAGTGGTACTCGTGGTTGCAAAGAAGACGGGTCATTCGTGCTTTCGACTTCGTCGCGCTGTCAAGGGTAGGTCTAAGAATCGGTATCCTGTCTGCGCAGGCAGCGAGCTATGGCAAGTGAACACCTGAACAGGAGAATGCTAATCTGTAGGTAATACGACGTGCAGGTCAGCGACTAACAATCCTGAATGGAATCATGATTAGAACTATCGAATGTCCATAATTCAGATGGCATGGCAGACAGCTCAGGCTTACACATTCACCTACTCCGTACGGAGTACTCTGTAGTTATCTGCTTTGAAGTTGGGCCCGTCACGTAAGTCGCAGCGGCATGAACAGGCAGCAGTCGCCGGCAGCGACCGGCAGCTACCACCCACACAACTTACGTCATTAATCGATACATGGTCGATTTATAGAGTACATGATTGATGTCATGGTTTATGTATGTTCAGGTACCGTCATAACTTTCAGTCACACTAAAGAACGTCCTCTGCAGTCAGGGAGACAATCTATACTACTAAATTTACGAAGGGCTTCTAGGCTGACTGTTTCTAAGCATTTTACGTGTGATGCCCAGTGTTGGGATATGTTAGTCGACCCATCCATCGTTCCTAACCCCACCTTGCTGTTCTAGTCATTAGGTTTCTACTAGTAAGTATTGACCAGACGGCAACCAGCCCCACGAACTCTCCTCCGTTTATCACAGCAGTTGCTTCCGCTCCCCAGCAGAGTAACCGAGACGTTGATGCTCACTTGGCCACCTGCTGACAATTTCGCAAGGCAAAATATTCCCGGTTATTAACCTTACATATGTTTCGCTTTAGATACCGATTTTGCTGATCTCAAGGAACAGGAGAAAGAGAAGATGAACGTGCTCAAACTACAGAGGTCAGCATGATTACCACGAGACTTGCCTCTGCAGGACTAACCATGATTCAGGAAGTATCCGCAATTCGAGCAAGCGGAAATCTTCTCTCTTCACGATGCATTTCGAAAGCTTGATGTTGAAGACAGAGGATACCTGGATGAGGCCACTGCGATTAAGGCAACTCAAATGATGGAGCAGAAGCCTTACGATGTTGTGCGCCAAGCTTTGAAAGAGGTTGAACTGGACAGTTCCCGCCGCGTCGAACTGGAGGATTATGTAGATGTTAGTATCCCAGAAAGCTTGCTTCTCGTCACTGCTAACGTATGTCCGGCAGCTCATCTCGAGAGTTCGCTTCTCTTCCGCGCAGAATCAAGCTGGAGGTCAAGGGTCTGCAGCAGTGATTCCTGGAAACATCACTGGAAAGCCCCGCCACGTATCCAAGGGAAGTCTGGGTGGTAAAATCCATGTACAAGGCTCCTCTGCGAATGTGACGCATACTATAAACGAAGATGAAAGAACCGAGTTCACCAGGCATATCAATGCTGTCCTTGCAGGAGACCCGGATATCGGCAACTCTCTACCATTTCCCACAGATACCTTTGAGATGTTCGACAAATGCAAAGATGGCCTAGTGCTAGCAAAGCTCATCAACGACAGTGTTCCAGACACGATCGACGAGCGCGTCCTTAACAAGCCTGGGAAGAGGATCAAGGAACTGAATGCTTTCCACATGACCGAGAATAACAATATTGTGATAAACTCGGCCAAGGGAATAGGATGTTCAGTGGTTAACATAGGCAGTGGCGACATTATCGAAGTTCGCGAGCATCTCATTCTAGGTCTCATATGGCAGATTATCCGCCGAGGACTTCTGGGCAAGATTGACATCAAACTTCATCCGGAGCTTTACCGGCTGCTTGAGGAAGATGAAACATTGGAGCAATTTCTTCGCCTTCCGCCGGAGCAGATCTTGCTGCGTTGGTTCAATTATCATTTGAAGAATGCAAAGTGGGATAGAAGGTACGAAAAATCCCCTTTGTAGATCTGTATTTATAACTTTCTCCTCTCTTTACGGCCGAAGCAGATGATGTACATTGCTAGAGGGACAAAGGGTGATTCAAGTGGAATTATAACTAACCGTGGATAGAGTCACGAACTTCTCAGGTGATGTGAAAGACGGGGAGAACTACACCATACTTCTGAATCAGTTGGCACCAGAGACTTGTTCAAGGGATCCTCTTCAGGTTCGGGACGTGCTTCAGCGCGCTGAACATGTCTTGTCGAATGCGGAAAAACTCGACTGTCGAAAGTTCCTGACCCCGTCTTCGTTAGTGGCAGGAAATCCGAAGCTCAATCTTGCATTCGTGGCAAACCTGTTCAATACTATTCCTGGTCTCGACCCGATCACCGAGGAAGAAAAGCTCGAGGTTGAAGACTTCGATGCTGAAGGTGAACGAGAAGCCAGAGTTTTCACACTCTGGCTGAACTCTCTGGATGTAAAGCCTGCAGTCAATTCCTTATTTGACGATCTCCGCGATGGCACCATCCTGCTGCAAGCGTACGATAAGATTATAACTGGCATTGTCAACTGGAAACATGTGAACAAGCCCTCAGTCTCCGGTGGAGAAATGATGCGCTTCAAGGCAGTGGAAAACACAAATTATGCAATCGAGCTTGGAAAACATATTGGATTCTCCCTTGTAGGTGTGCAGGGAGCTGATATCACAGATGGCCAGAGGACTCTTACATTGGGGTTAGTCTGGCAATTGATGCGCAAAGATATCACAATTACCCTCTCTAGCCTAGCGCAACGCATGGGCAAGCGGGAAATGACCGATGCGGAAATGATTAAGTGGGCAAATGACATGTCTCGCAGAGGAGGAAAAACTACGGCAATTCGGAACTTCAAGGACCCTTCTATTGGATCTGGACTCTTCCTACTTGATGTTCTCAATGGCATGAAGAGCAGTTATGTGGACTATGAGCTCGTGACGCCAGGTCGAAATGAGGAGGAGGCTTACGCAAATGCTAAGCTAAGTATCAGCATAGCACGCAAACTCGGGGCGACAATCTGGCTAGTACCTGAAGACATTTGTCAAGTTCGGTCTCGCCTGGTGACCACGTTCATTGGTAAGTCTATCTCAACTAAATCAATCATAGTGAAGCATTAGGTTACTGATTGGAGCTGCAGGTTCACTCATGGCCACATACGAGAAGATGCAATGATTGATCATCACCCTGTCTGTCAGGACTTGTTACGGCAGATGACCATTCCATGTCATCACAATTGAAATTGCAAATTTGAAATTCTTTTTCGTTAAGTCAACCTTGAACATAATTTTCCTGGTAGGCCATTTGGTCTACTGTGTAGATTAGAACTTCTCCGCATGCTGTTGTTCATGGAGACTCCTATCATTGTAGCTCTGTCGGTAGTGTCGTGCGTGGACTGACTTTTACTTACCGAAGGTTTCAGTGTCTAGTCAAGGACGTCATAACTGGGCAATAGGCCCGCGATTTACATAAAACGGAATGGGTATCAGATAGGCACATGGCCAGCGTTCCAACGTGTTGCGATGTTGGCGCTGGTCGCTTATTGCAAAGAAACTGAACATACGGATGCGGATGGATATTTGAAAAGCAAGATACAACTGCAATATTTATGTACAAGATCACATACACAGCATTGCTGGAATTTTGAAGCATGCTAAAGGTGGTATCTTACCCATTCTCCACTATACTCGCTGCAAATCGGATTCGGACGTCTCGTATACGGGCTACGGCTACTACAACAGGCCGTTTCGCAGGAGGTGGATGATCGCGGAAATCGGCTGAACGAGCATGACGAGGAATGAGGGATGATACACCGAATGGAATTATCTTGCGGGTTGGGACGAATGACGGGCCGCCATTTATCGTTGAGATGATTAAGGACGACAAAGACTGGCGATTTATCAAGATAGAAAAGGGGCTCGCTCGACGTTCGTTCGGCAATGTTTCGAGCTGCTGACCACAATGAATAACAATAAAAAATGACAAACCATCTAGGCCACACCGTCCCTCACCCACCTAGCAGGCCAGCTTCTTTGCTTCAGCGCTGCATTCTTGAATAAACCCAAAGGGACGGATGGGCAAATTGGACGATGGAAGAGAGTACCAAGGAGCACGTAGCAGAAATTGGGACATGGAAAGCAAGGGGGTGGGGATGGGGATAAGTAGGCACGATAACTCGGAATAAGGCTCAAAAGCTTAAGCAGCACTCTGAGCAGCTTCAAGGGAGGTAAGAAAATCGAAGCTGATTACCAGTGGTATATTCCAGAGCAAGGAGGACAGCGAAATGTTCGAGGGCGAGAAGATACCTTGAGTAGAACCTGGTATACGACCTCATGCTCCAGCGAGTCAAGCAGGAGCTATTTACTCGGCTGTATCAAGCTCGTCGTGGGCTGAACTAAGAGGATCTAACGGGGCTGATTGACATTCGTCAACATCTTAGTAGTGTAAGGATGCTGAAGGGCTAACCTTTTCTTTCCTCCCCATTTGGTCCATTCTCGCGTTCATCGTCATTTTGTTCGCGCTCATCATCGCGACGTTCCCGATCTTCTTTGACATCACGGTCTCTCTCATCCGGACTACGGGAACGGTCGCGTGAGCGTTCATGTTCACGATCACGTCTGTCATAATCGCGATCCCGACGGTCGTAGTCGCGGTCCCTACGGTCGTAGTCACGCTCATGGCGGTCATACTCCCGATCATATCTTTCATCTCTGCGGGGGGAGTAGTCGCCACGGCTGCGTCGAGGAGAAGGAGAGCGGCCACGTCGAGGAGGGGTACGATCACGCCGGCGGTCACGTCCGGAATCGAAGCGCCAGGAGGCAGACGGAGGAGTCCGGGCCCACTTGAACCAGTTAGCAAGATGTTCTCTAGGTGATGACAGCCAGATGACTGACCTCAATCTTCAACAAGTCGTCACGACCGATACGCTTATTGTGCATCTCATGATAGGCATCATCCGCGTCGCGGCGACTCTCATACTCCACGAAGGCAAAACTATCTCAATCAGCAAATGAGAAAGGTTACGTTGGATACTCTCAACGTACAGTCTGCTTGAGGGGGTGCGCGGTGCCGGAATGTCGCAGCGGACGAGACGGCCATATCTGGAGATAGTGTCAGAAACAACGGAAGTTTAAGTGTCCATTAGGATGAAAATTCGACAGAGGGGTAAGCGTGATAACGACGAGCGTGGCGAAAGGTTCCGCTTTTAAGAACCCTCGAAGAGAGCTAAGGAGAAAAATTGATTATCGAAAACAGGAGAAAGTGGAAAGCTTCGTCGGCGAAACCGCGAGACTCCGTCGAGGATTATCGTGTTTGTGGAAACGAGTCGTTGACTATGGTAGCGAGCAGGTAATCGACGAGCGGCACGTACCGTTCGAATTCGTAGGCAAGATCGCGAGCTCGAGTCCCGTGGCCGAAGCCGGTGACATAAAGGGTTGTTCCAGGACGAGACATTCTACGTGCGTGGCGTAGAGGCTTTGCTGTGAGTAGGAACAAGGGTTGTTGAATGCTTGGAAGACGAAGTTCCGAAGATTGGTTGGGATGCTGCAGAATGATTAAGCATGTCTCCTACAGGTGCGTACAAATACCATTACTGACATTCTTAATAAGCAGATCCATGCCTAACTAATCACTAAGCCACCCGCTAGCTAATGTAATCCACATGCGAATGGGCCGCACAAGCGAGTGGGCCGGCCTTGTATTGCATATAAATAGCCTTCTTTTCATCTTGTATATCTTAATAGATGTCTGAATAAGTACTTTTTAAACTAAGGAAATACATAGAGAAATACTAAAAGAATAATCTATTCTAATTAAGGATCTTTTAGAGATTTATATATAATATTATATATATATGTTATCTTTAATATCTAATTATATAGTATATTTTATATTATTTTAGTAAATTGTCAAAGTCATCTGTAGGGATGTTCCTTATGGAGTCATTATGATCATGAAGTTGTTGATTCTCAGGATCCTGAGACAGGACGAACTAGCTAAGATCCGCCTAAGGCGGAACAATGGGGCAGAATCCTTAATACCATCTTCTACTATTATATATGCTGGCCTTTTTCATAATAATATTCTTATTATATATATAAATAGAAATATAAAGTATAGTCTAAGATATTAAGTAATTAATAATACTAATATTTTTTATAGTTATTAATCTTTTTATTACTAGTAATATCTAATATATATATCTACTAATTATCTTTAGATCTATATCCAGACTAATAGATTAAATACTTCAGAACAGGTTTTTAATACTAATCTTTATAGATAAGATACTTATTAATAATTACTCCAACTATATAGTAATTAGTTATAAGGGCTAAGATGGTGAAATAGCGTGATGAACGAATAGCCTTGCGAGGCCAAAGGTGCCAGTTGATTGCCTTAAGGTGTTGTTACTAATCTGCCTAATCCGTGAGTCACCCGCCCCCTAAATGGGAGGTCGCGACTTACTTGCTTATCTGTCACGTGATTGGTGCCTGAGGCCTACTATATAGATTTCCCTTCGCGAGTAGTTGCGAAGGTTGGAAGGGTTGGTTTAGCCCTTACATTAGTTTAACTAGAAATCTCATATCTTCTATATAGAGTAGTTTAGAAAGAATATAACTAAATAGATTAATATTAGTAGTAGACTCCAGCTAAGTAATAGATATTACTAGATAGATACTCTAGAATAACAGCAGCTTTAGTTAATAAATATAACATCTAACTACTTTAAGAATCTTAAAAAAACTAATAAATTAAGAGATAAGCTTCTTCTTAGTATCTTTAATATAAATAAAGAGTATAGTATAGTTTTAATATAGATATAGATATATCTTATTATTAATATTGAAAAATAAAAGCTTATACTAAGTATTATAGTACTTCTTTATTCTAATAAATATAAATTATGTTACGGGACGGATGGATCGTACTGATCAAAATGTGCCTTTGAACAAGAAGAAATAGCTGAAGAGCTATTTTATCTGTTTATACAAAATTCTTTTAGGTGTATGCGAACTAAGCTAGCACTAGTTTAACATATAGTATATAAGACCTTAGATACTAACTAGTATCTAAAGCTGAGCTCTATATTAGAGTCTTGATTTTATAATAGAAGCTCTTCTCTTCTTTCTTATCTCTCTTTATGATTTATATTTATATAATTAGTAGTACAGGTTCAGAGTAATAGTTCTATAGTTTAGTTTTCTTTCTAGATAGTATTATAGCTGATTAGTAGAAGTATAAGTATAAATAGGGCCTATTTTATTTACTATTATTCCCTTTATTATATAATTCTTCTTAATCTAGTAAATCTAATAGTTCTCTAATAAATAGAACTTTCTTTATATAGCTTATATAACTAGTTCTAGGGATATAGTTAGACTTAGTTATTAGCTTTATATAGAATATATAAAGTATTATATAAAAAGATTATCTCCTCTCTAAGTTAGTTCTTTTTTTTTTTTTTTTTCCTAAGTATCTTCTCTTTCTTTTTAGTTTATTTTTTTTATTTATATAAATTACTGTTATTTTCTTCTTCTACTATATAATATCTTCTCTTCCTAATTCTAGAGCTAATAAATCTAATTAATTAAATAATTCTCTTAGTTCTATTTATTATAATTTTTCTTAAACTTCTACTTCTATCTCTAATTATAATTTACTCTTTATTTCTATATATTATTTAACTATTTATAATACTTATACTAGTAATTTCTAAGTATTAGATTATTATATAATTATTAGTATATAGAAATAAGACTTTACTCTAACTTTATTATATTTAGAACTAGTAGTATATTTAGTACTTTTCTTATTATAAATTTAAAATAAAAGCTAAAACTCTTACTATTACTTAGATAAGATAATCTAGTATTTCTATATAAAAAGCTAATATTATTAGATATATACTAGATACTTCTCTTATATTAATAGTCTTCTAATTATATCTTATAGTTTAGTTATATTATATTACTATAAATATAATAATTAAATAAAATTTTAATAAACTATTTAATTATCTAGATAATAGAGAAGTACTTATACTAGATATAAATTTAAGAATTATAGTATTTATTATAGATATTATAATCTAGATAAGTCTAAGTATAAGTCTATAGCTATTATTACTCTTTTTTATAATATTATTAAAGAGTTAACTAACTAAATATAATATATAATAGAATTTAGTTTAGTAGTAACTAGTTTCTTTTATTAGATTAAGTAAAGCTTTCTTTAATTAATTTAGAAAAATAAAAGATCTCTTAATTTTTTTTCTTTTCTTCTTCTTTTCTTTTTATTTTTCTTTCTTTTAGTTTATAGAATTAAAACTAAAGAAGAGTTATTAGTAAGTACTAATTTTTTTTTATTATTATTTATTATTATTTCTTTCTTTTCTCTTTTTTTCTTTTAGCTATTATTTATATAATATTAGTTAGAGTTTAGTAGAGTCTATAGCTACTATCTTATAGCAGCTTCTATATTATTAAGTACTAAGACTGGTTTCTAGATTAATTCTATATAGTCTTTCTATTTAACTAGATACTATAGTTAATTCTTTTAGTCTCTTATAATATTTTATTTATTAAGAATCTCTTTAACTTTATACTCTTCTTCTTTATCAACTATTATAAATAATAATTATATATCTTCTTATAGCTATAAGAGTAGTATATTATTAGTTATAGAATAAAGTAGATTAATATAGAAAATAGAATAGATTTCTTTTAGAATATTAAATTATATAGTATATAATTCTATTTTTTCTAAAATAGTATATTTTATATTCTTTTAGTCCAGCTTTTTGCTTAGATAGTTTATCTAAATATTTTATAGATTTAGTTATACTTAGTTACTCTTCTAGTATAAAGAAGTAGATTAGTAGGATTTATTAGTCTATCTCTCTATAATCTACTAAGTATAGATAATAGTATCTTAGGCCTAGTCTAGAGTATTATATATCTTTTATATAATTATATCTCCTTATTAGATAGGGCTAGAGAAGACTATTTCTAGATCTATATTATATATAGTCTTTTAGTATATTATACTTAACTTATATCTATAGCTTAAGAAAAATAATAAGAATCTAGTAACTATATTTATATAGCTATTAATTACTAGTTTAGTTAAAGATAATAATTTAATCTAATTCTTTTAGTTATAATCTATATAAACTCTTAGATAGGTCTTAACTATACTATTTATATATTCTATTACTCTATTAGTTTAAGAATAATAAGCTATAGATAGCTGTCTATTAATTTCTAGTAGATTATATATTCTTTTCTATATCTAGCTAGTAAACTAGATATCTTAATCTAATACTAAGATTCTTAGTAGTCTATATTATCTAAGAAATATTTTAAGTAGTATCTTAATTATAGCTTCTATAATAATCTTCTTTATTATATAGAGTATTATTTCTTTTATTAGTCTATTTATAATTATAAGAAGATTTATATATAACTTACTATTAGATAAATTAATAATAAAATCTATAATTAGCTCTTATTATAGTTAGTCTAGTATTAATAGTAGTTTTAATAATCTATACTTTAATTCTCTCTATAATTTTATTTAACTATAAATATTATAATTTTAGATATATCTTCTTATATCTTAAGATATATTAGACTAGAAGTATACTCTACTAAGAAAAAGATAGATCTATTCTTAGTCTAGATATTCTATAGTTAGAGGGTTATAATCACTTTAAATAAATTTTATATAAAGTAATTTATAATTAGAGATTTATTATCTTTTTCTAAAATATATCTAAGCCTCTTCTATTAAATATTTACTTAGAGAGATCTTTAACTTTAGCTAAGATAGAAATTTCTATATTTTCTCTTATATAAGTTTTATTAGAATTTAATAGTCTATATCTACTACTAGAGTATAATTCTAGCTACTCTTAGATTTATTTTCTAGTTCTAGTATTTTTATTTTAATCTATAGTATCTACTCTAGAGAATCTCTATTTAACTCTATTCTATATTCTTATAGCTATACTAGGATTATAATAAGTAGACTAGTTCTAGATTTTAGATCCTCTTCTAGTATTTTATTAAAGATCTAGATTATATAGAATAATACTCTAGAATCTTATTTACTAGATATATTCTATTTCTAGTATAATAGAGTATTTATTTATTTATTTTCTATTCTTTTCTAATAAACTAGTTTAAAGTTAAATCTACTTAGAATTAGATTTTATTATATATATTTCTTTATAAGTTTATATAGTTCAAATAAGTACTTTAGATTTTTATAATTAGTTATTATTATAAACTCTAGTACTAAGTATAACTTAGTATTCTAGACTTCTAGATATTATATAACTACTAGTAGTTTCTTATTATAGATCTTATAGTTATACTCAGCTGAAATATTTTATTTTAAGAAGTAAATATAAAAATATATATCTTTTTTCTTATTTATCTAAAAAAGAG